ACAATTTTTTTGATTCTTTTCTCAAGTACTATCCCAGTTAGATGATCGCTAACCTTACGAGTTTAGAACAGAAGATATAAACAATCATTAAGTCAATTTATATATTAATTATCTGTTTATTAGATCTAAAACAACTAACATTAATCCAATATTTTCCATAGCTTAGTGAAAGTGCCATCAATATAGCAAATCATGCTAATAATACAGAAATCTGTGAATTACTTGTCAATAAAAACTATCATGTAAGTCTACCAGGTAAATAATTCAAATGTAAGAGCATAGGAATATTTACTTATTTCTACTGGATATTATTTTATATTAGGATGACAAGAATAAAAATGAAGAGAATGGTAACAAACCACGTTGTCCTTCAATCCTTCGACCCCATATCAAAGGTGAGCAAGAGGATTCTTACCAACATTTAATATTGATATATAATGATCCGATGGAATCGTAAACTTTTTGCTCTTAATTTACGTTTAAGCTAGCATTTAAGATAAATAAACCTTATTTGCTTAAAAAATTTCATCCACAGCTTATAAATTTATAAATAAGACTAGGTTTAGTATTGTAATCGTGATATTTTGGGGGCTACAATCTATCGTTATAGAATCCAAGTATTAGAAATACACAATTATGATTAAACTATGTTAATATGCAACATGCTTTCTTCGCTATTACTGCTAAAATATGAATATGAGTGCTTCTTTTAAAGATGTCTAGACTTTAATGGGTAAAATAACACTATATGAGCTATAAACATCTTAAAATGTTATAACTATATCAAAATATATTTTAATAGCGATTGTTTCCTTTACATTACACTCACAGATTTACAAAATGTGGCATTAAAAGACTCTATCGAAGGAGATATTGTCCAAAAGAATTTCGCTTGGATGTGTGAAATTATTAATACACCACGTTTGACTGATTTGCTGTACACTAAAACCATCCTAAATGATGACAATGTTCATAAAATTAATCAACAATCCAAATCAGAACAAAAAGCAGCAACATTACTAAATATTCTTATGCTATGTGATGTTCAGACATTTTATACCTTAGTAGAAACGCTTAAATTAGTCGATTCTGTCCATCAAAAACTAGCTCATATATTAACGAAAGAAGTTTACGAGAAACGTAAACAGACGCAAGTTAAACCGGCTGCTTGCATTATTTCCTAATTATATCATTTATAATAATTATTTGTGATAATCCATTAAGATAACGAACTATTATCTACTTATCGTAAAGTATGATGTAACGAATGGATTCTATATCATTCCAATGAAGAAACAAACATTCAATCTAGTTGAGAGTTGATACTTTGTTCTTATAGTAAATAGAAAATATATTTAAAATCTATCTATCTATTGGCATAATCGTATCAAGGTTAAAAAAAATATTTCTCACCATGAATCAGCAATCAATAAAATGGTATGATTTCATTTTATTATATCTTTGATGGGGATGAAAACATAGCTATAATATTATGCATATTAGAGATAAACTGTAGAAGGATATACCAATAGTGCAAGAACTCTTGAAATTTTGGCTATTTGAGATCTACAGTACTGAAGAGAATAAGAATATTACAATTGCCAAATATAACCGTAACTGGATCTTTAAATAAAAAATTTTGTTGGTGACTGCTACTGTAACTATATTGCAATATTGGTAAATTAAAAATTGTTGTAACTTTTTACTTTGAAGTCAAATTCCAGTTCTGATTTTTTTTAAAGTCAGATAGATGGATAAATTAAGAACTGCAATAAAATGTTACCAGAATACTCATATGAGATTATTGAAAAAATCTTTGATACTTGGTAGCATATATCTTCTTGGTTTTCAATATATTTTGATGAATTATATATTAGTAAAATTTTTATATTCAGTAAATTTCCTTCGAATATTTACTAAACTGAAAGACGAAATAGAAATGAAAATAAGAATTCATACCATACAGGCACAAAATTATTGGAATGTGTACTATGGATCAATACGGCATAAAGTTATTCTGCTCTATTATTCTCAATCATACTTTTCAAAATTAAATGCTCATAAAATCCAGAAATAATAAGCAATTAATGACAGGTAATAGCTTATTGACTATTTCTATTTTGCTTTCTATTGCTCAGCCTATGTTAATTAATTATGCATATGTTACGGTCTATAGACCGTAACATATGCATAATAAATTGCCATAGATCAGTTGATTACAGTCTGTAATTCAAACGCACAACTATAAGCTATGTAGTTTAGAAAAACTGGTATAATTATTTGATAAGGATTGATGACTAGGAATAAACTGTGTTGTAGTGATGCACTTCGTTTTTAACTATAAGGATAGCTATATTTGATATAGTTAGGTTACTAAGAATAGATATTATCGTGAAGCTAATATTAGATGATTGATAATTACTGCTGTATTTTAGAAATTCTAGATGACTAATATTAGGCTGTTGATTAATTATAGTATGAGATTTACGTGACTAGAAAAACTATAATTGTGAAGATGCCCAACACCGAAAGGTGCTGGACATTAATAGAGGAGTAGTGATATCATAAGTAGGACGATTCGGATTGTAGAAGATAATGATATTCTATTTGACAAAAGCATTCTCTTTGACGATTCAAATCTGATAGAAGATTAATTAAGTTGTTATAAATGGATTTGACGAAATATATTTAAGAAATGCTGAGATGAACTCATATAGAGAAAAGAGATTTCACTTCACTTTGAACTCAGAATACTTTAGATTTTAGACTAGATCCTGGTAGTAATTAATTATTGCTCTACCATTCCTAAAATCTTGTAATAAAGCCTTTTAGAAAATATCATTTGATTAAGACAGTCACTGTGAGACACTTTTATTACCGTATAGATTTAAAGATTTACGTACATTATTTTACACTACTTCTCAAATTTATCGCCGAAAAAAGAAGTCTAATATAAAGAAAATTGTTCTTATTCTTTGTACTTTTTTAGTATCAAGATTATGCATCCATTAAAATAACCGTATTGTTATCATGCAGCAATTACTCAGTTTATGATAGGTGAAGTTGGGCGGTTCAATTCTCAGATAAATAAGGCAATAATAGCCATTAGTGTAGAAGCTTTACTCGTCTTTATTCTTATGAATGAAATTTCACAAAACCCTAAAAATTTTTTTAACTTACTGTACTCTGCAATATCACGTAATACTATAAAAACAACTGACAAATTATTTTTATGGCCCATCTCGACCAAAGTAGAAATAAATTAGCCTGCTTGTGTTCTTCAGATTTGATATTACTCACAAAGGCGATGTTTTATATAAATGAAAAAAAATAGATTTTCTTTTAACTGCTAAATTATCTCAATGATTCCCTTCAGAACAGAAAAGTACCTTTACATTTTACTCAGCGTATATTCGTAAATAACTATAAATGTCATTATTTGTTATTTAGATGAATGTAAATGAATTTTCATTCTACTTGCTGAGAATATCATATGATATTTTTCAGAACAGAAAAACAACTAGTAATGTTACCCCTATGTGTATCTCATTAGCAATTTTATAAAATTAGATTTTTAGTATTGTACTTGCCGCACGCTTCAATTTTTATTTTCACCTATTAAAGAACTTCAATAGTACTGGTTATAATAAAAGAATATCCATTCATACTATATTATATAGTACTATATAATAAATAGTTGTCGACCTATTGTGCACGCAAGCCATTATCATTTTTTCGATATGCAAAACACGTAAAAAATTATTATAACTATATTTCTTCATCTATTTGCAAAGAACTGAAATTTATTTACTAGTTGGTGTTATAAAATAATAAACAACAATTTTGCTATTTAATGTCTAATATTCTTTTCAATAATAAAGATTAGTAGTAAGTGTAATTGCTAAAACTGTCTTTCCTTTCATTTCGAGATTCAGATTACAGATTTTCATTCACCTTAAAATAAATGGATATTAATATTTATAACAGCTAAGTTGGGAAGGTAGTAAGCTGATAGCACTAAAGTTTTAAACGTGTTTAAGGTATTACAGTATATGCTGTGAAGCAATGGAAAAGGGTCTTTTCCATCTTGTAGCATATACGAAGACCAATATTATATTAGTAGATTAAATTTTCATATACATATCTAATACTATTTTAACTTGTAAAGTACTAAATAACCTGACAATTTCTTATTACAAACGAGGACTATTATGATTTCTAAAGCAAAATTATGCTAATAAAATACGGTTTATTGGATATTAATCCATCGTATTTCTATCAATTGTTAACCTAATTAATGCTAATAAAAACAAATCAGAAATTAATCCAATTGTATTTCTCTTCATCAAGTCATTAAAAAAATTCTAATGCAAATACAGTGAGTCTTACATTATATCTAATTAATATTCAAATGCTTTTATAATATTGATTATACATAAAGTACGGTCATAAATAACTGTCTTCCTATTTATGATAGATGAAGATTTCTATGATATCTAATACCAAATATTGCTAATCAATATTAACCCAATTGTATTTCTTATCATTTAATTCATTAAAAATTCGAGAGCAAATATATTTACAATTAAAATTTAATCAACTTATTAATAGTCCATTTATATGCGCTTGCGTAGTGACCAGGTGTTCCCAGCTGTTGTTGCGGCACCTGTTGCCTTAGCAACAAGTTGCAGCATCTTCAATACAATCAATGATTACGACCTAGTTAGGTTGCTAATTGAGCGATTTCATATTAATGTAGTTGAATTGGCCTAGGCTAAGAGCTATCAAGAAGTTATACTATTTCATATACTCGGATAACTTTGGAATTGGATGCTAGTGTCACATTTTATTTTCCTTTAACTTGCAGTTAAATTAACCATCAGAAGTTGATTGTATTAGCAATATTTTTAATTCGCTAGATTATAAAGTCCTAGAAAATAATTCACTATTTAATATAAGATTAATTTACGTATCACTGTCACTCCTTCAAAATTGTAAAGATGTCGTCAACAACTATCCACGATCAGATGATTCGAAATAGACGAGAGAACCTGTATGGCATCAACAGAAAGCTAGAACAAAATGGTATAAAAACATTGCTACGAGAAGATCATGTCTTTCTACAGGGCGAATATTCTGGAGATCAGCCTGATATATTGTGGACTAGTGAGACAGCAAACGCCTATTTTAAGGTAATTTAGTTTCATCGTCTTGATAGAAAAGATAATCCTACATGCAAAAGAATCCAGCTTATCGTATGTTTAAATAGAGATCATCTCATTCTTCTTGCCAGGCTAAGAGTATTGATAAATATAATATGCAAACTGATCTCACACACTTGCTAATGTAGTAGAGACAGACTATAGTAAAAATGCATCTAAACTCAACTCTATTTTGATATAACTGTATCCACACCACCTATATGTTAGCACCGAACATTAGTATATATAACTAATGCAATCAGCAGTGGAAACAGAATAATTTATGTTGTTAATGAAATTATTTAATTATTATAATATCGCGAATGCTTTATTTGCCTAAACGACAATAAATTTCGGTGCGATCTAGGAGTATTAATGAATTAATAGCCAATCATAAACTCTAGTGACCAAAGCAGGCTGTCAGAATAAGCACAAATCACGACAAGGGGGTTATCATTTAAGTATGTTACTCTAAATACAAATTTGTAGAGCCATCCACCATTAATTTCCTTCTACAAACTAATATAATTATACTGTATAATGGCAGTAGACATTTGTAATATTTATGATTAATAGCGACTACTCTCTATATATACCAGATAGCCTTGCTGACTTAGTCTTTAGCACTCTGTAATCTGACACTTATTAAACGATCAAATTATTCTACTTAATGGACTTTCGCAAGTATAGAAGTCCGATTATAATAAATTAGTCTGTGGTCAGAGTATTGAGAAGATTATCAAATTATTTTTTATCATAAATTTATCAAGCTTAAACTGGATTAATACAGACCAATGCATGTGATCAAGCTATTTTCCGTCGTGATATTCTTAAGCTTAAAATTTGATTAATGTAAACTAACCTGATATTGCTAGCTGTAAAACGCAGATATCTCGTATAGAAGATATTCAGGTTCCATACTTTCTTACTTAGTACTTTAGACATTCAAAATAGCCATTAGGAGGGTACTGTATATCGGTGAATAACAGTAAGATTAAGTTACGGCTGAGTACGATGGGGTTAGCCAAAATTGTACATTATGCATTCAAAAATTTAACGAATCGTTTTTGCTTCGCTATAGAAATTATTATTATGAAAGCTGCTTATGTGCACACCTCGCAAATAATTATTCTCGAATAATTCTTAAATTTTTTATCGCTACGATAGTGATTGTAGTATATAAATGAAAATTTTCAACCGAACCTCTCGTTTATAACAATCATATATAGTTTCTAAATTTAAATCATGAGAGTTGAATTGATTACGCTAGTAGTATTCAAAATACGAGTTGCTGGGATCGAATGCATCAACTACCTAAGACTTTCATGTGATAGAACAAATCTGATTTTTTACTTCATAACTTTAAACTCTATAGCAAAGGGCCGTTGAAAATACTACAAGCGATGAAAGAAAAAGAATATCTAAAAAATTAGTGGTGAGTATATTACAGAAAGCGATTGCTTAATACCACTAGATGACCGAGAATTCTGTTTGGTACTAATTTTTTCGTCATTAAATTCTAGGCTACAACCCATTTTAAGCTTGGATCAGATTATGATGCTTATAAGCAACAATCCCTTAATAAAGATGATTTCCAAGCTAAAGCATATTCTAAGGTAGGGTACAGTATGGAGACCAATGATTCGTAATATTAGAAGATTTTGCATATTGAATTACCATGTTATTACAAGATTGAGCTTTTCTTGCTAAGATTGATCATCATAAAATCAATGATTGAAATCATAATATAATTTGACATACTTTTAACAAATATTGCAATAATTCATTATTCGTTATATAGCTAATCCAAAATATTACATAAAATGACATTTTGGTGCATTATACGAAATAGTTGTCATATTTTAGTCTAATTTCTTTCTAGTATCATTCGATCTTAAAATCAACCTATTATCAAATATAGTTAATAAGGAGCCCTAGCGATACTAAAAGAATCTAATGTTTTATAATTACTTTCAATTTAAACAGCTACAACCACTACGACAGGAAATGAGTAAAAGTCATATTAATGTAAGTTCATAATTAATGTATCTATTACTGCATTAGATAACAGTTTATTCTGCAATCATAATTTTACACGAAAATTATTTACCCATTTCTACTAATCGATCTAAAATATTAATATAGAATCAAGTTAGATACTTATAATAAATAATTAGACAAAGAGACAGATACAGCTTTAAATAAAATTTTTTACTACTATAACACTATAGGAATTAACTGGCCAATATGCAACAGAAAAAAACTTTGGTAAATCGGTCTATAGTGAGAATTATACTCAGGATGAGGTATAGTATTATTGCGTTGAAAGATTTTAAGATTATCTTACTATTTTTACAATACCTATAGGCGTTAGTATACTCTATTATCATTCAATATCATTTTAAACAGGCATGGCAAAAGTGGAAAAATGATTCTTCAAATATCAGTAAAGATACGACTAAAGAAGAAACACGTGAACTTATTAAGAACTTGAGATCGACGCACTTTTCACTAGGCAGTGATCCCTCAGTTAGGTAAGCCCTCCAAATTTTCTAAATGCTTACCTTCCGTATCCCTAACTAGAATAAATTAATCAAGAAGTGATGAGTATTTGCAACTTGCACTATCCTTATCATTGTCATAATGTTATTTCACATGCTTATTTATACTAGATTCGAAACTCAAAGTAAAAATGATTACGTTAAGCTCCCATTTGTTGCCCATCAAACTCCTGTTGGCTCTAAAACTCTACTTAAAAGCGGCCAATCGCATGTTTTTCGAGATGGTGATTACAATCGCGATCATAATCTGGCTACAAAACGATCGACTATGACCCGTGATTTTCGTCATAATGAGAGTAAATCGAGTAATGCAACAGCATCAGCTCTTTCTGGAAAGCTTGATCCAAGAGATTTTAGTTTCAAACATCAACTTAATTCTGCGGATATTTATGGGTATATAATCGAAAGATAACTTCCTAATTCAGTAGCTTTACTTCGATTACTTGTTAGCTTGTTCTGATGTTTAGAATTCTTCCCGTGTATATCAAAATATAACCGGATACAATTGCAATCTATGGTTTTAATTTTTAGTAATTTTAATTATATCTCAAAGATCCTTAGTTATCTTATTTAACCGTTTTTATTCATTTCTGGGTGATATAATAGGAGTGGATTTCTACCTATAGCCACATTAAAGGAAATATGCAAGAAAATGAATCTGCAATTAAGTGATAATGAGTTTGCAAGCATCATCACGATGTGAGTTGAAATTTCAGTGTACTTCATCATTTCCTATTAATAAATTACCTTAATTTTTCCTATTAGGTGTGATGTAAACGGTGATGGAAGCATCGATCATCAGCAATTCGCTAATTATGTCCGAAGTAAATCTTTAATATATTTTGAATTATATTGATTCGATCCTATTTGCCTAAAATAAATATATAACGGGTCTTGATGCTTGCTTGCAGACGTCTTAAATCGAAGAGATGACGAAGTATTGGTGAAAAAAATAAAAAGTGGCTATATAGGCCATCAAGAAGGTGACCGATCGAAGAATTTTCACGAAATCCATAAAATGAATATAGCCCACAACATTACAGTAAGTTGCAGAAAAGATCTAAATTGAACAGTTTAGTTTGACTCTGTAGAAGCTAATCGGTTTTGATATAAATGAATTTTCTGCTCCTTCGATTTATAAGTACTAAACAATACATAACTACGTGGATTTACAAAATGTAGTTATAGTAGATATGGATAGAAATTACGCGATTGAAGATACCAATACGCACATTTAGTATATCTAGCGTATAATTAATTAGGCTGGTTACCCAATAACCTAGAATAGAATTTTTATATTTCTTTCATTAAAAGAAAAATACATTCTGAAAATAAAATTCGTAAAATAGAATAGACTATAACTATAGTTTACAGTTTGTTTGAAGAGTTATAAAATTCTTAGTGATAAGAAAAATTAACTCGCTATTCCTACGATGATCGTGGTGGATGAAGAGTATAAATTATTTATAGTTTGTTATTTGGCAATTACATCATGAATTAGTGGCATAGTGCATACATAACTATTACAAAGATAAAGAATTTCATATTCTTATATATTGACGATTCGATAGGCTAATTTGCAAGTTTAGTATTAAATTAAAATAATTTCTGAATTGATAGAATAACAGTAGGACAAAATTCAATGTCATAGACGCCAAACTTTTTCTAACTAGTATAATTCAGTATGAAAATAGCTTACCCTTTATTTCTTACTAATGTGCAATTTTAATTTTTCTGTTTTTTATTAGTTTGGTAGTACTGATGCAGGCATGGATTCCACCTATTTTAAAGGTAGGAAAGTTAAAGAGTTTGAAAATCTGATATTAAATTTGTTCACATCAATACGAGATAGTTCAATTCTCTACTAAATGAATTGATTCTATAGCATTTCGAATACATGCACATGCTTACACTTTCCTTATTTAATCTCTTCTAGATTTCGCTGTTGATCATAAAATTGCGCGAAATAAAGCTTTTAAAGCTCCTACCGATTCTCAATTCATGCATATCGATGAGCATGAGTATTTATCATCGCAACATCAATTAGAATTTGTTAATCATGCAAGCAAGATTACGCCTGAAGCGGTAAGTTTTTGAAATAAAGCAATAAGATAAATCCCATCATGCTCCAATTCAAGAAATTTTAAATTCGGTTGCTATTCTTTACGTAACTATTAGAAAGCACAACAAGCGAAAGAAATAGAGAATGTCAGAAGTAAACATGTGGCTCAAAATATTAAATTATCATGTAATGATGACATCGCTAAAGAGGATAGAATCCAATCAGGTAAAATCAATGTCGAAGTCAAATTCTTAATTTGAGCTATCAGAAGATTAGGTATTTAATTTTAGTGAGCCAAATGAAACATTAGTAAAGAAATTAAATCTGTTTGATCAAATCTTAACCAATAGTCTCATTTCAACGGATCTCTTTGATTTAAATCAACGAACCAATACTTATTTACGGCACTTATTATCATAGTCGCTAAATCTATGTATCATTCTGTTGAATTAGCTTCTAAGTTTATTCCTCAACTAGATGATACTAAGCTGGATATGCATTAATAACTCTAATTAAACTCTTACTAAAACAGTAAGCCAAGCGACATTCAAAGGATATGATGGCACTCACAAGCGAAGTCCAGCTGATCTTCTCTCCTCTAAATACAATACCTTCAAAGAAGATGGTTTTGATTACCTTCCACCTTCAGAAGCTCAGCAAGCCTATGTACCACCTATTGGTGACATAAGTCAAAGAATCGCTCTATTAAAAGAGGAACGAGCTAACCAGAAAGTAATGAAAGGGAATGCAATTGGAACACATTTTATTCTTGGATCCGATCCAAGTGGACGAATATCTGAACACGTAAGATAATAATATAAAAATGTTACCATTTCCAGCTTGACAGTTATTTTGATATCCTTTGTCGAATACGTACAATTTATTGCTCTATCTATGACTAAATCTTAGCTTAATTCTTGAGTAAATTTTTATCCTAAAAATTATCACTGGCATACATTAATTATGTAGCAGTAGAATAAGAACCAGAGTCTTAAAAGTAGAATCTAAGTAGTATCAGTCATCACGCAATCAGCTATGATAGCATGTCTTAAATACTGAATTTGCTTTATAACTACCTTATTTTAGGACGAAAATTACAATTATACTTGGGAAGATATGAAAAATGTTAAAGCTGCTGGCGTCATTGATAAAGCTGTTGCTCCGCCATTTACCCATCTAAATTACAGGTAAATAAAGCTCTTTAAGTAAATTATTGGTGGTGGTAGATATCATTGCCATAATCAATATAATTCATATTATAAAGATTTACTCAAGATACTATTATGGATACCTATGCTAGTATAGATGTCTAACTTATCCTAGTTCGTTCCTTCCATCTGTTCTTTCGTATCCTGTACTCTATCATTGCTACTTATCAGATTTCACGCTCCCAATATCTATCGCCTATTATATTTACTGCATTCTATTACCAGCTAAGATTATTATTGATAGTATTTAAATAACTATTAAATCTGGAATCAGGATAAATTAACATTTTACGTATGATTATATTTTTTATATAGTGATAATGTCGAGATTCGAGATGAAACTGAATTGGACGAAGCAACACTGTTAAAAAATCAATTAGTTGACGAAGCGCGAGTAAAATACCTAAATCCAAGAGATCCTTTAAATATGAACATTAGAAGAGCATTCCTTGAATATGATGTTGATGGGTAATGGAAAATTAAAAAGATATAAAATAAGTGGTTGATGCCTTCACCTATTCTGCTAATTCGCTAGCAAATTCAGTAGTAGGGGACAATAGTCAGCCGTATCTTAAAATTTGAAGTTTCTATATAATCTTTCTTATATTTATATTTTTATAGATCTGGCACAATTGATCGATCAGAACTGCAACAAGTCTGTAAAAAACTAAACCTGGTTATAAATGAAGAATTGCTAGATAGGCTTATGTCAGAGTAAGAGTTAATATTAGCTTAAATAATTCCATGTTGCGATGAATAGAAACTCACCTTTTTAATCCTGATATTATATTTTTAACGTCAAATTATAACTACTCTTAGGCATCATTTAAAGTTTGCTGATCAATATTGTTTCCTGTAGGTACGACACAAACGGTGATGGACAAATTGACTATAGTGAATTTACAAGATATTTAATCAAGGAAAAGGTTCCTTTAGGGATTAAAAAAACAATCCTAAAATCCGTTCAACAAGATGACTTCAAGCCATTAGACCAGCGAAGGTAGAATCAAAATATTTTGATTATTAATATTAATTGATCTATACATACACGATTCGAAGAAAAAATAATATCAGCAGCTAATCTGCACTAATCCTCAACCTTTACTGCAACATATATGCTTATGCCAATGTTATCGAATTATTTTGATTTTTATAGTTGGACGGAAGCTCAAATACGTAATTTTGAAAGTAAGAAAAAAGAAGAACTTATCCCCTTAATGGATAGCCATTTCTATGCTGGTAGTTATGAAGGTAACTGAAAAATATTTTAACATGTGTTACGGAAATAAACACTTCAAAATTATGCCAATCATGCATTCTAACGATGAAATATTTATAAAAATATTCTGCAGAACCGGTAGAATCAATTACTAAAACGGACTTCGTCAGACCGGAATACATGCAAGGTAAGCCATCCTGATTCATATTTAATTCTAACAAAAATATGCAGATTTCTAATAACTTAAATGATCTTCTTATGCAGATAAAACTGTTTATCGTTCGAACTAAACCGAAATATGTTGGGAATAATATAATAACAGTCTCGAAGATGTATTACGATTATAGTGACGCAATTTTAGATGACGTTTACCAGATGTCTTTTATATGTATTATTAAACTCTTTAATGTTTTCAATTTACATAAATTCAATTAATCATTAACGGCGTACTGTTATACGTACAAAACCAGACAATAATGCCAGAGTGGATGGCAGGCATAATTTTTGCAATATACATATCGAAATATACACGCATATGATTTACTGTACAATAGAAATAGATAATTACTTGTGCCAGAACGACATTAAATTAAATGCAAATGTCAACTTCATAACATAATTTGATAATTTATGCAGTAATTAATCAAATCATATTTACAAAGTAACCACGGTTGTAACTATATTATCGCCGAAATTTCAATAAATTTTTGTTACCATCATATTAATTCGACATTATATAAAAGTTTATCAAGTAGACAGGCAAGCTTGCTTAATTAGTTTCTCTCTTTCCGGTGGTATGCAAGTATTTATTAAAAGTGATCTATCATTACCCTCTAAAGGCTTTACGTATCTGAATATGTCTGCTGCCCATACCTGAAATATGAAACAATTACAACTCAGCAATTTCCAAATTATTTGAAAGCATAATCTAGAGAATAACTAAAACTTAGAAATCTACTACCTCTCCTTCATGCTGACATATTTCCTTGATCATGTACTCCCTAGTGGACAAATTATCTTCTCCACCTTCGAATATGAAATGACTCACATGGTGTACAGCTACGACATATAGAATTGGTGACCAGGCAGGCCTGCATTATAACAACTTTTCAGTTCAAGCATTTTATATTTGTCTCATTTTTGGTAAAACTGTACTTAATAATAAACAGATGACTTTTTAAAACAGAATACAGCTACTCCCTACCTAAGAGACTTTTGTGTTAAAGCCCTTAAATATTTTTTAACAAGTATTACGTCAGTTTCATTTGGCGTTAAATAAAGTTCCAGATCAAATAAAAGCTATAAAAGTAGTACTAGAATTAGTTTTGATGAAAATGTCATCTAAAATTTTCTTAAATGCATTACTGGTTGTTTACTAAATAACAATCTATTAATATATGTTACCTTGTTTAATGGCAGACATAAGTGCCTTATAATTCCTACATATTCACCCCATACCAAATGTCGCAGCCTGTGATCACAATGTTGCTGCAAAGGCAATAGGATGAATGTAGCAAACAGATAATCACCAAAAGAGACTGCGTCATACTGAGTGAGTAATGATACATACCTGTTTCAATAATAATCAAATCAAAATGGCTTAGTACAATGACGGTTTCTACGGATATGTTTTATGAACTTACAAATCATAATAAGATGTGATTCCCGGAATAGGAGCCATGAAGTTGATACTAGATAACTGATTACTTTGTACAAAAATACGCAGAAGAACTTCCAGGTACAAATGTATTGTTTGTTGAAAGAATAAGTCACTCCCTAACATTTCAAGATGAAAGAAATTATTAGGTTACATAACCCTACACCAATGTAAGTAGGTGTAATTGCAATAAAATTCCAATTGCATAAACATGTATTCAATGCTATATTTCTAGCTTACCAATGAGGAAAGTGCACGATAGCCGTGCAATTTTAGCGGTAATGTCAATCGAAGCCATATAACTAGGATACCAAATCTCCAATAAGAAGATAAGGCGTAGAGTATTTACAACTACACCCTCCGCATCAGATGTAGCTCTAACGGTAGCACAATTTTCTCCGTCTTGCACAGCATCACTAAAAGATATACGCATATTATCGCACCGCATAAAGTATTTAGCTAACATTTATACTATCTGAATGCAATAACTCACTCATTTAATGAAGCATTGTATAAATCAATAAGAGGTAAAAACATCCAATCAATAGGAGTTATAGTTGCATGGGGATAGGTAATGATTAAAGAATCAATTTCGAAAGCGTTGGAGTTAAGGAGATTGCTAAAAAGATAAACAATAGATAGAAACTCAACTTGTTAATAATATCCTTTAGATAATTATCAAATAGTACTCTATTACATCGATTTCTGCAACGTGGCGCTGTCTTTCCTAAAATATTGTATAATCAAGCCACGAATGGACTGTAAATGGCTAATAGCATCATCGATTGTTTTGGTAAAGTTTGAAGGGCAAGTAAGTGATTCTGAGGCATCCGTTGAGGTCAGTGTTTTCGCAAATAAGTGGCTGAGGGTATCTGTATCATAACGCACATTACCAACTCTATATTGCATAGGAAGAAATTTTTAGGCTTTACTGGAAAATATTTAATGAATAATATCGCGTTATACGTACAGGAAACCACGACTTTCAATTAAGTGATTAGATGCCAAGTCGAATACAATGTGTTCATCGCCACGCAAAGCTTCACTTAAGATGAACAACACCGTTTTTTGATAAATTTCTCGGTGCACCGTTAAATCACTATCATCAGTGGAAGCCTATCCAAAGTTAAAATAATTTCATTAATAAATTGCTCAAGCGATGTAGGAGGGTCACTTGTAGTTGATTTATTACGAGACTTACGATAACGTTATATAATTTCACTAAGTAGTAATTTAAATGGATTCTTGGCCTATTTAGATAACCTGATATTCCACTCTGTTAGCGTTAGGTTAAATCAATAAATGTAATTGTTAAAAATTTATGGTAAATTTGTATTAAATTTTTGATTATAAAATTTAATTTACTTTCGTCCTATCATATCTGCTTAACGCTATCATAAATTCCAGAATCTCAGGACGTAAGCATAACCATTTAAACTATGATAAAAGTAAAAGTGAAAGTATAGCGTTAGTAGTAATGAAGTGAACACTAATAAATTAGAGTTTATCGAACCTTCCGTGCTAGTCCTCGATGGAAATTTATAATCGAGAGAGCAAGACGCAGTAACGTACTATACAAATCGCAGAAGCAACCACAGGTAACACATAGGTGATTACATGGATATGCATGTAGAAAACGTGGCAAACTTGCAATCTCTTTCATTTGATGATCGGAACTATTATAGTTGTAGCTCAAATTTCTGCAAATAACAGGGCTTTAAGTTACATTCCAAGATACACACGTACACGTTATAAATCAAATATATCAACAAAAAATAAATTATAATTATGAGAGCAGATAGGAGTTTTAATTTACTTAAGAGACTGCAAAAGGCTAGAAAACAATCGACTCTCAGATATTTTGCACAGGAAATTATTAACAAAGCTTTCCATTTCTTCTAAATTCTCTATTACATTCTTATTTTGAGTCATCTGTAAACAAAATAACAGTAACCAAGAGAGATATAAAATAAAGTTATTTACAGCATATCTTACATACCTGTCGTTTTAGTCCCTCAATAAATGACGAAATAACTTGCAGTGAACTGGTTAGGAGACTCAACGCTTCTTCCTGTATAAATTAAGATTTAGGTAATATGTTAGTAAATAAAGCTGGGAATAGAATAATTAACGAGAAATCCATTAACAAACGTTTTGAGTATTAAAATGATATATACCGTCACAGTATCCTCGGTAGTTTTGTAAAATTCAGTCAACCATTTCTTAGCACAGTCAGAGATTACATCTACTACTCCAATAACTTTATTCCATTCAATTGTTGACTGCGACACATTACGTTCAAGAGTTTTTATCTGGTCTACCTTTAGACTGGCTAGTCTCACAAATTTTTCAACGAGTCTTAGCAGCTCTGACAGAAGGAGCTGATCAATTTGAGAGCTATTAACCAACTGGCAAGGAAACAGCGTTACCCGATAGAGTGATTGAACTTTGTCCATAATGATACTAAAATAGTCACTGCAACAGAAGAGAACTTTGTTAATTTATTAGGTAGTTTCTACAAATTCGTAGGTTTAAAACTACTCTTCGATAAGCATAGAGATACGTACTCAAAGGAATTGGAAGCTATTCCATACTGTAAACATACAGTCCACGTCTTTAAACTCTCTTTAAATAACTTGCAAGCGCGCTCGCTCGGCAATTGTAAAAAAGTGGGAGATGTTGCGACGAAGCGCACAATGCGTGCAATTAAATCAAATTGAGTGACCTGAGTAATTAATAAATGTGCATTAAGTTCACCATCACAAAAATTTAAGAAATAACCCATCACTAAGTAATAGATTAGCTACTATCTATGACATATTTGAATTAATACCAATGTCGAAGTGATGTTTCGTCCTGCGGTACACAAAATTCTGACTAATTTCATTGCCTCCCATAATGGATAGCCGTGTAACTGCGATACGGAATCATCAGATTCTAGTTCTTTCCATGACATCGGTAAGAAATTGTCTATGATACATTTCATTAAACCCGGTTCACGTAGTACCTATTTAAATGAGAAGACTTGAAATAAATATTTCAAAGGTCGTAAAGGAAGGTGATAAGTCAGGCATTTGATGGATTTTATAATTAGCCGTACATTATCTGCGAGTTGCAGTGAGTGACGGCCTATCTTCCATAGAATCTGTAAACAGCTGATAACTTCATTAGCACCGATTTGACAAGTCGAAAGTACATATCTTGCTCTTGGAAGAAAATCCATCCGTACTAAGCCCTAGTTATCATCATAAAGTGGTGAATTAAGGTATAATTTACTTAGACTAAGTTAGACTAGAAAATTGTAAATTTTAGAAGTAACACTTACCGAAATTACGTCATTATATACAAGGTCAGCATCGGTAATCTGAGATTTTTCGTTTTCTTTTAAATCTGTAATACCAACAGCTGGTTCAAAAGCTGGAACTTCGTACCCTCGATAGAAGGATGATATTCTGTCTAGACAATGCTAAAATAATTTATTTCATTTGCATTAAATTACAGAGGTATTTGAATACAAATACACAAAAATATCAAAGCACTCAACCTCGTCTTCTTCTTTGACCACTAGAGCCCTTATAGCGTGTAATGAAGAGCTAATAACAGCTAAGGTGTTATCATCAAAACTCCATCGTAACAGAAAAAGGACTCCAGCATCAAGTAGATTAGGGATTATTGGTTCTGATTTGCCACGGTATTCATCTCTGTGATCCTAATACAAAATAACTGATACGTTACAATTATTCTTTATCGTGTGTTTGATGTCAATCTTCTGATAGAAAAGAACTACCTTGTCAAAAATATGAGCTAAAGTTGTCAGTCCTATAACTTTTTGTTGAGCAAGGCTACTACGAGTTAAAATAAATAGTTCTTCAATTGTATAACCAGCAGCATCAGGTTCCAGGCCGTGGTGATGTAAACCAACATGCATTGGTACATTGCTGTCTCTAGCGATTAATTCTCCTTCAAAACCAAATCTAGCACTCTCTCCATCTTCTAGGGTACCTTTCACCTTATCTTTTGTTTGTGCAAGCATCCACTGTAACTTTTCCTTTTCCACACGTTCGGTATGAACACAATTATCATGAATATGTAAATGTTCTTCTAATTAATATAAAATCAACATTAATTAATTAAGATCATGACCAGAACATATCCATACTGTGCACAGAAGTAATACTGGTTATACCATTATCAAGTTCAACATCCATATCATGGCAAGTATCATCGTTCTTTGATTTGTTATCTATATCCATCGATTCTACTACTACCGTCCTATTCGTAGTAATATTTTTATTAGGCCTTTTCTTTAATAGTTCAACAAGTTTCGGATCTAAAAATTGCAATCAATACCCATTAAAATGTAAACGATGCAATCTTTTTATTATACATTCTGTTAAATCTTATTTTAAATAGCTTTTACCCATTGACGTCATTAATTTCGATTGCTCTGCAAGAATATCATCTTTGGTCATGGCTGACATCTTGTGTAAATTATCTTCGTGAATTCTTTTAACTTCAGCTTGTACATCAATGGCTTCATTGCTTTGTAGACCTTCCCCAGTAATTAATTTACTAATTGCTGCTATTGGAGTGTCAGTTTTAGAACTTGCAACTACCGTTACTTTTATCGTATCATCATCAACTCCGACTGCCTTGGTAGTTGAAGCCATAAATTGTCTAGCAAATAAGCTACCCCCGGCCTTTGCATCGCTACTAGGCTAGTAATTGTAGGTATGCAGATATTCGTAAGATATCAAGAGTCGATAGTAATACGATGCAGTATCTATCAATAATTCTACATTGAAGTAGTTTTAGAAGATAAAATCTAATACTATATTTCAATTCATTAAATTAATTCTTAGTATGTAGTATGATACCTTTCTTTCATTTGCGAAAGTACGCGTATGTCGATGCAATACAGAAGGAAACGCTTGGTTACTTTGATTCGGAAGCTTTATAGGGATACTAGTAGTATCTTTTTCCTATAGTGAAGTAATACCGTAGATTTACTTAATCATATAGAAATTCATGCGGATTAATTAACAGATAGATTGTCATTCTTAGAATTTGCATACCTTGATAGCATCCGTAAATGCAGTAGTAAAATGATGTTTCTTGTCATAGTCTGATAATAAATACAACAAAACGTAACATTAATAAATACTAACAGAAATTAATCCTCGAGAAAAATAAAGTAGGAGTTTGATTAATCAATTCGCAATTTTCACCATCTAATCGACGATCAGGGTCAATATTATCTTCGTTCTATAATTGTATAGTGAAAGCATGTCAATAACAAGTTCGATCAAGTAGCTACGATATAAAATAAGAAAACTGATAAATCATTTCATGTTTTATAGTGAGTAGTACACCTAGCTATGCACACTAATTATAATAGTTAATGATCCAAGTCTCCAGTGTGAATTACTCCCGTAGGCTCACAGTATACTGTATACAGTATGTATTTAAATACAGTAGTTCCACTATACTGCATGTATATCAAGGCCATCATATGTATTTTATCATTGAAAGAAAAATTACAATTCAGTATGCTAACAGTCGAAGTACTTTATGCCATAATATTGCTTCAAAAATTTCAAATGACCTACCTTATTTTTACGTTTTCCAGCTACAAATTTACTTTCCCTTATAGGAAAAGTCGAAGGACCTAATAGAAGGAATTTATTACGAGAAACAATATAGTAAGTAGGTTGGATTAGTTAAGAGCAAAACTGAAATACTCATAGTCTCAATAGGAGGTTTAAGATCGATTTAGGACCTTTAATGATATCGGTTATAGCAAAATGCATCGACGGCCAACGTGCAATATTTTAGCTTGATATAAGAGGTAATAGCAATAAACTGTTAGAACTGCACCCGCTCATCAGTATTTATTGCATGCCATAATTTGAATTGGGGTTCAAGTAATATACAGCTACTCAGTTCATCACTGACATTACTTATACCTCTTTCCTATCTTACTAATTGTAAATTATTATTTAGAACGTAAGGTATCATTAATAGCAACTCCCGCAGTGACTGCAGTTGTTGAATAGTATAGAAATACATATTAATTACAACGCCATTTATAGCATAAATTCCACATACTCAATTATATTAGTACAACTATCTCACAAAGAGTAAAACTGCAACGTTATGTGCCTACGAGTAATCTATCCTAGAGTGAGAAGCTAACCGGAAATATCGCCCTGTGCTGAATGATCTGGAGGTGTGGAGAATAGCTGGACAACATCTCGTTGCGCTGATTGCGATTCTGATTGCTTGACGACTTTTACAGACGATGCTGATTGATTTCGTAAGAAAGTCTCTTGATATTTAAGAAGATCTTCTTCAGTTTCATCCTTATTTGGCCTCTTTAGCATGATTCTGTCTACAACGATTAACACTTTGAAAATTATAACTTGTCAATAGGGATTGCTGCAGTGATATCGACGAAATCAAGATCAGAACTAGACCATGAACTCCAGGATATAATTACTGTAGTAGTGTATGACTAGGACATTATTTCTATAGTAATAGGAAGCTTTTACTTAATATATCGTGCTACAATATAGCAATTATACTATACTACCAGACAGTATACTATGTACATTGTACAGGTCCAAAAGCGAGCCGTCTGCGGGTCCGCATGTCTGTATACGTACAGCAGGCTAGCTTTCAGGATTTTTTGCAGCTGGAGAACTTCTCCATAGCAGCATAAATCAACGGGAAATGAAAAGACGTTTATTCTTCTATTAGTGAAAAATAGTCTCCATTGAGTTTTTCTGTAGAAATTTGCAATTGTAGGCTGCATAATGACATTAGATGTTATGATGTATGCTTCATATCAACCTTCAGTAGCTGGAGTGTAAGCCCCTAATTTGAGATAAAGATTTTGAGGCTTTTCTTTTTTCCCATGATCTTTTGAATAGAATGCTGTACTGCAAGTTACTGTTTACAACCATGATGTCTATGTAAGTACAATACTGTAGGCTATCAATTGTACTTACTGTTGGAAGATTGAAATCGAATATCGTATGCGATACTACCCTTGATAGCTAGCGAACCAGCCAAACTTGAAATTCCACCAAGCCTAAAGGCTTGGCTTTGCTATCTATTGACAGCTTTTGCAGCAATTAGCTGACCTCGAGCTACCGATCATGCTAACTTAGTATGCAAAGATTACCTGGCTACATTAGTAGTGTTTCCTTATTTAGTTAAAAGTACACTAGAGAAAGACTTCAATAAGACCAATACAACATGTCGTAGCTTATCAGCAATAATGTGCATTAGAATGATAACTAAAGCAATTACACTCTACATTGTATATCGCACTAGGGAGTTTATAACTCGGTCTTGTTTTACTGCAGTTGTCCCTTATATTATAATATCAGTAAATTTAGGCTCATGACTGCGAATACAATAGTGGAATCTATCTAGAGTACGGTGTAGTAATAGCTAAAATAAATAATTAATAAGATAGTTATTTTATGGTAGCGATTGCAACTTACAAAGAGCGTAGGTTTTGACCCTTGAGACAAAACTACAGTAGAGTACTGCACTGTTTTGGATATTGTGCATATTGCAATCTCTACAAGCAAGAATAAAACCGTTTAAAACAGTGGAATCAACGTCAGAAATGTCTCATTATCTGGGAATAGTATTCATTGCAGTCTAAGCTATCTTTCCATATTAAATAAATAAACAAAATTGTGCAATGATCGTCACGTAATATAGAAATAACAAATCTGAAGATGGCTGGATCAATTTCTTAAAATCAAGCTGAAAGACAGAACTGAAGTGTAATAATTTCAAGACGAGAAGGATATGATTTATTTTGAGTAGACAAAAATTAAAAATTATCCGTTATGGAAGCTATAAAAAAGCAGAAATTTTTCTTGTTTTATACAGATGTTGCAGTACATCTCATTTGTTCAGCTTCAAGGCATGATAAAGTACACAATAAGTCAGTTTTAAAATTCTGAGAGATACCATGTTCCAGATACAATATTCCTGTTCAGAATTGAAGTCGAGATCATACTGTAGGTACTGTACTACAATATAAATTAATTATAATGTAAGACAATACGACGTATGCTTTTTAGTTCGCTGTTGTAACTAATAGGGTAACTAATAGAGAACGAATATACGATAGTATCAGAAAATGAGACTATTGACGCTTTTTGGATTGGTCACGCCATAATGAGAAAGAAACATAAGAACAGTACAGAGCCCAAAGAAGACCTATAGACGAGAGCTGGCCGGCAGTACGATTGATATGTGCGAAAAGGGAATGATAGGTCGCGGCAAAAGCAGTTCCAGCTAGGCTGTCCACTGTCGCTAGGCCTAGACTCCTTGTCCGGAAGACAATAATAGGCCATATTGCAATAGAAACTAAAGAGCCACCATAAGCCATTAAAGCACGCGTAGCATCTTCATCTCCATCTCTCCAAACAAGGTAAGATGAATATCCAACGGCAACATTAACCGAAGCCCACAAGGGGCTAAACATCCATCGTGGAGGATAGAGGAATGGTCTCTTCAAGCTAGTGTACCACTCTGCTTCGACATCCTCTTTCCTTGGTTTAGTTATAGACATAACCACAAAGGGAGTTGCCACTGCAATAGTGATTTCCATCCACGGTTGCATGATTATTTCCTTGAATAAGAATTTCTCGTCAAATATCCTCTAATTATTGTGATAATAATTGATCAGAAATATGCAGCTGTTTGCTCAAGATGCTCGCTTGGTCGTTAATATTGTTAGCCGATCAAAGTAATAAACAAAATTCTGCTGGACCAGAGTCTATAATACAACTCCCTGGCAGTATTTGTACATGTACTATCGACTATGCTCTATTAAGTCAGTACAGTAAAGTATAGTATTGAATGGTTAGTAGTACACTATCGCTATGCTGTATTGTAGTTCAACCACATGAGTCAACATCGATCAGTTATGGCATCATGTTTAACCCAGGTAAATGTTTACACATGGACAACTAGAACTACAGTGCAGTATGTGCCATGGACTACTAGAAGAAGCCTCTACGGTAGTAGTCCATGAATATACAGTACAATGTACATTGGACGTCCATGTAGTCTCCCACTGAGCAAACTAGAGAGATAATTAATCAATCCACTATGTTAACTCTATGGTGCTGACACACAGACGAAATCCAATCAATCAACTATCATTTTTGCATGTGGAGGAGGGTTTAGTAATCTCTGTAGGAAGCTACTGCAATCTTATTTTACCATAGCACAGTAACAGCAGCCAGTGATAGACGAAATCAAATCAATCAACTATCATTTTTGCATATAGAGGAGGGTTTAGTAATCTCTGTAGGAAGCTACTGCAATCTTATTTTACCATAGCACAGTAACAGCAGCCAGTGATAGACGAAATCAAGTCAATCAACTATTATTTTTGCATATGGAGGAGGGTTTAGTAGTCTCTGTAGGAAGCTGCTGCAATCTTATTTTACCATAGCACAGTAACAGCAGCCAGTGATAGACGAAATCAAATCAGTTAACTATCATTTTTGCATATGGAGGAGGGTTTAGTAGTCTCTGTAGGAAGCTACCGCAGTAGTACTAGTAGTCTCTGTAGGAAGCTACTGCAATCTTATTTCATCATAGCACAGTAACAGCAGCCAGTGATAGACGAAATTAAATCAATCAGCTATCATTTTTGTATATGGAGGAGGGTTTAGTAGTCTCTGTAGGAAGCTACTGCAGTAGTACTAATAATCTCTGTAGTAAGCTACTGCAATCTTATTTCACCATAGCACAGTAACAGCAGCCAGTGATAGACGAAATCAAATCAATCAACTATCATTTTTGTATATGGAGGAGGGTTTAGTAGTCTCTGCAGGAAGCTACTGCAGTAGTACTAGTAATCTCTGTAGTAAGCTACTGCAATCTTATTTCACCATAGCACAGTAACAGCAGCCGGTGATAGACGAAATCAAATCAATCAACTATCATTTTTGTATATGGAGGAGGGTTTAGTAGTCTCTGCAGGAAGCTACTGCAGTAGTACTAGTAATCTCTGTAGTAAGCTACTGCAATCTTATTTCACCATAGTACAGTAACAGCAGCCAGTGATAGACGAAATCAAATCAATCAACTATCATTTTTGTATATGCAGGAGGGTTTAGTAGTCTCTGCAGGAAGCTGCTGCAATCTTATTTCACCATAGCACAGTAACAGCAGCCAGTGATAGACGAAATCAAGTCAATCAACTATCATTTTTGCATATGGAGGAAGGTTTAGTAGTCTCTGCAGGAAGCTACTGCAATCTTATTTCACCATAGCACAGTAACAGCAGCCAGTGATAGACGAAATTAAGTCAATCAACTATCATTTTTGCATATGGAGGAGGGTTTAGTAGTCTCTGCAGGAAGCTACTGCAATCTTATTTTACCATAGCACAGTTCCGCAGCTAGTGTTGGCTGGCGGTAGGTTATCACCGCGGTTAAATAACTTCAAAATTCAGCCCAAAAGTACAATTGAATTCAAATAGTTGTAACCCAGGTCAATCAACCACGCATCACCTAGAACCAAGACGGACAGACAGGACAGCAGCTGCTATGTAGGGCAAAAACAACACGTCGTGTGTTCCATTCAATTGATGGAGTTTGACCGGATGAGTTATGGTGTTAACGGACAACCGGACAGCACAGAAGTACAATAGGACGTATTGTACTTTGACCGGTTAGAGGAGGTACAAGTTGCGTACGCCTGCGGGTGTTCACCCGACACCACAGTTACCGTCATGTACGACTGGACGTATCATACTCTACTGTACAGTAACGATCCGTTTCCGGCGACAGTTACGGTAGGCGGTTCATTGTGACATTATTTCTGATAGCCAAGAGGCAGTATGCAATCAGTAGTCACCCACATTCATCTTATCATGGACAAGCATAGTCTATAGTGCAACGACAATATCATCAGCAAAATGCAAAATGACTAGCAAAATTGATGTCACTAGTCCATACTGGCTGCAAGGATGACATCATTTTGGGAACTTTATAGAGCACTTGAATCGTCTGCCGTCAGCTACACACTCAGACTCAGCCGCCGGTCCCGGTCACTCCAAAACGTCAAAGCAGTGAAAGTGAACTCATTGCTCGCCAGTCCTTGCAAAATTCATTGAAATTGTCCATTTTAGGTTGGGATTTCTTTGAAAAGTTGAAGAGAAAAAAAAGGAGAAATTAGTTATTCGCTATTTGCTGCTTAGGACATTATTGAAAGGAAATTCAAGTATGGCAGAACATCAGCAAGAGACAACAACCGGTATCCAAACCGACGATATCGACCACGGCAATGGTCAATTGGAGGAAAACTACCGGGCCGTAACACAGGAAGATCCCAGTGAAAGTCATGCTGTCGAACCAACGGAAAGTGAAAATTTAATCGATATATCGCCATCATTCCAAGATGCTAATACTATAGAAGGTACAAACCACGCTCAAAGCCAATTTAATGACGGAGAAGAGAGACCTCTTACTGCATCGGATATTACACTGCAAACAGATAATCAAGAAATGCAATCACAACCAACGGAAACCATCAAAGATTCACTAGATCAACTTTTACTCCAGACTCAAGATAACCTTGAGGAGATCACGGATAATGAACAAGGTTTTAAAACCTAGACTTGTAGATTACAGCCATCAATTACTACTCTCAATAATATTGAAAGAGATAACATTCTATATGATTTTTATTGCTTACAAAAGTACTTCTAGAGTTGTAGTCTTGTAGGCTTTGACAAACATCGCAACAACATCTTGTATACATCCTTTTTTTTCCTCTGGAAAAAAAAATTACTGTATTACAGGGAGTTGCAAGTCATGACAGTACAGTATTCAAATAGACTGTAAAACAACCATAACGAAGCATGAACAAACCGATACAACTCTGTAATCAACAGTATTATAAATCGATGTACAAGTATTTCCACCATGTTGAATCTAATTATTTTTTGAATTATTTCTAATATCAGAAAAGCAAGCAAAAATTGTCGTCTGGTTGAAGAATTTAGATCCTCGTTGTGAGTATAAAAGAAAATACAATAATAATATAATAATATAATAATAATAGTACCTCGTATTCCACCATTCAAGAACCGTTTTTATTTTCAAGATAAAGTAATTCTCAAATGCTTGCACAATATCGGCTGTCATGGTTAAGACTTGAGAGTGTCATCTCAACAAGAATAACTTATTCAAAGAGTAATACGTATGCAATACTTTACGAACTACTTACTGACAATACAGCTCAATCAGTGCAACTTAACTTGATCGACATCGATCTTTGAGTCATCAACTATTAAAATCATGATGTAGTTATAATATAGAAGTCATGTCCTTAGTTAAAAATCAACCATCGCTGCAGTCTAACATACTGTAAACGCCTACAGTATATTAAGATTTCCTATATCACTGATAAACATCTCCATTAACAAATGTTATTTATACGCAACATTTATACTTTACTGTAACTGACTGTAAGAACAATGTAACTGGAATTGTCTTGAGCTATAATAGAAATTCAGGAGTAAACATCAACCCAATTGTTCTGATGTTTCGCTATTGACAACTTTCCCTCTAGGTTATTCCCTATAGTCAATTCATATAATACAGTACTTGAGCTAGAAATCTAGAGTGACCAATCAAGATGTTGACCCTTTTGATATTGTACTGTACTACGTAAAAACATCCACGAATTTATCAGTTGCAAAACTTGAATCATCGACTTAGTGGTAATCACTCCAGATGATATTGCATTATATCTTGAACAATATCTACATGTAATGTATGATAGCCTGATTTTTACCGATCATAGTATTCAGTAAATTGCCACCAAAGTACAAAATTATGCTACTAAATTTCAACCGTTGCCTATTTGATTTTGAGTCAACTCATTTCTGCATTTATAATGTTTAAATTGACTTTGAAATTACTGCGGCTATATATTGTTTAGAAAAGAAATTAAAGACTGCTATAGTACAAGCCTTCCTTGAGGTTATACCTAACAGTGAAATAGCTATACGCACGACTGTGATTGATTCTGTTCTACGCAAACGAGGAATAAAAATTGATACCAATAGAATGCCAACGTAATAATGATCACTCTTTTATCAGTGTTTATCATATTTTGTCTGGTTTGTTCACGTATAAGTATAATAATCTGATCATTATCACTGATCAGAGCTTTTCGTTGTAAAATAGTATGCTAATTTTTATCATTTTTTCGTCTCTGTGTTAGTAATTGTGTTAACTAACTTTCAGTATTGATAATAATTAAAAGTTGTAACTTACCCTTAAACTGTAGTCTACTCGTAAATTTATAGTTTAGCCCCCCTATTCAACGAAAGTGGATTACATACTTTACGAGTATAGATTGAGCTAGATTGCATCATGATAATCATCAACTTAATAATTCTAGTAATCATACAATACACTACTGCGCAAATTGAGCTAGATCATATCATGAAAAATGGCCAACGCAATAATTCTAGTAACCATAAAATGAAGAATCCATCATATCTAGTGTTATCCTACCTGCTATATCAACGAATCATGCAATATGAAACTTCTTTTTGAACGTAATTTGACAATTACACAGCTATCATACTCGATAAATTGGCGATGCCGTTACTTTGAGATAGTCTTGATAGTAACTGTAAATTGTATAGAGAAATTTATGTAATCCTACGTTATAAAATTTGGCTATATGCGCCTATTGTCATAACTACTAAGCAATCCTTATACTATACTATATACTGTATCGTATATTTATATTATACGAGGTATTCTATCTACTGTTATTGCAACTGCTGCACTGCACATAATACTAATTATATTTGTTAATGTTAGCAATTTTTCTTTCACATATATAGTCGTAAAATTGATTTATTGGCAAGACTGGAAAGAAACTGGCGTTGTTTTCGCTTCAACGTTGATACTTTTGCTTACCCTCAAATTTAATTCATTGCTTAGCGTATTAGCCTTCTTTGGAATGGCAACATTATTGGTGACTTTTGCATGCCGTGTTTTTAATACTTTAATGCAAGTTCTTCATAAGAAACAAACGGAAAATCCATTCCAGTAAGTACTTCGATGTATTATGTATTAAAATAAGCTCAGGTCGTTTTGACCATCTATACAATATCATAACTAGATTTTTAAATCATTTTTTGCTAACTGTTACTGGAGTTGTGTAATTTTTTATTATTTCATAATTTTCAGAAATTTGTTAGACAAAGAAATTAAAATACCAAGGGAGTTCGTTAGTATCTTTGCATAACATTTTATCTCTATATTAAAATGATGGTTGCACCATGATAGTGATGAATAATCAGGATAAGACTAATTTCTACTGTAAAATTGATGTTGCAATGTATCTGTAATATATTGTTGCCTTTTAATTTAAAAATTCGTCTAAACTTTTATCGAAAACAAGCTCTGGAATGAAAAATTTTTGATAATTAACTAGTTATATATATATTTTAAATTTAGCTTTTGGACATCGTTGATAAAGTTCTACAAAGATTAACTCCAATTGCTGAATATTTACGCAATTTATTTTTAGTTGTTGATATCGTTGAATCGTTGCAGGTGATTATTTTAAAAAATTACAAAATTAAATATTTTTAGCCAATAAGTTACATTATTACTAAAACATTGATTTCATTATAAATAGCAAATATGTACTAGTTCCCTTCAAATTTTAGCAATCAATTTTAACTGCTACTTTATTACTTTTTTAGTTTGGTATCAGTTTATGGTTGCTCTCTTGCATTGGTAGCTGGTTTAGTGATTTGACTATAGTCATCATCGGTACAGTAACCAAAACATGTTTACATAAAATTTATTGGCGCCATAATTGTCAATTGATTTCCATTTTTAATAAATTAATTTCTCCAATTTAATTTCACGCTATTATTCAATATTACTTTACACAGCGGTCACTCTCTTATTTACTGCTCCTGTAATTTACGAAAATAATCAGGTATGAATGACCCACCTATTGCAACATTAGTTAACATTATAGCATCAACATTAAAACGAAGCTGAACTAACATTACTATATCAAATATTTATCAGGCTCAGATTGATATATATATCAATTTGGCTAAAACAGAAATCAACAACGTTATGGCACAGTAAGTTATATTTAATACTTGGCCCTAGCCAATTTATCCATTAGTTTCTTTTCTATTGAGATATTTAAAATGAAATTATATTATGTGCATTTCTTTGATTGAATCTACTAGGGTGGATGGACTTATTCCTGGTCGCAATAAATCTAAAGATAAAGAAGATTAACCACGGCAATTGTTATCTATTATTAGCAACTTTAGTTTTCCTGCATATCATACCGTATCTGAAAAGTACTATACTTTATTCTTTTAAATCTTAAGAGGAAGTTTTCAAATTTTGATAGTAATCTTAGAAAGCGACCTTTTGCATAACTAGCTTTAGCTGATAAATCAATTATCGTCAATAAGAACTCAATATATAACAATTTGAATTTATATGATTAATATCTTGTAATTATCCATTGTTTAATGTTGTCTTCAAACGTTATTTACACATACCGAAAAGTGCTGCTTATACTGTATCAAACTGACGTTGTTTTAGCTAGTATTTTTCTCAGTTTATGGTGTACTGTATGTTGTTACATTGTTGACTACATATGCTGCACCAACATAATATCGATAATAAGTATACAGCGGAATGTTTGTACCGTATGTATGTATGCATACAGTGTAGGCCATCATTACTATATAAATCGCTCTAATGTGCAAGAACCTTCAATATGCGTATACACGTACACATTACTATTAGAGATTTCTAATCTAATTTAATTGTCTATATAATTAAGTAATTATAGAAATTGTACGTTTGAATCACTAGTAAATACTCGTATCTTTTAGTTGTTTGTGTAAAAATAGCTAATGCCCGATTGTAACAACTTTTCACAAAATTTTTGTCTTCTTTTAGCCTATAATTTTATTAATCTTTCATCGAACAACATTAGCGACTATACGATTATGAGTACACAAGCCATTGTCGTCGTTATTTTGGGTGTGACTAAATAATGTTAACTCTGTTGTGGAATTTGAAAACTGATAACATTAATCATACTGCGACTCATTTGCATCAAATAAATTCTGGTAATAACACCGATCACATGAAGATTTTAAAGTCTCGCAGTATAGAAAAGTGATTTCAAACTCCAATAAACTCTGTAATTAAAATTTTTCCAGTATGAGAATAATGCCTTTGCATCTAATAAGAACAATCTTGATGTTAGTCCGTTCTTTATAAAATACAAATGTTGTAAAAAGTATATATAGATATGAACGTAAATTGAAAACGCTAAGCAGCCAATAATTAATTGATAGAGGCAAATGTTTTAATAGTAAATAGATAATAATCTGTACGGTTAACTGCCATCTTATTATACACTGATAGTATCTCAGACATTTAAATAGCTTCTTTTGCTTTTGCCGTAAAGAAATAGATTGAACACATAAGTCTCAATTGTAATGAATGCTATAACTTAGCCAACTTATGCAAACTTAGTACTCTCCGGTAAGATTTGCATAATAATATCTTACGTTTGATTAGAAACGTGACGATGGTACAAAATGAATTCATTAGCTTTCTTACGCTAGTTGCAATTTATTCTTTAGAATTTCTAATAATGCATCGGAGTAATTATCAAGTAGAGTGTAGGTCTTGTCAAGATTTACACTAGTATCCTTCGCAATGTCCTCTTGCATTGATAAAATTCTTGAAGATTCGCCTACAACACTACTGTTCGCTTCTCCACCGCCGGCTAACTGTCTAAGACGCTGCCTTCTTTGTCCTTCCATTATAGCTAGCTGTTCTTGCATTCGAGTAAAATGTGATACTAGCCCAGATAACATTTGACTATTCCTTTCAGTTGGTTGACAATCTAACAGCTATGTTTAAAAACATTACGTTACCGTAGAAAATAAATTGACAAACATTATAGTAACATAACATAGTATAAGAAATTAAGAATACTCACCGACGAATGCAAGTCGGCAGCAGCTTTAAACGATCTTTGAAGATTTTCAATAGTATCTCTATAATCTATAGCTATCAGAGAAATTAAAAATTAAGTGCTAAATCATATAACGTAAGGAGACCATTAAAGGATAATGTAGCGTAGATCACATTAATATAATAAACATGGTCCCAGTTTCATAGTAGTAATATACACATGTGCATATAATGTATTGTTAACACTCTACAACATACGTTGCATATGCAAATCATGTTCAAACACAAAGATAAACAATTTATACTCAATAGAGTATAAATCATCCATAAATTTAAACCCACTCCGAACAAATATTTGTCAATAATCTAGGCTAATGTTTCATAAAGTACTTCATCTACAGAACGGGTTTTACCTCCAATTTCAGTTCGTGGTGATGCAATTGCAAGTGAAGTAATTGATTTTTCAGGTGATGGCTTTTGATAGTTATGACTATTTGACCAAGTTTCGTTTTTATCAATTGGACCATCTGTTCTATTCGTAGTCGATTCATAACGCAATTGTCGGTTAACCTTCATTAGTGGCGATGAATTATCAACATCAGCCTTAAAATTACTTATTTGCGAACTCGACCGTTGCTCATCGACATTGTGGCCAGCTGATGATAATGCCTCACATAAGGATTCATCTGCGATATCATTATCATCTACAACTATTTCCGATTCATGCATTGCTATACTATTATTTCCTTCCTTTAGGTCATTTTCCTCATCTACGTGTTGGCTAAGGTCTTTACTCTCTTGCAACTGATCATTCATATCTGTAGAAGCAGCTTCACCTTCCTCATCCTGGCATTTATTTAAAATATCAATTGTAGTAGGACTTTTTAAATCACTACTCAATCCTTCATCTTGGATCTTTTCTGAATTCTTATTAACAGTATTTTCAACATCTTGGTTACGAGCAGCAAGTTCTGGGTTAGATAATGTCTTTAATAACGGTGCTTTTGAAGATAACGGCTGCTTCTCAAGGTTTTCTTCAATCTATGAACACACATACGCATTATTTAGCATTTAGACAAAATGAAAATTGTCGGAATGTGTGAGATGGAATTTTACCTGTTCCTGTGGAGCCGATAACTTACGGCTTCCTAAAGTAGCAAAACCCAACTGATATGATATAACATAAAAAAATGTGTTCTTAATATCCAGTAAATTACTTTACAATGACAACATCCTTTCATACAATCGATGCACGCAGATCAGTAAAGTCAAAATCTAATATCTACATACTTCTATTAAACGTTTACGTGTTCTATCAACCGCCTTAGCCATTTCCTCCTTTCGCTTCTGTAATAACTAAAAATAATAATTTGAATACATCATAACAATGACCGCATTAATTATGAAATCATTCATCTGCCTTAATAGTTAATTACTTCGTCAAAATTTCGTGACACAGCATCTTCCGTACGAGCAGCGTCATTTGTGGCTTTCTTTCTGTCTGATACATTTCTATATCAATTATTAAACAGATATTGTAATTTCACTTTTAAACTGGTTACACAAACGGTTCTTAGGAATTACCAGTCAAACTTACTTGGCAATCGTAGTATGCTGAGATCTGGACAGAAAACGAGCTGAAATGCTCGACCGATGTAGCACATCCTGAGTTTTTGAAACCGCTGATGTGGCATCCATTATTTCGCCTTTAGACTTTACCGTTGCTTGTTCGTATGTACTTGCCTCTAGACTCTCATAATTTTTATAAAGAAAATCCTTGGCGTTATTCTTGGTTTCATTTTCGTTACCTTCAACAGCAGCAATTTCTTCTTGCTTTTCTATATCTGCACTATTTATTTCTTCATTTTCACCATTATCATCACTTGGGTCTTTTATAAGCAGGGAAGAATAAGAATGAATTAATATCAAACTGGAAGAATTTCATATCACTCATTGTAATAGAATCAATAACTTACCGCCACTGCCAGATTTTTCCTTAATATTTTCATCGGAATCCTAGTAAGGAAACCAATATATAATGTTTCTGCGTAAGACACTAAAAACTAAGATGTCATTTGATCAAGCATCCAATCTTAGCTGTACAACATACCCCTGAAGGCTTTACTGGAGCTTTAACTTGGAAAGAACTAAATTAATAGAGAAAAGAATTTTAATTATAATATAGATCTGCCAGTGCACTTGTAGAGCTTTAAAATATGTTTACAAAGTGACTTTTTTAAGTTGCATACCTAGCATCGCAGCTGGCGCGGCTGTTGAAAAAGTAACACATCGTTTAATACAGATTAAGATAAGAATTAAGAACAAGTCAAAACTACTTACTATGCCTTTTTTATTTCTCCTGTACTATTACTCTTTATTAATGAGGAATATGCCGTTTGTTTTCCTAACAAATTGATATCATCTACAGGTTTATCAGTCGTAGTTTTGGTTTGGTCGTCTCGCCAATTATTACGTCTCAGCTTGACCTTTGATATTAAATCCTTTCAAATACCGATTTCTTCCGATTAGCTACTAAAGCAACATAGCTTCACACAAAATATTACCTTATTATCACTTGTTTCAGCCACCAGATTTGAAGGTTCAGCTGTATTTTCAACTTTGGGGGTAAATGCACCTTCAGAGTTAGCATTCCTACCCTAATAATCAAGAAAGGCAATAGGGATATTACAAATCAAGAATTCACTAAAAGTAGGCTACATAGATTAGTACATTTTGACTGATAATGCTCGTATTGCAATCTTCAGATTCAAAGGTTAGGCGGCGATCATCTATAGAATTAAGATAATATTAAAAACTGAGTTCTACGAATCAACAAAAAAATTCTTAGATCATATGCTTTGCTTACCATTTTCTAATGCAACCGTAATATGTTCTCCCTGACTGTCATCCAATACCGACAATAAATTAATGCCACCAGCGTCTACACGCTGTAAATTAATAATGATGATGCATCACTTGAAGTCAGAATCAATTACAATAGAAATAAGCACCTACATACGCCTAGACCTCTAGCATACCTGAGCCCATCTACCCTGTGGTTGAGCCGGCTCATTAGATGTCCCCGTATTCGAAGCTTCAGTATCATCTACTTCAGTCTAAAATCGAACCGTAATTATGGATCAATACAATGTTTTAAAATCTACAGGCACCCACATTAATCTCTAGCATACCTGAGCCCATTTACCCTGCGGTTGTGCCGCTTCATTAGATGTTCCTGTATTCGAAGTTTCTGGTTCATCTACTTCCATCTAAAATCGAACAGTAATTATACATCAATACAATAAATTATGAAACACTTGCAACGCGATGATCAATATAAAGTGTTAAATAGCTATAATCAATTAGTAAAACCGAAACAGCTCAATACAGTAATAAAAAAGTGTCATAATAGCATTATTGATAATCCTAAGTAATATGCGATTATGCGGTATAAAATCAAGTTAAAAAAAGATCAATACTTGTCTCTTTGCCCATGCAGGTAGCTGACCAAAACTATATCGATAATTTTTTTTATAGGTCTTGCTGTAGTTCACTATTAAAATGATAAAAAATTCTTGATTAATAAGTACTTCTACATTTTCGTAGTAAAGATATAAAATGAAGTCAAATATACCAGTTGCACTACCTTCACTGCCCCGCTCAAGATCTTCTTCTTCCTCTTCTTCTTCCTCTTCCTCACCTTTGTATTCCTTATGACTTTGACGTTGCGATACAGTATAAGTCCCTCGCCTTATTGTGCCCAATAAAACACATTTTTACGATCACAGTTTGTAATCAAATTTTATACCATACATGTAAAAACTAACCGTAAATCTTCGGCTACTGCCGCATCCTTGACATCACTTTTACCTAGTAACTTTTCTTGAATAGTCTAAAATTGTTTCGAGATGTAAGACATGAAATACTAAGCTGCATTTATTCCGTGATATCCGTTTTCATCTTACCTGAGTTACAAAAGAGGGTAATTTCCAAACAAAGATGCAACTATATTCGCATATAATGAGACAAAAATTATCAGTCATTGCTGAAAATAAAGACGAATGGATAAATTATACATAGTTTAACTAATCACTAACCTATCACCGGAAACAGTGATTAATCTTTCACCATCATTGGTAAAAGCAATGCCAGTAATAATTTCTGTATGAAAAAATACTGAGATCAGTTCAACTTGTTTAATGTTAGACAATATGTTAGTACAGTTTAAAATAGTTATGTCAACAATAATTATAATTACGCACCGGCATGTCCACTCATTTGGGCGATACAATCGCCAGAATAAAATTCATGGATACTAACAAATTTATCAGAGCTACTTGTGGCAACGTAACTACCGCTTGGATCTAAGGCAACCTAGAACATATGGAAATAAAGGTATTTATTAAATTATGTATATACTGTAGCTTCTCAGAAAAAAATCGTAATTACCTTTATCAAGGTACCATCGTCAGTAACTGATCCTTTATAGCTTTTTTTCAATTTACCAGTTTTAATATTATAAATCCTATCAATCATATACTTTTAGTGATAAGTATACACATGTAGTCCATGTAGCAAAATAATAATTATAATAACATTATTTAGATCAATACCTGACATTTCGATCCTGACAAGCGGTAACTGCGAATTTTCTAAATTGAATTGAGATGACCATGTATTACATAAAAGTTCACACTACAATTATCTATATCTATTACGTACCGTCTACAATCAATATCCATATCATATAGCGTGGTCTTGCTAACAACTATATTTGACCGAATAAATTGAAATTCCGGTTCCTAAGAATATGGAAAAGTAAAAAAATTAACAACTATAACATGTGATTGGAGTCTTTGCCATTATATAATTACAAATGTAAATATTGTTGCGGAACCTCTTGCGCAGTACGAAACAGAATTGATTTATCGGTGCCACAACTCAATAAGTGTAAATTGTCTTTTACGACTACAAAGTATTTGAAAAAATTTTAGTAATAGATCACACGATTATATGATATGCAACACATCAGAGAAATACTTTAAATCTTATAAACATTATTACTTTACCAGCAAAATGAACAGAAGTAATAGAGCCAGAATGATCATCAATTGTTTGTACTAGATTACAGCTTTTACCATCGAAATGAAAAACATGAATCAACCGATCTCGACTTGCAGAGGCTAATAAATCGTGACCTAGCCAGATACATATAATTCAGAATAAGTTAAAGTAGCACTTAGCATATCCTTGAAAAGTATAAAGGAAGAAATTGTCCATACCAGAATCGACATCTAAAAATGATACGCATAAAACTTCTGCGTCATGGGCTTCAACTTTAACCAACTCATCCATAAACTGTAAATCATGTATCCTTTGACAGGCAATATAGAATCACGATAAGCTTTGGCAATACAAAAAAGGTAACTGATATGCAATTTATATTACCTAATGAACCCAGATCTATCACCGGAGGCAAGATATTGGCCGTTATTGTTAATATTCATACATCTAACTCCAATACTTTTTTGATGCTCAACAGAAGGACTAGCAGGTGTATTACTTGAGCCCACTAATTGTAATGTTGCTCTGTTAGCGTGGTATTTATAAAGTTGAAAGTGCTATTTAAATAAATGAATATTACCTGTCACTGTTTCTACAAGGTTAGTAAATTCCTTATCTGTGTATAAAACCCGAAATAACTCCTACAGTAATAAACCACAGCGAGATTAATTTAAATATTAAAATATGACATGAGTAGGGAAAAATATAATATTAAAAGCATACATCACTAAAAATATTTTTCCTGAAGCGTAAAGTGTCCTGACAGGCATCTAAAAAACGGAGGCATCATATCATTTTTATGAATAAAATATTTCAGTTAATGAAATTAAATGGATCGACCGGAAGACAATACCTAAATCAAGGTTCCAAAATCGGATCGTGTCATCAGATGAACAGGTAACAAATGATCCTACAGGTAAATGTGCTCTCTCAACATTTGCAACACGATATACCTAGATGCGAATAATAAAAATGTGATATAAATACACAAATACGAAAGCTAACTTATAATAATAATATTCTTGCACCATTTCTATTACCTTAACGTCCCAAACACAACCAGCATGAAATAAAAATGATCGAGATTTATCAATCTTTTGTAGATCTCTTAAATTCCATATGTATAGGCTATGGTCATTATATGTACAAGTTACCTAACAGAAATCAATAAACATCATAACGTTAAGGTATAAAGGTAAATATTATAACAGTTATCAGTTGTAGTTAGAAAATTTACGTTAAATTACATAAAAATGAATCAAAGTATATTTTTGATAATAAAACTATCCTAACCAATTTATTTATAGAATCATAGACCATAGCTACGACGTCTGGATATTTAATATCGGGGTCAGCTTTATATACCATAGCACTATGAAAATTTTGGAAATATGGCGTAAGAAATTTTTATAAAATTGAATAAAATTGTCAGCAAATACAATACCTAGGATCTACGCTGTTGGCTAGATCTATTCCTAAACGATGCGGTTTAGGTAAGCTTGTAACAAAGCCTAAGGTACTACAGTTGAAAATTCTACGATACAATGGAGAGACCGTAAGATACACGTCATTAAAAATGATCAAAAATTTTTTTCATAAAACTGAAAAAGTATCGCAAGTGAAGTTTACCTAACGATACCGGATGAGCAACCACAATAAATATAATTTTCATCGACAACAACAGAGCTAGCAGATGATGCCTAAATAAGAATGGTTATGTGCAACGCTATTAATGGTAAAAGCTGATAAAAAGTAACCCATGCACCATCTGTGTAGTCTACATAGCATATCTAAACCATCATAACACTGCCTAGTTACAGAATAAATTAGATATAATATTACAAACCTTTAATTCAACCCATTTCTCTAACATTCGCTTACTGTTAAAACAGCAGAGTAGACCACTCTTTGTGATACAATAAGTAGAACTAGCATTATCGCCAATACCACAGGCAACATCACAAAACATGTTGCTCCTCAATTCTCCTAATAATCCCGATCGACCAATTAATGGTTGTCTATCTCCAACCTATAAATTATTAAGAATTAGGCAAGATTAGCTACTTTTTGAATAAACAGAAATATCATATGTTAGTACAATTTACTAGTATGATACCTTGCTCGAATTTTTGGCAAAATACCAAAATCTAACATGACGTAGACCAGCAGTAACAAAGTAGCTACCATCTTCTGCAAATGATAAGGACTGAGCCTGCAATTTTATAAATGAGTCAAAAGTGTTACAGTTGATTCCCGTAACAAGCCTTAATGAAGATTATTAAGACAATATCTACGAAATTGATCTCGTGTCTTACTCTGTAAAATTAAATTATCGCCAACATTACCTGGACAGAAATCTTATTACATGCCACAATTTGCCCAGTCTAACGGTAAAGAAAAAAGCCATTACTAAATAATTAATTAACTAGCGCAATACCTTTTCTTTATTAACTAGAATGCGCGTATAAATAAGATCTAATGAAGAAAAAGCTACCTTTAAACTCCAGACATTAACACTCATATCATGTTGATCTCCAACTGATATTACTAGTTTGTTGTTAGGAGAAAAAGCCTATAATCATCAACAATGAGAATTATTATTTATACGCGAACATAATGATTAAAATTTTTCTATTTCCTGACAAACGTGATAATTACATACACCTGGACATAATGACGTATATTGGAGCAATATAGGATCATTTTTAGTGACACTAGTAATAAAATGTACTATATTTTTCATCCGTACATGTTGAAAGTAAATATATGCGTGTATTACATAATGATTTGAGGGGATTCTAGCTAAAAGACAGTATCAGAATTGCTCGTCGATATAGACTGGAGTAAATTAATTGAAACGCTATATAACCATTTCCAGGGATTACAATTTAAAGTTACTACCACTTATCATTCAAGTTAAAGAATGTTGTTGCATTGGTATAATTATATTCAAGGATGATAGTCGAAAAACAACACTACTATGTTTCACCTATGTAACTATAATACAATCATAGGTTTCGTGAGAACTGTATGTCAATGGCTTAAATTGTAATTACAGGTGTATGTGCAGTTAGTGCCGTTTGTCAGCAATGAAGCAATTATACAGTATACGCGTATAGCACTGTATTATCCACAACTCCACAGTACTGTATATAGCACACGTACTGCGATAACTTATTATCTTCATAGTATCGTAATTAAACTATAGCTATAACGCGCAGTACTGGAAATATGCAAACCGCCAGTAAGATAGTGGGCAATAAGCTACAGTAGTAGAAGTAATATTAAAAGCTCAGTGTCCGTCAATGCACTAATTTGTACTACAAATACGATATTAATATACTGTTTCCAAATAGAGATTAGAAAATATTAAGGCATTACGTAGTATTAGCCATCGTATGCTGTACACATAGCTATTATTATCTTACAATAAATTACTTACCACACAGGCAACGCTAAATTTATGACCCAGGTATTCAGCTGCTTGGTTATTATTATCAGATAAATCCCATACCCTAACAGCCGGTAAATGCCCACTCTATCCATTATATAGAACAAAATATTGAACGAATATTAACTAAATACGCATAAATGCACATTGATTATAATTATTTATCAATGATACTTAATGCTCTCTAGATTTCAATAGACTGCTTAGTATTTGAGCAGAATTAAATTATGGTAATGAGAGAAAATTAAATAAAGTAATACGGCAACAATAATATGTTAGGTTTATAATGCTGTATGAATATCGATTATGATCTAATAGCTATGCGCATATTTTGTGGAAGTATTTTTAATAATTGCCTATTACTATAAATATTTCTGAATTTTTAATACAAGATAATCAAATAAGCTATGTTGACAATATTATAATTTGCATTCTTTCTACTAACCTCGCCACTAACAATGTATCTGCCATCTTCTGAGAAAGCAACGCACTTTAGACATTTCCTATTCAAGTCAATATGTATTAAGTAAATATACAGTATGTTCGATATTGACATTAAGTACACATTGGAGACAAAAAATAGTCATCATTATTCACTACAATTATCCTTGCTAGACATAATACAAAAAACTACATTTAAATGAACGAATTCTCATTGATTTGATGGTTTTTACAATTATATTTAAAAATTTTACTATTTGCAAAATTTAAGTTTACGAGTTTATAGCTATAACGATGAAACAAAAGTTGATTTATTTTGACTATGTAAACCTAGTAGGCAACAGAAAATTTGCTCTTATTTAATATGATTTTTTTACGCGTTATCCTAGTTTATACAACCTAGAACAGAATTTTTGAGTCTTAAGAATTTAAATCTACGAACTAGACATCAAAGCATTGTAAAGCTATTTTTACTATTATTCGAGAGAGTCTAATAATTGGCTGATACAAATAGAGAGCTTGATCTATTTATGATAACTGCTACTGATTTCTATGATGTAAAATAGGTATTTTGCAGTTACAAGAAATAACCGTACAAACTCGTAAATCTAAACGGCATAAAGTCATCCGCTTAGTCTCTCCGAACATCTTTACCATTCATGAACGTAAACAAATTCTACCGTTGCAAAAGTAAGTTTACAAATTTGTCGATTTAAACACTGCCAGACTATTTTTCTATTATCACTTAAAGAGAATATAGTACAGTAGCTGATTGACAAAAATAGAAAGCTTAATCTATTTAACATATTTCGCTGGTTTATATGATATAGAAGAGAACTGATACTATTATGAATTTAAATATAGGAATTCGTAGGTCTAACTATGATACTGTGCATGCAAAATAACTTTCTATTATTAACTGGGTAAGAGCTCATAACTGATTGATAGAAATAGAAGGCTCGATCAATTTTAACATCTTCTATATGGAATATTGTAAGGGTAGACTATCAGTCTTAAACCTATCCAAATAAAATAACAGCCAGAACTACTACCTATCTCTGCTATAACCTTTCTGGCAGCCTACTTTACGAAATACCTTTAGTGAAGTCATGTAAGTTAAGAAAAATGGGGGCGGGGGGCGGATAGAAAATGCTACTCCATCATAAATGTACTGTATATCTAACAACTTTGAATACCTTTTGCAGTTAGAGCTGCCATTTATCTCAGCAATACGAGTAAATATCGATACTGAAAGCCTTTCGATATACCATTTTTTTTAAATATCATTTGGTAATATTATAAGATTACGAAAAAATAGACAATCAATCGCTTCAGGAAAAATAACATGACACCTTTTTGGACATGCATTTTCAACAATTTTGGGTATCTTTTACTGTTACAGTTATAATTTAATCAGAGTTGGACGTGCAAAAGTCCACAATGTATGACAATGTGGAAGTATCATCGGCTCAAATGCTACTAGAAAACCCCGATATCGTACAGTTTGTCTCATAACTCATAAATTTTAGAAATAATTTACTGAACAATTTACAGCAGTCTTAGCTTATAAATAGAAAAAACTTACCTCGCTGTATTAAAAATATGACTTTGACGATTTGTTTTAGGATTGTACAGAACAATAACACAACTAGATGAGAGAGAAAAAGATCATTAAAATGGATCATTTTGAAGGTATTTTCATAGAATAAGAAAGGCAAGATTGTATCAATATCTAGTAAAGCGACTATATTCGCTGGATATTGCCATTGACAACCTGCATTATTGATGATTATAACGTATCAATAAATTAATCTTAAAACAATCAAGAAAGGATACACTGTGTAGGATTTGGATGAGAATAAGACAACAATTCATCATGAGTAGGCAGGAGGAAGCTTTGTCAGTAATAGGAAATAATTATACTGGATGATTCTATTATTACTGTATAATATTGAAGTACTGTTGTAAAACTCGATTTATTAAAGGTGCTGATCGTTATATCAGGTATACAGTAGCAATTGACGGTTTATACTGCTTTTATAATAATTCAAACTTTGTATTTTAGAAATCGACGCTTATCAATCAATTTATGGCGGCCATATACTATAATAATTAGTTATTAGCTTATATAAAAATTTACCAGTATAATTTACCGACTGCATTTTTAGTGCATATCGCCCCTTTCTTTATGCTTATGAACTTCATATCCTAGATTAATTTAATTGATTGAATTATCACGACTATGTCCGAACTAACTATTACCGTGACTTGTTGACTAGTCCATCGAGTTTCTAAGTAAAGGGATCAATTTTTTAGTCCCTCATTGTCGTTCTCTGTAAACTCCATGTCAGATGTGCAGTGGTCTGCTGTATACTATGCTCAGTTTCTTACTGTAACTGGAGGAGAATTTTTTAGTCAATATGGCCAATTTTTCTAGCTTTGTAAACTTTCCATCGGAGGCTAATTAATTTATTTATTTATCATTATTGATCATAGCTACTAATACTAATCTATGGTTTCTGAAAGCGAGCGTTTTTAGGTATTGCAATTTCTTTGCCACAGTCATGTCTATTAATCACTTTTCCACAATTAATCAATTTAACGATCATCCACAATTAATCAATTTAACGATCATCCTCAATTAACATAAATCTACTGTGTCTGCGTCGACTTTCTACAAGTCTATGTCGATGTCTAAAATAGTATACTTAGTAAATGGACTAATTCAGAACATTCCGATAAAAAATAACTCCATCTCAACATTGAATTTGATCAATTGAATATTACTGAACTTGTTGGTAACGATAATAGGCAAAGGTGATTGATGCCATGTGGATAAAAACAACCTATTTTATATTCACTTACTGTCAATAATGAGAATTTAATTGAATAATGATACGAATCAGAAAATGGACTAAGGTACGGTTGATAAAATACGAGTCTAGGACATATTTCACGTAGTAAGGATCATTTATCAACACCCTTGTTAAAGATGTAGAATAGTGTTGGATTACCGATGAAATGTAGTAATCTATCAGTAGATGCAGAATATCTTGCATATACAAATCAGAAAATAGACTAAGGTATGGTTGATAAAATACGACTCTAGGATATATTTCACGTGGTAAGGATCATTTATCAACACCCTTTTATTAAAGATGTAGAATAGTGATGGATTACCGAAGAAATGTAGTAATCTATCAGTAGATGCAGAATATCTTGCATATACAATAATTAATTCTTGACTAATATACCTGTCCTACTGTAATTGCCGATGAAAATTGGACACTTAAGACAAGAAATATAATCAAATCAAATCTGCACGACTTACCCAGCTAAATAAGCAATGGTACCAGAAGATGGATCACAAGTCAAACTGCTACAATTGGTAGCGGTTATACCAATTACTTGCTCCAGCTGGCACTACACTCCGGAAAAAATAAATTGAATACAGTCATTCATAATTATAACAAAGCTTTAAAAATTACAAATACTCGCCATATGTATACACATACAAGGAAAGTATTTTTGTTAACTGTTGGATGACAATTTTAATAATCGATGTAGAAAAATAACTGTACTATGGAAACAATATGGCGCATTAGATAGACAATTTCTTTTTCAAGGACGTGTAGATTAATCATTTTGAAATGATGATATATCGAGTATTTCTGTATGCAATAAGACTGTTGACTACAATAACTTGGCGTAGCAGTGTTGTATCATTATTAGGAAGGAAAATGATGTCGATTGCTTTCCCTTTTAAAAGTAGTATGTACTGGTCATTTTGAATGATGATGCTATTTCTAATTAATAATGGATTGTCGGTTACCATCGATCGGTGCATATGGAAGAAGTAATATATCACTATTATTCCTAAAAAATAATATAGACCATTTTAAACTGTAGTAGTGATGATACCAGTTAAGAATGATATTAAAATTACATGGGATTACCGACTACTAGCAATCGCTCGGTGTAGAAATAGTCTACTATTAGTTAAGAATGGAAGACTATTTCTCCTAGTATCAATGTTAGAAGTGTGTGATCTTTACTTTCAATAACGATGATATTTCTGATCGCAATTTGATCGCTGACTGCAGTCGATCAGTGTAGTCATGTTTTATCGTCGCCATTGGAGAAAATAATGTAGACTGTTTCCCTTCTACTGTAATAACTGTACGTATATCATGCAGGATCATTTCGGAATGATGATGCCATTTCTATCTGTAATTGGATCTCTGTCTACCGTAAAATCGATCAGTTTTATCATCATCACAGGATCATTTTGGAATGATGATGCGATATATATCCGCAATGTCATCGCTGACTACAATCAGCGGCGTTTTGATTGACACCCTAGGAGAAAGCGATCGATAGCCTATTTTTGCTTCTGATTACTCTATATCGTATTGAAAAGAGGATGTAATTTCTACTGACTACCATCGATCAGTCTAGCAGCATTGAATCACATCCTAGGCCAAAATAATGTCGACTATTTCTTTTCTAGTAACAGTATAAGATACACGATCATCTTCAAATGGTGATGCGATTTGTAACAACAATTTAATAGACTGTCGTTGATGAAAATGATCTATGGTCAATCATTCGCCTTTCTAATTACGAGTTGTATGTATCGGAATTTGAAATGATGATACTGTTCCTATCCACAATTGGACTAATTGTAGTCGATCAAAGATGATGTACTATAAAATAGTTGGCTTTTCTAGCGATGCATCGATCATTTTGAAACGATGATGGTGATTGTATGGGCAATATGATCGTTGACTACAACGGGTGAAAAGGATATCAATCAGTCAAATATCCTATCATCGTACCGGATAGCATCTTGGCAAATATCAAAGTGGTCTTATTCAATTCAACGCATGATGGACTCTCCATTTCTGGATATACGATAGATACCCAACGGTATTGGATGGGATATGGGACCGATTCAAGTCTAATAAGTGATATCCTATGGTTCTTGTTGGTGAACTTGATATAGACTGATTCCCTAGTAACAGCATTGATTATTTAACATGACGATGATGATATTTGTATGGACTACAATTCTAACTTAGCCAATGGCAACATTATCCAATTCATTCAATTTGATGGACATCGCATCGATTGCATGATAATCCTCTATTGAACTGCTCTTAAAGGATACTAAACGATTGAAAGTCTATTCAGTATCCAAATACTAAAAGCAACAATGAATACAGTCATGAACCGCAAAATCAATGACTATGTGGTCAGAGAATGGATGTGGATTCTTGTGTCTATGATTGGGACTTGTTGTAAATGATAAAATTGGCTTCTTACCCTATCCGATAAAGGACTGATTTCGCGTCTAACGGAGATTTTCCTCTTGGGCGATGACTTGGCCAATTTATCGGTAATAGACCTTTTCGCAAATAATGCCATAGTCGTTGGTCTATCTTACTGAATAGAATATTCAATCTATCTATCTATATATATATATATATATTGAAAAGTTAGACAGATGAAATCCAAGGAGAAAATTGGCTAGGGGGGAGGGAGGGGAGGGATAATGAACACAATTATTGGCCAACTTTTCCTTAATGTTGTGACGGGGATTTATAACATTCACTGGGTCCAATGATCGCAACAATTACGTACAAATAGAGTAGAGTTGAATGGTTAAAAAAAGGAAAATACCAACGGCTACAGTGGTCAATTTTCAGTTGGAATTAAGTTAGAATAACTATCTCCACTCTTGAACGCTACAAGTGTAGACTATTTGATAGACGATTGCTGATAGAAGAGCGCCATAGTTTTGCTCTATCAAACGCTTTACAACTCTTTGCAGCTACCAAACTTCAACTACTGCAGCAATTTATTCTCACTCAATTGCTCAATTCTTACTGACGATAGCCAGACAATTTCAACTGTAAAGAGACACAAGAGAGTTGTAGAATGCCTTCAAAAGGTGCAAATGATCCAATGAATATCCAATACGGATGAAAAGGACAGCAATAAGGTGGAAACGAGGATCGCCGATGTGATGGAACTAGGAATCAAGACTAAATTAGCATTAGAGTCGTTTGGATGAGGAAGGGCGGAGAAAGTGATGCTGAGAGTCGAGTGTATCGTACGGGTGATAGAGCGCTTAGGTGGCATCCCCATACACTATCTTGTAATAATAGATACAATATCGTCAGCTGACAGTATCATACGCTATGTATCGATCGCCAGCGGTGGCTGCCTTGGGTGTGATGCTTTTGGCGACCTTCATTTAAACGTTATGATTTTTGGGGAAAACGACAGAGTGTCCGTCTGTCTGTCGATCGAATGAGTCCTACGCTACTGGATGGACGGATTACTGGCTTGGCTAGGGACGAGAAAAAATGGACGCATTTATTCAATTCATTTTCAGCCTTTTTTTCTCCAATCTTGGAATTCATGTTCATACATATTGTGCAATTCTTGAACGTGGCATAGAAAGGATAAAAATGGCTTTAGTAATCCCTGTCCAATTTCTATGGCTATGTACAGTACTATCGACCCACATGAATAGCTTTAAGGACATTGCCCAACTTTGCAATGGCCTAAACTAAACCGTTGTCGACGGGACGCGTAGATGTACAAGAAACCAATGAATAATTGTGTCCTATTCGAGATCATGAATGGCCTTAAGGACATTTCTTAACCTATTAATGGCCTAAACTAAACTAAACCGTTGTAAACGAAATCGTTGTATACGGGACGCGTAGATGTGCAAGAAGCCAATGAATAGTCGTGTCCCATGTTCGAGATCATGAATGGCTTGAAGGACATTTCCTAACCTATTAATGGCCTAAACTAAACCGTTGTAAACTAAATCCTTGTATACGGGACGCGTAGATGTGCAAGAAGCTAATGAATAGTTGTGTCTTATTCGAGATCATGAATGGCTTTAAGGATATTTCCTAACCTATTAAAGGCCTAAACTAAACCGTTGTATACGGGACGCGTAGATGCGCAAGAAGCCAATGAATAGTTGTGTCCTATTCGAGATCATGAATGGCTTCAAGGACATTTCCTAACCTATTAATGGCCTAAACTAAACCGTTATATACGGAACGCGTAGATGCGCAAGAAGCTAATGAATAGTTGTGTCCTATTCGAGATTTGCTGTGTTTTAAAATTCAAAATTCGAATTCATAGATTGCCAATCTACGGGATTAAAAAACATTCTCCACATACGGTACAGTAGGGATGAGAAATGCATGAATTAGATTTTGTATACCGCTGAATCGCTTGGAGGATATTTTCCAACCTCGAACTCCTCCTCTTTTTCCAATCTGAACCGTTGTATAGGTGTAATTAGGCATTAGCCCTCTCCGCCTTACATAAAGTTCTTAGCATATTTAGCTGAAAGTGTGCTACAGTATAGGACGCTTTCAGCTAAATATGCTAAGAACTTTATGTAAGATGGCGGGGGCTAGTGTGCAGACAGTATGTACAAGATGCTATGTGAACATGGGTGTCACATTGGAGATTTGCTCTATTTTAAAACTTAAACTTCCAGTTAGTGCATTGCAAATCTACGCGATTAAAATAAAAACATTCTCCACTTACAGTACAGTAGAAATAAGGAATGGATGGATTCGATCTGATATACTACTGTAGTGAATGGCTTTGAAGATATTTTCCAACCCCGCACTCGAACCGGTGTGCAGCACATGCATGTGTACAAGATGCTAAGTGAATATTGTGTCACATTACAAATTTGCTCTATTCTTAAAAGTTCAAACTTCCTGTTAGTGGATCGCGAATCTACGGAGTTAAAATAAAAAACTATTCTCCACAAACAGTACAGTAGGAATAAGGAATAGATAGACTAGATTTTGTAAGCGTATAGGAGTGAATAGCTTGAGGATATTTTCCAACTACAGACTCAACCGGTGTGCAGGATACGTCCATATGTTCAAGTAGCTAGGTGAATATTGTGCCATATTAGAGATTTGCTCTATTTTAATATAAACTTAAACTTCGAAGTAGTGGATGGCGAATCCATAAAGTCAAAATAAAAACGTTCTCCATAGACTAGATTTTATACGCGCATAAGAGTGAATAGCTTGAGGATATTTTACAACGAAAGGCTCAACCAGTGTGCAGGATACGTGCATATGTACAAGTAGCTAGGTGAATATTGTGCCATATTAGAGATTTGCTCTATTTTAATATAAACTTAAACTTCGAAGTAGTGGATGGCGAATCCACAAAGTCAAAATAAAAGAACATTCTCCATAGACTAGATTTTATACGCGCATAAGAGTGAATAGCTTGAGGATATTTTACAACTACAGGCTCAACCGGTGTGCAGGATACGTGCATATGTACAAGTAGCTAGGTGAATATTGTGTTCTATTAGAGATTTGCTCTATTCTAATAAAAACTCAAACTTCGAAGTAGTGGATTGCGAATCTACGGAGTTAAAATAAAAACATTCTTCACAGACAGTACAGTAGGAATAAGGAATAGATAGACTAGATTTTATACGCGTATGAGAGTGAATAGCTTGAGAATAATTTCCAACTACAAACTCAACCGGTGTACAGAATACATGCATATGTACAAGTAGCTAGGTGAATATTGTGTCATATTAGAGATTTGCTCTATTTTAATAAAAACTTAAACTTCGAAGTAGTGGGTTGCGAATCTACGGAATTAAAATAAAAAATGTTCTCCACAGACAGTACAGTAGGAATACGGAATGGATGGATAAGATCTTATATACTAGTGAATAGCTTTGAGGATATTTTCCAACCCGGACTCAACCGGTGTGCAATATACGCGTATATGCAGTTTCCAAAAGGCTAAGCGAATACTTATGTCACCTTACAAATTTGCTCTATTTTAAAAACTCAAACTTCGAATTAGTAGATTACGAACCTACGGGGTTAAAAAAATATTCGTCACGTATATTACAGTAGGAATGGATAAATTCGATCTTATACACCAGTGAATAGCTTTGACGATATTTTCTAACCGGAACTGAACCCGCGTACAGTATACTCGCATACGAGTATGTACAAGAAGCTAAGTGAACATTTACGTCTTATTAGAGATTTGCTCTACTTTAAATATTCAATCTTCCAGTTAGTGGATTGCGAATCTACCGATTAAACATTATATCCGTCAATGCGCCGTACCTGGCTAATGCAGCGCAGCTAAAAGAGGCTCATTAATTAATTATACGCGTATACAGTAGCCACGGTACTCGAGAACAACTCTCTTATTAATTATTGATTATTAATTACTTATTATTACTGGATATAGTAGTCTATGGCATACCTTACGTTACGTATTTACTAGTGCTGTTGCAAAACGGCGGATGAAAAGTTGTACCATTTTATTTAAAGTATGAAATTTACTCGCTTTTAATATGAACATGAAGGGATACTCCAATATTTTTTATCGTCTGCACAACTTGGCACAATTGACATAACCGAATATGGCATAGACCAAAGGCCAAAAATCAATTATTAATTAGTGCTATTTAAAGTTGACATTTTTGCCAGTTATATATCCCAATATCGAAAGAAAACAGCTATGATAGAGTTGATGATAATTTAAAAACCAATAGACAGTACCGGTATTTATTTATAATTAAGGTGAAATAAGATAGCAAGGGAACTAAAAAGTTGGACAGATACACTATTGCAATCATCCAGATATCAATACCACGATACAGTTTTACTACAAAGATAGAGCATACGCGTAGAATAGATTGCAACTACATTTTTGTTACAGTTTTACTATAGCCATATTTATAGAAGAAATAGAACGAAATTAGGGATAGAATAATCTAGGATTAAATAGATGTATGTACTTTCGATTAACAGCTTGATAAAATGGTTAAAGGCCAAATAGAGAATAAATGAAGGACATATAATCATAATTTATTGTATGATACAACTTCGGACATAACCTTGATATATAATTTTCCAGAAAAGAAGCACACAATGAAATAATCCGAATCAATTTTTATCCGACTATCGGTTTAAAACCGATTTCAAGCTAACAGTAAATATAACTTTTTATGAACAAAAATTTACGAAGGAAATCATATGATGAATATAAAATCTACTGATATTCAATATTAAACTTGAACTGCACTTACAATGTGGAAATTTTTTACACGAAAGACAAAATGATATGACAAATCTTATACATTCGTCGATAGTTTCATTTTGGACTTCAATAATTATCGAATCTCTTATTACCCCACTTTAATCATCCCAAGCCATAATCGATAACAAATAGATAATTACTATCAGAATCTCCCGTTGAATCCAGATACTCTAGTTATACTTCTTGATATCGTACCCTGAAAACGTGTCGATTTGACTATCTTGTGATAAACTACACAAATCTCTTTACGGATATCAGCAGTAAAATAAGCATAGATTAATGGTTGCAAGGCTGGATAACAAAAGGCGACATCACGTAAAATAACTGAAGCTTGTAGAATATCCGCAAAACGATAGATATCACTTAAAGCAATGGTAGATAATGTTAAAAAGGGTATTAAAAAGACAGCATAAAATGTAAAGACAATCATAGCTTGGATAACTGCTTTCTTTCTGAGTGCCAATTTACCACGGAGTAATCTCTCTATTGACGAAAAATGTCGACGAGTACTAACAAATGCAACCCGATTATACTGGCGCAATTTAAGTAGATAGATAATCCGACCATACATAATAAGTAATAGCACAAGCAATAAAGTTGCCAATATTAACATTATCAGATGGCAAATATAATCAATTCTAATAAATTGTTGAACATCAATTAAGCTGCAATTTGCTAGTCGCTTGGAAAAGATACCATCGATTATAGAGAATATTGGTACCGCAGTTGGTACTAACCAAACCAGTACAATAATAATGGATAAATGGCCAATCGTTGAGAATCGGTTATAACGAAATGGATAAGCAATAGCGAAATAACGTTCCGATATAATGACACAAGAGTGTAAATTTAAACTAATAAATAATGCTTGACCGAAACGATATAAAACAACACAAAGGATACCAATTTTAAATGAGAAACCATCACCAAATCGAATTACTTCGTAAAGGCCCCACAAAAAACCATTAATAAGCATGCTTAGTAAAAGTACAGAAGATAATTGGTATAAATTCCGATTACATCTTATAAAAATGAATAAAGCACTATTAGTAATTATGGCAACAACTCCTGCTCCAAATACTACAGGACGCAACATGATATCCAATACCTCAATAAAATTAATTAACTTTAAGTAATCTATGCAGATAATGAATAATATCAGAGATGGAGCTAGTTTGAATAGTCTTTTGGAGGACTTAAAGCGTAAAAATAAAAAATGTCTCTATGTAGCAGATTCTTGAAGATAAATGCAATATCACTCTTAGTATATCGAATGCTTAATTATACGTAGACCGTTCTTTAACTTGAAGTCTTTATAAATTCAAGAAGTGCTATAGCAGTGACGTGAAAATATTCTTTTTTCTATATAGGAGGATCCTAGCATATTTAATGAATTGACAACTTATCAAGATGAAGATAATATCAATCAATATTGATTTATTCCTGTGAATACAAATTCGACCCTTGAAATTTCCTTCCTAGAAATATTGACATAAGTAATATCTATGTGCACTCTGCAGGTTTAATAGTAGAACAATTGAAAATTTTTGCCAGTACCTAAAGCAATATAGGCTATATCTTCCAATACGTATTTAATAAATTACCTTAAATAAAGCTAAATAACGCTAGTATTTTGCAAGCTTTATTGATGTCACGGTATAAAACTTGACAGACGATTACGACAATGATATTTCTTTTATAACGGTATTATAACTTCAAAAATCGATTTTTTTGAGGGTTAAAAAAACAAAAAATTTAACCTCAACTATTATGTCAATAAAAATGTTCGAGCAAAACATAATACAAATTTTAAAGCACGAAATGGTAACGATTGCCTCTTAGAAGATACTCCTTTCAGGAAAATTATTGACATTAAAATAGCATGCCTCGATCCAATTTCAAATGCAGTCTGTCCATTAGATCGAATTGATATTGATAGTCAAGAGGTGATTTCAACCTTAGGCGAAGAATAAACAGCATAGCAACCGATCAATTATACTAATTGCAGGTTCTATTTAACAGTATAGATAATAAAAAACTAAGGTGGGCTTTAAAGCTTCTCATGAATGCATAAAGTATTCATTTTTTAAATGACAACATAAAATCAGACTTGAAGATCGAGGACAAAAAAATGATGATTTCACTCAGTAATTAAAAATAGTCAGACAGACTTTATTAAAAGTTACATCTATTGCCTGGATTGGATCTAGTCCACTCAATTATTTGATTTACAACAGTGAAGGTGAAGAATTTGATTTTTTAACTTATTATTCAAAATGTTCGGGCTGCTAAGATTAATAATTGCATGCATCAGTTATCTCGTATTAACTCTTTAAAGTCGCTTTGTTTATATTAGTGACAGAAAAGTGAGTTATAATTTCTTTTACTTGAAATACTAGTCGTTTTTCTTTCTTGCTTAAGTCAATTTTGATTAAGAAATAGAACAATTAAGCTCAAAGAAACAGTTAAGCAATCAAATGTTGAATTCATCGGATATATTTAAATATCAATAACAGGCTTGACAATCTTTTATAGTCGTTATATCTGATTATTAATTGATTCCTTAAGGCATCGATCATTCTATTATCACAACTAAACCTTAAAGATTAAGATGGCTAAAGCTAAAGCAGTACTCAAGATGATCGATTTGAATGATATCGGCTCAAAATACTTGTGCTACGAGTATTTCAAGATATATGTTGCAAGAAATTAATACAGAATCATTTGGTATTAAATGCCTCTCATACTGTAGGTAATTCTATTCTGTTTCCTACAGAAAGACTTCGTCTAACTTTGCGATATTCCACATAAAATAATGATATTTTTTATGTTAGGGATATCATTTGTAATTATAAGTATGGATGGAACCTGATTCTGTAAATATCTACTGTAGTGTAATTGTTTTAAATTATAAATTCAAAGTAAAACTAACTCAAAATTAGATACATTAGTACTACAGTTTTATTCGAGAAAGTAACTTATCCTAAAAACGGTAAAGCTTTCCTCTGCAATGACATGAAATGCAGGCAATATAGATTGCTACAGATTAACAGACTAGTAGATTTTAAAATTCCAGCTATACTTAATATTGATGTTGTGATCAAAGTAATAACTGGTCTGAATAATCATCTTCTCCATTTTATTGACTTTCTATTACAGTATTGTCACTAGTTTTATTTTTAAAATGAAAGCAATTTCGCAGTTAGAATGAAATTTCGGCATTGGAAAAATAGACCCAAACATTCAATATTTGCGTATTAATTTATAGGGTAATCATTGATATTTAATTACAGCCTACATCAACTCGCTATTAACGTTCCAATCACTAAAAAACTACTCATTTATATTAATAAAGAAAGTAGAGATAATAAATTCGTACTTATTATCTAGCAATTAATTTATAATTGTACTCGCTGTTAATAATTGATATGGCATTAATTCTATTGATATTAAATTTGTTAGCTTAGCGAATCATTCAAATTATCTACATCACTGTAAAATTTTGAGTATATGAAAAGTATGAGATATTAAAATGGAAGATATATTGAAAGAAATTTCAAAATCATGGTGATTATTGCTAACGCTGCCTGTTATTGTCGATGTTACTCCACTAAAACTACACTACTACATAGTATATTCTGTCTAAATGAACAGAAATTAGAAATTTTAATTCATTTTAGTGAACCTTCAAAACTAATCGTCTACTGTTATGACAGATATCGATGATATTATAGGTTTGCACTAGGAACTACTAAAAAGTCGCAAATGATTCTTAACTTGTCAAAAGCACCAAAAAAAGCGTAGTTTGATCATATGGGAAATGAATTATATTCAAATAACGTTGTATTGCTAGATGCCATAAGAAGAATCGACTTCGGTGTATTATGCTGTTACGGTGTTGCCTTGTCATTAGGATAGTTTAATAAGTACAGTAGTAGCTAGTATGGAGAATATCCATATTTGTAGTGCTAGGTAAGATAAATAATGCCTTAACGTGGATGTTGTTTGTAATAGTTCATTACATATTTGATATTGATCGTTATTGTATGACAGATAGCAGTAAGATGATTCAAGTTCTAGTTGATGATAGTTGAATTAGACAACCGACGAGCTTAGATTAAGATTAAGTATGAGTAAGAGATTCAAAATATTTACAGATAGAAAAGTTATGTAAGGAACATCTCAGTTCGAGATGTTTCTCCTAGTAAGGTATAATAATAATACTGTTGTTGTTTACAAATTAGACGGTTCCTATATAAACGGGAACATTTGAGTTGAGTGGGGTGGTAAAAAGCAGTAGATGTATCTTTGCTAATAAAAGTTTCATCTTTAGAGTATTTTGCTGTGTGTGTTTAATGTTAAGTAAAAGGGCGTTTAAGTCAGTAGCTACTTATAGACTTTTACTGTACGTTACCTTGTCGCAGAAGTGAAATTGTGACATGCATACATACTGTGGATCAGTATGGAGCAAAATTGAATTTTCCAAATTGTTAAAATTTAGCAATTTTATATACGAAATCAACCTTGTCCTCCTGTGATTTTGACAACGACCAAAATGCACTAACTAAGTGTTCATATATTTATAGAAATAGGCATTACCGGTAATTAATTAGTAACATTCATAGTAAAGGTTTAACCTTTGGAAATGTCTATACACGCATACAGATGAAAGTAAAGCTCAAATATCTTAGGTTAAAAATAGTTTACGAAACTGTGAATTCAATAAAAGTTAACAAGTTTTGTCGCGCAAAATTAAAATGTAATACTGACGTCCAAGCTTAACGGCGTGCATTTAATACGTATACTGTATCATGATTTTCCGCTTTAAAAGTTATAAATTTGGAGTGGATTTCAATTATAGTTAATATCCAATATTGGTATCAATGGGTACACTAGTATTTACATAATATACTAAATCAAGTTATTAATTATATATGTAAGTATAGGCGGTATTTACTTATAACGAGTATATTTACCGAATTATACTGGATGGTTATAGTCAGAGCCATAGAGCTCCATTTCAGGTGAATTTAACGTTATTAAATACTGCATATGAAATGCTAAAAACTGCATAGTCTTTAGTAAAACCAATAATTCTGAAGTATGTCTATGGCTGAATTATCGTCAGCATCTTAGAACGTTTTCACATATTTCACAAGAGTTGTTAGAGTTTCGACGTTTTGCGTAGAATTCTTTGTACACTTTGTTTCAATTACCCTACCTATATATTATAAATTGATATTTCTAAATAAAACATCAAAGAGTTCTACGCAAAATGAAAAAGGATTAATGATCAATTCGTACCCTTACTATATTGGCCACTGGTTTGCCTATCCTGGAAATTATAAACCTTACTGTATATCTCGAAAAACGTATCCGTAGGACAGTAAGGAAAGCCATTGCCGTCACAGAATGATCACAACAATTTTGCTACGGTTACGTTAGTCACAATACTGGTAGAATAAACCTCCCTTTAGCTTACTTTAGCTCAAGATAGAACAAAATGGTCCTTTTATTGATTTAGCTGCATAATCAAGAGCAACATTTTCCGTAGTAAAATTGACTTGATCTGTAGTAGTTTACAAGAGCATGATCGTAATAGTGACTATGACTAGCAGGCTTAGCAGAATTAAATATTAATCGCATCAATCGTGAACCAAATTGTATCGAATACTGATCCTTCTACTTTAATACTATGCAGTTCTTAATTCATAGTCTTGTTCATTTTAACCCTATGCATGTAAGTCGTAAGAATCTGTCCACAATTCCACATATCATGTTGTACACTGTCCAGTACTGTAAGGTCTTTAAGCTTGTGGACTTCTCTATTTAAAAGTCCATGACACTGTCATAATATATCACTTTGGGTAGTCTAACTTCATATCTTCCGTCTCTTCCATTATTTTCTCTAGCAAAGTTGTAATAGAGCAGTACTTCACTATACGCATAACTACAGTATACCAAAAGAAACATTTTTACCACTTTAGAATCAATTAAGGATTTGATTTTCTAGATCAAATATCGCCAATCTAGGTGACAAATATGAAAATTTATTAGAATCAAGGATGATTCTCCTTATTCCAATTGCACTATTTTATGCGTCATGAGCCATGCACAAATGCCGTGCGTCAAAGCGGAGTAAAACTGCTTTAAATGTGCAATTAACTTCGTCGAGTAGGAAATTCTTAGTCCAAATATCATCGGAAAAGGCCGACGTTGTCGATAGGAGAGTAGGGGGCTTCTTAGGCGGTCTCTTTCTAGTACTGTAGCAGCCTATGTTATAACACGTATACCACCCTTCAATCCTTATACTGTGGCTAGTCTTAAGCAGTACGCTTTGAGGCTCTACCCAGAGTACAGTACTGAAGCTCTATCGTAAAGTAGACTACCACGCATGATTTCATTCACAACCAAGTGGAAAGTTATTTTAATCATCGCCGATTCGCTATCGTCTTGGAAAACATTACTTACTCCTATGACGATAGATTGACCATTTGTACACCTTGTAGTGCAAGATTAGAAATTCAAGAGCAATTGAAAAGAATGGAAAAGGGGCTTAATCGATATGAAATCAAACGATACAGCCGACATTTACTTTTACCTCAGCTCGGTGTCATTGGCCAGCAAAAAATCAACCAAGGCAAAGTATTGATTGTAGGTGCTGGAGGTTTGGGATGTCCGGCAGCGTTATATTTAACCTCTTCTGGTGTAGGTAAGAGCAATTGGCATGGCGTAGGATATCATCAAGGATGATAGGGTTCATTTTGTACAATCAACAGCTTAGATAAGGCATGATAAGAGTTATGAATGGATGCTTGATTACCATCATCATCGTAGAACTAGCATGCTGTATTCGATCAACAGTGAATGAATGAATTAAACGAAAGCTGAAAGAGCGAGTAAACTATACGTGTATAGAGATAACTATCAACGGCAACATTACATACATCGATCATAAAAATAGCCTCGAGTTGATTCTTGCAATCTTGAAATGTATCCGCTTGTAGCATAGATATATAATACACCACAGTACTATCAATCACAATCTAGCCCCTACTGTAACAATATGATTTACCCTAAATGACTGTAGTTGAAAGAGAGAACAGACATAAAATATTAATCTGCTCGTGAAATAATTATGAGCATAGACTACTAGATCACGTCTGATATTATTTAGTAGTACATTGCAACAACTTTAATGGCTAACGTCAGTATATTTAATAAGAATAATAATTAATTAGAGGCAGAGACACTTATGTGTGCAATATTCTCTATATACTTACAAGTACACGCTCGTAGACATACTTTTATAGTTAGTATAGAATTACATACTTCTCGTTAGATACATGCACATCTTCAAATCAATCAATTAGGCAAACATACTTTATCATAATGGATACACCTGCAATCTCAATCATTAGTCGGTACTGTACAGTATTTGGATAATTCCCAACATTTTTACATCGAACGACTGCTATTTAAGGAATCACTAGACATACCAATTCAATATCCATTTATATTTACAAATAACTTATTGCTTAGCTATTAATGACGCATATGATCAATTTCTTTCCCTAGGTACAATCGGTATAGTGGATTATGATGTAGTGGAATTGGATAACCTACATCGGCAAATTCTGCATAGAGAGAATAAATTAGGCACACCTAAATGTCTATCTGCGACACAGTCTATGCAAGAGTCAGTAGCCAATGCCAATACTGTACATCCTAAATTAGGATCTTTGTCATAACTCAGTCTATTCTACAATTACTACAAATGTCGTCATAGAAGATCTATAAAAGCAAATCTACTAAGATCTTAATTAATCTTGATTATGCCTAACAAATAATAAGTTTATTCATTTACTAGATTAAATTCAACGATCAAGTGTCTTCCTTACCAGTTGCAATTGGATAGCCAAAATGCAATAGAAATTATTTCTAAATATCCTATATTACAAATCCACTGCTTAAAGTGATCTCTCATTATAATAACTTATATTTTTCATATTCGATACCAATTCTGCCTTTGCCGCTAATATTACGTAATCTATAATCACAAATGTTATTACCTTAATTCACCCTTTTATTGATATCACGTATGATATTGTATTGGATTGTACAGATAATGTTGCTACAAGATATCTACTTAATGATGCTTGCGTCTTATGCAAAAAACCGTTAATTTCTGGCAGTGCCTTAAGATTTGAAGGCCAACTAACTGTATATAATTGTAATAATGGGCCTTGCTATCGATGCTTATTCCCTACTCCTCCGCCCCCAGAAACTGTCACAAACTGTTCGGATGGGGGTGTGCTCGGCGTAGGTATGAATGTAAAGAGTAAAACATTTGTTCTCACATAGCTTAATCACTACTGAATTTTACCAAAACCGAAACATTTATATTAACGTGGCAAAAAATTGTATGATATTTATGATATACTGTATGTGTACAGATTAGTAGCGATAGCTCATTAACACCCGAAATGTATTCCGGTAATCAATTGCTAATTTACACCTTTTATTTAACAGTGATTTGAAGGTAATATGTAAATTGTTTCATCTAAAATCTAATGCACGTAAAATTATAAATGGATAACAATGACAATCTTTATAGAAATAATCAATCAAAATCTCTATGTTAATCAATTAATTATTGCCTATACTTAGTTCCCGGTATTATAGGTCTTAATCAAGCCTTAGAAGCCATAAAAATTCTGACTGGATTACAACGTATCTTTTTAATCTTATTGTTGCAATGGAGTCACTACTGTACTTATAATACTGTATTTATATTAACTGTAGTATAGCCAATGAAATACTTTATAAATTGCTGCCAGAACTAAATCCAAGTTAATAACTACACTATTTTCAATGCTTATTAATTTTACTATCTACAGCCTATAAATATTTATAGCCGTTATGCTAGTGCCTGGAAATTTTTCAATTACTTTCTTTGACTTTAATCTTGATATTTCTCAAATTCAGCTGCATATTCACAACGTATGCTACTGTTTGATGCATCGAGTGGCTCTTATCATGTATTCAAGTTAAGAAATCGTCGGCCAACTTGTCCTTTATGTGGTGATAACCCTACTATTCATGAGCTCCAGGATTATGTCCAGTTTTGTAAAGCCTCAGCAACAGATAAGGTATCGCCAATAGATATATTCATTATACGCACAAATCAAATTCTATATAAACTACATCACTTTAAATCGGTCTACCTAGTACAAAATTGTAGTCTCAATTTCTTTTAGGCACGTCAAATTGAGTTACTGACACCGGAGGAAAGGATCTCAGTTGATGTAAATTGCTTTATTAATACATTGATATGGTTACTTTCACGAGTAATGTCATCTAAAATATTACTTTTGATTGACAGGATTATAAAAAAATTTATGATGAAGGTCAAAATCACGTACTATTGGATGTTCGCGAAGAAGTAGAATACAACATATGTCGCCTACCGCAATCTATTAATATCCACCAATATCTCATAACAAACGATCTACTATCGATTTTAAATCAAATTGTATTACAGTATATGATAAAATTAAAGCAAAATCCTAGTTTTATCCTTAGCTATTACTACATATTCCGCTATCTCAAATCGATAAACGTACTGATGAATTCCGTAAAATTATCAATGATGCCATTAAAGATGACTCCTTCGACAAGCGTAATGCTTACCCAGGTAAATCAGTATTCCATGTCTACATTAAAGTCCATCGTAGTACCAACGACAAAATTGGCTATTGTCCTTTTATACACCCAAATAAGACTCTGGTTATAGAAATTTTAATATTATCATTATGCAGCTATAAATTTATCTAATAGTAGCACGTATCGTATTATAATGCTCCTTTTCAGTTAATATAGATAATTTTTAATTCAATATAGTTTACGTAGTGTGTCATCACGGCAATGATTCTCAAAAAGCAATAAAAAGACTACAAGAAATAATCTCGGATTGGGAGCAAAATATTATATATAAAGATATCGAAGGAGGCCTTGACTATTGGGCTAAAATTGTTGATAATGAATTTCCAGAATACTAACCCAACAGCGTTGTAAGTATATCAAGACCTAATTTCTATTGTGTAGTACTACATTGTAGAATCTATATTGCTTAGTTGCCAATTAACCTTTTTTATGCCTGCATATTATTCATATTGCAATGATAATCATTTAGTAACACAGTATATTTGATCCCTGCACGTGCATACGTTCGTTATTTCTCGACTTTAATAAGAAAAAATAACTTTAGCATCATATTTTTGTACATTCCATTACAGCAGATACTGTATGGTAACATTAAAAGGAATCATGCTTAAAGATCGGAAGCGACGACGCAAAACTGAGTATTGTACAGCATAATCAAAGAATTATCTTAACGTGGAATATCTGATTATACTACGATCATACAATCATATTCTATGTGCTATTGTTGTTTAATAGTGGTAATGAAAAATAAATGCAATTGTTATCAACTATGTTTCCTAAGGTAATGATGACAACATTTTGTTCATCAATTATTATAATTCCAATAATATGACTAAATTAAAATTTAAACTTTTTATTTGAATCGCTTATATTAACAAACTGAAAAGCTGCTAAGATAGCGGGAAAGTGTGATATATTAGTTTAAAATTACACATAAAAAATACATGTCAAACCACACGCTTGCAGAGACCAATACAAAGCAAGCTCAAAGGTAGTAAATAAATTCATGATTTACAGTATACATCCATTAATGCATTACAATTTTATCGTACAGTATGCCTACTTGTGCATGATCTACTAAATACTAACACGATTTAGCAATCTTGACACAGATGGCTCATGAAAATCTGCTAACCGTTGAAGGTGAGCCATTTCGTATTACTGTGTTCACAATTAACTTATAAGCAACTTTCATGATATTAAAAACAAGGCATTCTAGAAGATATTACAGTAATAAAAATTGGCTTACTGATGTCTTAATTATTAGATGATTAATTATATTATTATTATTACTATTAAACATATCAATCGATATATAGATTGTGCTAGTGTAATAACTTGGTCAATTTTATAAGTAGTTAGCTTTCGCTTTCGGTATTAATTATAGCAGAAGCTACATAGCAGTCTTTTTCATCTTAAAATAAAGTTATAATATTACACTGCACTAGCAAAAGATTTGCACAGGTTATAGATGTTGCAAAGAACAGCTAAACTGAACAGGTATTCATTGTATAATACAAGCTTGAGATTGATCAGTGGTATTACCAGTAGCTTTAGCAAAGCAAATTGCTTGCATCCATTCATTTTGATCGTCTCGATTACAAGCATGGATATAGTATATCCGTTTACTTTTATGTGGTTTAATACAAAAACAAAATTCCTTCTTATCGATGCTACTTTCAGCTAATTCACAGCCTTCTAGCTCTAAACTCTTTATTAAATCCTAAATAAAATACATAAATAACGTCTAAATACAGGAGCATATATGTTAGGCTATCGTAATTAGCTACGCGAATTTTATCAAATAATATTTATTCTTAATTTCTGCTTCCAAGATGCTTAAAAAATGTATAGAATTACTATATTGTATATACGTAAATGCTGTAATCGATATAAAAGGACGACATAAGATAACAACTGTAAGAAATCAACAATTAACAAGCAAGTACTGTAAGTAATCAAGTAATGTAATTTACTATAACCTTAACAATAGTAACTTAGCATATGTATATTGCAATAATACGATGGATATGAGGCTAATACGTACTATCCCATGAACTATTAATCATCGTTCTATCTGTTAGCATATATCTATTCGGTATCGGTAATGGATATTCTATGATGGCAAACGTAAACTTAAACTATTAATAATTAATATCGCAATCTGGAACCTCAATTGAGTTATATTCGTTGCATCTCTATACTCATGAGCTCAATATCTAACTATATTAATGATTTATGAACTGTTGCGATAATGAAATTGTAGACAATACATTATTATTGGGTTAGTGATACATTTTGCCATAGATAGATATTGTCTGCTACAGTTACCTAGATTCCAATTTTCTAAATTGTAATATGAGTACATATCTTTTACTTTTTAATATGATCTATGCTAATACTATCATGATAATTGATAGCTCGACGTAGTTTACATTATACATACGGAATCACAAATTACACCTTTTATGCGATAAATATAAAATTACTGCTAGAAACGAAGATAATAAATTAGGACTGTATACGGCACCTTACACTATACTTTCAATATTTTAATAGGTTGGTAAGATTTTGCGTACTACATTGTGTTAGACTACATCAATTTGAATTAGTATATGGTATTAACAATCAAGATATTAAATTAGTAAGCATACTGTACAATTACCTGCATCGTTAAAGCTGATGCATTTATTGAACTGATTGCATTAAATTAGACGACAGTTTTTACGCCTACAGCATAAATATTATAGCTATAAAAGATCCTCATCAGTCCATCCTAATTATGATGGCGCTATATTTAAATTACTGGCAGCCTTTTACTCTTGATATGTAATATTTGCTACCGATATAGTATGTACTTTATAAATAACTTTCGTTATTTATTCTATCAACTACTATACACTAGATATTTACCCTAACTGGTATTAATCACCAATATAGCGCTTCTGTATATTCGTATAGTGATAATCATTGAAATTACTGATTGAATCTTTATGATTTACTCCGATGCCGTTAATTAACGGGTACCAGTTTTAACTGTAGCAAATAGTGAAAAATACTGCATTACGGTGGTTTTGTTTTTACCCTTTACTCTTAACGAAACTATCCATGTTATACTTTAGCAAATAGTAGTCAAAATTGTTTCAATCTCTAACAGCACTCTCAAGCAATATTCCAGACAACTACTGTACCGTATTTTAGCAAATGGTTCATGATTATTTCAATTACTATATGTATTCATTTTTCTTGCTCTAGACTGTGTTAACTGGTAATACTCTACTTTCGTTAATAGCAAAAATTTAAATGGTTCAAAAAGCAAATAAAAAAATTATAAGATTTAAAATTTTGTAAGTATTACTTTGCTTGAGGTGAATAATAACAATCCTTATTAAAAAATATAAAGATGTAATTTTAGTCTGTATGATATTTAATTAACTTACTAGTTAAAGTCCATTAGTGAGTGTACTAACCTTTTTTAAATAGTCTATCAACTATGTCAAACAGTTTATTGGTTGAAAAAGATTTACTGACATACAAAATGTATCATTATCCCTATATCGAAAAATGATTATGGCGATTACTTTATTATATCAGTCATTAATCTTATACCTGTTCACTCTCTCCATAGTATAGTTTAGTATCTTTCAATCGAAACCATAACTTTTTCCATTTATGAGCAACAAAATTACTATGCCGCTTATACAACCAACCTTCTTTATGACTATTACCGGATTCCTCCATATTGGTCGTCGATTTTTTACCGGTAAAAAATCTAAAATGTACAATTGATTTGATTAATAATCAGCTAAGGATTGTGAATATTCATCAATATTTTATGCTTTTTAAAATGTTCTTCGAAAGTGAAAAATGAAAGTCATTACCGATAGCTATTTCAACTAGTCTAATATAAACAATTTTTGACAGCTTATTCTAGGCTAATATTTTCCATTTGATACTTCTTGACAACGACTCTGATTATTCATAATTTCAAGATGTAAAGAAGTCATTCCTCAGAGCAGGTTCATAGCTAAAGTAATGTTATTTTTGACGTGATAAAATCGTCATTTTAAGGAATAGATTATACTCTAGTCTACCATTTTTCGCGCATCGCCTCCATTGCAGTACTCATGTCTACGTATGGTCTTCCGCTAATGAATAAAATTATCTAGAGTATTAATGTAAAGGAGTTAGGTCCATCAATAGAATATAGATGATCAATTTTATACTAATTTTGTCGCTATGATACAGTTATCCCTGGAGATTGCCTTTTGTATCTAAGCCGACTTTTAATCTTGGTTATAGACCATTTGCTCATGAACTGAACATCTATGGTCTTAATATAATGGAGTTACTATGTTTAGTAAACTATACATCATCTGAAGTAGCAGTATTTTTATCGCTATGATAGCAGCACTATCCTACGAATGCTTCTTTGTGCATCTATTTCAATTTACAATCCTGATTGCATTAAATACTTTCCATCCGCTCCCTTTACTCAATCGTATCATCCGTGATCTTAGTTTAAGTTGGTTTGGCTTCTTATAGGCTATAAATCATCTAATCACGGCTGATTTTTTACTCCCATGATACCGTATCCTGTGAAATACATCTAATTTCTACTTATTTTAACCTCTGATCTTGATTGTATTAACATCTTCTATTGCTACCTTTCACCAAGGATTAGAATAACTCATGATGTTAATATCACTAAGTTAGTCGTTTAATCATTTCTTAATCAATTGCATTAATGCTTCGTCGCTAAGATACTCTGAAATGGATCTTTTCTACCTATCTATTTTAGCTTTCGATCTTGGTAACGTTAACATTTTCTATCCGCTACCTCTTACCTATAACTAATATCATTTATGATCTTGATATAAGCGAGTTGGCCTATTCCATAGGCTGTAAATCATTTACAGTAGTAATATTTCGTCGCCAAGGTGTGTTACCCAATAGCATGGATCGTGGCGTTTGAAAACTACTTTCAGTTATGATCTGGATTGCATAAATACGTCATACTTTCCATCTGCTATCTTTTTACTCGTAGATTTAATTCCTAGCAGTCTTAGTTAATACAAAGCGGTTCGTTCCCCAATAGACGATAGCTGATCTATATTAACAGCATTTTCGTCGCTATGATATCGTTATCCTACGAAGTAGTTCATTTTATTTGTGTTTATTTCAATTTTCTATTCTCAATTGTATTAATACTTTCTACTCTCTATCTGACAAACTGCAATTACCGACAATTTTACTGTCGAGAAGTCAAATTTCCTGAAAAACTCTACTTCTACGGTAATAGCATTTTCACTGGTATGACCCCGTTATTCTGCGGAAGTGATTATACAGTCATAGAGAAGCGATGATAAAGTGTTGATAACAGTAATTGAGAGATCGAAGGTGCTGCTTAATGATTAACTAGATTTACTTCTAAAAGCAAATATGATGATAGAATAAAACAGTCGTGAAAAACGTCTTTGATTATCATAAAACTGATGAAGATGAATAAAAAAGCCAAACCATTACTGCCTGATCTATACTTGAGGATGTATTAACATGCAGGTATGATTAATTAATTTTAACTAGTTAACCGATGATAACTTATAACGGAACTGGTCTATGTTACCATTAATATCACAACGGTGATATCGATAAAGAGTGATACTCCCATCTATTTCGTCAAGATTAATACCAGTAACAAGAACTAAGTAAAACAAAATTAGAGATGGAGAAGCACTTACCAGCAATTAGCAAAGTAAAGCTTAAATCTTGTCCAATCCCGATAGCAAAGGGAAATCAGCGTTTAGACAACTGGCGATTGCCTACAAGCTCTAATGTGCACTGTGATTATTACTGCGATGATATACTGTTGTACGTATAGGTTAGAGTATAAAATTACTAATTACCCTATTTCAGTCTTCTATACTATCTGCAATCTCATAATGATTGCTTTACTCAATACAATAGACTGTAGCTAGGGCAGCTAGTATTCCATGAGTATGCATATTATTATAATATGATCATGGTTACAGTTCCGGATCTCTCTTCTACCATTAATATAACCAGTATTACTATCAATTATATAGTTAACTGATAGCAACTGTGACAACAGTACTAACCACTGGCTATACAAATAAGGTTATAATTTTTAATCAATACAAACTAGATCAGGGTTGGGCTTATTTCTATTATTTTGGTTGATAGGTGGGGAGTCAAAAGTATAATATTCGTAAGGGCTATATTTAACTACCCAGTCCCACCCAAGTAAAAGGAAGGGCCGTGACGTGGATGATAATAAAAAACACATGTATGGTCTTTTAGTAATTTATTCAAATCTCTATATCATAAAATCTACTCGTTAACGAATGTTAAAGCTTAAAACAAATGTATAGAGATAGATGACATATAATTGTATAATTCTAATTACAGCCTGTCTCGACCACACCCACTCAGAATTCAATATCTGTCATAATAGTTAGCAATCTTTACAACGTCTTCAAAGCATTGCTGTATACTTACAATGAATTAATTTAATCCTGAAATTAAATAGTGTAGCTGCAAAGGTATACCAGTCTTGTTTGGATTGTGGAATACCGTTTTTCTCGGATAGAAATAATTATCAGCTACAGAATTGTAATACTTTATCAACGTTGTTTAATTATTAGTATGAGCAGATAGCAATTAATTTAAACATGAATGTTGAGACGGTTTTACGATAAGTCTTTATTTGAACGCCTGTCCTGCTCCTTACTCTTACATGTACAACCGTCGCAGCTGGTCCCTTATCCAGTGATTATATATATATAGTTGTATATCAAACGTTATCATACCGGACTATCTATCCCTAATACCTTAATACAGTATTCATGTTTAAAGTGTACCAACTACCAAGTCATAAGCTACACATCGAATACTATGAACCACACGAATGGACATACAAAGACGTATATCGTCGCAAATGTTGCGGTAATCACCACAATTTGAATCCTTGATGACATGCAATCTCTCATTAACTGTATTTAAATAAAAGGAAAACAACATGACCATGACGAGGCAACAATAGAACGTGTATTTCTATCATAGTTATATATCAACGCATTTGATTTTAAAATTACAACTACGCGTATTACAGCCACCTAGTATATTAGCCTTGTTTTGATTGTTCAAGTGCCATTTATCTCCGGATATGGACGACTTGATATCAATCGTAGATATGAGATTTTTCATACAACACCGTGAATTAGTGACATGCAGCTGCAGATAATTAATTAAAACAACGCAAGCGTCGCAGTAATCGCTACAACTTTCATTCACAATGCTTTGCATGATATCTGTATTGTATTTTAAATGTCTCGACATAAGTCATTTTGAAATGAAAGATTTCTCCTATACTTCTATAACCTAAATATTACATTATGAATTATGGATAGCACGGATGCTACTATAATCGTAGGGGATTTTTATCGTGATAATATATAAAATATTTCTTGTACTTCAAATACTGCGAATCGATACTATAATGTACAAATAAAAACTAAACATGTACTCGTACTCTTATAATTTCAAATTTAGCATCGTAATCTTAATACGATCTCGGCATCTACCTTTAATATAAGCACTAACACCTGCATAAATATTCAGAAGTGAAAAACATCGTAAATCAATGATTGATTATAAATTAACTCTAAAAAAGCTGTAGCCTACATGCCCTAATTTGACTTTCTCCGAAGAACGCAAAATGAGTTAATACTGGCTAATTGCCAATATCTGTTTGCTTATTCCGTCGTCAATTTTTCAAAAAAGTTTTATTTGTTTAACAGCATATTCTGTACGATCGTATTAAATCGAATTAACATAATTTGTACGAGTATTAAATAGTCAGTTTGATCATTAACTATCACATATAAAACACAACCGATATGGTTTATCAAATAAATCAGCTAATAATTCGATATATAACACATGCTCATAACAACTTCCTTTAGTTTCTAACGGATGATCATAACATAGATATCATCCTATTCCTAGATTAAGATCCATACCACTCATTATTATTGATATTAATCCCTATAATTTGGATTATAAAGTTCTTTAAATAATTCGTTATCAAATTAAATATGGTCAACGACGAATACTAACCTGTAAGATTTCTTCTCATAAAATTTAACACGACGTTTGCGTACAGATCTGAATTACAGAAGTGAGCATAATGAATTAAATTTATAATTTAGTTCGAGAAAAAACATCTATTTATTTCTTATACTATATAACACTGCTAGATTCTTACCCAACTGGTTTTCGAGACTCAATAATGCCCCTTCTTTGGAAGCTCTTAAATCGATCTTTGAATAGGTTGCCTTCCACCTAAAATAAATAGGTTATTAATCTACAATAACGTATTCTAAATCAATTTTAAAGCAACGCATTTAATTGTTCAACATTGCAAGCCGTACCGATGATGTTCTTAAGGAGCCTGTTAACTCGGTACTAAGTTTAATATCTATTTTCGGTTCTTCATAACTACATGAAAGCTCAGGAATAGAACGGGTAATAGCAAAGATAAAAGTAATTCGAAAAATTTCACGATGGCACTCTGAAGAGATGTACCAATTCTATTCCTAAATAAATCTTTAATTAATTCATTAGCAAAGTAGATAAAATAGATACGGGAGTTTTCCAAGCCGCTTAGGCATATGTCTACTATTTGCTAGCTTTAGCTCTTTCGTTTGCTGCTTTTTAGAAGATATTTCTTCAACTTCATTTAATTTACTTTTAATTTTTCTTAATCTATGATGCAAAAATATTTAGACGCGTTATTAACAAACAATGCTATTCATACATGATATATTATCTCAAAATATACCATCTATCAGTTTTTACGAAAGCTTGGCATAAATAGTACAAAATACCTGTAAATATCTTGCATTCTAGACTTTTTCAATTTTACGTCGTTATTGGCCATAGCCTAATTCGTTAGAGCAGCGGTAATAACATTAAGTTCACCGATCAATTAGCTAAATAACGTATACAAATGATAACGCCGCAAACCCGTAATTTCCTAATCTTTTTTAATCTTTTTTCTCGTAATGTTAGCCTTCTCCTAGCTCCTGTTCTAGTATTACCAACAGCGATATCATCATCAGACGCGCTACTGTTTACGTCATCTTCGTTTTCTTCCGTTTGAAACAGCCCACATGACATTTCTTCTTTCCATGTTGTCTAAGAATTTAAGAAAATTTTTAACGCTTTTAAATAACTATTTACGATCCCAAAACTAATATGAACACTAAATACGACTATACCACATCGTTCTGAAAGTTCTCTGGTAGCGCTAGCTTTCGATCTAATTTTTCTTGCTTTTTCAGTGATTTCATCTCTTCATCTATTGCATCACGCAGCAATACCTATTTAGGAATTAATCATAACGTTATAAACATGCACGTTACAGCTAACATCTAGATGCCACTACAAAAATTTATAGTCATACAAGCGGCGCTACAGTATACTCGGAAATAACCAGTGCTAACGGAATGGTCGCAATGTAATGGTCCCAGAACTGTAGATGTAGTGATATCAAGCAGGTGATAAGAAATTGTGTGCGGAACATTTGACTGACCTGATGATCATCATAAGCTGGATTATATGATGCTCCTGAGCTACATATTTGAACATTAGGCACTTCTGTTTCGATTTTTGCAACACTAACAGGTCGCTAAAAATAAATTATATAGTTCTAAACCGGTAGCAAACATAATATACATCTAAACCAGATCTCTTACGTGGCGCATACGGAATACTAGCAAATTATGAAAATAGTTCCACAAAATTGCATTTAATAATAACGTAATCAAGAACATATTTACTGACCATTGCAAATAGAATACCTTGTATTGATCTTTTGTCGTAGAAGCTATTTGATCACCCTTCTTTATTCCTTTCGAATCTAATGTAGTGAATATAAATTAAGTATTACCTGACAGAAATCAGCAAAGTGCTTGGCATAAGTCATTCCTTCGTATTTAATACTAAGGGTAAAACGATATCTTGAATATTAAATAAGTTATTTATTGAATACTAAAGACAAAACGATATTGTGAAGACGAATATTAGTATAGCTAATATATTTACTGTTAGCGGCCAGACTTTCATCACTTTGCCACAGGCTGTAAACTTGCTGTGAATTACTATTGTCAGGTACTTTTTCTTTACTATTACTAGTCTTCCCAATCAGTTTTTTTTTCTTTTTCAGCTCTAGATCCAAATTATAATCTTTACTATTGGTTTTCCTTTTTATTGCTTCTACTTTAGAAACTGGTTTTAGGAGAGACTCGATCGTTAAAGGTTTCCGCTTTCTATTTTTCTTCTCTTTTATCGCCGGCACTATACATAAGATAGGTAAGAATAGTAAGATATAGCTATGGCAAGAAGATCGCCGTTGGCTCAGACATACATGACATTATTTCTATAACTATACCATCAATTACTGTTACTTCTTGATCATCATAATTGCAAAACGACAGAAGATTTTCACTTCATCAAACTGTATCGATAATAATAATACAGTATTGCTTTTTCTTAGTCTATTTACCTTGATCCGATTTCGCATCTTCTGTGCCTCTTTCAACGTAAAACAGCTCGTCATTGCTCTTCAAAGATGCTGGGCCTCTATAATATATATAATTATTTCAGTAAAGCGGGCAGACGAAAACTGTTGTAATTACGCTAAGATACTATATATGTTACGTGGCAATCCTTGGTAACGTAGCATTTATAGTCTTAGAATATGCGGTGTGTAGCTGTAGCAATATAACATGATACCACTCTACTGTGCATATTCGTCCATGCTGAATATAGGTCCTAGTTATGCTCAATAAACAAGTGCGCAAGTATCACCAGCATGGTGTTCGACTAGTTTTATATAATTACAGAGAATATCTTTAGAAAACCTAATGTTTTAGATTGTTCACAAACACTATCATTACTCAGACGTATTATGTGAATTTAAAAAGGCTAACTAGAAGTTCTTTCTACCTGGTTATAGACAACCATATCAGATAACCTATAATTATTTATCAGCATGCACTACGGCAAGCAACCTGTTAAACATGATTGATAGTAACGATGAAGTGATTGTCCTTAATGCTTATTCATGACCACTTTGTATTGAAAATATGATATGCATAACGATGATTACGAGTACCGCATAGTTATCCGTAAGAACTACTCGAAGCAAACCTTAGACATGATTACATTTACTGAAACTAGCATAAACAATTTCATTAGCCATTGTTCCTTTACCCTAGTCTTTCATCTCTACGAACTTCTTCCAGGTGAGCTTCAACATCAGAAATGTCTGTCTTCTTCCTCCAAACAGATTTCGATTTCTTGCTATATCTTTTCCTGACCATGTTGCCACTACTCGTTTGTTGTAATTCTGTATTCCTACTAATAGAACTTAATTTCCTTTAGCAATCACGAACTCAATAACTGCTGCACCTAAAAAATATCCTCAATTCAAGTAATGTAGTCAAGCATGGATGTCTTGAACTGGTCTTCAGCATTGTGCTAGCAAATCATCTTCCCCGGCAGCTTTCTTTAGTTCCATATGAACTGATTACACTGTTTAGCACAGTAGATAGCCATACTAACTTAAGTCTCTTACAGTATTGCACACTGTCCTGTACAGTACAATCTACAGTATACAGTACTGTACAGAATCCAACAAAATTTAAGTTTATATACTAAAAATATTAAATTGAAGCAACGTATGACGAGGTGGCCGAGTGGTTAAGGCGATGGACTGCTAATCCATTGGGCTCTGCCCGCGTGGGTTCGAATCCCATCCTCGTCGTTTAAATACGATATATTTTTTTTATTTTCAATTACCCTCTAAATCCCAACAAATTCATAATACTGGAAAATAAGCTATATAAGTCTTATAATTTTTGCAGACGAGTCTTAAATTCATAATAAATAACGGTAATTAAACATTTGCAAATTCATCCTCGAGTTCAAAAACTTAGAAAATGTTACTTTCCTGCCTTTGATTTTAGTAATGATTATTATTTATAGTGTATAATTCGTAAAATCAATGATTTGGCTGCTTGAATTACTGGATTAGCCTACAGTCATGATTACCAGACATTTTCTAGCAGTCGATATTGCAGTATACTCCAGCATGCATACTGTAGATGAATCAGGTGAAAATTGTGGAGTAGTCCCTGGCTGAGTACAGTAGTCGCTATTGAATAGCGGCGTTGCGTTCGTGAGAGAAAACAAATCGTTCAATAAATATTCCATCTAGCTGCATAATGCAGACTGTTGAAGGTAGCTTATAGGACGGTAAATTACGATCTTATTTGATCTTATTTGTACAAGTAGTACTCTGGAATGCGTGAAGGGCGTGTTTGCGATTGGTTATTATTCATGATTTTCATATTACCCTTATCGACTGTCTTCGTTCACAGTTAATAGTTTAATAGTATAATTATCACTTTATGTGTATATTCTGTCATAGTAGATTTTATTTCCGGACTACTGTAGTATCTTATATGATTATTCCTTTGCCAGGAGCACTGAAATTATAATTAATCAGTTTGATTTATTTGATAGTATGCAGTTTTTTAATATTAACGGCTGCATATTAACCTTAATAGATTGTTCAGTAAGTATCACTCTCTTATTTCATCTTTAATAACAAAATGCGATATATATGACTACGTAATACGTGTAACTAAATCAATGGCAACTTCTATCTTTGCAAATCGAAACATCATCTGATACAAGATTATACTTTGTACCATGCAAACCATCTTCTGCTCGTATGTCGGCTAAATATTGAAATGTATTAGATAGATGATGGTCGTCGCTTTAATTTAATTTCTTTAGATAGTTCTCGTAAATTTTCGCATGGCAAATCCAACTTTATTAATAACTTCTATTTTAAATCTGTAGTTTTCGATTACGCTACGATAAACGTATGCACATCATAGTCATAGTACAGGATGTGTACTGTATAGCTTCACAACTGAATTTTTTAGTAGCAAATAGGTATAGTAGTACAGTAGTAATACTTTTGTATAGTATCGTACATTAGGATCAATTACACTAATCACAAGAATAGATGCAATTTATCATCGTTATTTTGTTTTTGCTATAAATATGCGTGTATGTGTAGATATAAATTTTATACACTATTCACTACAGAATTCAGTTCATTCAAAATAAATATTTCAAATCAATCTATTCTAAATTTAAGAAATGACTAAATGTATATGTCGGAGTACGGACTACTAAGAAAAAAATTGCATCGGGCTTTTTCTAGTAGTCCATAGCAGAAGCTACGCGATGCTTTTGACAATTTCATAACTACATTACTAATTTAATTGATTCTGTACCTACGTACGAATATTGGTATACAAGGAATTATACGTGAATATGAAATATCCTCATTACTGAGTTTATGTTACTAAAAAACCTTACATAGTCCTAAGTACTAAAGTAAATAGTAGATTTTGAACAATAATTACCTAGCGCAGGTAAATTATATTTATGTAGGCAAGCATTTTAATTACAATTTACCGCGGAATCATTCATTCATAAGAACGTGTTGCATGTAAAGTTATATCGATCGATAATATAGTCTAACGGAATCGGTTTGTAATCAATATTTTCCTATTTATTCCCACATTGTCTTGAATCTGTTAATAATTAATATATCAATGCCGTTACGCAGACTTTCTAAATAGCTATATTTACACGAGGTTACGTAGTCGAAATAGGTTTATCATTTTGTAAACGCTAAAATGATTTCGAAAATTATCGTCGTTCATACGCAACAGATGTTCACCTTTCGCGAATTGACCATAGATAAAATAATTTAGAAAATCCACTACATACTTAAAGGAATAGCATATTATTTTTTGACATTTATCTTGCATAACACGATTTAACGAATGAACAGTGAGTAAGTAAACAAGCTGTACTCACTCAGCTTTGTAATATGCAGCAAGATGGATTAAATCAAGAAACGTTTAACATTGTTGTGCGATGGTTTGCAATTAGACTATTGCTGATTATCCCTCGCATTCCGAGGTATACCAGAAACAAGTCTTACTCAATACCTGAGCTGTACACATACGAATACATAACTTTAGTTAGACACTGTAATAAGTAGTAAATGTTACAATGTTCTGTCATCACGTCATTATAAGATGTTGCCAGTCAAAACAAAACGAAATTTGTACACAAAGCCTTAAAATAACTCACAGGTTATAGATTCAGATAAATCTAGAAATCCATGACATACTGTATCGATATAACTCGCGATTACAGACAACTTTTACGACACTTATTTTGATTTTTCATTAGTTGTGGAACTACCAAACCATCCCGACCACCAGGTGTTAGAATTAGATTGTGGTGAAACATTGCTATCGCTCTTTCCTGTAGCGGGCGGTTCAGAAATGGCAGGAACTGGTACTGACAAATCCGTTGGCCCTTCGAAATTCTGATCTTCTTGCCTTGCTTCCTAAACAGCGATAGAAGCCCAAAACATGACTTAATATTAATCACCAGGCATGATATCATGTATAATTTTAACTACCGGTGCGCTCCTCGAGCCAAAGAGCTTTCCTGTAAAGCCGCCAGAAGACCATCTGTTATTAGCAGCACCACGTTCTCGTTGCAGTTTTGTTCTACGTTGTTCCTCTTCAAGGAAACGGGCTTGGTTCGCTTTAAATACTTCCAGCATATCATCACCTTGTTGACGATAAAAATCTAGGACAGTGCGAACGTCACTTACACCGGAAGTTGCTATTGCTATTATAATATGAAAAAAAGTTCTAATTTGGTAATTCAATCAGACAACATACCCAAATCATTTAACAACATCAGATGCATTACTTCGTAAAAATGGAATTAAATCAAACAAAGTTGTATCGGATGGATCACCATCCCATCTCTTTAAGTGAACAGCATTACTCTCATTTAATTTGGTTGCATTTCGATCCCAATCAACGACGATAACTTTGGAAAGATCACGGTTAAGAGCAGACATGTCCTAAACCAAAGATTAGATTAAATATATTTATGCTATATAAACGCACAAAAACTTCGGATATACTATACGACTGTAACCTTGATATGATGACCATTTTTGTATAAGGTGGAATCTCTAAACAACCTATACATGATGCAACCTTCTGAATCTAGCTTGTCAATGACTGGCATAGCGCCCTGATAAAAATCGCATATATAAGAAAAATAATATTACGTCACGAGTTATAGCCAAAGAAAGCACAGAGGCACAAAGTAATTGACTTACCATTCCTCCCTCACAAGTAAAAATAACAATTTCAAAAAGTGGAGGAGCACATTGTCTGAGAAGAGCATCAACACCTGGTCTTTTCCTAAAACGCCATCCCGTAGCTCTCTAAAAATTAATACCCCAATATTTCGTTAAGCAGTTGATTTTAAATTCCCGTGGTATCTGTCCAAATGTAAAGTCTCAATTAAGTACAGTTTTTAAAGGCTTACATCGTACTCAGGATGTACCAATATGTCTGTCATCTCCAAGACCAATGTATAAGGTGGTTGATAGTATGGTTCAGTTAAAGGGTCAGGCAATAATTTGGGGCTGATTGGATCGGAGAAGTACTGAAAGAACGTAAAACGTTATTTTAATCCTTGCCAAATGTAAATTACAATCCGTACTTCAATAAAGTATATTCCGATCAAAGCTATGCACGACTAGATTTAAAATTAGCCACTAAGATACGAATTTCGATTATAATTATTATTGCGAAGCAAATTGTATCATTCCTAGTAAAATCATATTGAGATGGTCTATCTTGAGCTGACGATACTGGAATACTATACCTTATAGTAAATCGCTTACCTTGATAGAGTTCCTAAGTCTATCTTTTGCGCGATAAATGTAAGCCAAAGCAATGTTTTCTATTTATAGGTCATGATATAATAAAATTACTTCAAGGTAATTATAATTATGTAGAGTATGAGCTAGAGGATACTGCAATAGGCATTTGCGCGTCATTATTTATGTAATAAAAGTTTACTGTAGCTATTTCTAAATTCTGAAATATATATTACTATAAAATTGCCAACTTGCCACAAATTGCTTGATATTATAACAGTAGCTATATTATACGATGCCAGAAATATTGCTACTATAGCACTTACTATGATCATAATTATCAATGTCCTGTAGATTTAACAAATAGATAGAGATTAGAGATGAGCAACGATTGACTTGTAGATATAACACTTATATATCTATATCTATACATTAATTATAATTATTAGTATTGATGTATAGTTTGGGCAAAAGCAGTAACACTAAAAAGGAGTAAAGTTTACCTCCTCTGGTTCCTTCGATGGAGCCCCTAGTTGAGTAAGTATGAATCGACATAAATGCTATGAGAATGACTCTTTGATATAACTATATTCATCATCACGTTAAATAAGTCAACCTAAATCTACAGTAGATGCCAAAACTACTACATCCACTACCTGCGAAAATGATTCCAGCAACACCAATGCCTACGGTTGTGCCAGCAAAGATTACCCATCCACGAATGCTCGGTCCTCCTTTCTTTTTTTCAGGCCGCTTGTAATACGTACGCGTTCGGTTAGGACGTAACGAATGCAAGCTCCATTTGTTTTCTTCCGCTCTCAGCTGGTACAAGTATCTTCTACAGCCTTTCAGTAGCGTTGAATACATACCAATATTAAATGGTCTACTTTTTAAAATCGACATCATGATGATCCAACGTGATGTCTGGCCTAAGGAAAGTGCAGCTAGGTATACAGCCTAGTAAAATCTTGCATTGCAGTGCTCTGGTCTGCACTGTCATGTGCACACCAGAGCCCTGTGCAGTTAGTCCGCGGTGCAGTTTACAGTACAGTACAGTATGGACGGTACTGTGCAATACATGCTACAGTACACTAATACAGTACTGTACTGGACAGTGTGCAGTAGCGTGCTAGGCCCCCATACGGTGCTGATCATCAGATTCATGTTGTAAGTAAAGTCATGGACTACTACAAGTCCAGTTAAGTTTTAAAAGAGATTCTTCGATGGAAACGTTTACAGCACTTTGGCAACACTGCCAGAAATCAATTACTACAGTAGTCATTTCCAGTAGTGGATGACTTTGGTATTTTATAAAATTCTCTATATTGCACCACTGCAATATAACCAGTGATAAGAATGATTCTTATTCTCTTAACGCAAATACTGTCAATCATATTCACTTGTAAATTTGTAAATTCAAAACACTAACACTCAGACTACTCAGTTCAGTACCATTCCAATTTAGAATAGTTAGTAATCCCTGGTTGCGATTAGCGTATTTCAATAACTTTGTTAACCATGACTCTAGTTTTACAGTGTAGCATTGACTGTACAATGTGTACTGTGCATTAAGCAATTCATGGTCTACTCTAGTCCGACTAATCCACTCTAGGCCTGTAGACGTCTCAGCACGATCATAGGACTCGCAAAGATGCCAAATTGAAACAGCAATCAAGAAATTTTCTAGTCCCATTCATTTACTCATTCACTTTCATTATATAACATATACCGTTTTACAGTACAATTAATCACGCTACCTGCACTGCCAGTAGTAGATTACGAGTACGAACGAGCTAGGAATAAAAAATAGCATGTAATTTAAGTATAAATGATCTTCATTAACTCCGCGTAAACCGATCACTTATTCTATAAATTGTTGATCTTTTCTGCCATTAATTTAAAGTGATTGGGGGCTAGATTGAATTAATAATTAATTAATTTAAGAACTAACTTCTAGTGGACAATCTTGTAATCGTTAATTTCATATCCTCTTCTTCTTGTATCATTGATCGAGCTGGATGGATGAGCATTATGAATATAACGACGTTGCATATTCTATTAATTTACACCACGTACAAGTAGGTATTACTATTGAACATCTAATTGGTAGCAGTGCTGTGCAAAATAATATTGTTAATAACGGTTGCACTTACTCTCCGCGTCACACGGTACGATTAAAAAATTTTTTAGTATAAAGGATTCACAACGAATTGGACCACCATCGGAAATCGAAAATAATACCCGCACCCATTTAATCGCATACAACACAGGACTGTGCATATGATGATAATGAAATGTAGTAACCCTAGTTGTATCAACCCGTTATTTAAACTACTACTCGTCAGTCGCCACTAACAGGAATTATAATTAAAATGTATAAAGAGTAACCCATAGAAAAAATATTCAATAGTAATAGAAATGGCATCATTACTGAATTTTACACCCTTATCTGTGATTAACAGTATTTGATAATATTGTATTATCATTATTACCCCCCTCAGCTGATTATATAATATATAAATTGTTGATCAATGATGTACAAAGTATAAAATTTTCTTTATAGCCATTTGATAACTGTAAGCAATAATTTAATAAGTCCACAAATCATATTAGAATAATTGGCATGATCATGATTTAGCTTCCCAAAAATGATCATACCTAATTTTATTTACGATCAACCAAACATGGAGATAGCAAATCAAGTACAAATTCTATTTACTATACCAACAGTCATTCGTTATTACCATATTGAAATAATAAAGAGTGATAAGGCAATTAAAGTACTGTTATTGCGTTCGACAACGTAATTATCATTAACGACTTCTAATTATGACAAGAAGACAAAATCGTCAAGCAACATTGATTCATTTATCGATGAATGATAATTCAGTTAATTAACTAAGATTCAGTTATTACGTGAGTACTTAAACATTAACGACTGTATCCGATGATGCTACTACTACGTAAGATTTAACTCTTTCCCTAGAAATTTCAACATCAAGTTAGTTAATTTATTTGCTGCCACCAGCTGACAATTTACTCAAAATATCATCCTTGTCCAATTCATCTTTATCTGTTGCTTGAACATGCAAGTGAATACCATTTAATTCTTTCTTGAGGTTTTCTTTACTACTGGCATACACCATCTTTACTTTAATCTTTGCAGTATCCGGTACCCTACAAATTAATAAAGATAAGAAATAAACAGAATTGGTGTTCAATTACTGATATGTCATAACATCTTAAAATAAGGGTGAGATTTTATAAAATATGTAATACTAGCAGTCATATTAACGTTACTTCCTTCCTTCTACTTATTTTGCGGAAGGACTTGTGTAAACATGCATAGGTATATCTAACTGTCAGTTAACATTCGAATAATACTGTAGATACTTTGTGTGAAAAGAAATTGAAATACCTAATTCACATTGTCAACAGTCCTGGTAACTGTCTTTTACAATAGAGAAATCTAATCGACGACTTACCATGCAATGAGAACCAGTTTATTTCTTTCACCGCCATCCGCGGTGAAATATTGGAAATCATAGACAGCAAAACGTCCATCATCTTCTGGTAATCGGGCAAGAAGATCTTCATAAGAACCTTCTGTAACTGCATCTTCAACCACAATTTGGGTTTTGTTATCATTCAATTTGAAAAGTATAAATTTGTATTTATGGCGCAGCTGGCAATCATCGTACGTTGATAAGACATTTTCACCTAATGTTACACCTGAAGTCTAGAATAAATACATATAAAATCAATTAGAGCTGACATTATTGGTGATGATCTATTTTACAAATAAAATATCGACTGCAAAGTAGACACAAATGAACGTATATCTTACTTCATTAACAAATAAATGCCTGTGAATATCCACTGCAAAAATAATGCATGAACACCGCGAATAAAATTAATAGTGATATACTAACGTTTCTAGATTTTCATTTAAAATGCAATGGTTTTCTATGCTGTATAACCGAGAAGGGTAGGACTTTAATAAATGATTGACAAGCAGTACAGTTGAAGAAAGTACTGAGAGTCCTGAGGTGATAGGCATTTCTGTGAAAACCGTGAACGTGCAACTTGATTTCACCACATAATAAATCAAGTTAATCGATAACATACTGTGTATACTGAAAATAAGTATGGGATATTTCTTTTAAGAATTTCTGCCTACGTCGATTGCATCGATTGGCAATTACAACATGCCAAAGTACGGGTTAGTAAACAACCTCTACCGTTATATTGCAGCTAGCTTCTGGAATGCTGTCTATTAGTACTTCATCACTCAAGGCGAATATTTGTAGCGTGTTATATACGGTATACTAATAAAGGTACTGTACCGTATGATTTGGTCTCTTACTCTTATTACCTACAGTACTCCCATATGTGTCTTCTTTATTGGTTTCGGAGTGGATTCAGCGGGAAAATATAGTATTCGATGACGACTGGCCTAGGCTAAAACTACTTTCTCAATTTCTGCGATTGGCTTGTAAGTTCCAACCAAGTATGTGCAATGATTCAATTATTATCCTTTACTAATTTGAAACACTAGAACGCTTTCGGTTTAATTTTCTGTCCATTTTTAAAGCGTATATGCGTCGAGTCTATAAGCGCGAAAGACTTCACCGTCATGTGCCGAAATGGCTAGAAATCGAATCTTTGGAATTCAAAAAGAAAACTACTGTACCTGTCGCCACTTTAAAGTGTTGATAATTGAATTGTAGACTGAATTTGTTCAGTGTCTGTAGGGTTTGGCATTATTGTTAATCTATTTCGACATCCTACAATTATCCGCTAGCGATGTGTAAAACTGACCAGCATTACGAAATGTTAGCGTCCAGTATTGGTGTAAGATACAGACTACTGTACTGTGCAGCAAGAGTAGAATTATAAAAGCGGAGAACGCATGTTGGCCGATCCAATTTGTGTTGGAAAAAAATGAAAAGACTACACCAATCAATATACACTACAATTTACGCAGTGGTCTAATATACTTTTAAAAATTGCAGACTTATTTCATAGGAATGAAGAAATTGACTATATCCTCATGGTATGCCTTTCAGCAGTCCAAACAGTACCGTACCGTATAGTACATGCAAACTACTGCAATTGTATGCGTACTGCCAAATCTGATTGGCCATTTATCATGTCCAACCAGCAACGGTGCAAAAGATGATATTTTCAACATCATATACTGTACAGTAGGATACGTACATCCAATGAAACTCCAAAAAATAAGACTATTTTATAGAACCTAGGATAGAATAGCAGTATTGCCCAAAAAATCGCTAAGATAGACCTACCATTTTCAATCTTGGAAGGCTATACGGCTGAGTTCAAAACTGGAGACAAAACCACACCTAGGCAGAGGGCACACTCGTGAAAAAAATTGACGCTTCCCAAGCCAATCAAGTCCACGGTATTTATACAGTTGGAGCTGCGATCGATCAATGATGAAAATGGTCCAATTGACCAAATATGGACAAGATGAAATTCATTACAAAAAATCAATAGCCAATCGAAAGGCTCGGGTGTCGGTCAAACGTTTCAACCGCATCATAATGCGGCTGCGTATACAACTTCCCTTGGCGTGGCCCAGACTGGAGTCCTAGTACGGTACTGTACAGTATGGCACGTACAGTACCAGTGTGGTGCAACTACGGTACAATTCCAGTAGACCTGTCGATGGTTTGCTTCAGCAGCTTTACTGGCTGATTTTTCAATATCAAACTAGTGTACTGTACAGTATAGTACTGTCCAGTACAGTACGGTATACTGTACAGTACTAGCTTCGTAATACCCGTTGTACTGTACAGTAAATTGAATGCTGTCCAATCGTTGCTCAGCAGTCGCCGTACTGTACTGTACAAATTACTCGTATTACTTCGCGTTTACTGACAGTATTGTATGTCGTCATGTTTTATTTTCATTTTTCTATCGCTTTCTATAACGAATTGACGATGCACCAAAACAACCAAATGCACTGTATTTATCGATGAATAATGAAAATTATCCCTTTGACCAAATATGGATAAGATGAGATTCATTCATTAATCTTTAAACCAATATGGAAAGGCTCAAGTGAAGCAGTAAACAAGGCTCTACACCAGTGTACAATATACTGTACAGTGCTGTACTGTACAGTACAGTATACTGTATGACATACAGTACTGTACTGTACTGTACTGTACTGTAATGAATCTCATTTTCTCCATATTTGGGTAAAATGGACCGTCTTCCATCATTGATCCAGCAGAAGCTCGAACAATTGGTGCAAAAACACCTGATTATCTTAGTAATAATCGAAGTTAATACTGCTGTTACTGTTAGTCTTTCGTGATATAATAGAAGTGGGGCTTACAATAGTTGTTGGCATTCTAAGATACAGAAACAGTATGGGAAACTCCACAGTAATTCTTTAAATTTGCTGTTGTTGACATTTTAAGATAAAGTATATGAAACTACAGCATGTACAGTGCATTACAACAACAAAATGACAAGAGAAACAGTACAATAAAGTAGATCGCTGACGACTCCGAAATTGTCGTGGAGTACAGTATACTTACTGTACTGTACTGAATATTATTTAAAATGGAGACTAGTTGCCGTGTTATTTCAACTGTAATAACGTATATATCAGCTATAGATATAATATAAACATGGATACTGCAGTGTCCTTTTATCTCCCAATACAGTCAATAGCTTACGTAATCCTCAACTCAATCGTCAGCTGATCGTCTGATATAACAGAGAGGTATTGCTAATTTATTTATGTAATAGTTTCTATACTAGGGGTTATGACGCATCAAGGGTGCGTTAGGTAATTGTTCGATCAAGCTTTGATGTCAACAATTACATATTGCTCACATATTGGAAAATAGATCAAAAATTACGATAATTAGTATACAGTTGTAGCTCACGTTATATACCTATATCGATTACAAAGCATATAGCACTAACTTAATCAGGCTATAGTAGGGAAGGCGTGGATTAAAATATCCAAGACTCGCAAGATTACACAATTGATTTCAATAATAGATTAAAAATTATTATAGCTGGCAACATACTTGTACCTATGGCTCGTAAGATTGATTACATAACTGACTGATTCGATAAAAGATCCAAAAATATATATAGTACAGATTACATCATACGTACTTATACCTAAAGTATAGCAGTATTACTAATAATATTAAAACTACGATCATATCGAGGATAATCTGTATCATCTTGTATGAAAATATGAATCATGCTTCATATTTACAATTTTCAAATTTATGGTGCGCTATTGCTGTCAGAAAATACAAAGATCTGCACCCTTCATTTAGTAATGACACAGTGACGCTCGATGATACGCTTTGAAACAAGCATATATATTTGGCTGGTGTATAACTAGTAACAAACATCTGATTCAATTTTAAATTACAACTCTCAATGTAGTAATTTTACTTTTAAATTTATTATCTGAATATTGAGAAGTTAATAGACAAAGTAAACTATTGTTTACGCTATAGTATTTAAGTAAAATTTTACCCAACGGGAAATAAAATTGCTTTCCTAAACATGACTAACAAGATACATACATATTTACAGCGATTTATAAGACTGAAAGAATTTTTGGCATCTTTTCTGCTAGACTAGTAATTACTATTTCAGACTGCTTTACATTTTAGCTTAATGTCGATTAATGAAGTCATAAACTAGCCTTATGTAATAAAATTCACAGTAATCTAAACCTTGTTAGATAATGATAAGCTATTTTATTACGTTTGTGGGGAGATCAGTATCGAGACCAGAGATTGAGGAACTAGACTATAATAAGTAAAACTTAACCTATATGCAACGATCTTATGCATTAGTGATTCGCACTATACATTGTATATTACACATTAGTGATTACCTTATTAGATAAGATTGCTGACGTTAACACAATTAAGATATGGTCTCTGTACTAATATAAATCCTTCTGTACTGACATTAGTAATTATTCTTATCAATTAATTTACATTCGTCCCCTAGAATTTCGAAGAAATAAAATTACGGATAAATTCTAAACAACAAGTCACAATCATTTTATTTATTATAACAATCTTGACAATGCATCAGCATTATTGTTGGTATGACCTGTAACTAGTATTAATTGATATTAAAATAGGCAACAGTACAGATTTTTATATATCTAAACATTATTACCACGACAAGTTCCTGAAAAAAAAATTCTACGTTTTTTCCTTATTTATACAAAGCAAAATCTTGAACTATGATACCTTATAAATGTATATCTGTAAGCATACCGTAACAACCAGTTTTTCTAACAATGCCATTCGGTATCATTATCAAGTTATATCATTTAGAATTAATTCATAATCAAATCCCTTGTCAAGACGTTGTGAAATTGTCATACTTGTTTTTCTTACTGAAGATATACCCATATGAGTCATTAATACCATACTATCTATTAAATTATATAATACCGTATAATTAATTATTAATTGTAAACACCTCTACGCGTAAAAAAAACCAACAGGTTACAGACAGTATGATATACTGTACAGCACAGTAGAGATTCTAAAAGGACCTTTTATTAGGATCCCAACTATGGTACAGTAAACCAGAGATGAGCCGTTCGCGAATTTTTAACAAACTAATGCACCTACTGTTATATCTCGCCTAAATAAATCAAACAAAAGCCAAATGATATTGATAATAATAATGACTATCATAAATTGTCATAAAGCCCTAATCATGTTTCACCTTGATTTTGAGCTAATTTAAGCTGACTTTATCTATACTAATCAGGAGCTTTCGAAAGACTGCGTGGGATAAATCAACTATATACGCGTATATATAACTATTATAATATAAATTATCAAACAGTATAAGGATTTACTGTAATTTGAACATACAGTGATTTATACGCGTATCACAGTTTTGTAAAGTACAGTATAGCCAAGAGCTTCCGAAAGCACTGCACTGTATTGTAAAGCTAAGCAGTACTTTCCAAAGCAATTTAAGTCTAGCTGGCTTAGTATTATTAATTTGACCGGATCATTGACACCGAAGTGAGTGGTAGGTAATGCGGCAAAATTTTTTAGCTATATATTGACAGCGAGGCAGCATTCAACTAGTAGACATGCTGCGGTTGCATTACTAACTACTTTAGTACTTTACTGAAGCAGCTTTAGAACTACAGTACTTGGAATTTTGGATCGCTCTAATTTCACCTAATTGGTGATCCAGGTACTCAATTAATCTACAAATGTAAGAACAATTCATTAAAGACTTGACTCGGACATAAAGCTCTGGGTTGCAGCATGATATAGCTCATTACTTGATCCCTATTCCTTAGCTAATACAGTATGTAATTTCTGTGTAATCTCGTGGTACTACATAATGAGCATCTTGCTTTAAAGTCGAAACTGGAATGGCACGTCAGTCATCTGCAACTTAGCTAAAGAATACGCTGAATATCTGCTTTTAGAAAGGCGTGTAATATAGATAGTCAATGCACAATTATAACAAACTACAAAATACTATAACTTACAATTGTGTGTAAATTAATAATATCTGTGATAATACGAACACATCTAGCTTGTACTAGCTTATCTTAGCTGTATCTTTGTAATGGAAAAGGCTAACAAAGTAATCTTGATATTCCTAGGCATTACTTCATGCAAGTGTACTGTATTTTATGAAACGATTTCCGGAAGCAAATTAAGATTTTAGGGTGTCGATATACCTATACCAAAGTGCTAACTAGGCAATGTAGAGCATCCATACTTGCATAGCATGTAAAGTCTACTTAGCTTTAATAAAGCGCCGTAATTTTATGTTGGTAGTTCTAACCAATTCACTAATACTTTACTAATTATACATCACATAAATAATTTATGGGTATTTATTACACCAAATGAGCTTATAAATCTTTATAGATTGTATCATGAAGCTTTAAGTTGATAATTTATAGAATATAGTCTACGTATAATATATTAAAAATGTTCTTGATAGTTAGCTAACAAGCGAAGCATATAAGTCCGTCCATTCACCTTGTAACCCTAACGACAAAACTCACAAAAGTATTACATGTATAGTACAAAGTTTTAACTCTTCTTATTATCTTCGGCTATTTTAAAGCCTTCTTTCTCTAGCTTTTCTTTGTAATCGTCAAATATGCGCTTCCGATCAAAATAGGATACCTACAAACATCAAGGAAGAATCATTAGAAAAAGGTGCTGCTTTACAATACGCTGATCGCATGGTATTGTGCTATATCAAAACTTCTAGAATTAACTTCATTTCCACAAATGACATCGTTGTACAAGTCTCCAAAGACGTAGTAGTCGACTCTGTACACTGTACAGTATAGTCTCACATCTTGTATAATTAATCAATGTAATACATATACGTAGATTGTTTGAGAGCTGGGGTAATAGTGAATTGTGCAGCACGGGATAAGGTTACATTTATACGAGCAATGTCGTCGCATGCTTTACAATCCCTATGCATTTATGTCCAACTATATCTTTTTTACAGCAGTTATACTGTCATAGTACAGTATACGAGTAATATGTCATGCTATGTAGTATGGACACTTTTACATTACTAATACTGTAACTTACAATTACATGTTTTAAACTAACAGCATTTACTTTAAGCTATCTGTAGTAAATTATCTTACAGTAGTCGGCGATAATACTGTAATACTGTACACATCCACTCAATGAAATTAATACAGGATATTTAAGAGCTAAAATGACGTTACTGCAAAAAAACAGTTTACGAACTACAATGGCGTCTAGCGTGTCTCTAGTGTTCTATTTTAGGAGGAAATTAGCTTAACAATATTACAATACGTATAGCATAGGTGTAGTGTAACTACGTTGATATTGTAAGAAACCTAACTCACTTATTAATTGGCTACAGCTAGTTATACCGATACTAACGGTCACTGCAAAGCCTGTCCTATTTTTTGAATGCTGCAGATTTATGGTAAATTATGGTGATCTACAAAGACAGTAAAGTATTCTTAAGGTACGTGTAGTTTATGCAAACTAACTAACCCACGATGGTAAGCACTTTTCATGGTATTCTTTCTTGAGTGCATCACATAGCGATTGATTAGCTGGATTTTTGATTCTGCATTCGTAATATTCGTCCCTTGCACGATAACATGCTTTCCTACCGGTAGCACTGATGTCAGGCATCTCTGCGGCACTTCTAGCCGTTGAGCCTACCACTCTACTTCTTTATAAGAGACTATGGCTACAGTAGTCTAGACCTGACATTGGCTACTGTACTGTACAGTACAGTGTGCAGCGTACAATGTACAGTGTAAAGTACTGTTCATAATGGTGCAACAGGTGCACTGGTGCAGCCCGCAGCAGCAGCCGTACAGAACCTAGGACGCGTTTGCCGGATCCAACCGATCAATCCAGTTCTCCCGGAGTCATTTCTAAAATCTCATAGAGATTGGTATTATTCAGCTCCGTGCGTCTACGCATGTACTGTACAGTACAGCATCACGGCCATACCGAATTGCGGGAACACAGCTAGGCCTGTTCTCTCTTTAGTGGTCCTATTTTAAACAGCATGTTACATACTGTAGTAACTGTACGTACACTCGTACAGTAGATCAAATCATCAAATCCATATTCAATCAAACTGGGTAGAATCAGGGCTTTCATGTAGTTAGTCGAAAAGAAGAAGAGTCCCTGAAAGAAATCTGCAGTACAGTAGAAGACAGTGTACAGTACAGTACAACATGCACAGTGCGCACTGTACACTGTACACTGTACTGTACTGTACACTGTACGCATACTGTACTGTACAGTACACTGCAATGTGAACCAGTTCGAATCAGAGTACTTTAAGGTATCCTAAAATTTATCTGTATGTATAGAATTTAGAATTTAAGGCAAATTTTGCAACTTTACTACAATTTATTTTGCCTTATAGCACTCTAAAGAGAACTGGCTCACACCAGTACAGTGTACAATACAACATCCACAGTGCGCACTGTACACTGTACACTGTACGGTACATACAGTACAGTGTACAGTACAACATCCACGATGCGCATTGTATTGTACACTGTACACTGTACAGTATACGCATACAGTACTGTACAGTATAGTACACAACTAGCAGCATTGCACTGCGCATAATTAAAGTCGACGTTGACAGCGTAGGTGGTCAACGAAACGTTGGAAATTTCACCAGCTTTGTAAGTAAAACTATCCAATTTGCTGCATAAACATAAACATTATTTAGCCATACATGTAATTCAATTTGTGATCTGCAATCCATTACACCAATACACCGATCATTATCTTGAATATGATAGAATTATTAGTTACAACCGTATCTCTGAAACATAAAATTTCAAATTTCTTAAAATAGACGCGCGTACTTCTACATGATTCAATTCAATTCGGTCCAACATTAGTAGACGAACGGAATTATATTGATTGACAATTATGTTTGATTTGATTATTCATTTTATTTTTATCTACCGTTAGAACTCGATATATATCACTAAATGACTTTATTGGATTAACTATTGTGCATATTTGAGTTCTATTTTATATTAGAGCATACACTAAATAATTTAGGTCAAATTTTTTACAAGATAAACATGGTCTGATTGTTTTATATCTGCATCATTCTTCTATGAAATTCATTCCCAAACGATCGAATAGTATTATCATAAATAAATTCATCAGTCAATCAATTAAAGGATTGTATCAATCTGGCTATTTTATCCTAGCTCGTATCACTTATCGTCACAAGTTGATATTGATGATTTTCGAATTCAACAACCATCAAGGTTCAGTTTAGATCAATCATCATAACTGCAAAATATTTGTAGATATATCAGTATTAGTTGTAATGATTTACCATCAAATCATGTTATCATATTCAAGCTTAACACGGATTATCGTACAATCAAAGAGTATTACCGCTACTAATTGAATAAATTATAAATAGGAATAAATACAATCTATCGGAACGATTAACACACACTTATCGTTGTCTATCTAGATTAACGATTTAAAAGGCCTGTTTGAACTCCTAGTCCAAAACAACAGTTATCATGAGAGCACCAAATTATGTTGTGGTAAATTACGTATTTCGTGATACCGAACATTCCATATCACTTGAAATCGATGACAATTTATTAGTCATTGAAATTGAAGAAAAAGCCACACTAGATCAATGGCATGGAGAATTCGATGTCGAATGTAAGTTTTAAACATAACATTTTTACAATATTAACTACTGTAGCTACGTTAACACATGGAAGAATATCATAATTATCCAGATCATGCTGTATACGCAATAAGGCAATAAATTTTATTCTATTCTATAGAGTAAAGATAACTTACCAGTTTGCATTTCTTACTTAAATCTGAACTTTATTCATACCCCTAATCGTTTAATATGTCACTCATAGATGTTGAAGAGCTTACCCGTAAAACTGGAAATTTTAAACAGTTTCCTATTTTTGTAAATATGTTAAAAAGTGCCCTACTAAAGGTAAATACTTTATATTTAATGGAGTGGAAACAATATAATAAATCCTACATTTCTTAAGGAGTAATCAAAGCAATGCCAGAGATGATTAATAGACTAGATAAACACAAAATTTTTCGACGTTGTTTTATGCCATTTAATTGACAGAAGCAATCTACCATTTTATTTAAAAAATAGTAAAAATAAGTCGTAGCATAGACAACACCGTTATGATGATTAGCTGTTAAATTTTATAAATGTACTACAAAATTATAGTAATTGCTCAACAATGTTAGATTACAAAGTTATAGAATTTAATCTAATCGTAACATAAATTAAATACGGTACTTTTCTGGATTGATTCGTTAAATTTAGTTTATTTTCAGATATACTAGTAGCTATTAAGTTATCATTGCATATACTCATTCAGCATCCACGGTGTTCTTATATTATCTCATTAGAAATAATCTGATAATATATAATATATTGCGATATTGTCTTATTGAAATGCCATTCTTACGTTTACTTATTTTTACAGTCGTCTGATTCCGTTTCTTTGGATTTACTAACTTATACCGATTTGGAACTGCTACGCAATCGTAAACTTGGTATAAACACCGCAAATACATCTCACCCTCCTTCAACCAGTTTAGCTAATAAAAGATATATTATCTTAACATATACAGTCGAATTTGATAGGTACAGAACTATAAACGATCAATTTTTAGCTTTAGATGTATATTTTAGAATATAAAATAAAGAAAATTGCGATTTCGTTACTTATAACTTCTATGAATAAATCTTCAAGAGTAAATAGACAAAAATGATACAATTACAATACTTTCATACTACTATCTTAAAATTATTAATAAACAACAGCTTTATACATCTAATAAGTAAATTAAAATATGATGCCAAGGTAACACCCTGTGTTTGCTCTTAAATTAGAATTCATTATCCATTGCCCCTACGTTATCAAGGTAAACCCGATCCTGCATTACTGCAAGAAACAATTAGAAATTTAAGAGAAGAAAATAGACAATTACAAGCTAAGGTATAATATTTTAGTCATTTAAAATATACCAATAAGTGCACACATTTTAACGATATCTGAAGCAAATTTGTTTTCGTCATCGTTACAAAGACAAATCGCTCTAGCTCTTATAGAAATAGCGACGTAATCAAGATGCAAAAACAGTAAGTTCTCACCGTTATCAAATACGAATATACTCGTATAATATACATAAGCTACATCTTATCATATTAATTCTCGATTAATCCTTACATAGAAATTAATATTAACATTATCAGGATAGATAAATTAAAACAAGAGAAAGAGGAAATCGAAGAAGCTTTCATTGAATACAGGCGAGAAATAGAGAGTACTTCGAAGGCTGATATTACGAAAGAAATCAAGGTACTTAAAAAAATAATTAAAAATCTTGAACAAGAATTACTGAAGGAAAAATCAAGGCATCACCATGTTTCTAATAAAAGGAGCAAAGAGTATCGTAGCTTAATGGAAGAGGTAATCAAGAATGAATTAGAAGACATTACTTCGCTAATTTTAAATTGTCATTTATGTTAACATGTATCTAATTTTATTTCAGATAGAAGCACTGCGATCAAGTGAGCGAAATCTGCGAGTTCGATGTAAAAGTCTGAGTAATGAATTGGCATTGCTAAAAAATGAGTATGTAAAAATTATTTTTGCTAATATTTTGATTAGCAATTTTTAAAAGTGAACGTTTTATTCTATACTTTAAGCAGACGACGATCGATACCGTCTAAATCTCGCTCACGTACCCACTCTCGCGACAATTCCGTACCTAGAAATACATCTAGATCAAGAGCTTCTGTATCCGTAGAAAGGCATACCCCTAAGATATCGAATGTATCTCGAAGAAAAAATTGGTCTCCCTCTCCATCAGGTAAACCACAATCTATCACTAAGTTGCTAACGTCATTTTGTGAGATGGTAACACAAATTTGAGCTATTTGTTAACATCTTTAACTCTATTGTTATCTATCCATAGGAGCTAGATACCCAAGATTTGATCCGACTGCGTATCCCTTTTAGCCGTTACGATAGTTATCAACATGATATTTATGCTAGCTTATGGTCCTGTGTAGCTATTTCCAAGTGTGCACGCGGATAAAATGCTAATTTATGACTTTAATTAAGCATAAAGTATGGTACCAGTTTGGAAAATTATACCTTAACCACTAAATTAGATATGTAAAAGATAAAGTACAGAAACAGCGCGACAGGGTGGATAGAAAGTACGCACAACTCTACTTTAACAATATCCGATTTTAGGTTAATAACAGCAAAATATGTTTCTTTACTTGATCAGTAGTCGAAGAGTAAGCCAAAAACAAGGAGAATATCGGCCGCCGAGATCTAGGTCAAATTCATATGAGCGACCACATCGTTCATCATCATGTAAGTTTTAGCTTTCTAGTTATACTCTATTCGTAATTAACATAGGTAACAAATCAAACTAGATTAAGATAACATTAAACATAATAAGTACATACATGATTAGTATCTCCATAGTTATAAATAGTAAGTAGATTTTCGGTTAAGTCAATTCATCGATGTTTTCAAAATTCTAGTACCACGACAACAATCTGGTGTTAGATCGAGAAATTCTTCAGGTAAATTTATTTCGGTATTCGTCAAGTAGCATTGCCGATCTTCACTTACTCTAGACGATAATTTTATCCTTTGCTTAGTGGCTAGTAGTAGTAGCCGAGCATCTCGAGGATCCGTAGGAACGAATTCTGATCATTCTTTTCGTGGCTTGCGTAATAAATCAGTTGAAAGGTATACTAAGTATATAATTATAGACCTAATTATTATAAACTTGCTGCTAATGGTACTATATAATATAGATGCAGTAATTAATTTATCGTCATCAAAATCAAAAATATTAATCTAGTAATGTATATAAATCTTTTATAATATCTAAACTAAGACATAAAAACCGATCAAGCACACCCCAAAGAAGCAAAGCTGACTATTCAAGGAAAGTAAATAAGAAAAATAAAGATTCCATGTCTAGAAGAGGTTAGATTGCGATTTTAAATACAATATAATATAGGATGCTAATCTATCATTTTACATTTTACTAATTACTTGTTACTACAATCAAATTTTATACTCTTTATCGTCAAGATATTCTTATGATATAGCCAAGAATACAGTATTAAAATTTTTAGCTTACTCTTTAAAATGTAATTAATTCTTAGAGAATTTTTCGTTATATTATACTATCAAATGATGTTATGCCGCACCATTTTTTACAACTTATTCTTTACTTGATGAAAATTATACATATTTCGTAGTGACGCTCAAATTACGATTTCAATTATTGTCTCTAGTTACGGAAAGCAACAACATCGAAAAGTCTGCCAATATGTCAGATATAGATGCACGATTAGCTGCTCTTCAGAGCTTTTTATACACGCGCCAGTCGAATTCATCAAGATGAAAGGCGTTACAATTCAAACTTGGCTGAAACTTTGAAGCTTTGCAATTAATGCAAGATAACCTAAGTCACAATTATGCAAAATAAACTATTATAGAATCTATATTATTCTTTCTTTTAAAGATTGTATAGTTAGCAAATCAATTAGTGTGATTACGACTTTTGATAGAATACTAAGAAAGCTGTATTTAAACATGCTATAGCCATGAGCTAATGTTTTCTAATTTATTACGCTTTCTTATTCTTTTTTAAGATCGTTATACTACAGGTATATCCGTGCTTCTTTGTAATCTGTATTATTGCATTTTTAGAATGAAGTGCTGACTAACACTACGTGTGTATGCAAGTTAAGAGCACAAATATCTTGTAGCAACTTATTATACTATAAGATTCTTAATATACTAAAGAATCTTTACTTCGATACTACTTATAAGTTTTTACTGTGCCTTGCAATGGATTCTTTACTGCGAAATATAATAGATTTTTTAAATACAAGTATTTTCTTACAAGATCTGTATAGGTAATTAACAATTACAGGCTAAGTTAGTTCGCCTTATTTATCGAGTGAAATTGTTTGGATTCTCAAATTTGTGAAAGATTTCACAAGAATCTAGCGAATCGTTGAATAAAATCGTACTTTTGTCAGAAAACTGTTTTGGAATGTCATATGAAAGATGGACGTCGAATTAGAACGAGAATACAGACTAATGAAAGGCGGACATTAATAATTATAAGGATAGGCCGTATTTAAAAAATAATAGAACTCTCACAATTAGAATTTTTCAATATACGGTAATTAGGCTATAAAAACTTTTTATTAATTAAAAAGCATGCTTTTGAAATTCCAGCACTTTTATCAACTAGGAAACACACAACTGTATCAGCAATTCAGCGTGCATCAGCTCGATATATCATTCGTAAACAAGCAGAGTCGAATAAAATATTCTTTCTGAAATCATAATATCAAAATTATTTTCTCTACCGCTGTACTGGATTATAAGCAGAAATAGTTTTTATTTCGTTGTCTGCTATCCACGAATCTCATCAGAGTTTCAAGCATATTCGATAGGTTGCCAACAGGCAAAATCAAATTTTGATAGCAACTGTCTATATACTTATAATAATAAAATATTACATATGGAAATATAACGAGGGAAACAAAATCAATATACCGTGTTAGAGAGATAATGTTACATTCTTATATCTATTGCAAATATTTTAACATGTTATACTATATTGTAGCGAGAAATAATCGCGATTCTACAGTATAAACTGAAATAAATCTTGAAAATACGTAACAGTGGATAGTCATAGTAGCCGCTCGATGTATACAACGCAATCTAGCTAGCTGAAAAATGAGGACAGTTATAAATGTCAAGGTAATGACCAAATATACGATTTAAGAAGACATTGTGAGTATGTAAAGATTTACAAGTAAATTTTTAATTGTAATAATAAAGATCTTGAAAACATCTGAGAGTTTCAAATTCTTAAATCTTATACTTGAAAATAAGATGTTATATATGAGAACGATGTGATCAAAATTGTTTCTGCTAAGCGAATTAAACTACCGCTTGCAAGGAAGATTTAAAATGGATTTTAACTCTACCGTAATGCTGCGAAGTAAAGCAAAGCGATACCGTAGTGTTGCACCTGTCTCTTATAAAACCTACAGATTCCACACACATACGCAGTTCAGTAATACATTGTGCGTAAATGATGCAATGCGATACTGCAAATGCATTTATTTTATTTAATGTATAGTGTTGTGTACTTAGATTCTGTTCGTGAAACATCAACCTGCTGTTTTAAAGCTCTATCATACTAGTCATTAATAGAAATCTATAACGTTACGAGATGTACAGTGGTTATTTTTGGTTTACGGCTCTAGTTAATTCAGTAGATAATTTTATAGCTCTTATTCAAATAATCAACGGTAACTACAAAGCTAGGCGTCGTCATATATTTGATTACCTGCTCAAGATAAACAATTTTGATTATTTTATCATAGACAAATACGCATACATAATCATATAGAAAAATTTTAAGTGACATTCAACTCCATCTGATGTATGCTAAAATTACTTCAATTGCTGAGAAGCCAGGTCTTAGCTCCATCAGCTGCGCCTACCTGGGCGAATTCCTTCTCTTATTTAATAGTATCAATGCATAAACGTCATATTTAGATATCAATAAACTAAATGTTCAAGATTCAAATCAACGTACTAGATAATTCAACTTCATACGCCTTAAATCACTCTTGTACGATTCTATTTTACTAGATGACTGATAAAGCAGTATGAATTCAACGTCGCTGTAGAAGATATAACTGAAAAATATAGCACGAATGTTACAGGCCATATCGCTATTGATATTCTCTTGCTATTACAGTCATAAGGAACTTAAGCCGTTACAAAAATCAAACCAAATTTATCGTGCATCAGTACAGGAATGTGAACCCACCGTACCTGTTGCAGTTACCTTTTCAACCAATGATTGAGTACCATTCAAATTTAAAATTGCAAATTTGTATTCATAGCACACCAATTTTTCTTGCGTATCCAAGGCTTTTGGAGATGTTATATTCTACAATTTATGTACGTATATAACATCAATTACAGTTAACATCGTCTACTATCCTCTATTTTACAAATAATACGGCGACCATAAAGTAAGCGTATATACCGTATACTATGCACAAATGTTCATATACCATAATTGACTGCAGTCATGCGAATGCCTATTTTTTTGTAGGTTTAATGCTGAACACCGCTTGTAAATTTAGTAGTAATATAACAGCAATCTAGATTTCAGTTAAAATGGAAAGATTGATGTATATCTAATAACTATAATCACGACCATAAATTATACATGGCGGGAAAAGTATAATCAAACTGTAATGAATGACTAATTTAGCGCAATTGCTTACTCTTTCATGCAATCGCATTAATAAACAGGTATAACTTGCAAGCACATATAAATAATGCAATTGTAGTCCTGTGCTAATAATGGTTTGCGTTTCTATCAAGTGCATCAAAACGATCACTATTTCGCAACTCTTTATACTTAGAACATGACCGTTGTTATTAACCAATGCAATACTGTATATAGAAAGCAATTTTTGTAAATATTAATAAAATAAAAGGATAGCGTACGATAACACTAGTTGCAACAGGTCTCTCTAATTGGTAGTGCATTCATAATCTACAGTAGCAAAAACTTTTACAGCATTAGCCGAGACTAGATTAATTTCATTTGTACTTTACAATAGAATGAGAAAATAAGAAGAAACGTATTTACGCTATAGCATCATCGTATTTATGCTAATAATTCATATATTATGGTATATGAAATAATGCACGTCAAACTGGAATGAGAAATGCAGACTGAAAGGAAGGCGCGTATAAATAGTGGTATATCCGATTTGAAGGAATATATTTATCAATAATACAGCCTCTTTGCATTATTGTACTTATGCTAACCATTTATGTCTACAGTACATAGTACACGAAAAATGCACGCCAAAGTAGAACGAGAATATAAACTAAAAGAAAGGCAAATATTAATAATGACTGGCCACATTTTATAAACTCTTCTGTATTAAAAGTTTTTAAACTATCTTTACTCTACGAAAACTCTTTAGTTATTAAAAATGTCTGTTATTAAAATTTTCATCACTTTCATGGAGCATAGAACGCATAACTGCATTAGCATGTATCTATTTGATATACGCGTATTACTGGTAAAGAAATAGAGTCGAATAAATTACTTTCACTGGGATCTTATAATACTAGAATTGTTTTTCTCTATTACTTATTGGATTTTAAGAGCAATAATTTTTATTTCGTTATTAAATATTCATCGTAGTAGTGAATCTTATTAGAACTTTAAAACATTCGATAGATCACTACGTATAACAGGCGATATCAAATACTATCTATGCGCTCGTAAGGATAAAGTACGTATTATGCACTAAAAAATAAAATGAGGAAAAACAAAATCAATCTATTAGATGATGCTGCACTTATATCTATTGCAGATACTCTAACATGCATGTATTGTAGCAAGACATAATTGCGATTCTACTGAAGGAATCGAACCAAATTATAGGTATGTGAAGCTGTGTGTATATACGCGTATACTATAGCCTGGCTAGCTGACAAATGAGAGAAGTTACGAGAACTAAGGTAATGGCCAAAATACATAATTTAAGAAAAGTGATATGAGAATATATAAATTACAAATGAATTTTTAAATCATAATTGTAAAGATCCTGAAAATATGCGAGATTTATATACGTAAGTCTTAAATCTTACATATAAAAATAAATAAATAAAATGTTGTATATAAGACCAGTGTGATCCCCCAAAATTACTAGGTGAACTAATCTACGCCAGTGAAATGCAAGATGGATTAAGCTGTACAGTAATTACTTTGTCAGTTAATTTCCAATCCGGTTGTGACTAGATACATCATAAAATGGTTGATCTATTTAAAATAGCTAGCATCAAACATCAGCTTATGAAGATAATTATGGCTACGTAAGAAAATCTTACCCTGAAATGCATCATTTTTCATCCCTTTTTGCATCTTATCCGCTGCTATCATCCTATGAGTTTCGACCGATTCAATCTTTACCCATACAGCCTACACATTTACTGTGGAGTACAGTATACGGGAATGTTCTAAACTGAGAATGAAAGAGAAGGGCGAGAAGTTTTGGTGAAAGCTAGCGATTCTCGATCAAGTAGGCCGCAACCCAAAATGCAATAAGAAAAAAATTCATGATATTCGACACTTTATCTCACTTTTGTTATTCTCCCTAATGTAGTACTATCTTTTGCGTACTACTATCTATTGCTAGCTATCTACGTGGGCAAATATCGTACTGCATCCTTCTCGATTATGTCGTCGGTAGCAATGCTTTGTGGTGCTATTTTAAATAAATTCAATTTTACCGTCAAATGCTATTACGCGTACAAATTTTGCCTTTGAGACACTTTACTTTTTTGCGCTCTCCCTTCAATCTGTTATGTGCCGTACTAGAGGAATGCAGTTTTAATTTATTGTTTAAAGGATATATAGAAACATAGTTGGCTATATCGTCTCAACGAATGATGTAAGAGAACATCTTTGAAAGCGAAAAATTAGATAACTGTAAATATCATTTTATCATGGTTTATGGTTTAGTTACGTTTTTGGTATTTTGCTTCTTTAGGCATCCACACGTAGAAATTATCCATGTTCAAAATAGCCATGGACAGATTGTATTTCTTTAAATTTTAGCATGGATATGAAAAAGATAGCGTAGCGTACAATGGTATAGTATACAGCAACACGTATACAATGTATATATAATATATACTACACATGTTTTGTATATATATATATATACGTTGTATGCACTTAATCCCTTAATAGATCTGTACCTTGGCGTCGCGTCGTCAGCCAAATTATGCGAAAAGTGGAATAATCCCTTCCAAATATACGGTAACAAATGATCTACCCTACCAATTGAATCCTAATCTCCCTTTCATGTTGCTACTATGTCCTGTAGAGATAAAGTGTATTGGTGATTATGCGGCGCTTACAGTTAGAATGATTTGCCAATTTTTTGGATCAATCTTGATCTTGGCAAAATGGTGAAGAGAACACTAGCGTTGATTGATTGTCCGATATAATAGCAGACAACGATGGTCTGTACTTCAGCAGCCGTAGCAGAGTGCGGATCACCTTAGTGCTGTATTATGCCAGGATCATTTTTGATCTGCATCGAGTATTGTATATACAGTAGAGTAAAAGCATTTCTCATTGCAGCGACATCTTCTAGCAAGAAGCGCATCCATCCTTGGCTTTTGCTAGCATGTGAATTTGGACATCAACACGATCAGGCTTGTCATTTGGGCTGTTCAATGGTTCAAGGCAGGGCGGAGCCAATGGAATCAGTTCACTGGTGAATCAACAAGTACAAATGCACCGCTGCAACAGTAAATCAAGATTCTCATCGACTTGAAAATAGCGAAATAAGGAGATGCTGTAAAATGGCAAGGCCACGCTATTTCAGCCTTATTTTGCTACTTGTTCAGGGCGGGCGGAGCCAATGGAATCAGTTCACTGGTGAATCAACAGGTACAAATGCACCGCTGACAACAGTAAATCAAGATTCTCATCGACTTGAAAATAGCGAAATAAGGAGATGCTGTAAATGGCAAGGCCACGCCATTTCAGCCTTATTTTGCTACTTGTTCCATTTTTAGTCTCCTGTCTAAATCCACTCAACCTTGGGATTTCTGGCGTACAGTACAGTACGGTATTGTATTGCACCCACTTGGTACACAGTCAATACACACAGCGCTGTAGTGTACAGTATAATTGATAGTTTTACTTCTTCTTGGACTGTGCTCTACGTTAGTATCGTACTTGTATAGTGGTACTGTACCGTTGGATTTTTTTTCACCTTTATTGTACCGTATTTGTACGTACTGGGTCGTGAGTAAGATCAAATAGATGAGATGATAGTAGGCGTATAAAGTTCAAACTCTTGCCAATACTGAACACTTGCAATCGCTTGTCACCGCGCTACCGCCTCGGCTTAGCCCTGGATACAACAATAAAGCAAATCAAGATTAATTGCTTTAACAGGTACAGTATATTCAAGCCTTGAGGGCATAAGAAAGATGAAAATAGGAATTCATGGATTGATCAACGATGAGCTGGATTGTATCGATAGAAATGATAGGACGCGTATAAAGTTCAAACTCTTGCCAATACTGAACACTTGCAATCGCTTGTCACCGCGCTACCGCCTCGGCTTAGCCCTGGATACAACAAAGCAAATCAAGATTAATTGCTTTAACAGGTACAGTATATTCAAGCCTTGAGGGCATAAGAAAGATGAAAATAGGAATTCATGGATTGATCAACCATGAGCTGGATTGTATCGATAGAAATGATAGGACGCGTATAAAGTTCAAGCTCTTGTCAATACTGAACACTTGCAATCAGCTGTCACCGCGCTACCGCCTCGCCTCGGCTTAGCCCTGGCTGGATACAACAAAGCAAATCTACATTACTGCATTAGCATGTACTGTATATTCAAACCTTGAGGGCATAAGAAAGATGAAAATAGGAACTCATGGATTGATCAAGATGAACGATGGGCTGGATTGTATCGATAGAAATGATAGGACGCGTATAAAGTTCAAGCTCTTGTCAATACTGGACATTTGCAATCAGCTGTCACCGCGCTACCGCCTCGTCTTAGCCCTGGCTGGATACAACAACAAAGCAAATCTACATTACTGCATTAGCATGTACTGAATATTCAAGCCTCGAGGGCATAAGAAAGATGAAAATAGGAATTCATAGATTGATCAAGATAAAAGATGGGCTGGATTGTATCGGTAGAAATGATAGGATACCTTAATCAAAACAACAACAACAAGGAAACTAACGAATACAGAATGAAGTAAAAGAAGCGATTGCGAACAGTCGATGGCGATCGCAAACGACGTGACGCAATGGGTGCAGCGTATTAGAGTGCTAACGAGCCGAGGGCTCTTGCATCTCGATAGCATCTGCCATAGCCAACAGGTGAAAATAAAAGTTTCCGCTACCTCAACGCGATAGTAAGTTACTCGGCGACGTAAAAGTGTGATAGCTGAGAACTCTTGAAAATGGAACAATGTACTAGTTGTCTCTGATTCATTTTAGACGTACATACGAATACTGCATCCATCACGCAGGAAAGAAATGGATATCAATAATGAGACGTTGCTCTTTAAATTGCATAACGCACTGTATTTCTGGATGCTACGCATTCAGTTTTAGGTTCCTCCTACATCACTGGATAGTATTATAGTTTACCGTCTAATTGAGCATGGTTGGCTCAAAAGTTATCTGACCTCGGCTATATCTCAACTGTAAGACAACTCATGCAAGATGCGATCACGCGAATAAAACGTGAATATACCTGTTGGAATGGCCTGAGTACACGGCATACACATGAACAGTGCTGGTAGATTGATGAACTGTATCTTAATCAAGATAGGCCTTTCTCCAATCAAAAGACTCCATCTCTTGCTGCACTTTATAAATAGCATGGTTGTAGATTCTCTAAGTGGATACTGTCATTTCCGGTGGTGAATAAAAACCTACATTTTAGTGACATTCTTACTTTGAATGTCGTTTCCCATTGGAATCTACTTTTCATCAGAGAACGTGTAAGTTTAGCCAAAATTATAGAAAATAAACTAACCAATAACGCTGTTAATATGCGTAGAGTTATATTTTGTTTCTTGAACTTGATCGAATAGACACTATAACTCGAATTCCTTTTTGCTATAAACTATTTTACACTTTTTGCAATCGAAAAGTGTTGACGTACTCATTACATAGATAGGTCAATCTATTTTCAAAGCTGTAATAATTGCAATACTTCCAATGAAGCAAAAATTTATTGGCTGTATATTGATAACACTCCAACATTGGTTAGCGGTACTCGGTTTAGTACTTCTCTAAATTACGTCGTCTGCAGGCGAGCGCTACACATAGCTATAACAAATAAAATGGGTTAAATGAGTAAGTGGGTAAATCGGCAGTGATGACATGGGCTATCGGTTTAAATACACTATGATTAGGGTCGAAATGCTATCCAAAACAAGATTAAAATAAATATAAAGGAGAATTTACCAACCTGTTACATTCCGCAAAAAATATATTCAGTCCAAACAGCGCACGCCAGTGCTGTATCATATACGAATTGTAGGATTGTAAGAAAATGGCGTACTCCAAAGATCGGTGTCACATCTATGTTATTCACCCTAAATTTGTTCTTCTGCAAACTCCTGGTCTTCACTTGAATCAACTATCTCATCTTATCGCTGCAAAGTGAGTCATATTTTATAGATCCGCGGACAGTAACGAATTCTCGTGTAAACTCTGAACGTAATTCAGAATTTAAGGGTATAGTACATACATAGAAGCTTACCCATAGAGGTAATAGAAAATTTTTTATTACCCCTATGCGCTTACCCTAGGCGGAACTGTTAGCCCTGAAACGGCACGCACATTCGAAAGATAAACATCCAAAGCTAATAGCACTTCTGAAAGTACAACACATTGCATGGTTAAATTTCGGGAAAACTAATGCAATAGGCACATGAAATTTTAATGTTTAAACATCACTAATTCCATCTTAAATTATCAAGCATTATTTGAAATTCTATGATTAACTATATGCGTGCCATCTGCATTTTATGCATCTAAGATCTACTAATGCATACGAAAGATGTGAACGGCATATCATAAACCATACAATACAGGACATTGAACCTATACCCAAAATGCTCGAATAAACAAAACATTAATGTGGTGAGAAATGGTAATCCATCCTAGTTGCTCTACTCAACTATTCTATCTCTTGGCAAAGGTCATATCTGTAGACGCGGTTACTTGAAAGTCTACCGAAATTTTAACTAGATCTGGAGAAACGTGCTTTGTTATTTTTTCTAGCAATCAGATTCATATAACCCAATAGGATCGAATACTTGTATGCAGTTAATAGTTCAGCTCCTGCTTGTTACGCGTACTGCAAGTGTTCTGCAAGATCGTTGAAAAACAACGTAAATTTCGTGTCAGTCCGTACGTTTCGAGCTGTTTTTCCCGTATGCTTGTACGTACAGTAAATTGAAGGCCCGCCCTACAATTTGTTTACAGCTGGCAAAATTTGCAGTTTGTTGCTATTTTTAATCCTTTCATGTCTTTATCTTTGTAAATGCTGCTTGCGTCGACAAATAGTATAAATTCTTAAATGATTATGTAATTGATATAATCAGCACTTCTTCTCGTCTTATTTTACTTCTAACACTCGCCGCATTTCATTTCATTCTTCTCGTTGTCCACAATTATTAATTAAGTGCATCAATATCGATATCACAAGAGATTCTCTCCGCAATATTTGTATATCACTACGCTACAACGTAACGTAGTGCCAGTCTGGGATTTCTAAATACTCATCCAGTGTATTAGAATAGAAGAAAGTCCCTGATGGGATTTTAATTCCATCACGGCTGTAAATTATTATAACGTCACTGTGTGCTCTACTTACATCGCACAAGCAATAGCTAAATATTCCGTCGGTTAATATCGAGATAACTTCTTTCTAATCACAAAGACGTTAAACGGGACCGTTAGTTAAAATTTTTCGCAAGCTTATGAATGTCAACAAGCCTATTCTATTAAGTCAGTCAAAATTAACAGATAAAAGCTTCTGTTGGGTAGAAATAAGTTTTTAAGTACAGTGTTTTAATGGAGATAAGCATTAAAGCAGTCAAAACTCGTAATATTCATTAAACACACGCAGAACACCCAAAAATTTAGATCGTATTTCAAAGTAACACTTTATAAATTTGGTGCAGCAATCTATTCCATAATACAAACGCTAAAGATATACTTTCGAGGATTTCCAGTGTACAACTGATCTGCAATGGCTTACTGATAATGCATTGATTTGATAAAACGTGTACACTCTAGTTTTAAAAAAGTATGAAGGTAATAATAAGAGGTAACTCCAGGATCTTCGATAATTGTGGTGTTATCTAACTGTCTATTATTATTTATAATGGTTATAATATTTTAAGAGATTGCAAAGAAATACTATTAACCATTTGAAGTACTGTAGATATGCAGCTACCTACTCCTCATTCACGTTGAAAATAGCTCACTACGCTACATTAATTGTCAGAAGATTCGTATGTTCGACAAATATCTGCTATTACTTAGTAATATCACGAACACATAGCTGACAGCAAAGAGGTAAAAGTACTGTATAGCTGTACATGGTAAATGATTTTTATAAAAATCATTAGTCTATGAGATCGTAAGAAGTGTTCTGATGACAACAAAATATAGGAGTACAGTGCATTCAGCAACGCCAATATAACTATTCTTATGTTGCAAGTTTGAAACGTTTGCTAATGGTTTACCTGACATTATCATATTGTACGATTGTATCAGGGACTTCTCTCTCTCAGAAGTCTCTGATTATATGTACAGTCTATCACTTACAATCAGCGTTTTATGGAGTAGCATTAGGGATCTTTTCATAAGAAATGAGATACAATGTGTGTGTGTATGTCGATATTTGTTTCATTTCACTATCCATATAGATCAAAATAAATTTACGTAACATCATTTGCCAAGCACCGAAATTTTTACTCAATGCATTAATTACGACTGACTGCAAATACGGTTAGTACCGATGTGACGATGTCATTCTTACTTCATTGAAGAACCTGTAAGTGGTACAAATTGAAATCCTGTAACAATAGTCATAACCGTTTTAATCTTGTACTTGGGCAGCCTTTGTAAGAATGATATTTCCATTGCTGTCTTAAAGACCATAATTTGTCAATAACTGAAACTTTATCTCAGCGAAAAAGCCTTGGTGAGCTTCAAATTAGAATATATCAACTTGTGAGCATATACTTTGACCCAGTACGTTCACATATTAGTGCACTGGATAAATTTATTTCACTATAATTTGTCAGTTTTAAGTGACCGTATATTTATATGTACATATTGATGATGGTATTACATGCTATTGTATTGAATAGATCATGATCAAGCAATTAAAACTAACCTACATATCGCTCTGTTATATTTTCGTAATTCAAAATCTTCATTAATACTAGCACATGTGTTGACGGTTTTCTAGCTGAAGACGGAGGTCTTTATGCTCTGCATCCCTACGCTTTGTAAAGCTAGTAGTTCCAGATATCGCATTTGGGACACCAACCAACAACTGTAATTCATCGTGTAAATGCAATGATAGATCAAAAATAATTAAAATATTACCTTATGAGTTATTTATAATCCTATATCATTCACGATTACATTATGGATGAATAGACTGACCATGTTCAAGTTGACTACAGACATTACAAACAATACAACATAAATGGTATGGCAGATCAGAAAAAAATCGCAAGTACTTACTTTTTATTCTGTCACCCCATAATAATTGGTAAACTACTGTAAATGTCTGTTTTGCACCTGCATGTATTAAAAGCGCTATACACTGTATTACTCTTATACTAAATTAAAAATAATTCTACATACCACGTACACTAGCGTCTACTCTTACACACATAAGAATTACAGAATTGTGGATTTTCTTACGATTTTATCATGTTAAAACGAAATAGAATCGTATGTATGTGATTACTACTTAGCTAGTACCGTAATAGCGCACACCGCATAATGTTTATATATTGTATGTTAGCTTAATAAGATCAGGATAATGTCAGTGGTAACATACAGTATGTGATTAATATAGTAAGGGATGGTACTTTTATGCATAGTAAATGAAAGACGATTCCAGTAGATCTACTGTCACCATCCATCCTGCGGGGGTGCTTTAACTTTAACCTCAGTGGAACATGTTAGGACACATAAAAGTTATTTATGGCACAACTCATCCTTTGAGTGCTGAATAATCTATTGCATTATTACGATAATTAATCAACTGTAAATTATGTCCTTTATATAAACTATAAAAAAAGGCGTCATCTATACAAGGAATCCATTTTCTTATGGATTGTACTTAGAAAAGCGCATGAGAAATTTTCATCTTACATAAACATTATGCCGTCAATAATTACGGATGCAGTGTAATCATAAATTTTCTATACTGTGGTTTAAATCATAGATAGTATAAACTCGTTTTGTTGATATAGTACGTGAAATAGAAGAAAAGTAATTTTTGTTATTAGCATTGAAGTAACTGAACAATTTACATTTATACAGTACAACAGCAATCGTTATAGTACAGTATGCATGTACATTGTACAGTTAGTACGCATACGCTACGTGGTAATTAAGTTGTTAAAAGTCATTCACGTAGAACATGTATTAGAACTTGAATTTTTCTTTCGTTTGCTAAATTTTGTTTCCGTAAAACCTGATTTTATCACTCAAAAACTGTCATTAAACGCTTTCAATTTCTATAACCTAGATACTGTCTGTACTAATAACGCGTTATCATAATGGTGGCATACTGTAAGACGTCCAGTACATGCCTGAGCAAGTCTCATGATTCAACAGATGCTTATATTGTGCGTTGTTGAGTGCTATCTTTATGACTGACCTAGATTTGTAATCTAGAATATATTGGCCGTAGTTGATTATGATCACGAAGAGCATAAAATACAGCAATGCTGTCCGAGCTTCGGCTTACAGCAATGACTATACATTGATAGGTACTTCTACAGTTCTACTGAATTAACAATTAAAAGAGTCTAAAGTTTCTTCGTACTATCTACTGCAAGTAGGAGTTAAAATTAATAATATGAAGCAAATTACAAAGTACTGTACATACCACATTATAATGATTTAAAGGAAAGAAACTATTAAGCAATGCTAAATTCAAGTATAAATTACATAGTAGTTAGGGGATGTACGATAATTTTATGATCTAATCTCTCATCTGATTTGAGTATCTATGTACTATATACCTTGGTAAAACAATTGGAAAGCTTTGGATGGAAGTTTAGTGGGCCCCTAAGTACTGCTTCTTACATTATGGGTACATGTTCCGGAAGACAGTAACATAGATTCACCACAACCAACCAAGGCCGTAAGTTGATATTAGTAACCAGTTAGCGTAGCTGCTTTGACAGGTTTACCATATTGACTAAAATGCTATAGGCAAATAGCAGTCTAGCTGTCAGTCTCCTCAAGACGGTTGTATGAATCGGTACGACTACGACACGCCGACAATATAATACTGTCTGTATATATTTAATTTACACATTACTACTTGAAAGTTAGATTCAATACACAAAATGTCAATGTATTATCGTTTACTATGGCGATACTGCTCTATCCAACACGCTACTACACAACGAATTATATCTTGAGAAACAAATAAGCCTTATTGCATTCGTGGTGTCCAAAATCAATTACTGACTAAAATGACGAGCAAGCGGGCGGAGTTAATACCTATTCTAGTGTGACCTATCTACTTAATTCTTAATTCTAAAGCATTTATAATTTGTTGTTGTTTCTAAAGTAGGCAATAAGGTGCTACACCACATGAATACTTCTGCTTACGTAAACAGTATGCCTTAAGAAAAATTACTACGCACTTTGCACTAAAAATGGCCGTAATCTCAAATCACTAATTACATTTGTACGACTTTGTACAAAATATGTTCTGCTTATATAAGTATGCAGAATAAATGCGTAGGTATAGTACTATACTGTACAGTACTGTAAAGATATCGTTGATTGTATGCATTAGCTGGGTAGAGTTCCAGAGATATTATGCAAATTTAGCTTTATCAAAAGATTGGAATCAGATATTTGAAAACTTCATCAATGATATCAGTACTGTTGTTTACGTCTTATAAATGCGATATAATAACTATAAGTATCTATGCAAAGCAATAAAAGCTAGCCAAACTGTAATTAATTGCACCTACAGTAGCTGTCCTCCTAGTTCAGCTTGTAAAAGATTGACACTAATAACGTAGAGCAAAATACTGTAGATAAACCAGTGCAGCATACTGATGCGGTATTCGCTAAGACCATAATAGATACGTTGATACTAGCAAAATAGCACGGTGCTGAAAATTCGTGTAATTGTTATTTATGCTTTTAGCATGCCGTAATAATTTATTTAGCTATTTCCCAGCAAAAAGAAAAAATACTGTAAATATAATATATAAATACCGGTATCACGGCGATACTAAATGCACAATCTGTGCGATGACTTGTACGGCAATATTGAAAATTTGGGCGTTGGAAGCGTTTGAAGTTGTGTTCAAGACACTGACAAAGTTTGATTCATCCTACAGAAATTACAGAAATGTAGCACCTACCTAACTCTAAACATGCACTAACTTGTTACGAAAGCAAATGTAAATTATGAAATAGTTTACGTAAATAATGCCGATATAATTGATAAACAGATGAAAAAATATTTTAATAGAATTAGTCAATGTGAAAACTCGAAATTTGGTAGCGAGCTTTACTAAGCTGCTTACGCTGTCCAATAATGTAATATAGCTTGACTCCATTTTAAAGTTATCTCTCAAGTAGGAGTTAAGACTGTTGTCATTAGCTCGTTGCTGTACAACATTAATCACAAAACTGCGAACTACAATTATTAACGCCTACAAGTGTACGGCATAATCCAATTATAGTTTATATAGTTAGTTTGTATAATATTGTAGCGAGCATCTCCACAGAGGACGCATTGTACAGTATAGCTACCATTACGTCATGAAAGTCCAATTCTTTGCGATTAGAATTTAGAATCCAGAAATGCAATGGCAAAAGAATGCCAGTCAAATTGCAATAATTATGTCGTGTTGCTGTTGTCACAATGCCAAGTCTCGCGTACATGTTCATGCATGCTTATTTCGAATTGGCCAATGATACGCCAATGCATTCATTCTTGTAATGGGCGGTACTGCATCACACTAGGTAATATTCAGCATTCTCCGTGTTACTAATAAATAATTCATGATACTCGACCATTGTACATTATATTATTACAACGGACGTGAACTCCGTATTCCTGAGCGACAGAGGATACGTGCCCTTGCTAAGCATTCCACCACATTTAACCTGTAGTCCAAAACATTTACACCTGCTTCAACTCTGCAAGTGTAGAACCTTGATCTCCTGTATCGGTTTTTATTCTACTGTACTGTACTATGCTGTACAGTACAGTACTGTATGTTTGAATCATGCTAATGTGCTGGTACCGGTAGATTAGATCCGTATTGGAGTGGTTGGGGAATCTAAAATGGACACTGTAGAGTGGAGATTGTAGAGAAAGTAGGTCCCTACTGTTGAGTAAGACTAGTCCAAGAAAGAAAGAAAAATGTGCAGTATTGTACAGTAATGAGTCAATTTATATATGTATCAATACAAGACTAACGTGAGCCAGTGAACAATGCTGACTGTAAAATAAATGGAGTAATTGGAGTCTCGTTGGAGACTGCAATGTACATATTGACTAAAGCCGGCAGACAGAAGGAGGAACCTACAAATTTATCAAGATTTCCGACTGTCTTGTTGCCCAATTTCATACGTTTTAGAAGGATGTGAATAATGCATCCAGTAGTATCCAATACTGAATAGGAAAAGGATGGATGTATTGATGGCGATTGAGTTGATACAGTATTAGCGCTATTAGTTGATCCATTTGCGATTGAATTTTTTTCATGCAATGGTACTAGTACCGGTACTGGTACCGTTGCAAACAAAGGGCACTAGACTGCAATGGTACTAGTACCATTACGAAATTATACTTGATTTTTCCCATCAATGCTGTTGACTAGCCCGTGATACTGTATCAAATAAAGAGCAGTAGTCCATAAGCATACTGATACGATGGACACTCAGTCCAGCTGTACTAGGGGACATGCTCAATACTGTACTGTACTGTAGAATCTTGGCTGTACAATACTGTGTACTGTACTAGATACAGTACGTCGATTGTAGCGATAAAGTATTGGTCCAATGATAACAATGAAGAAGTGAGATAAAACGTTGGTTGGTTGATACGTTGGTTGCTGTGCTGAAGCGACGAAAACGATCGTGACTGTGATGAAGGCTTGCGAGTCAAGTGCATCATTGAATTCTTAGTCGACAATTGAAAACGTCTTCCATTGCATAAATTCAAAGTAGAGCAGTAACACTGTCTATTTTCTTGTTCTTTTAGCTAGAAAATGTCTTCCATTGCATAAATTCAAAGTAGAGTAGTAACACTGTCTACTTTCTTGTTCTTTTACCTAGTTGGATTGGATGGAATGAAATAGTTTAAACCACTGGTGAAAACTGAAAGAAAGAACCATCTAAAAAGAGTCATTGCCATCCTAATGCTTTTCCCTCTTTGGCTTGTGACTGGCCAACTTGCATACCACAACGACACAAGTTGTGATACAACGCTTCAATGATGGTCAAAGGTAATGGACAATTCAATGGTGACACGTTGTAGAATTGACTTTGCAAGCCAACCAAATGTTGTAAATATATTTCAGTCATCTATCAATGTCCATTGAATAGGATTGGGTTGGGGGATTATGTTGTCCATCTTTGGACTGAAAAGGAACTAGGATATAGATCTCCTGAGTAACTCTATCTTTAACGTGATTGTACTCTACTCTACTCTACTCTACAGTCGAAAGAAAGAAGCTTTTTACTCGACTACTTAGTAGGAGTACCAAGTAAGATCGACTATCCATTTTGAAAGACTAGTCTCTACTAAATTAGACCACCTATTTGGCTACCATTCAAAGAATGTATTGATTGAAATGTCATGAGCGTAAAGCTTTCCTTTGACATTACAGTATTATTAATTAAAGCTTATTGATTGTTGATTACTACATTGTCCACTAGAGAATTCTTGACTTCTTTAAAAGTGTTAGAAACTGCAATTTTTCTTCTATAATTGAATGCTACCTATACACGAGTAATGGAAAGGAATGCACATTTATAAAAGACCAATCATCGTCTATGTATGATTGCACAATTCGCCAAAGTAGAGGACAATAAATATCGACTTTGCATAAGGATTCATGCTCTGCCTATCCAATGGTCTTATTTTTCTAGTTGTACCTACGTATTCTACTGTAGAGTTGAGTAACCATGATTTCTCATCGAAATTTTTAGGCAATGGTGTGACTGTAGTGGACTTTACAGTATGCTTTTCCATTCAATAACGACAGTACGGTACTGTATTGTATTACAACAATTGGCTAGTATATCCATTGGAATAGCAGTACAGTAGTCCGAAAGAAAAGATAAATTAACAATCTTCATCAATATTAGTCCTCTACGGATTATTGGTGCGATATGGTTAGACAGTCAGCTACTGGTACCCATCGCAATTTTCTTTTCTTTTCATCTGCTTTATTCGTCATGCCACTCCAACATACTGCTTTAGTGTAATAGCATGTTGTTACGAATTCTTTGGACAAGCAATGGAAATACTATATCAACGATACCGTACCTGTATTACAATTTCATAGATGTTAATAACTGGTAGTAATGAATTCATTTTGTTACTATACTCTACCCATTTCTCGAAATACAAGTATACCTTACCAGTTTTTTTTGTAGTATTACTGTTGTTGATATCTTCCATCAGACATTTTACTTATGCCTATCTGATAGCATTATTTGTACGTTTGATCAATCTCGTTATTCGCTTCGACCTACTACTGTACATAGTTTACTACTAATAATAATAGTTATATATTGTAGTAATTGAAAATATGTTTATCGCACAGGGTTTGTATGAATAACAAACTTGCAGAGCACTGTATCATTAACCAATACTACAACATCTATATCTCTCCTTAAGCATTATGTCGTAGATTATTACTAATAAATTTATTCATCCATGATTGTATAATAATAATAATTAATGAAAGTAAATTCTCATTCGTAGCTGGATATGATACTCCAAATTTCATTACTAATTCTACATTTTTTATTATTCTAGTGAACGACTTCTTTGAATAGATTTAAAATGAAACGAAGGTAGGGTTAGAACTAGTTTAACGCGAGACTGATAATTACATATGTAATGCATACTTGCAAAAGTTACATTAACTTTTACCAGTCATATATGATCTGTTGTATTCTACAATACTTCAGTTTATGTATCAGAGACACTCCTGCAAGTAGCAACACATTGAATATTATTTCTAGTGTAAAAGATCGAAGTAGCTTGCGACTGTTGTTGCTAGCGTGCTTATTGCTCTGAAGTAAGATATATTGTATTTATTACTGTACTGTACCATTTGCATGCAAGGCTTTATCAACTCAAAATACAAATCATATGACAATTATTACACTACCGTATAACACTTACACAATAGTATCATTAATGTACAGTATAGTGGCTAGGATATAGTCGGTAAAGTTAAGAAATAAATAATAAATGTAGTCAAACTTATAATTACAATTTGATCCATATTCTCTCAACGTATAATTCTATACATCGTTATATCTCTTAATATTTTTACTGTATACTCTATAGAATAATATAATCACTTCTTTATGGAAAATTAAAAACTTTTAAAACTAAATTTGCTATAATTTTTTCCCAACAGCTTCGCGAACACAAGTCATAGCGACCCGGGTTCGACCAGCAGTGGTAGCCTTAGTGGCAGTGATAGTAATCCTAAAAAATGCAAATATTGCTCTAGTAGCAGCTCTGGTTCTCCTAAGAAGGAAAGCAACAATGTTTACTATGGAGAATTAGTTGTTATTGGGTTAGTTAATTATTTTCTGGAATTTCGATTTCGTAATTAAGTAATGACTTCACTGGTAAAAGTATAGTAATGATACCCAGCATTAGTACAATATGCTTATGCTAGTGTTCATTTGTAACCAGTCAAAGTATGTATAACATCTGCCTTAATTAATAATTTTTATAACTATATTATACTGACCATTACCTTGATATCCCTTCAATCTCTTTTTACACCGTCTTGCATTACGTACGCTTTTAAGCACTCGGTCAGTAATAAAATTTTATAAAACATAGTCTGTTATTATACATGTGGCAGTTAGATACAGGGAATCTAAAGAAAGATATTAAAATCTTTATGTAGTATCTACAGTATTTTAAAATACAAACTGAACTATAAAATAATAGTTGTACATCGGAACTGATAATACTACTAATAATACTACTAATAATACTAATAATAATACTAATAATAATACTAATAATACTATAATAATACTAATAATACTATAATAATACTAATAATGCTACTAATAATACTTTATGCGTTAATTATAGATATAACGGCAAACTGCCAACAGGTAACTGTGGAAAACTTCGAAGTAAATTTGAATTAAAGAAAAGAAAGATTGCCAATTCTGTTAAAGCTTCTGTGAAGTATACAATAAAAGCTGAAGTTGATAAGGTAATACTATACTACCAATCAGGTGTGATTGATTTGTTGGACAATCTCGATTTATACGAGCTCTTGTAACCAAAATTATATCGCAATACTGTGGTTGTAATAACGCTGCTAACATGGTCGACATAAAATAAATTTATAGAGGATATATGATCGTAGCGTTTATTGTGTCCGATACGGCCATTTTTCTGCGGTGACCTACGAATTCGATGAAGACATGGATATGTATCAGGTACGACAATTAATTACTGACGTACTAAAGACATGCAGTTTGATTAATTGACAACAATGGCTGGATTTTCTCTCAATTGATATGCACTACAGTAAAACTTCAGCTTATCCCACGCAATTGACACTAAAACCTTCACTCTTTAGATTGGTAGAGCTTGCGACGATTTCGTAGATTTTCAAGTCTTAGATACAGTACCCGGAGCTGAAACGGCTTTAGAACAGACTGCTCTGACACATAGTACGGTATCTCGTTATGCAGCACGTATTGTATGTAGTAGACATCCGCCTTATAGAGCCCGTCTTCTAGCTGGAGCTTTTGATCACAATCGGAATATTATTTTAGGCGTAAGTAGCATCTTTAAGAAAACTTTATTAAACTGTTTAACAATACCTGAATCATTCGTATTGTAGAATGCAACTTGTGCTCAGAAAATTTCTGATAATGCTTGCGATATGGATGGATTTACTAGAAACGGAGTTTTACTGTTACATCCGAAAAATGGCTTTACTGCAGGTTCGGTTCCTGTTTGGCGTGAAATATCTGTTTGTGGTAAGGTATATAAAATAAAGGATTCTCGTGGTGTTTATGAATCGGAGCAGCTGAGAACTGAGGTAAGCTTATATAACGTAAATCTAACTTGCTTATTTGAAATAACTACCTTCATTATCGTTAATATTCATGCACAACATACTCTTCAAGTTATATAATACTGGTATGTTATAATGTTGTAGCTTACAGTCGCAGAGAATATTCACAATGACAGCAACTACTGTACATATTTCTAGATGCTAAAAATTCTATTGCTGATAATGATCAATTTAGATAACCAATGAATCGAACATTTTAACTGATGGCTGCTTAATTGATCTCTGTGGTGTCACTCTAATGTGGCGTTCAGGCTACGGCAAACACGAACCTCCTGTAAATAGTAACTTATTACGAGTTTGACCCAAGTTCAGATAAATTGTGCTATCATTGTAGCGCTAATATATGGATATATATCTATACGATATTTTTTCGATATAGACAAAGTCCGTCCTTGATCAAGTGAAGCTTCAAATCAGTGAAATGCATGATGCACAAGGTTCACAGCCACCTCCTTCTCTTCCTACAGTCTCAGGATCGAAGGTAAGATTATCCACATTACTGCATTTATTTCTGTATTAATTCCAACCTATTCATACTATCTGTTACTTCCAAAATACACTAACCTAATTTATTAACTATAATTTCTTTTTCTAGCCCGGTGAAAAGACGATGATGTTTGTTAATACCGAGTGCGGTCATATTCAGGGTCATTATACTTGGCATGCCGATCAAAATCGGAAACCCCTAGAGGAACGAATGAAAAATTGTTTTCACTGCAAAATTGTACGTAAAGTAGTGGTATTATTACATAGAAGATATTAGCTTCATTAATTAGTAAATTCGAATAATATTTTACAACTTGTTCTAATATACTTTTATCCCCTTGAACGGTTATAATAGAAAGGACCCTTTGTACCTGTTAGATTCGGATTAGAACCTTTGATCCATCAGGATTTTTCTTCACCAACTCATGTATTCTCTCCTTGTGGACATGCTATTGCTGAACAAACGGCTAGGTTCGAATAATTGTAATAGTATAATGTATTCTTGATTACAGAGTGATTGTATCGTCTTCATCTTCTAATAGGTATTGGGCTAATATTACAATCCCACATGGTAGTAAAAGTTTTAAATCGATATGCCCTTTCTGTGGAGTTTCTTTATGTGGCTATGGTTTTGTCCGTATGATCTTTGTTGACGACAAATAGACTTTGAACATTTTAAAAAAATTTTATTATGATGCCATTTTTATTGCATAGTACTTATTCATTACTCATTGATTATTTATATGTAGTTCAGATCGATCATTATTGCTTTTGCATGGTGGTTTGTAAGACTAGAATATAATACGCATATCTTAAGATGAAGTATATTATACAACTGAATGATAACATTTTGCTATACGTGACATGTCTCTGCAAATCTTTATAATTTTGGTTAGCTTGTTCGTACCTGATTTAATCAGTAGCCAGAACGTTTAATATTTAAAATTGTGATTGACTTCGAAATTAATGTGTTTCTGAAGGCATATTCTTTACCTTAGAAATATTAATATTTATATATATACATATATATAATTTTTGGAAGTAATCAAATCGAAATTTTTTGAGGACTTTTGCTGATATTGAATATTATCTTGAATTTTAGTCAGTATAAGGTTGAAATTTATGCGGTGTATTAATTTAATACAAATTGTAAATATATCAGTATCTCTCTGAAATTAATTAGGCGTTCTAGACAAATCCGTATTATATTTGCTAACTTGTAATACCCAGTACTGTATCAAATAAACGTTTTATTGAGATAGTAAATGATTTACTTGTCCGTATTTAATTTATCAGATTTTATCACTTTCTTTGGCTGTTAAGAAATGGTTTTAGATCCTAAAGTAAATTTATTTTATTATCGTCATTCCCTTTGAGTATTGCTTCATCAGCTAAAAATCTTCAAATTACGTATATAACTATATACGCATATACTGAATATGTAAATTATGAATGCAATGTTTATATAAACATGCATTGTACTGTATAATGTACTGTACAGTACATATTAGGATATGTTAGGGTAGTTTTGGCATTAGAAGTCATTTGCATTTTTTACATTGCCCGTTTGGTATACATGGCCTGTATCACATACATACTATATCATATATTGCTATCATTTTTCGTAAACTGTTGGTAGAATGGTTAAATGATGAAAGTTAAAGTTATTTACGTTGTATACTACGGCTTGAAGCTTTTGGTGAAATTAATTCATCACGGACACAAGATATGGTACAATATACGTCATGCGAAAACAAGATGAGTTGTATGTAACAGTTAAGTTGTACAACACATCTGAAGTTCACATGTAGCACCTTATACTTGACAGTCATAATCACTAGACACTTCTAAAGTCTAATAATTTGTAGCTGCGCAGACAGGCAGATATTGAAACGAAAATGCTTGGAGTTTATCAAGGTGTTTCTTTTTCTATGATTTTTAATGTGATCGTTGAATACTTCCAAAATGCCAGTACTTTTATTATCTGCACTTCTTTCTGCCTCTACTGGTATAAATTATTTAAAGGGTTTGATAATTTGACATTTAATCACCAAAGTATTTAATAATTGATAGATATTTATCGATATCATATGCGACGTATAATACTTATACTGAAGAGAACAAGTATTACATGGAGATAAGATATTACGTTAATTTTATAGTTAGCACAATGTAATGGTATCTTATTACATATTTTCTAATTAACATGAGCGTAGACAAGTAAAACAATTTTAATTCAAAGCTTACATTAACTTAAAAACAAAATGAATATTTACCATATCTTTGATTCTAAGAGGTTCAGATAGAAAGATTATAACGTTGTAATATTTTGTATATTATAATTTTTGAAATGTATAATGTAATCTTTTCCAAATATTCTATACTAGGATAATGCGAATAGCTAGTTTTCACGCTGCGAATATCATGATTTGATATCATTTTACTACATATTATATATATAAATTATCAATAAATCCGCTTGGTACCTCTTGAGTAACCATTTCGCTGATTTACATCATAAGTAGTTTGCATGTTATCATTATGGTATCGCTGTGATGCATTTTTAACAAAAGTGAACTAAAAAACATATTCATAATGACATATTAATTTGAAACTATTCAATTATATGATACTGATATATGAAAGAATAGTACATTAATAATTATTAACTTTAAATCACACTTTATTACTAAGTATGATTCTGCATCCACAATTTAAAAAGCTAAGTTATAGCTCATTTTTGATAACGTTGAAATTATGCCCAATTATGTCCTCTTTTCATGCTAATGTATAAGTACAACCAATAATACGGTGAGTATGATGGCATTAATGATGACAATTGGCACGATGTACTTTGCGTATCATCTGAAAATAGTTAAAATACAAGTTTTGGTTAATACTGTTGCCAGGAATATACGTACAAATATAGTATCAACATTAAATAAAAACTTACGTGAACTCACTCCAGAAATATTGCCAACGGCTTAACTGATTATCCTTGACTTCAGTACCTAGAACAAGGAATAGATCAGTAAAAATAAATACATTCGTATTATCACAAGGTAATGTTATTATGAATACGTAAATTTATTTTCGTTAGTATATGCGCATTGTAATACCATGGGTTTATGCTAAATGTAACCGGATTAATGATAGTAAATGGACTGCTCTTTAAAACTACTAGTCATATTTGTGTTATTTGACAATCGTTGAATCCATCGAGTTTTCATTGTCGGCAGTCTAGTCCAGTGGGCATTTAAGACTATGCTCTTTCTTCCGAGTCTAAGCGTAGAAGTATCTATATATTGTATGAGATATCTACTCCAGATGTAAGAGCGCTACTTCTACGAGGATTTTGTACCCCTTTCCGTCAATTAGTAATTGCTGTTATAGAAAACTATTCGATCAAATATAATTTAACTAATACGCAGTATACAAGTATTACATGCATCGATATTCTACAGTAGGATCACAGGAATAATCCATTAACTAACATATAGTAGTAAGAACGAGATAAACAAACGATAAAAGAGTTGAATTGCTAGCGTTTAATCCTAGAATTTATGCTACTTCTGAAGGATGTTATGCTATGATGAGATAGCATGCACTCTATTACACCTTCTGCCATCTTGATTTTGAACATACGTATGTATAGGCGTACAATCCCTTCAATACACTTTACTGTAAGCGATTAATTTGCTAGTATGCTGGACATCAACAGATAGTTAACATTACATCTATATCTTATAATGGATACGGCTAATATACGATAACTTATCTGTTATACAGTAGTTAGTTCTATTCATTTTAGATATATACCAGAATTTTCTTCCACATCTCTTGATTCTATCAGAATATGTGTCTTTTCATTAGCCATCCGAAATTTAGACGATCTGTACAAAAGTATTGATTAATTCATTAATATCAAGTACTGTAGTAATTTCTGTATTGTTAGAATGTCCGATGGTTAAAAGTTCACAACTAAGTACCTACAGTAAAAGGTTTCTACCAAGCAAATTTACGCTTATGTAAGCAGAGGCAAATAAAATGGATGGATGGATTTACTTGTTTATTTATTGATTCAACTATCGCATCAGTACCGTCTATGTTGCACTAATTTCATACCGTGGTTAAGCTATTTTGATATTGTTTCTGATAGTATATAGCAATACTGTAATTTGATGATTTTCCACATACAGGACTGTAATTATTAGGGCTACCACTGTAACATTGCTTCAAAGTAGACGTACAGTATAGCCAATGCAACATCGATATCATTAGGGACTAGTCGGACTACCATACTACTCTTTCTTTTAGTACTGTAGTTTAGTGTCCCTGCTATGACTCAGCGACTCAATATAGTGGTGGACTAGAAATCAACCTAAATTGTTCCTTGGACAACTTTGACAAGGATGGAGTCGTATAAAAGCTTCGATCCAACGGAGCATGGCCTCAGTAGTAATTTTCGTCTGATTAGTTTTACCAAATTAAAAGGATGAGGGTGTAAAGTACCCCAGGAGGAACTGCTCAAACTCCTGGAGTCGCTTGGTCATGGCGATCATCGTGAAGGTTCAATTGGAATCGGCCTCGATAGCTGTGTCTTGCCTACTCGACATGATGGTATCTCCATCGTTCAAACAACAGATTTTTTTTATCCTCTAGTCAATGACCCTTATTATCAAGGAAAAATAGCCGCTGCTAATGTCTTAAGTGATTTATATGCAATGGGTGTTACAGAATGTGACAATATGTTAATGTTGCTTGGCATTAGTAGCCAGATGACATTACAGGAAAGGCGAATTAGTACGAAATTAGTTATGGAAGGATTTCGCGATGCATGTCTGCAAGCTGGCACAAGTGTTAATGGCGGCCAGACTGTTCTAAATCCGTGGTATATTATTGGAGGAGTTGCTAGTAGCGTCTGTAGCAGAGACGAATATATTATGTAAGATTGATTAATTCAACTGAATTTGTAGCTAACTTAAAAAGTAACCTAACAACAATCCACCGATAAACCTCAGCGATGGCGTCACGATCACTTTTTACCAACTACAGTAGCTGCTGATCAATTTTAACTCGATTTCTGTTAATTTAATATACGCGTATATTTATATCATGCAGAATAAGAGTTTTTTTATCGATGTATACTTCACACAGTAGCCAGTACCTAGAATATAACAGTCAAGAGCTCTCCATTATCTGATCTATATTTTAAAGGTCTCTGCTTCTCCTGGTAGTTAGTTTCTACTTTGCAGTACAGTAGTATTCCTTTCTATACGGATATTTTTCTGGTTGCGTACTAAAATATAGCATATGAGATATACTATACACGAGCATATTCACTTTGTATATACAGAGTTATGGACTACTTCACTAATGTAACAAGATCATTATTACGAAGAATAAAGCATCACATCTTGTAGTCAATGTAATACATTTATCGCACTGCAAACGTTGCATAAAGTATAGTATATAGTAATTTATTAATACATACAGTATATCTACTTACCGTAATTCAGTATATCTAATAACCCATGGAATATGGTTAACAAACTATTGCAGTATATGATTGAGCTTAAATTTAAAATGAACTACAGTATACTTGTTATGGTATGGTGATGTAGGGTTTATATTGAACTGCGCGAGACTCCCCAATTTATAAAACGTCAATTTTGTTATTTAGGCCTGAAAATGCCAAGGTTGGTGATGTCCTAGTTTTAACTAAACCGTTAGGAACTCAAATTGCCGTCAATGCTCACCAATGGTTGGAGGAGGTAAGCTTAACTTGGTAATATTTACTATACCGTATACTCTATGCTCAAGATCGTGCGGATATTCGGTTTAACACTATTTCTAATATGCATCCTTAAATCATGCACCAGCTCTATTGCTGCTCTTCACGATGAACTCAGCCTTTTACTAATTCAAGAATACGTTATACTCTCATAACGCATTCAATTTTTAATTCCATATATGGCACAGTACATGCAATCTTACTGTTAATGTAGATATACACATGCTTGCAGTATATTAAACAAGACCATTATGCTACGACTAAGATTTCATATCAGACGGTTTTATTTATGAATATTAACCACTTAAATCTCACTTTCAGCCATCTCAATGGGAGAAAATCGAACAAGTGATTTCTAAAGAAGACGTGATCAAAGCATATTTGACAGCCATGTTTTCTATGGCTAGATTAAATCGGAATGGTGCTAAGCTAATGCACAAATATGGAGCTCATGCAGCAACGGATGTGACCGGATTCGGTATATTAGGCCATGCTAACAATTTAGTCCAAAACCAAAAGGAATCGGTATCTTTTATTATCAAATCTCTACCGATTATTGCCAAGATGGCTGAAGTTGCCAAGGCGTGCAAGATTAATTTCAAACTACTAGAAGGATTCTCTGCAGAGACATCCGGTAATTTTAAATATTCATATATCAGTTTAAAATTTGCCCATTGTTTTTGATTCTATGGTATTGTACAATGAAATGGCAATCCATTTAGTGTTATTTTCACTCTACGCTATAATTGACTTTATTTAACAGTGAGTGCAGTATTGGTTCTCATAACAACTATACTGTCTACTAGTCATGCATCAATGTGGCAATGAGTGCATGTATGGCAAGATACTGAACTACTGTATCATCCACACAAATTGTAGTTAACGCTAATAATATAATATCGGATTAATATTCTTTCATAGGCGGTCTATTTATATGTTTGCCTCCAGAACAAGCTGCTAAGTACTGTGAAGAAATACAACAGTTGGATAAGCATCAAGCTTGGATAATTGGTGAAGTAATCGCTGGTAACCACAAAGCTACTATTAGCCCAGATGTTCAAATCATAGAAGTTGACTATTATTAAGAAACTTTAATTTGATAACTAACAAAACGACAGCAAATAATTAATTAATCAGTTATTGTAAAATCAGTATGTAATATGCGCACGGCAGTTGTAAGTTTGAGCAGTTACGACTTGAACGCGTATTATGCATGACAATCTCTTGTTGAATGACGTAACTCTAATAAATTGCCAATATAATGGTCAGGTAGAGTTACTGATAGCATAGCATGCCACAAAGAGATACTACAGTAAACACAGCAACTGAATAAAACAAATATTTTTGGTATTCTACCTTGATGAACTCTAATAACCCGATATGATATCCTTAACATTACATTTCGTTTACTGTATTTATTGTTAACGAATGATACATAAAGAGTCTTGACTTCATACAAAAAGATTCTAAATTAATCAATGTTTAACCGGTATGCGAACTCTGCGTCGGCCAAATATTAGTCTACAGTGTTAGTATTTAATGATTGGAATACAATTTAGAAAGGATCACATACCAATATAAAGCATGCTAGAGTTAATGGAAAAAGATAAATAGCATTCGTTAGAAATCAATCTTCCGACTGCACTGATAACTAATAAGACTGTATCGTAAAACTACAGAGCTTTTCAATATTTAAAGCTTGATACAATCAAGAATTAATCTTCTTGCTGCCCGCTATTATCACCACCATCTCTGTCACTCCCGCGAGACGTTTCTCTGCGACTTTAAGATAAATAAAGATATTTTTACAAACCTGCGATAAAAGAACAATCTACTTTATGAATAAGAAGAAAATACCTTCTCTCCTCGCCTGATGAGCGTGGACGAGAACGAGACGAAGACCTGCTGCGTGTGCGTGAACGTGAACGTGAACGTGAATGGCGACGTTTAGGAGAACGAGAATACGAACCTCGTCGACCTCTAGGCGACCTACTAGTTTTACATAAAATACGCATTTAGTTATCAAGACAATCATTACAATTCTTACTAATGTTTTCTTTATACACATGTACATTGCTGCGATAAGATGATTTAAAAGTCAACAATCCTAACCTTGCAATAGGAGATCTTGAGTCTCCGCCATCCTTTAGTAAGATAATTAGACTATTAGCTGCTACCTCTTTATGTACATTTTAATTGCCATGAAATTATAATATCATAAGGTACTGTTTTCAATACTAATAAAAGCAAACAACATCACACAAGCATTCTTACTCTGGACACCGTAATTTTTTTGCCATTGATTTCTGTGTTGTCGAGTTTTTTGATAGCATACCTTAAATCATCTTTGCTATCAAATTCTACGATACTATAAATACAAAGAGAATCAACTAATATAACACTGAAAATGTTAACATTGATAACAGCAAGACTATCGCCACGATTATAGTAATATCACAAATTAAAAATTGATTGGAAACAATTTAAAAGATCGATAAGTATGCCAATATGGAAAGATAATCAACTTACGCCTGGCCTACGGATTGCTTGTGTGCATCAGCGTAACTAACGCTGATGTCTGTCTTGTTTCTGATATAATCTTTTAGATCCTGATAATAGAATACGCCCTCTAGTTAACGCTGGACGGTCAACGCTACATCGGCATTTACAAGTTTAAGGCACAGAATATGCAGCAGTTGACTCGGCCTCACATAAAATTTTAGTATCCTCATCATAGCTGCAAGTAATATACATCTAATCCAGTGGTAAGTACGAAATTAGCAAAAGTAAGTCAAGCAACCGGCGCTAGAAGTCCAAATGACTTGATAGGATGTGATTCATGTGAAGGTATCATTGTATAAAGGAATTGCATAGATTGCGCTCTATAGTAACGGTATTAGCAAGGAACTTGACATTTGCGAATGCAAAGGTAAGAAATTGGTGCAACAATAGCACTCGTGGCAATTTCAAGACAGACACTAACGGAATACGGGTAGATTTCTATTCCGAATGCTCCTAGTATAAAGGAATGTACACATTAGGTGCACTTTGTTGTATCGACAGTTGAAATTTTATCCTACCGACTTTGTCTGCTTCCGGAAATACTTTGCAATTATTTCAAAAAATTAACATAAACTTAATTCCAACGCCTTGGTACGATATTCCTAAGACTGGTCACGTTTCAATCCCTCCGATCTACGCTACTGTAATCTCGAACGATATCTCTCGTCACGGTTCTGGTTAGGATGAATGTATTCGCTCGCTCGCAACTAAGTCGCACATTGTTCGTTGGCTTTTTTTAGCGTTGACTTCGGATTTCCTCTTCTACCTTAGAACTACATTACACATGAGCCCGAGGTGGTTGGAGGACTGGCAACCCATTGCAAGACAATGACAAGGCGAATGATGGAGAGAAATATCTATTGACGGTGGCGATTGCTTACGTCTAATTAGGCACTTTGATTAAGGTAGGAACGTAGCAATTTTAGGAATTGCAAATCGAATTTGTAATTGCATAGGTAAATTCGAAAAGGCAACGCTCATAGTAGGAGAAATTGACTGTTTAGCCGAAAGAATCGCAGTATTACGAAAGTTATAAGAAATAGATTTCAAGATCTATCTATCAATACCGTTTACAGAGAATATGCGAATACGAAGCACTAGTATATTAGTAACGTAAAGTACAATATCGTACAAAAAACTTACTATAATTAATTATTTTAACTACGATAATATCCTAATGGATTATTTACTTATAATGCTACATTACTAAAGTGTACCCTAGTTGTCGGGTATAATGAAGATCTACTCTGCACAAAGATTAAACTTATTCGTTTACCGGTGGTTAAGATACACACCTTTGTAATCCATGCTTTATCAAACTAAACTACTGAATGATTTGCAATGCTATAAGAATGAGGCAATAGATATAGTTACTAACCTGCCAACTAACTCTGCTCGACAAATTGTTGATGTAAAGGCGGTAATCTGTCCGAACAGGAGCAGAGCCATACCCTGCTGCTGGTCCTCCTCCTCCACCACCACCACTATCATACAATTAGGTCAAAATCACAAAGCGTGAAAATTGTTATCAAGATAACGGAAAAAAAACGATGTTACTTTGACGTACGATGATCTGCCGCCTCTTGATCGACCATATCTATCGTCGCCGCGGCCTCTTGCTTCACGTCTATTCCTCGCAAATTCCACAATAATTCTGTATCGCATAAGCAGAAATAAATTGCCATACATGTCATAAATTTAGTACTTATGAATCTCAATCATTCAATAAGCGTAAATAGGTAAATGCTTTCAAACTTATGTACAAGAGTTACTGTTGAGTACGAACGAATCCTTACCGGTCACCGCACAATTCTTTGTTATTGAGATCATAAACTGCATCCTCTGCATCTCTAGAGTCATCAAATTCCTGATTTTGTCAATATCAACAAAAAATCAATACAAATCTAGCGATCCAACCAGGAAGGATACAGAAATACAGCAGCTTAAAGCCAGTTTTAATCCCCCAATTTAGCCATAATCAATATTTATTCTTGATATGATATACGTATATTCATCTATATCGTTCAACAATTTATATAATTGACTTACAACAAAGCCAAAAGTGCCTTTCAAAGTTACTTCCTTTAATTTTCCATAATCTCGAAAGAACTTTTCTACATCACGTTCACGAACTGAACTATTCAAGCGGCCAAGGTATACTCTAGTCATTCTTCCAATCTGTTCTCTAAAAATTTTGTAATTAGATAGATAAGCGTATAATCAAATATATATTATATATATATATATAATATATTAACCTCATGACGCATGTTTCACAGTACTCACTGTATAGTTAGCACATCAATTTATAGTCATATACATGTACAAGATTTAAGCTTATTAGAATAGAAATGATACCCAACTATAACCTATAACTCTCAGACAAAAGTCAGCCTGACGATATCACATTTATAGACAATACTTCATCAAGACAATACAATAAAGTGACTGTTTATCCGTAGTTGAACAGTTCTTTCCTTTGCCAAAAATTAAGTAAAAACTGATTCTAACGTAGTCCTAAAAATAGTTGGTAGGTGCAGATTGTTAAGCTAATACCGTAGTAAACAAATGATTACTTTCAAAAAAATTTACCACTCCACAACTTTACAAATACACTTTCGGTACAATATCAATCTGTAGACAAGGGGAAGAAAAGTAATCTATCGACTGTACTGTATCTACGTACCGTACATCCCAGTAAGAAGAGTAAAGCTAGAATTTTATTCTGGCTTTTGTCTAGTACAGGCTGTACAGAAACCATTTGACTGGTTCATTAGCACGAGTAATTTGGACAAATTTTTTAATTATATAGAATATATTACTTAATCATAGTCACAATGTTTTGTAGTCTACAAAAGCACGACTATCCTAGAAAAGGACGAGACATTTATAGCGACAATTAAAGTGATTCAATGTTGATATTGCAGAAATTGTCGATATGTTATCGTACTTCGACACCTTAGAATTGTTGAGCAATGGAAGTTATTTGAGGTCCCAAAAATAAATAATTATTGCGTAAAAAAATCGCACGACTCATCTTGGAAGTTGTTTATTTGAATAAGAATTATGAATCATTTATAATGCCGAAAAATATACTACTCCGCGTATAGTATTGCTATAATCGTGACTAGATTATTTTGGCTATCAGTACAGTAGTGGAAAAATGAGTAAAGGTTTTACTTGGGCAAACTTTACCCGCATTAAAATCCAAATCATGTCAATTGGTTGCAATGCAGTAGGTGAAAAGTTCAATGTAGGAGTTGCTCCAGTACTGTACGAGTACACTACACTAGTTACTCCACTATCAAAGTGTCTGAAATACAATTCTCTATGTTCCAGTAGTCCCTAATGCCAATGATACTGTACAGTGTACATGTACTGTACGTTAGTGTGTTTTGAGGGGTACCATAATCCCAGGTTATTCAGCAGTTGAATTGTGATCGAATTTGAGAACAAGGTATCGATAGCTTAAGAACTACGTACGAGAATTTTGTGTTTCTACAACACAGTATGCAAGCGAACGTTGATTTCCTGGATTCTCTTATAGTTCAAGTACTGTACGCGCTTGCTTGTCGTACTGCTGCATGCAGTGAAATTTTGCATCATTGCCGTGAAATATTTTCAAAGCCTTTAGCTCAATAAAGGTGGCAAAAAATAACCATTCAACAGTCTTTTAACTGCCTAATACTAGGTTCATAAGCATAGAAATATAGTAAAAATACTAATTACCGTGCATCCATCTCATCTATAACTTGTAAACGGATTTTATTGGATATTTTGTAGTAAAAAAATAGAGCGTAGTCTGGGTTGAAAATCCAAACCTCCTTTGACTTGGTGTAAAGTAAAGTGTGAAATCTTTTTCAAAGCGAATTACAGTAATTTTACTCCATAGGAAAGAAATGATTCTTGTCATAATAATCACAATATCATGATGTCAATTGCATACTATAACAACAACCTTTTAATGGAAAGCGAAAATCTCAACTCCAATTGAATTCCTTGGAATTAGCGATTGAAAAATCAGCAAGTTGCAGCTCGAAGAAGTTGAACGGCGGCACGCGTGGCTGCTTTGAAATGAAATAAGTTGGGAAAGCTTTTCCTTTGTGTCCTATATCACGGTTTACTGAACTGCACACTGTATTAGGGACTAGATCGCGCACAGAAAGACAGACACCCGGTCCTGTGCAGTCTCCAGTGTACAGTCATTGGATGGCTGCACACTGTAGTGTACTGTACTGTACTGTACTGTACTGTACAGTACTGTATTAATTAGGGACTACTATACAGTACATTGTACTGTAGATCGCGCACAGAAAGACAGACGCCCTTTCCTGTACAGTCTACAGTCTACAGTCTACAGTCATTGGATGGCTCGAATATAGACTACTCATACATTGAATTCGAACACTATAATCTCTAGTATGGACTGCTAAAAAACGACACCTGTACTAATTTCTACAGTAGTGTACTATGTAGGGTAGCAAATACTGTAGTACAGTATGGTCATCATAGCACTAGTACCAGCCACTCCCTGCCTTGCCTGCCTGGGTGCTAAAAAGAAGCGGTAAAACCCTGCCACTCAATACTGGGCTGTAGACTGCAAATCTTCCATAGTAAATAATAGACTACGAGTCAGTAGGCTCGGAATGGAAGTGGTGGGATAATGCTTATAAACGCTACTTGAATTGGTAATATGGATCCCAATTCAGCTTTTTCCGCTTATAGTCGGTAAGTTCAGTCATCTCTACTGTATTAATTAATGTTACTATTAATAGGAGTAGAATTTTCGACTTCTGCCTTGATTTATCCAAAGCTTGCCATGGCATCGTTGTTACCGTACTCTAAGTTGTAGTGTTTATTTACAGTCTAAAAAAAATGTACCGACTAAAAATGAACGATGAAGACAGTGGACGAGCGCTTATTGCCCAAAAGTAGAGATTAATCGGAAGTGTCATCAAATAATAGATAATCTACAATGTTAGCCCTACAATCTACTTTCGGAGATCCCTTGCATAAAATACAAGGCTTAGCATTTATACAGTATATTCTCATCCTCACTACACTGTACTATCGTGAGATTGATTGATACCAAACAACCACTCTATTGACAATTATGATAGCAAAATTTTTACATGAGCAATCTTGGACTGCTTCATAGATAAAACACTATGTCGTAAAATTGAAATTGGTCTAAAATTACCTTTTCTTTCAACGGGCTGCTTTAGTGTATTCAGTGAGAGCTAGTGAGATTGTTGAAAATGATTCAATGAAATGGAATTGCTAGATTAGTTTGTACACAATGTACTGTATTATCATTGGCTTCAATAGGCATACTATAAGCATTGAACGTAGGAGCAAGAAACAGAATGACCATCGATTGATTATGTTTCCTATATGATCCTCAGACACTTACTATAGTAATAATATCACCAAGAATGATATTATTTTCTGGATCTGGATCAGTGATAGTTTCGTGTAATTCATTAATTTATTAATATGGACCGTCTCACGTACTTTATAAACATAATCAATGCATAGTGTTTTACGCTTCGTGATCATGATAGGCAATATTCATTTTACAGACTTACATACCAAAATTGGACTTATGTTCCATCCCCCTCCAACCGGAATTTGGTACAACAATTTACTATTGGATACAAGATGATTATGGAACAGCTTAATCCGAACTCCATTCAGATCCAAGCGAATAAACATAAAGTAAATTTCAATTCAGGTACTGCATCAATAATAATAAATTGAATTATTTATCAACCGTAATAACTACTTTTGCTAGTCAACAATACGGTGGCATTCTCTTATCCTCTTACACATGATAGAAGTTGAATGGAGACTAATTATAATGTCATTGATCACTTTTATACTGCTGTAGTAATAGTCATTCTATGAATCAATGTCGTCGCCCTTGCAATGTCTTTTTCCTTTTTTCTTATTTTTTAAATTATATATCAAATATTTACTCTAGTTGATCATATTATATTTTTTTCCCCTTGGCTCTATTATAGCTAGGACAAAAACGGAACATGATGTTGCTACAAATAAATTTTTACCAACCAATTCAGGTAATTAATTAAGCCTATTTTTATTACCTACTATCGTAAATGCTTATACATAGTATATGGTATTACTACACTATATGTGTAAATAAACAAAAGCTATGATGTACTATACTGATAGTAGAGTATAATAACAAGCATGAATCTGGGCATATCGTACTTATAGTAACTTATTTTTGTTCTAAATAGACACTGTCCTAGGAAATCGTTATCGCTATAAAGAAATAATTGGTCATGGAACATTTTCAGTAGTAATTGCAGCCAAGGTACAAATATATTATGAATAAAAGTACCTTAATTATGTCAATGTTACGATTACACTTACTTATCTCTAATAGTGGTAATGGTTTCATGATACGATAATCAATTTTTAATCATGCAATATATCCAGTATTTAGCCCCATTTATACTTTCACATCAATTTCAATGAATCTTGCTTACTGACCACTTACGGTTGACTACCACTGTAATCACTATTAAAAACTCCTTACTAAATCTTGCAAGGATTTATACATGCACAACAAGATCATCGCCATAAAAATATTTCATCGCAATTATAAAGTTATTGGTTTACAGGTACGATATCTCAAGTGTTATAATCGACCTGTGATCAAGATAAACACTTGACCATTATTACAAGACTTAGCAACTCGAAAGCTATTCACATTTTCCGTTTTATACCAAAGTTGTTTACATCACCTTTTATCTAATAACAGGAAGCTGAATGTGTGCGAAAACTCAACCAAATGGATTGTATGGATGTATCAAAAGTTATTAAGATCTTTGTATGTATGCAATACTATAAACTGGCACAATTCTTGTCAATGCTTCTTAATCTTGTAATAAATATTAACCATGGAATATAATCATAGCGGGGAATGATTCTTAAGCGATCAATATGATAATTAGCCCTAAAATTTACCCTCTTTTGCCGATATTTAATTCTTTTAATTTTACTAGAATACCATCATGTATGAAGACCATCTCTGTATTGTCTATCAATGTTTGGATCCCAGACCAATTACTGCTTATTTCCAGGTTTATTACGATTTATTTAATAATACTTATTGTAACTTATCCAGCGCAAAGTCTATCCTAGTCTTACCTAGGCTAACTACCAAATAAAGTATGCATTAATATTTCGTTTTATTTAGAGGGTGACAGTCAATGAAAACCATGAAGAGGTAGAAGGCCTCGCAACTAGTTCAAACTTGTATAAATTTTTAAAATTGTCCTCTTTTATGTTCATTTCTTAATATCAATGATGTTTTGTTGTTTTGATAAAATTAACAGAAGTTGAAGTTATTACGCCACGTTGTGAAGCAGGTATAGCTTAAGGTTTTACTGACTGTACAGTACTTTATATTAATCCTATACGGTTTTAGTCAGGTACTCATGTTATTCATTTATTTTTTCGCAATGTTTGGAAATCCAACAGTTATTGGAATGTTTAGCTTTCCTACGAAGGTGTGTAATAGTTGATGCTAATTATTATCTTTAACCTTTGGGTGCTAATTGTACATAATGCGAGTATATCCGCATATTATGATATATCGTAACTAATTTACACTTAACCCCTAGAGCAAATATCATTCATGCTGATATAAAACCAGCCAATATTCTTGTATCTAATGGTAAGTCACTCATGATAAAATAAAGCAGCTGATAAGATATTATATATACACTCCTTTATTTTTTTCTTACGATATTGCTTTATCTTTGAAGAAAGTGACTTATCAATTAAATTGGTGGATTTTAGCAATTCATTCCATTGTGTCCATGAAGAGGTAAAATTTGCTATACTTACTAGCTGTATGTAGACATAAATTAATATAAGCAGTGCAATAATGAATGTTATCGTAAGCTTCCACTTATCTTAAATGCAGCTCACTTAACGTATGCTTTACCTTTATTTGAACGATACTACAATTATGCAGTAATTTTTACGTATATATGTACAATTGGATATATTTATTCATTGTCCAGATTGAAATATTAAAATGTTATTTGTTTTGTCCGCAGATTTGTCTATATTACGATAACTTTGAATTACAAACTTTGAACTATCGTGCACCTGAGGTAGAGATATAAATACAAATAAAATCTATTATCTTAAAGACCAAGAATGACAGTAAGCTTGATAGGTAATGCTTGGAATTCCTTTCGGACCTGAAATCGATATGTGGTCGTTAGGGTGTGTTGTAGCTGAGGTATATTTGAACTTCTCTTTCTGCCTTAAAGGCTTATGTTTAATAACCTACGGTAACAGGGAATAAAACTTTACAATTTTTTGTTTTATACTTTCAGCTATACTCGTGTAAGCCGTTATTTAAAGGAAAGTATAAAGGAGAAATAATTCAAAATGTAAGATGTCACTGCCACAATATTCGAAGAACTATGCTTTTATTAAAATGTGTTAATAAATATAATAACATCCCGTAGATTAGTAATTTACTCGGTTCCTGGCCGGTAAGTTTTTTTCGTCGAGGTAAATTTTACCAGGAATTTGCTAATGAGGTTATTGAACACCCAAAAAATACGTATTGTAAGTAGCCCTTCATTTTACAGTATTACCCGAAGTTGGCATGAATTACATGATTTATAAATTCTATCATTTACGTCTTATCCATAGTTACTCATAGAGAATATCTAATCATGGATAAAATAAATGACAAAATAAGATGCTTCAATCTAGCGAATCTAATTCTTGGACTCTTAAAGTACAATCCTAGTACGTAATACCTTGGTATTTATATATATTACTAAGTTTATTTAATATCTAGATAAACAACGATGATTATGATACTGGTATATTCTTTTAGGTGAGCGATATTCGGTATCTGAAGTGGTACAACATCCCTTTATGCTGGCAGAAAATTCTGTGAATTACTTTTTATTTAATGATGGTAACTCTTAACAATCATACGATGTATCGTATCTATATTCAGTTATATTATTGCATCGATAAAGTTATGTGAAAGCAATATGCAACAATTACTATCAACTTTAAAAGCATTTAACTGTGATGATTTTTTTTTATGTATGATATTATTTCAAGACTTATCTGGCAGTGGAGTCGTTCCATCAGGCACTTATCAGTACAAACCGGATAACTCAAAGAATAACTTACGATTACCAGTCAAACAAGATAAGATGACAAAGTGTACTCGAAAACGCCCAGAAACTTCAGACAGCTCCAACGTAAAATCAATTGGAACAGAATTTTCCAGCATTAATGTGAAGGTGTTCTGTTTACAGAGGACGACGTCAAACTGTAACAGCGGTGAGTCTGAAAAGACAGCAGCAATCACTTCCAATAACGAACTAGATCTAGTAAATGTGGGAGATACTTCCGATGATGAAATTACTGATTCTGTTCAAAATGTCCATGCTGCTGTTCCTAACCACAAGGATTACGTAGAAATATATGATAACTGTGCTAGATCTCGTGGGTCATTTTGGTTAAGGTCTAGCTCCGAAGATAATACAACTATCAATGAAACTTTAAACACTCACGAAAAAAGCGTCGCCAATAGGAATAATAGTTGCGCTCGGACTAGAATCATCACTGTAAATACTACGATTGCATCGTAGTACTCCAAGGGTGTTTTATCTGTTGAGTTTTATTTAGAAAGCATTGCAACTATCCAGGCTTTTTATTTTAAAGCTAAAAAATTTTTCTAAGTAAGGAACAATCGTTTTTGTGAATGAAGCTTAATACTTGATGGATTGATATATCATTTATCAAACATCAAGCTAAAATTTTAATACTGTGCTCATATATAATGCACATGTAAATACCCATTTACTGTATATAAATTTAATGATACCAACACGTAGATGTATATTTTGTACATAAAATACTGTCCGTAATCGAAGTGTACTATATTGATTAAAAATATTGTAAAGTGAATTGTAAAAATGTAACACTTTAAACTTTCTTATTTTTACTATTTACTTCATTTCATTTAATGTAAATACACGGACGTATTTATTAAATTAATGTACATTCAATTTACTCAAGTTATTATATACGGCATTCACGTAGTCATTTTTTTATAGTTTAGAATAAATATTTCAAGAAACTGTATGTCATATTAATTACTTTTGCTGTTGTTTCTTTGCATGGAATTTTTGAAGAAAGTTAGGCGTATGTACGGTGGAATCTAGGCTTTAATCGTAACGATAAGACTGTTGTCTAAACTATAACGCAATCATCACTTTTATTATCATAAAAGAGATTTATCGATCGATGCTACGGTACATTTATATAGTAGGGATATAAAATTTAAACGTTTTATTACTAATCAGTGCATCCCCAAAAATAATTGGTAATGATAATTAATTGCTCGTAAGATAAGCAAACTCTTAAAATATTACTTTGACTCGGTTATTGATGAATCTTACAGTCAAGCAGCCATTTTATAACAGCGATAATAAATTGACAACAATTGTTTAGTCACTGTAAACAGCATTGGAAAGATTAAGAATAAGCGATCATATACGTATATCTATCTTAACCAGAAACAAAATGGTTACGAGCTACTATAGTTAATCATCAAACACCATTTTGTTATATTTAACATCACTCAGTGGATAAGAATTGAAATGCTGTGTCACGTTCTTCAACTAATTCATTAGCAGTTGCTTCCATTTTAGAACGTGCGAAATCGCTAACACTAAGTCCATTAACGAATTCCCATTTACGATTCTTAATTCTTACTGGAAATGAGTACATTACATTATCTGGAACGCCATATGAGTTACCATCTGAAATAACACCCATAGAGGTCCATTCACCCTATATTGCGTAAGTGATTACGGTATTATTCAGTAAAAGATTAATTTATTCTTACAAATATTAGACATTGACGATTCCTTACGTTCAGTTCAGAATCATACAACATGATTGTATATTCATATATACCATACTAGAAATTGTGGCCCGAGTAATCTTACCTCTTTTGTGCCATTCCATAAATCGCGTACATGATCGCAAATAGCTTTCGCAGCTGAGACAGCACTTGAAAACTTTCGTGCAGCAATAACAGCAGCGCCGCGTTTTTGGACAGTCTGCAATTCAGTCAAAAAAATTGCGTATATTAGTAACATAGTAACAAGTAGATGTAATAGGCATGAATTTTGTGAAAGACAAGATAACTAAAGTTAATGTAAACATTTACAGAAATGAATTCCCCGTGAAGCCAATTATCGTCGCTAACTCGCTCAGTAACACTGTCGCCATTAGTCATTTTGGCATGAGAAGCATCTGGAAATTGTGTTGAAGAATGATTACCCCAAATGATGACGTTGCGTACTTCGGTGTTCTTAACATTCAAACGCGCAGCTATCTACCAGAAGAAATTTCAACAGGATGATATATAATGTCAGTAACTAAAGAACTGGCGTACAGTAGCATAACATCTCAAAACAATCAATAACATATTAAGTACCTGAGCTTGTGCTCTATTTTGATCTAATCGAGTAAGACATGAAAAATTCTCTTTTGGAATAGTTTTCGCATATTGAGACATAACCAGACAATTGGTATTAGCCGGATTGCCGACAACAACTACCTAAAGATTTAATAGTTATAGTCAGTACAATTTCTATGTGTTCGTACATATAATAATTATACGACCTAATCATACAATTTCAGTGCTGGACATTTACAGTAGTAATGACTAATCATTAAAAAATAATTTTCTCATATACGTATATTCATTTTATATACCCTGACATCCTTTTTAGCAACTTCATCGATTGCCTTTCCTTGTACTTCAAAGATCTTAACATTCGCCTTAAGCAAGTCTTTCCTCAGCATACCTTCCCTACGTGGCATAGCGCCAACCATAATCGCAAGATCGATGTCTTTGAAAGCCACTTTAGGGTCATCAGTTGCAATAGTTTCTGCGGAGTTATTGAGAATAACAGTAACGTTAAATAATAGCGTGGAAGCGACATTTACAAAATTTTAGCACATTCAACAAGGCCATTTACATAATAGATTTATTAACATTATTCCATACTAGAAAGGCAAGCCAGCCATTGTATTTACAAGACTTTTAATCATCTGATAATGACTACTAGTATTTGATGTGAACCTGGCTAGATTTAAGGTTACTACGCGTTATACTTTTACAGCAAATTAAAAATTAGATTCACCAGTACAATTATCCATAGAATTTTTACCAGTATCGCTAAGGACTTTGTAGAAAGTAAAAATGTTAATGTAGAGTTACAAAATATATAGCTGATGTACGGAAGCTCGTAGGGAAAACTTTACATCTTTATAGAGTAACGGACTAATTGGCTATAAAAATTTAACCAACACACTTCCCCTCTGGCAATGATTGTGAATCATACGTATTTAATAACATGTTCGTGATTCGTAAAGTATAGGTTGATCATGTTTTCCCGATATCGCTATTCAATTTAACTTATTAAATCACAATGCAATAATAATAAATTAATTAATTAATTGACAGAAAAAAGACGTAGGTTACAGCACCCTAAAAGTTAGCATATGTTCTACGGTTAATAACCAGCTTTCATAGCAACAAGACCGCAGCACATGCTACTATCTACAGTATCTGGTATAACTTTGTGCTAAATATACGCGTATGAACGCAACTTGTCATAGGATACTAGATGTTGTGATCAGCTGTTCTTAGCAGATTAATATTTTAAAGCGGAAACATAGAGATACTACCGTCGAATTGACAACACTTGATGTTGTTTTTTTAATCCTAACGATTTAAAGTAAGTAAATCTTTGTGTTATGAAATACCTATAGCAGTATATTCAATAATTACATTATGTTATCTTGTATAAAATATTCTTTGCAATCAGCAGTGTAATTTATTTATTTATACTGTATATACGATTGCACAAGCTAATCAATGCTGGAAATCGATCAAAAAAAAGGTATAGTATAGTACAGTACTGTACATACATACAATACGGAAACAATAAATCGATAACGGAAAATTCTTGACCGATAAACCAGTTGTACAGCACTTAGGGCGCTCTGGGTAATAATGCTTAGCCACTTATTCTGGATGTCTAAAGGACTGTACAGTGTACAGTACAGTCTGTATTTTCTTAACGGTAAGATAACTAAATTGCTTCGAGCAAGGAAAAAATTTTTTAAAACAAACTCATTTTCGTATATATGTTATACACTCATTCTACAACACGCTAGAAAAATTATTATACCACATCAACCGCATATATTCTTACCTTTCAAAAGTGGTAAAGCACAATCTTGCAATTCCATAGCGACGCCACCTAAGGCTCCCATCATAACAGGAATATCCAGGAGTATCAAAATGACGGGCTAAATCAAAATAACCATACCATTACGATAGAACAGATTACAACTTCAATTACGTACAGTACGTATATGGAGAAAATGTGACTAAATACGGCTTAACACATTATCGTTTTACAATTAACGTATAGTAAATATAGTAATAAATCATTGCAAACGTAATATACGTAGCCAAAAATTGCCTCGCTTCCGTACTATCGTCTGTGATCCCTTTAATACGGATTCTAAATTCTAAATGCTTCGATGATCACTCATACAGCTTTCTGTTACTATTACGAGAATCGGTTAACATAAAGATCAAGTGTTAAACTATTACTTTATGGTCGAAAATTTACCAATAAGAACTCTGTTTGAAGCAACAGTTCAAAATTTAAAATGCATACTACCAAGAACATTACTACACAGCTGCAGCATTTACATTCAATTAATGTGCAACTATGAATCGTTCAAGTCATGTACATTGTACGGTATAATCCTAATTCAATTCTGTCTTAATTAATATCAAATTGAAAGCTTCCATTTAAAAAGCTAATGATTAACGTAATATTGAATCGTCTTGTTTAGCATAGGATAATGCAATATGATGACAACGAAAGCGTAGTAAACCCCTCAATGCTAGCATTGAGTCTAACATGTGTGTGTATAATTCATTATGCATGTTCCTGAAGGAGAAGTCGCAGTAAACTAACTTGGACTGTTTTAGTGTTTTTTCTACAAATTTATGTCCTACTTTCTCACATAGCACAAATTTATGGCATAATTTCCACATAGCACAAGAAAATAAGGAGAATATTTTAAAACTTGATAAGTCAGCTTTAATCTTCTTCTCTGATAACTTGTTATGATGCATGTGTTTGCCTTTCCAATCAGTTCTTGAAAGGTAGATGTCATATTGTACAGTAAAGCATCAGAATGACGCTATTTTGAGAAAAATTACTCCAGTATGTAGTAGCTTTGACATTGTTAATGGCTACAATTAGTTTGACATAATAACTGGTATTTCTACGTACTTTGGACATTGAACTATGCTCAATCCTGTTCAATTTTGTCGCTCAAAAATAGCTGATAACGTTTACAATTTATGGCAAAGTATTAATCATCCTCATCCAACTGTTGCATCATGTCATTGCGATCACTGGCGATTAGGTTAGAATATACAATCGTTGTCCCAATTTTTACCTGATCTTGTCCAAAAACATCTCCTTTGGCAAGTTGATACAGGAGAGAATATGCAATTTGACCAGCAGCACCGGTAACGCAAACTCGAAGTGGCTCAGCCTATATTTTTAGAACGCAAGAAAAAATATATAAATATCATATTACAGTATGACATATAACCTATTCCTACTGTGCACTATCTTGTGAATCAATGTTGAGCTGTGAGCAGATCTACAGGGTAATTCCAAATTGTAGGATTATAACACATGACGATCAGGAGTCTTTTCAGTCAATATTGAGAAGCTGGTCATATTCAATCCATATTCCAGTATGACTTGTAACGACTTCACGAAATGGGTGTAGACATACTGTACTGCTGATTAAAGTCTACTTTGAAAACGCTCTGACATGACTGCAATAGTTGCTATGACTATCAATAGAGGGGAAATGATAGTATCTTGATCGAAGTTGCACCATCCCTCAACTCTATAGTACAATACATAGGATTGATTGACTTGCATTGGAAGAGAAAATCATTCCACTATGACACAAGCAAGGTCGAGCCCAACGCGTATCTTGTTTCCTCTGTTATGGTCTTTTAGATGACCTTGGTGACTACAGTATCATTTTTTTCTTGTCGTTATCAACTCCACTCAATCTAGTAATACATTGCTTTGCACTTTTCAAGCCTATACAAGGGGTTAGCATGAATAAAAGTGAGCAATATTGATAGGACCTACCATTTTGATGCAAGTTGTAGTGGTTTGTTCTCCGTGTTTTTCAATGAAAGAAACGTCTCGCTCCTCGACGCAGTACAGCAGGCGTTAAAGTAGACCGTGTTGCAGAGACCTCAGCTATAAATACTCTGTCTTATCAGTAGCTTCACCATCGCTGTACTGTACTGTACTGTACCGTGTGTACGTCAGACTTGTGACGTCGCCGACCAAACGCTCGTCCATCCCATCTGTGAACCCACAACATGTCCTCAACTTCAACTGACTTGTGACGTCGCCGACCAAACGCTCGTCTATCCCATCTGTGAACCCACAACATGCCCTCAACTTCAACCTCAAATGTCCAGTGACAACTGATACCTAACACCAGATAGCGATACTGCGGGGACAGCTAAAACATACTACAGCACAGTACACACCACTATAGAAATTGGTAATGTAATCAAGGTACAGTACTGTACAGTGTACGTGGTATGGGTCAAACTTTCTACACACGTGAGTACTGCACTGTACCGTCCAGTACTACAGTGTACAGTACGTTGGACTGTACTCTACAAGTGTACGCACTGTACTGCATACTGTATTTCTATCATTAATATGGTAATTTGGGTGGCGTTATATTTTCCCTATTAATATTAATATATTTATTTATTTGCTTATTTATTTGATTTGATGATAATGATTACAGTACATAATCAAATTTAGTTTACTGTACAGTATATTACTGTACACATAGTACTGTACATACTGTAAAGTACAGTATGTCGGAAAATCCTTTTCACTGGTGTACCTTGAAGCCGTTGCGTTTACCTACTTCGCTTGTAAACATGCGACATGTCCACGTGTATCAACCGTGCTACAGCCGCGGCTAACCCTTTCCTATTTACTACTGTAGTAGATAATGTAGTCACTAGTCACTACAAAAATTGACTGAACACAAGAGTCGCCCTTCCAGTTTCGCTCTTCTCTCCTAGTTGTCCCTGCGACGTTGATGTACATACAAAATATGGCTCGCCTCGATCTATCAAATTATACTGATAGCAAGGGAGGGTTGGGACTCGTCATTTAATACAAAACACTTAGGGACTGCTGAACTAAAAGAAGAGAAGGAGAGAGGGACGAGTACAATTCAAACTAGTCACTAGCGGCCGCTCAGTGCAAAATAATGAGGGAGCTTATCATTTTTCTCCTCATTCTACTATACGCTACGACCGAAATCGTATACTACACTGTACAAAACCAACCAAGCGGCCAATTTGGATGACAATCGTGGACAGTGTATCGTTTCAGATATACGGCACAGCTGAGATGACCAGCAAAATAGTCGGCCCCCTCATTTTTAGTATACTGAATGGCCCTTCTCTGTCCCTCTTTCTTCTTTCAGTAGTCCCTGACTGTGCCATGGACTAATAAAGCTTTTCTTATTGAGTCGTCCATGACTGTACTGAATTATACAGCACAATAAGACTCTGCCAAGAACTAGAGTACACTACCAAGTGACAAATCCTTACTCCGACTTCAGAGTTGCAGCTTCCTTGCGGGTTGTCTGTAGCATGATCCTTTCGCAAAACTATCCGACTATGATCGGAGAATTTGGACCGATCACTCCTGGATGGACAGACATCTTCGGCCTCATCTGTTTAAGACACTGTACAGTACTGTACAGTGTACAATACAGTACAATTAGTCTGTGTCGAACACTTACAGTACAGTACAGTACAGTACTGTACTGTAAGTATGCGGACGGTCGATTTTAAATTGAATGTTTTTTCTAAATTAACAGTAAGGAATATTACATTGAATCTTATTACGCATCTGTTACTAAGTTCTGCTTGGAAACACTTCTATAACATTGTCAATATCATTTCAATTAGTACTCGTGATTTGGAAAACAGACACGGAAGACCCATTATTAAGTAGGCATTTTTGGATAATGAAGACCTTCTTCAACAAGCAAAATCCGTCCTTCCGAGAGAGAAAGTCATCCGTTATGTCCGTCCAGGGTCTTCTTATCAGTACTCAGTGACATACAGTACTGTAGTGCATGTCGTACCGTACCGTCCGTTGCAAATCCAGTATACAGTACAGTACTGTACACTGAACAGTACCACAGTGCCAATACAGTAGTACGGTGGCTCACAATACAATAGTGCCTGCCGTACTGTACCGTCCGTTGCAAATCCAGTTTTCAGTACAGTACACTGAGTACAGTACCCCAGTGGCAATGGTGCATGCCGTACTGTACCGTCCGTTGCAAATGCAGTATGCAGTACAGTACCAATAGTGCATGCCGTACTGTACCGAAGGTGGCAAATCCAGTATGCTGTACAGTACCCGGCCCAGGTTGGCGTCAGGTACATGACGGCATCAATTACTCCTGTCTAGGCCTTGTGGTAAGACCGACTAGCACGCATATTCGGCAATCCTTTCTTGGACAACGATAGGTGTACTATGCCTTCTCGATTCAATCAGCCTAACTAGAATCGGAGTGATTGCCATTTTAGCCAGGATTGTTGGGAAATTCAAGTTGTAGTGGATCTATTCATTGCTACCAGTTGTACTGACACATTTTGTACAATGTCCATGTGGTATAGGTATCGTGGAGAAGGTTCTTTTTACCAGTAAGCTGCAAACGGCAGCGCACTACTATACTGTACGTAGTGTCCACTGCCAAAGTGCACTGCACCGTACTGCAAACGCTCGTACCAAGCTTCCAATCCAATCCTGCTGTTATTGATTCCTATTAATAAAACCAAACAAGGGTAAAAACGCTGCCGGTTGCCGACAACTTGTGATGGCTAATAGTAAAAGTCGCTCTAAATGGACGAGACCGTCTTCATCCAACATCACAAACCACAGTGTTTCCGATCATTCGAGTAGAAGACGTAAGCCGTTTTCAATGAAATTTGCAAATACAACATGTTCACGACGCCACAGTCAAATCGTTTCGGTGAACGATGGTAAAGACCGTTGCCGTACCTTTAAGGTAAGATTATCACTCCACATCATAACATAATCATCGAATTACAACCGCCAAACTACCACGACATATTTTAGCCATTCGCATCCTACATATTGAATGAATTGATACTATAGTATGCTTGTAAAAATCAATCGTTGAATATTATTCTTATTATACTGTACTGCACCAACCAAATCTTGCTAAGCTTGGTATAAGACGTTTTTCCATTTGGGATTTTCCCAGATCTTGCTAAGCTTGGTACAAGACGTTTTCCATTTACGCTTTTCCATTCCATAGCTAACACGGTACTTTACTGTATCGACAGATGTATGCAACACTCTATAGTATTAATGTACTGTATTGGGCGGCAAGAAGAAATGCAAATGGCCACTGTATCGACAGTATTTACAGTCTTATACAAAAGTACAGTAGACTGAGTAAACGAGTGTAATATGAGAACTGGCAATTGCTGTCAAAAATCATACCCCAAAGTCTTCATGTCGCTATCATTGCTCTTGAAATGACTGCATTTTTTTTTTCAAGGGGTATAGTTGAAATTGATACAATTTACTACAGTAGTACAGTATATTCCCTGACTTATTGAAACAATTATGGAGTTTAAACGATAATAATTATTAATGGTACCGGACAAGTTAAATATTCATTTTAATCATGGAGTTTTCAATGACTACATCAGCATCAATTTTCTCTTCCTAATTGCGTGTAGAGTTACGTGTCTTGATCGGGAAAGACACAGTCTGTGTCAATCTCTTTCCAAGGGTTGTAAACATGCATGAACTGTGTATTCGCGATATTCTATATGCAGCACACATATATCATATGTACTGTATGTATAGCTATTAAATAATTACTTAGTATTCTATGCTAAGTATACGCTGCCTCAACGGATAATAATAGTTGTTGATGGACTGAATCTTTTGATGAATATGCCAATTAGTGTTGCTCTGTACAGTGTACAGTATAATAATGAATTGATCAACCCTAATCGAGAACTTGTACGCGACTGAATGAGTGCACTACAACTCACAGTAGACGCTATGATAGGCATAAAACTAAACTATTACAACGCTTTCATCTTCCAAAACCGTAAAAGACTTAGATTATTCATTTCGTGAATAGATCCAAAGACTTTAGACTTTCTAAAGTCATTCAAAATAAAAATCACTCATTGTAATTGTGAATCTTATTTTAGGGAGTTTTAGTAACTCATTAAATGCATGTAAATATAAAATGCTTTATTTTTTCATTTTAATTTAGTAAAGGAGATAGAGCAGAAATAAAATAATCTTAAGAATAACTTTATAAATTGAACATTGACGAGTGGGTACGTAGGACGGTAAACTAATTCTTGATTTGCCATTTTGGCTGCACCCTTCGGTCAGGACTGTACCTACAATAATCCTACTATGTACTGTATATATGTCATACACTACAGTACCGTAGATACTGTGGATCACGGTGCTGATTAGAATTTATATTTATTATCTAGCTATAAAGTCCCTCGCTCTGCATGAATTAATTAAAAGGAGGGTGGGAGGGATTATATGCAGTACAGTATACAGATGTAGATTATGTTATTACAGTCTTACCAAGCAGTACGTGAAATATCGCATAGTATACTCGTAGACATACGGTACTCTGGATACGGACGATATTTATCCAATAATAAATATACTGTCATGAATTTCTATGACAACGAAGCGGTTTATGCATTGAAAGAACCATGGGATTTTACTGTAATTAGAATTGTAGATACTTTGTACTATATAGACGAAATCTGGTAATAATACGTACAGTATAGTACTGCAATCGACTGACTCATAGTTTAATGTAGCGCCTGCTGAAAGGGATAATTTTGTCTTGCTTTCTTTTACCAAACCAAATACCTAACAATGTAGTTGTTTCAATTTTATATCGAAATTCTACAATGACAGCAAAGTATTTCATTTCATGTGTTAACACATCACTGGGCCATAAGATACGCTTGATGAACTAATTAATAAATACACGCCAGTATTAAACTCAGACTCCTTTGAGCATTTTTTTAATTTAATTAGATACTACTTGTATATGTCTGGAACTACTTGATGAAGAGAGAGACATGCACCGACACTTTTTTAACTCATAACGTTTTCTATTTTCTGCTATAATTTACCGTGTATCAAATGTAAATGATGTTGCTATAAGTAATTGAATTCATGATATAACATTGTTAAAGTATATATTTTACCTTTTGATCTGGTAGTTACTAAAAGTAAAGTAAAATCCCTTATTGCTTGATGCCTATCATTATAGGACCAAGGTGTCAAGAATAGAAAATTTTATAAGAATAACGCAAAAGATGAACGAAAAAGAAAATTATTTTATGAAAATAACAAGAGTATGGCAATAAAGCAAGTAGGAACTAAGGCAATGCTTCCACCCAGTAAAACGATCCTATGTCGAGCTGGTAATAAAGTTAAAGCTACAGATCACCGAACAACATCAAAGAGATCTGAGCCGTACGTTCAATCGCCAATTTAGCGACTACACTACTGGAGTACTCGTACCTTTTTCATTGTAAACTGTTACATACGTGTAGTGTCTACAGTAAATCTTGGTATATCGGCTACTATATGTGTTAATTTTATAAGCTATTGCAGTACTTCTGTTTGTAGACTACAATTAATTACAATTGTAGAATATCATACATTAACTCGTAGCTTATAATTTGGTAAATAGGAGTGAAACCAAAGTTACTTCTGACAAAAATGAAAAAACGAATGAGGTAAAGCACTAAATTCTTTAATTTATCATGTTTGGGCGTCTAGACTGTCCATTTTTTAACTACAGAGTTTTGTTATACCTTTCTAATTCCAGTAGCAAATTATGTTTTCAATGAACTAATCAATTATAAATGATTGCTATTCACAGATATTAGACAGTCATCATATCATTCATGGTAAGAAGAGAATCGTGCCTCCTCTTCCTTTATTATTTCCACTTACGACTATGTTAGTAACTCCAGCTCGCGCTGGACTTCTTCCCACACCGAGGTAGGCCAAAAATTTTATCATATACGTATATGAGTGTATTTAAAGTATTGAGTATTGAGTAGCGAAATTACTCAATATCGATTTTCTGTATACTTTAGATTTGGCAGTGGCATAATTTCTTGCTTACCGAACCCAAATAAAACTCATCAAGCTCAGGCGCTAACTTTAAATAAGATTGCTAATAATGCTGCCGCACTCCAGGCTCTGAAAGAACCTCACTTGTTAACTAACTTTGCAGGAAAAAGAAAACAACCATCTAATTCAATCGCTAATAATAATACCCAAACTGCTTTAATAAACTTTCAGCCGTCAACCGTCAATCAAAAAATTCGCAGCTCAGACGCAAGCATTTATTCCATAGGAAAGCCCACCATCAGTTGCCTACCACTACCAGCTCCTACTGCAAACACAGTACTAATCCCTAGCAGTACCGCACCTCTATTATCCACCGATAACGCTACCTCTGTTGCTTTAGTTTCTAGTGTAGCTAATATCATATCAACAGGAAATGTCTCACTCCTGACCTCTGCTAATTGTATAAACACAACAGCAACAGCTATTCCTCTGCTTGCTAATGCTGCCATAGTGCAAACTCAAACTAATATTCCAATCATTACAAATCCAATTGGTATTGCCGCCACGCAAGCTGCCGTCGCATTAGCCAATAGCACTAACGATATACTTCCACCACATACTATAAATGGTCAAGAAAAGCCAAAGCCGAAAGTTGACCCTCCAGCTGCAGTTCTTGAGAAAGCTGCACAGCTAAAAGATAAATTAAGAGCTACACAAGCTGTATCAGCTTTACGCTTATCATCTCAACTACAGAATATAAATTCACTAGCAAGTTCTTCTTTAGTTCCGTGAAGAAAAGTTTTAAATAAAGATATTCATCACTAGCTCATTGAAATAGATAACCATATAATATACAGTCAAATGTATCGTACTGTATCGCATTTAAGATGTAATACGTAAATTAGCGTAAGAAACACTAATTTCCCGACTAATTCCGGAAAGAAAAAATTTTATCTAATTATTAGGTATTAAACGAATTTAAAGCTAAATAGATTATCTTGGTATTTCTTGATTTATTAACCCTTATTCTGACGTGACTTATTTATTTCCGTTTCACTATTATTGTCTTTTGACGTATAGAAAAATATTATTTACGATATTTCTCTTACTAAGGGGCAATATTAGACCTATGTAGAGTATGCTGGGTATGTTCTTTAGTGTCATGATTCTCTCTATTCGTACATATTTAATGGACGATCTTCTAATTAATGAATTCGTGTAAATTAACGTTTTACTATTGCAGCAAATGAACCATTACAATCTGATAGTCTTCATACGGATTCTGTCGTCATTGTTATTATTGTCGCAGGTTCGATAACTTAGCTATTTGAACATTATGTTTTACTCTTCAATTATTAATCTATCTGTTCTTTCGTACCCAGTATAGATATTATTAATACCTATCTGTATATGTAACATTATGTGTACATTGTTATTTAAAGTGTTCTTAAAAAATTCTTCCTTAATTTTGATGTCACGCCCTAATACCTTTAGATCGTTTAAGGATTGATTTATTTTAACGTCCAAAATTCTTATTTAATCTTTTATTGTGTTCACCACTAAGCAGATGAATGAACATTCATTCTCTGTTATTTTCATAAGGTGAGCACAAATACAAATTCTACTATGTACTACAAATGCAGTTCTATGCGACTTACTATAAGTCACTACGTATTACTTATGCTAAAAATTATTAACTGGTATTATTATATACAGTTATGCAAAGGATTTGTTTGAAAACTGTTCACTCTTTAGTGCTTCATTAGCACGTGTGGTAAATACAAATTTGCATCTTAATTTTCTGTGATTTCTATTTCATTATATTATAGTTATTCAATCTTATTATCATGTGTACGTTATCGACTTAATATCAATTGCAACTTCAATCTTATGAGCTTTGTTAAGTTTAGATCAATGATTTTACTCTGCAAACGATAGAAGTAAACTTCTTTACATGCGTCTTGCGCATGTTTTAACTTATTCAACATTTAACTGATGCTACAATTTTAAAAAAGGCAATCTACAAATTAGCGAAAGAGTATCAGAAAGTTAATACTCATCGACTTCTTTATCCATCTATGCAGAAAATAACAGAGTACAATAGTAAAGTTAGGGTGCCAAACTACAGTGTACTAAGTAAGTTTTCACGTAGATAAAGCAACATCATTAACACATTTGTAGCGCTCAACATGACTGAGCACGCAGTACTCAGTTGCTGTTTACAAAGAAGTCACCAACAGTTTCGCTATAGTATATTCAAATAATTAATTTTTATTATCGATTACCAACTAAAATTACATCTCTTTAAATATTGAGGAGATAATAAGATACAGTACTGTATTTGTATACGCATATTTATCCATTTAAAAAGAATATACATATTCGGCGCATTGTTGATAGAATTATAGCATCTACATACACCTATTTAGCATACAGCACTAAGTGTATATCATACATTTCGTATTCCGAAGGCCAATATGTAGTATACCGACAATCGATACACCATTAGCGAGAAGATAAGACGATAAAATAACAAAAAAACTTAAAATACACAACTGTACAAAAACACTAACGTATTGACGGGTGTCTTATCCAATATTGTGCCCACAGGCAATTTATAAATCTCCAAAGACTTTTGTAATAATTAGTGATACGAGGAACGCATATTTACGTAATCGTTGGTTTATCTTTAAAGCAGACAATATCGTAACATACTGTAAATGTCAACATAACGATTACGGAATAATTAAGTCTATTTTGTTACGTCTTTCTAAAACCCTTAAGTATTGGGTATATGTTATCGAAAGCTTCATAGATCTCATCCCGTACTTTGGCCCCTATATCGATACAAAAATTTTATCAATAAATTGGTCGAAAATATGCCGTCGTAAGACTGACTTTTCTTCCATGTATATGTTGCAAAAATTTCAGGAAGAAATAAACATAAAAGTACTCAAATTTATCCACTAAAAATATTATACGGTAAGTAATATTCTTACCAGTAAGAACAACTTTGCCTGAAACGAATATCAACAACACGATCCTCGGCTTGACCATCCGATAAATTAATCCCGGAAATAACTCTGGTTCGTAGCTGAAAATAACAAGCAAGAAGCTAATTCACCAACTGTAAATAATTACCTTAAGATTATATTTAATCAAATTTAGGTGTATACACACTACCAAAATAATCTATTGACAATTTCAAGATTTACAGCAGTATGCAAATGAGCTGACATCCTTTTGTCTCGACAAATTGTTTGCTTTATCGTATTGTACAGTCTACTAGAAGTCAAGGGGTAACAGTTCCTACTGCACATTATAGTAAGCTAAAAATTACTCGTATACAAAGATGATAAAGTAAACTGTATAACGTACCTTGAGAACTGCCCGTGAGCCAGAACTAGTCCCTCTAAACGAATCGGAAATTTAACATCGCAGCTACCAACCATATTCTGGATTCTAAATTCGGTAAACTTAGCCTAATGTAAAATTGCATAGTAATGTTAACCGTATTAACGAAAAATATAAAAGCAAATTATAAAAGTCAATATGCTGCACAAGACACTAGTCTAGTCAGGGACTACTAAAAAAGAAAGAAATGGGACTGGAAACGACCACAGTGTAAAATAATGTGGAGGCTTATCATTTTTTCGGTCATTCTGCTATACGCTACCAATGAAACCGTGTACCATACTGCACAAGACCAACTTAGCAAGCTAATAGCAGCTAATTTGGATGTCAATCGCAGGCAGTATAGTGTACCATTACAGACATGCGATACACTTGAAATGAGCAGTAAAATAATCAGCCTCCACATTATTCGTATAGTGAATCGTTTTCTGTCCCGTCTCTTTCTTTTTAGTAATCCCCGGTCTAGTACAGTAAAGAATTCAATAGAATGCAAACTGAAAGTGAAAAATAATCCTAAAATAAAATTCTACTAAATACATAAAATAATTTTGTTAAGAGATATAATTATACAAAAATGATTTATTCTTTTCTATCAGATTTATTAAGTGATGCAAGATATTACATTAAATACATAAAGTAATTTTGTTAAGAGATTTAATTATACAAAAACGATTTTATTCTTTTCTAGTAGATTTATTAAGCGATGCAAGATATTACAGTAATGCACAATGATTAGATACTTATTATCTATTTAGGTTAATTTACAAATAGATGATCTTACCGGGAATCCTAGTTTTTGAATAACTCGTGCATATTTTCGAGCAGCTAAGCGGGACTGCTCTTCACTAAAATTCAAATAAATCCATCAAATGTTTAAAAATTTACTCATTAACAAGTAACAATACCTCATGATATACAATTAACCCTTTTCAATGCTAATACTTTTACAATAATAATTATAATAAAATGGCAAGCTGGTACTATTGATAACTTGTAGTAAAATAACAAGATCTACATCATGGAGACATTATAAATACTAATAACTAGTGCAAAAGACCCAACGGCATACCTCTTTGCACCAGTGCATACCATCTTGCCAGAACTAAATATTAACGCGGTGGTCCTAGGTTCTCTGATTCTCATAATAACAGCAGCAAAACGCTACAAATGCAAGGAGATAAAATGTTAAAATAATGAAAGAACTCCATAAATGTTATTGGCATATGATAACTGCTACATCATGAAAAGAAAAGAAAACAATCACTCCCAATATTTATAATTATAATAAAGTGCTCGTCTTATTTGGTCTACATTAATAAAAATTGCTTCACCTTTGGATTATATTCGGCGTTTCTGGCATGCAATGCAATTCTTTGTAATTCCAATCTGCATCCTAAGTTAACTGTCGATACAATATTTCTGTAAACAATTACAAGATGTTTGATAAATATTAAGTCAATAGATAATACAATACCAGCACATTCTATTGCTACTTATAATTATTTCAGTAAAATTCAATAAATATCGTACTGTAACTGTGGAAGTATTGAAGCAGCTTCAGCTGTAGCTGGCGTTCCTGGCCCAATAGATGGAATAGCAGCAGGCGTTGATGGAGGTTGCATTTGCAGGTATGTCGAACTAGAGGTCCCTGGTACTTGTTGCGCCGCTTTATCGGATGCCGTAGAAGATGAACCCGACGTTTCCATATCTTGTGTTTCTGCCTACATTTCATTAATTTTAGAAAATACTCAATGATTCTATCTAATTTCGACGAAGGAAATGATTCGTTAATGTCATCGATCTAAATATTCATCGTATTACATTGCTTGTTTTGGATATTAAAATCGTCGCAAGTACTGTACAATGTCCATACGTGTAAGGGTATACCTACCTGTATGCACAGTACGCAAGTTACGCCAAAAAAAAGTAATGTAATTAATCTCCAAGCAACTACCTCACATTGTTGGAATAACGGTAACGACACTTTGCTATGTACAATGCACCATACTGTAGATTCATTTTAGCAAAATTTAGACCATTTACTGTATAGGCTTTATACCTAGATGCTTTCTAAAGTGTCGGTTCATTTTGCTAAAATTAGACTGCATCTTGTTATACTGCATGTAGAACAGTGTTTACGAGAAATAAATTAATCTTGTAATTACTTTATTCAGAAGTAGAGAAAAGCCGTTCATGCAGGAATAGCAAGATACAAGTCTGGGTTAGTATTAGAACACCAAACTGGATGCATTTGCGAGAATCGTTCTAGTTAATCCTACGTTTTTATTTATCCGTAAACAGCAGTATTTGTTATAGAAAAATTCTCCCTTTCCTCAAATCATGGTTTTATTCAAAGTAAAGTATTTCTGTGTTGTATCTACTATATACCATACTCTACTAGAGATAGTGTACGTACTGAACGTATTAGTGTATTGTTTCTCCAATGAATCTACCGAAATCCTTTGACGAATATAGACCTAATTTTGAGATATAAATATGTCTATAATATAAATATCTATTAGTACATTAATTAAGGTTAAGTTATGATTGTGACGGTATGTCATGGTGAAACAGCGTCAAAAAGTAGCGTCTTCGTAGAAATGAAGCAAGGCACCAAAGAAGAATTCAAGCGATTATCTATGCCAACTAGGGTTGTAGTAATTTCATAATCAGAATTAAGACTCTTTTAAGTACAACCGATATACTATAAATAGCCTCAATACAGTACAAACAGGAAAACATTTGTGTAAGTTTGCGAAGTCGGGATATGGCTGGATTTCCAATACTGTAGTATACAGTACAATAATGACATGGTTTTTGAGGTCGAAAATCTTTCTGTGCCAAGTTTAATTTAACAAGATAAGAAAAAAAGGAATCCATTCTATTCTGAACACCTTAATAAATTACATCGTACATTAATAATACTGCATCGACGCTGTGTTGTGGCAAATCCTAATCTAATTTCCATACCATCTACAGAGGAGGTAGAGAGCTGAGTGACAAAGGATACGCAGTCAACGCCGACTGTCAAAACATATACAGTAATTGTTATGGAAATAATTGTCGGTGCGCCATTTCCAAGTACCCCTACTACAAGTAGAACATGTTGTTGTCGTGACTATTAGCAAATGTATCCACCAAGATATTCTTGATCCCATTAAAAAGGGGGGGGGGGTTTAAATATTATTCTGACGAATGATAGGAAAGAGAAAAATACTGGCGGGTCGTTTCCTCATGAATTGAAGTAATAAAGAACAATTAAAACGTGCCCATTCATCTATAATAAGACTTGATTAAGCAAGCAAGTTGTACCTATAAACGGTAGAATGTATTTACAGTAAATAGGCATTTCCAAGCAAAATATCACCCTTGATAAACCCTTGTACTTTCACTGTAGTAGTCCTTTAGTTGAAGATTTTGCCTAGCATATCGTATCCTCCAAGTGGACAAGAATCCAGCGTGTAAAGATAGCGAAACTGAATTCAAGGAAAATGTTGAATAATGCAATGAATTTTCAAGGCTAGACAAGACCCATTATAATAGCTGTATCACAAGGATATCAAGGCTATTTTGGCAAACAAGGCATTCCATCCAGCTCAAGCCAGAAAAGATGGCTAATAAAATGGCATGCTATTGATGAAGTCAAGCATTGTCGATACCGATTGGTTACCGCAAGTTGGGTCCATTTGCATGTTACGACAACCCTGTAGTTTTTTGTATTTATCCTCGTCCATTGCTTATCCTACTTACAGTCTGCTTTTCTTGCTCCTGTCCAGTGCGAGGACGGCTCCTGATATTGCTTGCCATATTACCTTGATTTAATTGCCAGGAAAAATGAACGATGATCTCAGCAAGATCGGAAATTTCCCCTTAGCCGTACAACCTTCTTCTTCTTGCTTGTTTTGTCAACTGACAGTTATTGAAGGGTGAAGTCGATCGGTCGTCTCAACCCAGCTTGCACTTCAGTACCCCGGTCTGCGTGCCGTCAGTACAGTACCAGTTCAGGTGTGAAAATTCGAGCTGCTGGCCTGTGCTGGTCAATACAGTTGTTCCTTGAGATGAGTTCGAGTTACTGTACTGTACAGTGTACCGTACTGTACTGTATCAATCGATGCGCACGCGTAAACGACTGTCCAGTTGATTGGATTCAAGAAGTGAGTCAATTTTAAATTTTTTTAGACGGCGTCTAAAATAGATACTTGAGTTTTTAATGGCATTGAGGCACCATCTTACACTTACAGGATGGCATCAAATTGAAGTTGTAGACTGTAAAAGGGATACATTATCGTACAAGTTCAAGTGTGAAAATTCGAGCTGCTGCCCTGTGCTGGTCAATACAGTTGTTCCTCGAGACGAGTTCGAGTTACTATACTGTACTGCACTGTATCAATCGATGCGCGTGCGTAAATAACTGTCCAGTTTAGAATGAATTCAAGTAAGCAGATTTTTGGAGACGGCGTCTAAAATATATACACTCGACTTTTTAATGGCATTGAGGCACCATCTTACACTTAAAGGATGGCATCAAATTGAGTTTGTAGACTGTAAAAGGGATACATCATCGTTTAAGCGACTTACGCTGAGATATCGACATCAACATGGCTAGTGTTTCTGTACACTAGTATCATGGACCTGTACTCCATTTCTCTACTCTATGTCGTTACAGTACTACAGTATATTTCTATGCTAGTACTGTATACTGTACAGTACAGTACGCAACAAATGGCGTCACCAGTCACGACGTGCACTACCAGGTGACCTGAGAAAGGTTCGGTCCGGTTCGGAACGTTACGATCTATATTCAGTACCAGTACCAGTGTCTATGTTCTGGACTAGTGCGGACCGTGATAGGACTGACGTCAATCGGGTACGGACCGGTACGGTTACTAGGACTGCCGCAAGTGCTGCTATTAAAGCCGTATACGAAAACTGCGATACCCAACGCAAATGGTCTTAAAGAAATTCATGAATGGGTGATATATATTCTAAACATCCATTTCATTTTTTAAAATAGGCAGCAATCACTGTAGAGTAGAGCACAACACGATGGTGCCAGAAACAGCAAGTGCTATGAGTTAGAATCTTAGTCATCTCGTTACGCTTTCCAATGCGATTACGCGTAAATAGCTCTTGATACATTTAGCGTTGTAAGTAGTAAATAAAGTATTGGCTAACCTAAGGTTGCTAAGCTTGTTTTTGGAGTCTGTAGACCAAGTATCTCAGCTAACCCAATAGTTGGGAGTATCTCGTCAGCTATCCCAACTCTGTCAGGTTCATATACACCGAACGGTAAGACTGTGCTGTAGTGACAGCAATAACCGTATCATGGACTATATTGTCCGCATCAGAGGCTCTTTTAGGATCTCTAGTCCACAGCGTCAAACACCCTTAAGGTTAACAAGTACTATACAAGTACTGTAAAATCGTAGTTTACATACTGAAACTTAATTGACAATACTCAATTTGTTAATAGATATTGTAGTAGCCTATCTACTCAACATTGATTTAATACTACAAAATGAAAATCTCATCACTCCATGTCATAAGGCAACGATTAAAAATAAATACTACTTTAAAATTGTAATCTACATAAAACAAATTAATTGACAATGCTCAACTCGTAAAGAAGTATTGCAGTAGGCTATCTATTCAATATCGATTCATGCAACTATGTAACTATTAAACTACTGTAAAATCACAATCTAAGTAATGAAGCTTAATTTATAGTGCTCAACTTGCAAAGAAACATCATAGTAACGTACATTGATTACATACTTCTACGCGACTACCCAATTATTGAGAATACTATAAAATTATAATCTACATACTGAAGATGAATTTATAATGCTCCACTTGTACATAGATATTGTAATAGGCTATCTATTCAACATTGATACTATATCCAATTTAAAGTAACGTTCAGTAAACAGACTTTCATCGCATATTATCCATTTCTTATTTTATTATTACTTTGCATCACCCACAAACCCTATTTACAGCCAGTATTTTTTTATTTGCAATGATAATAGTACAGTACTACACACAGAAGTCAGAGCTTGTTCTTAATTAATTTTTCAGTCCTCCTCGCTCGTGTAGTAACTAATAAATAGGACATAAAAATCAATAGAAGGACTTAGCGTCTTGTTCGCATAGTGCTTAAATTGAACAAATGTTGGTAGTTATAAATCCTTTATTAGTATACAATACATTGTTACAATCTTTCATTATTCATAACTTATAACAGATGGAATGTACAAGTAGCCTGAGTACTTCATAATTGTACCTCAAATTACAATCAAGAATGACAGCAAAGTATTTACAATAGCTTATCTCGCTAGATACTAGCATTATTCATGTTAATATATTTATTGTTTCAAAATAATTGCAAATATAGAAATCAGAATTAGCTGTTAAAAATGAATAAAAAGCTATGTAATTTGAAAATTTGGATCTCTATCACAGAGTACCAACACTGTACAGACTTGTAATTCAATTTCTTTTTAGCGTTAGTAATAAAACAAACCTAAATACAGAAAGTTTTTACCCCCACTTTAATTTACGCTTGAGCCGTAAAGCGAGCAAGTAGTTAGTAGTATTTGTTTCTAAAACATTATGCAATACGTTAACAATAATTAACCAATATATACAAGCAAATAGATGTAAATGGGGAAAATATACATATTTATATACACAAGCAAATTTTTTCCTTTCCAATCCATTAATCGCTTTACAGCCTGACTTTTAAATAATAACAGAATTATTGCTTAGCCATCTTTTGAATTTCTCCTTTCTCCTTAATAAATTCCTATTTAAATTAATTTAATATACATACTGTTCAGTCAGCGTCCATTTACAAACGAAAGATAATCTTCTACAATTACATCATTATTTATAGGAAACTAGGCGATCCATTTATAGTGATCAATTTGTACATCAATAAAGGGCAAGACGTTTCGTAAACTGCATAACCAATCATGGCTTAGAATGTATTTAATCATAATAATAATATATGCTGTGAAGAAATACCAACAATTTACCTGTATCTTTGTTAACTGCTGAACATGGGATAGACTACTTATAGGTTTAGCATGTTTTCGTTGACAGTGCTCAGCTATATTACCGATAGCCATGCATATCTGCCCTAACAACTGACTCTAAAATTTAAAAAGAATTATGAAAGAGATATTCATTCGTTCAAACTTTAGACTCTTAATGGAAATGCAGTTATTAGTATTACTACATCTTAACATTAAGTACAACGATTCCTAGTCTTTAGTTAGTGGTTAGCAATAGTAATTTCTGATATGATAAATAAAATATATATTGGAAGGCTACCGTACATACAACTAAGTACAATTGCGTAGAACATAAAATGTATTCTTAAATATTGTACGTTAGAGCATAAAAAAATTATTTACCTGATTCCTTTTAATGTTGCTACTATCGGCTAATTCTTGAAGTAACGCATTATTCTTATTAATCCCTGCTTCTAATTTATTTTGCTTTGAAGCAATTTTCCCATTATATACCTAAATAAATTAAACAATAACGAAGACAAAAATTTTACATCCGTTTTTCTTACCATGATATGAATTTGTTAAACATTTTTTGTGCCATTCTTAGATCATTAACTTACAAGAAGCTGATGTTCAAATGTTTGTTTTAGCTCCAAATATTTTTGATGTCGATTTTCAATCTAATTATTCATATAGTATCATTTATTAATTGCGCTTACTTTGAAAGGCAAGATTGCCCAGACAAGAATTAATTACAAATAAATTTATTCAACGTCGAAATATTATAGATAAAGCTGCACCTCATCAGTAGCTGCATGAAGTTGCTTTAACAATCGTTTATTAGTAGAATTAAGAGTTTGATGTCGCATCATCAGAGCCCGAATAATTGAGTCATTAGTTTCTAAATATTCTGAAATAAAAAATAATCAAAATTTTACCATTGCTATCAACAAGGTAGTATCTTAACATGTACTGCACTTAAATGATACAATCCAAAATATTGAAAATTAAATCATTTCTGCAAACTTACTTTCTGGTAAGCGTTCGACTACTAATTGCAAGAACTTTTCAAATACTGAATATCTTTCTACAAGCAATTTCAATCGTCGATTCCTAAGATAGCATAAAGAAAAAATATTGCGAATATTAACATAAGTCATCATAGATCACAAATAGATTAATTTTATTACGAAGCAAAGAGATTCTTACTGCTGTTGATATTCTGCGAGCTGCTGTTTTAGTAACTCTAGCTCTACTGTTTTTTGTTCTCTTGTTCTATGCTCGACTTGATATTTTTGAATAGCTCTTTTCCTTTTGGCTTCATTTTCATTTAGAAATTTTTCAAATTTTTGAATTCTATCTTTAATCTGCGAATAAATAGTAACGTCAGCGCGTAAGTAAAGCGAATATGAATCTTAATTAATTGATTAACACTTTAAAGCAACCTACAGTCTGTTGCTTCTTTTCCAACTCTACTCGTCTTTCAGTGCAAGCTTGCATACGACGTGCAAATTCTTCCCGTTTAGCGTCAAGCTCATTTTGTACTTGATCGACTTCAATCTCTTTCTTAAGCAATAATGTTGACTGTAAAGTATTGATGCCAGTATCTAGTAATTTATCTGCCGACTAAATCAATACAAGTTTGATCAGTTTTTGTACTAATAACATTTATAATCTGAAAAATCGTACAACTTATTTAATGATTGGTGATATTCGAAATAAGAAAACTAATTCTTAAATTACTATTAAAAACTTACCTCTTTGACAATAGCATATCGTTGTACATTATCGCCATCGTAACTAGAGATATCAAAATCTTTCGTTAGCGTTTTAAGATACCTACAATTAACTCGTTGCATCATAACACACAAAAAATCATCCACCATGTATTTAAAACTAAAAGATACCCTTTAGTTAACAGTTTTCTAACTAAGATAATAAAAATCTGGCTACGAAAAATCATTAGCTAGTTTCAGATTGCAGAACCCGTTATGGTATAGCTTAATGTGTACTCATATACAATTTACAAGATTCTTCTCCATTGGGGATAACTAGAATATATCAAGCTATTTTTCTCTTGAAAGCTTTTTAACAATTTTTAAATATATTATATGTAGTTCAATCATCTCTATATTTTAAATCTATTTATTTCTCAATTAGGTTATTGAAATAACCGAAATTAATCTGACCCTAAATATACCAATTACTGTTCGATGTAGGGCTAATTTCTACGTGCTAAATAGCTACTGTCATTATATAGCAATACTAAAGATAATAGTAAGCGTCTGCATCGAATTCTATCCATCTAAGGCTATCAAGCACTGAATGTGTCCTCACTTAGTAGGAAGCAAATCAAAACAAAAAAGTGCATCTACTAAAGCAAGAATCACTATAGCATCTTATTATAGGTATTTCAATGTTACTAATAAAGGTTTTTCATATCTTCACTTAAAACATTCCGATCGTTTATGTTGAATTTAAAATTCCAGAATAGCTGTTAAATTACATTTAAGATTATTTCTATCAAGCTATCTGTTTACATACTTGCTGTCTCCTCCTAACTGAGTAACAAACACGTTTTCCTTTGGATCTTCTAGTTCTAACCGATATAGCCTCTGTGCCGCCATACTAGTTATACGTACACTTAATATGAGTGCTTAGCCTCTTGCGCTTGATTACACGATATATGATTTTCTATAGTTTCGTATAAAGATTTTACTTTAAAATCGTTTGATGCTTTATAATCGATACGTAAAGTAGTCAGTTCTATACATTTCTATACAGTATGTATATGTATAGAAGCTATTTTCAACTAAAACGTAAAGCAGTATCGCCTTTAAACCGATAAAAGTTTTGAAACTTTTAACTATAATATTCCGTTTCCATGGTAGCAACTGTTCGAACAGTTAAACGAATAGCGCATGAGCAAAATATCAAGCTGGTGTCCGGTAAATTTAAAATAAATTGAATAGGAAAATATCGACTTTTGGATATTTTATCCTACTAGTATACGATATGTTTGCTTAATTTTTCTTGTTATTAACGTTAAAGATATCTGCCATTATAATCCATCAAGTATTCACTACTGCAAAGTTTTTCAATATATTCATATTTATCCTTGCACTCGCTATTAATTAACCATCAGTACTATAGTCGGTGTACTATTTAACGTGATCTAAGCTAGAGGTGAGAATAAAAGCAATAGGTACCGTACACTTACTACTAACTACGATTATATGACGATCTCTCTCATTTAGCAATTTATACATATATGGCACGTGATGTATTTATTCCACTAAATTATATGTTGCTAAACAACATTCAGTATCACGACAAATTAAATCGTCAGGGAGTTTTATAGAATAGACTTATGTAATCAAATCAGATCAGTCATACGTAAATATCCTTAACAACTTCTTTCATCTCCATTTGTATCACAAACTTGATATCAACCCTATGCCTACGGAAAATTAGTTCGAGAATATGGTTCTTCGGTAATAACCGTACTACACGCACGCCATTACATATCTTTACGTTCACTGCCTGATAGTAGCAATTAGCAAGCAGCGTGATATCGTAATAAATCACTACAGTATCTGACAATACAAAATATTATGGTTTTTCTTGTACTAGAACCCATAATCTATTCCATTCCCCTCCGCTATCTCTTAATAGAGTGAGTAGAGTATAGTTCATATTACTATTCAGTGCCTTCGGCTATAGTTCAACTCTCTATGGAAGTATATGAAAGTCGAACAAGATTATAATAGTCCACGATTATATCCAGCATGCAGTGTACAAAATTACATTAATAACTCAGTAAATCCTCCACATTGCAACTACTGTACAATACTAGTACGGGTTCGCAACTTAATAAGTCATCTACAACATTGGTAATGCGGTATTCAATCAAAGTCAGTCATATACAGAATCCTGTAGTTAAAACTGCAGAAATAGAGATGAGATCATTCAGCATGCTGTGCTAAAATACTTCTCTTTCAACAAGCACAATTGAAAGTTTAAATTCATCCATTACGTTAAAGATTTAAATTTCTGATTCCAGACATGCTTTATTTAACCAAAATACATATCAACACGTACAGGACATTTCAAATGTACCTATTTATTAAACTACAGCCATCGTGATACCTAAAAGTAGTAGTGCAATTCCTTTCTACCTATAAGTATTATCGTTGAGAATTAAATAAATATTATTAGGCGACTTTATGGTAATATTAAACTAAGGTAGTCAAGATCTGAAAATTATCGATCAATCATAAAATAAAATAAGATATATGTACTATACGTCTCGTTAATCACTTAAGTAATTGTAATAAATGTTGACTAAAGGAATATAAAGGAAATCCCATCACGTTGAAGTAATCCCCATGAATTTCTTTTACTAAAGTAGAGCCACGTCCTTGTATACCGAATGTAAGCGTTTGTTAAGAAATAACCAGAAAGTCAAAGAATCACAGAAGCTATGAATAGATAACGATGCAACTATGAAATGAATGGATGGGTTTGATTCTGGCAGTACAGCAACTAGTAGCATAATTTAGAAAAATGATAACACATAAAATATTAAAGTGTACTTGACATAGTGTGTAATAGAAAGGATATGATCCAGCCTTATCCCTGTTCGTAATTAGAGAATCAAATATTTCATTTGTTAGTGATAACATACGACATTACTTTTAATTAAATTTATTTGGGAAGGATAATATGACCGCATAATGCTTACATAGGTTCTCCAGTTTTAACATAGGCTTCAATCACTTCGTGACTCAACTCTCCCATTATGACTTCAGTCTTTTCGTGAAACTGAACAATGTTCATGCTCTCCTCTATTCAAACAACGAAATTCTTTTTTACACAATTTTTAAAATTAGATGAAATAATATTAGTTACATACTTTCAATATCCGTTATTAGAGTAATTCCGGTACAAACATAATGAGATCTGGAACTTAGGCTGAAAACGTTAAAACAAAAGTACGGTGTTGCTATTTACGATCATGTCATATACTATCACCTTTAACAAGAATTAGTAAATCTATCAAGCAGTAAACTAAGCTCAGTACCGATTGCAAACATTATCATCTTTATAAAGAATTGGAGTATAAGTAATATAAAACCTTGCAAGCATTTGAGCTGCGTGTCTTTCATCGGCGGGTTTTTCTAAAATTTGATCGCCAAGAACCTAAAAATTCGGGTAGAAAATACGGGTACATAAACGTCATCCAATAAGAAATCTTACCACATATAATGTCGTATAGCTGACATTGTGGCACTTTCAATCTTCTTGAGACTTACAACAACAGTATCTGCACCAATGATCAGATCCGCACGAGTACCCTTGAATAAGTCAACAATAGCGCATCATAATACCGTTGATGATATACAGTACCAATACCATATAAAGCAAAGTTTACATTTAATTACTGTAAAATCTTCTCTAGGAGTTGAGAGTTTATAAAATAATGTAACTGTTCCCGATAGATACACTTACCTTTTCTAATAAATTAGAAGCAACTTCTTTAGCCTTCTGTTTTGCAGTTTCTTTGACGTAATCAGACGGAAGTGCAAATAGATTCTTGTCAAGATTCTCTTCAAAGTTGGAGGGAATAGCTTTAAATTTCAACCCCTATATTAATAAATTTATGCATAATCATAATATCGTTAAAATTAATTTCAAATGATTTCATTCACAGATATTCAGTACTCGCTTCAATTACAGTGTGATCTTGTAATATGTATTAATTATTTAATTATTACTACAATGAATTAAAAGCATTTGTCACATCTTAAGACCTGCAAGCTGCGTGAGCTGTACAGTAAATAAGTTATTAATTTGTCAGTTCGATCGGATGATATTTAATATGCTTTTATTGGACTTGATTCCTTCAATTCAAAAGAATACATTTTGATTGCATCGTTAACATGTTACTGCTGCACCATCCTTATTACAGGGTAGCAGTACACATACATATAGCATGTTCATCTTACTTCAGCAATAACAGCATACACTCAATTTTTTAGTGTTACAGGCCAAATTATTTAAAAGACAATGAAACTGTGAAGGTGCTTCACATTTATCAACTGTATAGCACATGCAAACTTTGCAGTAGTATTTTTAAACTAGGTAAATTCAAGCTGCAAAATGAGCAAATTATTTTAGTGATAGGCTCTCTCTCATCAGCTAGCTGGCTATTATTACTGTACGTGCAGCCGATGGACACTTTCCTGTCAAGAATGTCAAATGCTCCTATGCGTTTATCCAAATACCCTGCAACGATTACGACATGGATAGTAAATTTTCTATCCTATCTATCACCTACTATTACTTACAATTAAATTAAGTAAGTGATGTCTTCGAGGCGATCCACTTGCAAGAATGATAGATTTATCGGCCAACTTGCTTAGAACAGGCTCTAACATTTCGTCTTCTTCTTGAATAATAGTAGAGTTTAAAGGTGAAAAAATTGAAACTGCTTGCTTCTACCAGTCTATGTCCTTTCGTAGAGACCTTGCAAAGAGGATTTTCCCAATACTTTCCAGGATGAAATGGTTAATTAACTCAAATTATATCAAGTTTAGCAAGCTACAATTGCATAAAATTGCATCATGCAGAGGTTGCTATGATTCCTAGCTGCAGTTTTTGTTATGATACTCCAGTTACGCGGGAAATACCCATCGACCGATAGAGGAAAAGAAATGGTAGGGACTTTACAAAGCACAGTATGAAACTAATAGGGAAGTTTGTGTACCATGACTGCCATAGTACGAGTCCAAAGTCTTGTCATACTAGCTCTATTATAGTGATCAAACAAGAGGTAAGAAGTTATACAATTTTATTATCCAGGACGTGTGTCTATTTTACTGGTCATTTCAACTGAATAGCGAAGTGAAACGATACGTTCCGTTCCGTTCCGGTTCTCATCCGAATGAGCCACTTTGCTGTCCTTGGCTGCTTTTGTACAGTGTAGTATACGGTTACAGTGATCGCGTATATTAGAATGACTAGAAAAATAATAGGCACCTGCATTATTTTGTACTGAAAGGCTACTTGTGGTCTCTCTCTAGCAGAGGCTCCATTTATACTTTTAGACTCTACCTCGCTAGCCAACAAGGAGCTCCAAAAAATGGTCTTCAGGTTTTTACTGAAGTATAATATGACGTTTTACGTCTTTATGTCTTCAATAACAGGTATAGCACTTGGCTATATGATTTATGAGAAGAAACAAGGACGTCCTATAAGATGTAAGGTTGAAAACATGTATTTGCAAACTATATGATACACAACAAGAACACACACACACGATGCAAAATTGCTCAATAGGCCAAGCTGGCTAAGAAAAATGATCCTGATATTTATTATTACCTTGCTTGTAGATCCAAAAGATGCTTCAGCCAACAGTGAACGTATCATTGATAAGCTTGGCGCAATTGAGAATCTCTCCACAATCATCCAATTTTTAAATTCCTCAACCAAGGTAAAATGATTGTCATTATAATAACAATCGTATTTGCAAACCTTGGTGTAACTTTCATGCACAATCATCACTACTGTAGTATTTGCTGTACTAATTTTACAATCCAAATTTTGCCTTCTTTAGAGAGGTAGGACAGAGGCATCCCCTACTAGTATCATAGATGTTACTTCATTACTGATATAATGTAATACATCAACATTAAAATCAATTATATACTCGTATAATTAATTCATTATATACGTATAATCAGCGTTACAAAATCAATCATTAGATTCTACTTTATCAATATCACAGGAGGCTGGAAGGAATCATCGAACAGTAGCCATATAGGCCGTATAGACTAGCATATCACACTTTTACCCCTTACCAATACTATCGCATTAACCTTGAACAACCTAGAGTTGAATATGTTATAATTAGTTCCTTTAGAATAGATTACTGATTTATGTCCATAGCCAAATTAAATCAATCAATCACTCTATTAAACTGTCCGTAATTGAATTTGATACCATTATATTCTAAATCCTCATCGTTCTAAGCACTTTAAGCTAAACTACTAATCATACATGTATCTTTACCATACAATTGCTTCTAGGATGACTGGAACTTGAAGAACTATAATAAAGATAAAACCAATGAAAAAGCAGAAGATTGAAAGATTTTACTATCGTGATGGTATTCCGCATTACTGTACAAATTAGTGTAGAACATGATGACATATAGCATCAAGTGGCTCTTTCTAGTATTTATACCTTACACAATTTTAAATGGCATAACTGAGCAGTTTTTGAAACTCTCAACTTTGCTCAACCGAAAGATCTCAGCATATATCTACCATCCAACATGTCAAGTAACTCATATTCAATTTCTATACCAATAATGATCCTGTCTACTGAGGACACGAGAATTTCCAATGCTGTCTAACGTGCTCAAAATCTATTCGATATTGCCTAATCCGCTTGCTGCTACAATAGATGACTACGTTACATTAATTAGCATTATAACTGCGACAAAACATCCAACTTAATGATATGAAGATATTCAGACTATTCACTAACCTATGCAAGTCGAGATTGTTATCAAACTAACAATGGACATGATGACTTCTTAAATATTCTGTAATATCGATATGAAATTTCCTCTTGTAAGTACGGTAACTTGCTATTTCAACTATGATGCCTTTGCATTACTTAAAATACTATTAAAATGCAGTAAGAATGGCTGCTGCAGTGTGAAAGATAAATCACGTAGCAAGATTGATTCTAGCCACAGTACATTTTTCTATACTGCTCATGCAGTCACTATAATATAGAACCACATTTTGATATTTACAATACAAAAGATGTATACTTATTGTAAAAATGTTTACCAAATATTTTGCATCTTGGTCATAGTAAGGCTAAATAAATCTTGTAATAAATTCGATTTTCCTAGGATATGTGCCATTTGGCTGATATTTAGCGGTGGAATGAAATATATTATCAATAATACTACAGCTATCTTCTCTAATTTCCAATATTAAATAACATGAAATCTATCATGATAAATGGAACGTACCGACTAATGAGACTAACTTGTTTCTGAATGATAGATACATCTGGTGATTAGATTGCGGTTAATTAATTATTTTATATGCATGATACGATGGCATCAAATTCCTACAGTGCGATATGTTATACTGTTACTGAGTAACTTTTGCATAGCTACCGTAACATAGTTTCCTTAGGATTACTTATCTAGGAATGTACTGATGTTAATTTATCTATATATTGATAACTAATGTTTATGTAGATTTACTATAAATTGACTGGTTTTTCAATTAAGTTCGGGTTTAGTTTTGTTTAAGAGAGTAGTTGCGTTACTATTCCTCCTAACGATATGAGATCCTTAGTATTTAGAGTCATACTGTACCGTAGGTAGATGTCGGAGAGGACAAATCTGACCATAGGCTCGTAGTGGCATAGTTTTCTGTAGTAGTTTAACTTTTCCTCGTTACAAATTTCGATTTGCAACTCATACCATATAGATTTAATTTTTTTCTTTCCACTAATATTACAGTGTAATTTGAGTACGTATATCGTATAATTTTAATGATTCAATTCCTGGTTTCAATGACGACAGTATGATAAGACTGCAATCCTATTCGCATATTTACCATAATGTACGATTTTAGAGTTCAAAGAATTGCTCAGGATTTCTGACGCGTCCGCTTACAACTGTGGACATATATATTTGGGGATATAACTGTATTATTGTTTTGCTATCACTATTATAATGTACTGTTAGGCTGTTATAGTGATACCATTCTTAAATATTTATTTTTAAGAATAAAAGGTACAAATGGAATAGCTTAACAGTATTTATTTCAACTTTAAACTAACCAATCTCTACACTTGACCCTATTTATGTATTTTCATCAGTATGCGAGTCTATTTAGTGTGGAAAGAAAATAGAAGGTTTTTGAACAAAGATAGCTTTAAAATGAAATACGTATAGATAAATATAACATAAATATATTATTAGCTCCAGCTATAAGTTAAGTAATCCCTAAACTCCTACTTGCAATTTATTAATATCCAAGGATAATACAGAAAAAATAAAATAAAAATTTCTAAGTACCGTCGTAAAAATACACATAGTCATGGTAATTTTTTCGGATGTTCAACATAATCTAATACGGTAATGCTTTCTTTGATATGCGAATAATATTAGTAATATTAAAGCAATTTAATAGATATTGCATTTTGAATATTAATAATAGACTATATATATATCAGGTCGCTACTATGTTCTTAAAATCACACATAGGTCACGTACTATAGAATTATCAGTTAACAGCTTTTAAAAAAAAACTTTCCATACCCACAACTGCTACACTACTATTATGTTACCATTGCTGATAAATTACTGTATTAATTAAAAATATCGAGAATTTTAATACTATCTCATCTAGGTATATTTCTAATGCTAAAATTGGCTCGTAACGATATCTATTTTATTACAGACTAGTTCCTATTTACAGTTATACTATTTTATGCTTTATTTTTTAAAATAAAATTTATCTATCCATCTGGCTTCTATCGAATTATGGAAATGCTACAGTAACCTATGTTAAAAGACATTCTAAAAACTAATTATATCATCTTCGCTAGGATATTAACCATTGTCATCCTTAATTGCTAGTAAATTATACACAACTTGTTACGAATTATTTTTATAACATTTACGAGTATATTCTTATCTTGAAATAAAGAAATTTCTATATCCATCCTACAGTAGACTATCCTACATGGAATGGAGCAGGTCAATCTTTCCATCGTCTAGAAATGGGAATCTATTCTAAATTTCGAATCGTTGCTATTCCTACCTACTACTACCACCACTTCCAGCATTTTTATAACATCAGATAAGAGTGCATTTTACCTTTCTCGCTCTCTTACTAATAGTAGGGAATATAATACACCTATAAGTATGCTAATAGCAAGGAAAAGCGCTAAAAGAGTCAATTGAAAATACATTCTTCTACTATGTCACTTGTGCATATTGACTTTTCTCATTTTCCTATATCCGCATAGCAAGGATATGTCGAAAAGAGAATTGAAATTATAATCTTTCTACTGTATGCAACTTGTGTAACCTTCTAATACAATTAATTGATTATAGTGGACAATGGATTGCTATTCAAGCCAATATTGCCTATACAGGATAAAACAGTAACCGCTAACAAATTGATTGACGACATGTTTGTTATGTCTACTAGTCGTTTTTATTCATTAAACAAAGAAAATCGGGGCAATTTTCCTTCTGTTTTTTCCTATAACAACTACCATAATTGATGCTCATGCGTGCTATTTCCAATTTTTTGATTTAATGATCTGCAAGTGATCATCATAATTGATGAGCAATAATATCCTTGTCGCATTAGTGATGATCACTAGCTAGTTTACGAATATCGACCGCATCTGTGGTGCTAAAGTTATCCCTTGAAGAATTTGCATCCATTTCATGACTTACTCTCTCTATTTACCCGTCTTTTAACGGATTGATTATTGATAAGAATTAGAATTGGAATAGAATTGCAAGATTTGAAAGCTATCGTGAAAAAACAGAAGTAAGAAAAATGAAGATAAATCTTGTCATTATCTAACTAACTTGATCAGGTCTATTATCCATCATAGATGGATGGATTTATTTTTTTTCTCCTCAATTATTGTTTATTCATGTCGTTGTAAAATGTTATTTTATTAAAGTCATTCTCCTTTTTCTACTGGTAAAATGGATGTCAACACTCGTTTGATTTTTTGCTTGTTTTTCACTCTTCTCCATAAGCTAGAAAATTCAATTACTATCTTGCACCGAATTATTTGGATATTAATTACTCCATTCCTTCTTGCTAAGGTGAATGAAAGTCTACTTGATAGCAAGGGACTTGTTCAACGAGGATTCCATACTAATATTATTTTTCCTCTTTCGACTAATACTAGATATGGATGCGGAAGAAATTATTAAAAATGTATTTTCCTTTCTTCGTACACCTATTTGGATGGTACCAGTGCTCACCTTTCTAGAGCAAAATTGTATACGTAAGTGATTCTCTACGCCATTTATGATTGCCTTGTTTAAATTGCTTTCGAACGCTTTCTTACATCATTACTAACTCGAAACCGATGAAAAGAGAATAGAATTCTTGTCAGCTTTTTTCATGACTGTATTGATGGTTTTCCAACTCAGTCAAGAAGTGTTAAAATGACTTTTAAAATTGAATGTAAGAATGGGAAATTTCTCCCTCTACTTTGATTGGAAAACATTCTTGGATGAATGGCGTTGTAATGTCCTATTTTACATTCACAAGATAGTTGTTCGCCATTTCGTCTTCTTTCTTAAAATAACTATTTACTAACGCTTATACTGATTTTGCAATCATTTCCTAAAGGTAATGGAGACCTTTAGAATCATTATTGCCAACTATTTTATCCATATTTAACACTATTTAGATGGTACCTTTCAACTTCTTCCAGGCTTATTATGCATGACTTTTATCTTCATTTATAAATTCTAACTACAGTACAGGCGATAGACTTCTCTTGTCTTGCATCCCATCATCCTTTCTCACTATTTTATGCTCATTGGAAAATGATAGACGTTTTCTCTTCTTTTCGATATTTTTAGTTATCTTCGTTCTGTTTTAGTAGAGACGATGACTATTTTTATCTAGTTATAGTGCCATAAGCTTTCATTATCCATTTTCTACGCTGTTTTATCAAAGATCGCTGGAGGCTTGTTGTACTGTCGTATCCTCCATCACTATCGTTTTATGTGATACGATAACTATTTCTACTTCTTATAATTCTACATTATTTCACAAAAATAGGATAGACACTCTTCGTTTTTATTACGATAGGCAGTTTTCGTCTTGTAATAGGCTATTGATTTTTAGCCTTTATCTTGATTTTAAATCGTCTGTCGATGACGATGGACTCTTTTCGTCTTAGTCGTATTTATTACGATTTTGCATGCCTTACAGAAAGGTAATAAACACCTTTCGTCTTGTAGAATATCTCCATGTGTCGTTTAATATCATGTTACATGGGAAGACGATGAATATTTTTCATTTAGTAGAATAGCTCCATGTATCGTTTATTATTATCATGTTGCATCGGAAAACGATGAATATCTTTCGTCTTATAGCAGGATATTTCTTGACAGCTTTTCACAATCCACTTGCATCATCTAACGAAAGGTGATCAAGATAGTTGATTTTGTTGGATATTTCTACCCTTTATTTTATATCGTTTAAACACAAATAAGATTGTTCTATAGGATATTTCTACCCTTCATTTTATATCGTTTGACGATCCTACAAGATTGTCTTACCGAATATTTCTACCCTTTATTTGTATCATTTGACGATTTCATAAGACTGTCTTATTGAATATTTTTACCCGTCACTTGTATCATTCTACAATTCCATAAGGCTATCTTACTGAATATTTCTACTCGTCATTTGTATCATTTGGCGATACCACAAGACTGTCTTATTGAATATTTCTACTCATCATTTGTATCACTCTTATTCAATATTTCTACCCCAATTTGTATCTTTGGATGACTCCATACAACTGTCTCACTGAATATTGCGGCCTTTCACTTTCATCATTTAACGATTGCAGAAGGCTGGTATGGTTGTCTTGTGGAATATTTCCACCCTTGATTTTATATCGATTGACAATCGGATAAGACCATTTGTTTTTTCTTGCAGATTTCTACACTTCATTAGTATTTCTTGACGATTCCATCAGACTGGTTGTCTTGTGAAATAGGTCTACCATTCATTTGTATCATTTGACAATTCCAAAACTGGAATACTTTTATCCCTTTCTTGTACCATAGGACGATTCCACAAGACTGTCTGTTTGTGAATACTTCTGCCCTTCATTTGTATCGTTGGACAATTCCATAGGACTGGCCATCTTGTGGAATAGTTCTACCTTTCATTTGTATCATTTAACGATTCTATAATTTTTTTATCTCACTTGACGATCAATAAAATTGTTTATCTTGTTGGACATTTCTACCCTTCATTTTCTATCCTTTAACGCGAAACACGCTTGGTCTTGATGGCAGGATATTTGCGTCCTTCATCATTCCTTAGCATTGCCTGACAATAAGCCCCTATAGACATTCTTTGCCTATCGTCTAGCGATAAACCCCTTTCCTTATACTATCAGATATAGACGGATTTCTATCCTTGCATTTTCCATTCCTTACCGAAAAGCGACAGACTACTTTGGCCTCGCTTAGCACTACCCTTCCTTTGCCTTGATGGAAGGTTATTCATGCCTTGTAACCTTTTTCATAATTTTCAGTATTTTTCACACATGGATCCCTTTTGTCGTGTTGTAGGATACAATATCACTTGAACGATCATTTTTCTTTACTATTTTGTAAGACAAGAACACATTACATCTGTAGTCATTTTATACGATCATAATAAATAATTATCGATTACTTGAAAAAGATGGCTTGCAATACTAGTCTGAAAGAGTTATTACCCATCTATTTCCTGCGAAAGGAAAATGAAGACAATAATAATAGCCATCTTGAATTTCAGGTATTGTTATTATATCCCATTCGTTCTCATCATTGAAGGTAGAAAATCTCCTTGAACAATTCAACATGTTATGCTTAGAGTAACATCTAGGATATTATTCTATCGCATAGAAGTTAATAGACAATTCCATTGATTTCCATGCCATACCCTAATTACTTCCCCCGTCCTCTGCAATCCACACTTTCCATAAATAAAGTAGCAGAATAGACTAAGTATCGAGTAAAAGAAAGCGAATCTCTCCCTTCCTCTATAGAGATGAAAGCTTTGCCATTTCTTTACATCTATTTCTCATACCAGATATGGAATTCAATAAGTTGATGATATTCATGACGATATGAGAAACTCTTTTCAAAGACTATTTATCAAGCTAATTATATAATTATTGAATCGAATGATTTGAAGGTGATTTTGATGGCGATATCGAGAAATTGTTTTTCACCTATTCCTCATCCTAAATATTCAATCACATGAATTGAAAATAATTTCTATGAGGAAATGGAGAAATTCTTTTCGTATAAATAAATTTTTATGACGAAATGGAGAATTCTTTTGAGATCATTTTGCAAGCTAAATACGAATAGTAATAAATCAAATGAAATTGAAAATGATTTTCACGACCATACCGCAAAATTTGTTTTACAAACTTCCCATATTCAACACAGAATCCAATGAATTGAAAATGATTTTCATGAAGAAATGGAGAAATTCTTTCCACATACCTTTCAATCTAAATATTAAATCAAATGAATTGAAATGACTTTCATGAAGAAATGGAGAAATTCATTCCTATTGCTAAATATCCAATTCAATGAATTAAATACGACTTTCATGGCGATATCGAGAAAATATTATATTTAGATACCTAACCCATTTCTCATGCTAAGTATATCGAATTCAGTTCATTGAAAACAACTTTTATGGTGGTATTGAGAAATTGCTATCAGATAGCAGACCTACTGCATTTCTATTGCTAAATATCCGATTCATTTTATGGCGATATTGAGAAATTGCTATCAGATAGTTGACTTATTTCTATTGCTAAATATGCAATCCATAAATTGAAGACGACTTTTATGGCGATATCGAGAAATTGCTTTCAAATAATTGACCTATTCCTATAGTTAATATATCCAATTCAGTGAAATGAAAGGCGACTCTCATGGCAACGACGAGAATTTATTTTCAGATAGTTAAACTATTTCTATATGCTAAATATCCAATCCAATGAATTGAAGATAACTTGACGATGTCGAGAAATTCTTTTTCACTTTTATCTCGTGCTTAATATTGATCTATCGAAAATGACTTTCATGATAATATAGTAGAAATTGCACAACTACAACTCCGACACTAAAACGTTTTATTGATACATTCTAGTCTTTAATCCCACGGATGAAAACCAAGAACAATCCCATCTCGAATTACACAGTCGATACAAACATTTGGTAAGTTTCTTCTCTATTGACTTACGCCATAAATACACGCAAGAATTTACTTTCAATTACTTTCATTTACATTACGACAGTTGGACAAGTTTTGAATGTAATCCCTTGATCATATCAGGCTTAATCACATAGTTATCAATATCTTGAAGAGAATATCTAATAGGATTCCTCAATCCAACAGTTGATAAAGTCTTCTATGCAATCTGTCATATTAAGATTATTCCTGAATCGAATAGTTAAAAAATCTTGATGGTAAATATCCTGGTCAAATCACGATGATTGCTTAATGTAGCAATAGCCAAAATCTTGAAGGCAAAGTCTAATGGGATTTCTCAATCCAACAGTTAATAAAGCCTTGAATGCAATTTGTCTAGTTAAGATAATTCCTTAATCGAATAGTTGCAATATCCTACTCAAATCAAGATAGTGCCTTCAGCCAACAGTTGCTAAAATCTTGACGGCGATAACTAATACGACAAATCAAATGATTCCACAATCGAATAGTTGATAACATCCAGAATGCAATTTGTCAAATGAAGATATTTCCTTCATCTAATAGTTAAAAAATTCATGACAATATCCCAGTCAAATGAAGATGATTTCTCAATCAAATAGTTGAAAGAGTCTTAAATACAATGTACCAGTCAAATCAAGATGATTCCTTAATCCGGTAAATTGAAAAAGCCTTTAAGGCAATATCCGAAGTGTCAAATCAAAAGAATTTCTTAATTCAACAGTTGCAAAACTCTTAAATGCAATATCTAATGTGTCGAATGGAGATGATTCGCTCAAAGTCCGTTTTGGACGGGAGGGATTTGTAGTTTTTATTTGCCTTATTAATACGGTAGACCAATAGATGGACAGTAATAAATTATTCGATACAAGCTTATCCCTTATTAATTTGTACTCTTTCCATTCCATAGAGGAAAAAAATTTTTTAAATAAATATGAATGGATATCTCTGCTATCTTCATAAAGCATATTAATCCGGTCTATTCCAAGCCTTCCCATCTTATAACAATCATAATATTGGCTACGGAATAAATAAATTCAAAACCATCACCATTTTGTCTATTCCAAGATTCTCTACCTTACCATCATAATATCGATCGTATAAAATCTTCTAAAAGCATATCGATCCTGTTTACTCCAAGGCTTTCCATCTTACCACAATCATGATATCGGCTGTAGGATAATGAATACCTTTCAAAATCACCTCTATCGTGTCTATTCCAAGATTTTCTGTCTTACCATCATGATATTGATAGCAGAATACCTCTTAAAAGCATGTCGATCTTGTCTATTCCAGGACTTTTCATCTGACTACAATCATAATATTGACTGTAGGATAAATGGGATCTTCTAAAAGCAATCCTGTCTAGTCTACAGTACAGTATAACTCGATTTTTTGCCTTCATGATATGAACTGTAGAATTGATGAAACTCTTATAAAAAGTATCTTGATCTTGTCTAGGTATCTTATATCATATCATTATTTTTTGAAAAGGTCGACGCACTACTAAAGAGCTTTTTGGAAGATATCCATGTACAAGAAGAGCAATTTGTACAAGCGTGCAGCTCACCATTGGCACAAGCTAATATACCAAAGGTAATTGAGAAAGTTTAACCTAGGGAAATTCAATTAGACTTCTTCCTAGTCATACCGCTAATATTGTCATATATACGAACCGCTAATAAAGAAATAGATAACCTGCCATGACTTGTTAGCAAGTTCTACTCTTTCATAGTAGCACATTATCTACCCTATTTACTTTCATTCCTAAGCAATTTCTTTATCCTTTGCTTTGAAAAATGCATCATGTACTTTTCTTTTTTCAACTACCGTTTTCTTTCCTAAAACGACGATAGCATCGTAGATCGCTAGTCGATCTTTCTTTAGCCATTCTATAGCAGTCTTTCTTAACACTTGAAAGCAGTTGTCAAGTTTACGCGATAGATCGACAATGAAATAGAAATGAGTAATTATAGTTGAGAAATTATTATTATATTATGCGTATATTAACCAGTCTTCAATTGTGAGAATTGCAATTGTATGCAAGCACAACAAGGCTATCAACATTCATCAAGCAGCTAGTCTTGTATTCCTATTGAATTTCAAAGAGTAATATTGACTTGGAATTGAGTTGTTCTTTTCATCATCCTGCGTGTAATTAATAATTCAAAGTTAATTAACGCAGGTGTAATCTAATTTTTCCTAGAGCAACGATGAAAATTAGCACTAAATACCGATTTGATCATCTTATTTTAATCATCTTAGAGCTAAAAAATTAAAGATTATACTAATATGGTTACAATATAAAGCTTATTAACAGGAAAGTCGACAAAAAATTCAGGATAAATGCTATTAATTGCCCTATAAATTTAAAAAAATAGAGATTACATTAATGTAGTTACGATATAAAGTTTGATAAAAGAAAAAGAAGGCAAAAATATTTAGGATAAATGTTATTAATCATCATATAATTAACAACTGGAGATAAATTGATTTAGTTGCAATTCAAATTTTACCAACAGGAATCAGTTAAAGCTAGAAATTTATATTAATAGTTACAGTTCAAGTTGCCAACAGAAAAGATGATGAAAAATTCTAGATTAATGTTACTAATTATGATATAATTAAAAAATTAAGAGTTTAGGTACTAGTATTAATATAGCTATAATTCAAATTTAACCATCAGCAAAGGAGGGTGATGATGACAAATTCAAGATAAATATTTAAGGCTAGAGATTGTGTTATTATGTATATAGTTACAAATCGAATTTTACCAACGAGAAGGATAATAAAAAATGAACAGTCATTTAAGCCTAGAGACTATACTAAATTACTATCCTAGAATTGAAAACTACAGATTGTATTAATGGAGTAGCAATTCAAATTTTACAAGCAATAAAATAATGAAAAATTAACGATAAATTTTAATCATTGTAGACTTTAAAAACTAGAAATTATACAATATTAATAAGTCGCAGTTTCAAGTTTATAATTAGAAAGATGAAAAATATTAATCATCGTATAATTATAGCTACAATTCAATTCTCGAAGAGAAATAAAACAAGTAAATGACAATGAATAATCTTAACGTGATGGAAATTAAACATTAATATTAGCTTCAATTCAATTTTCACCAACAGGAGATGCTTCGACAAATCTGGGCTGCTGATAATTACGAAATATTTAAGCAAATAATGGTACAAAAAAATATTGAATTACAAGTTCAAGCACTGCGATTAATGCAACAACGTTTCGGACTTGGTCCACCTATAGCTTCTGACAATTTACCTGCATCAACTACCGAAGCTGCTTCTAGTCCATATGATCCTGAAGAAGATGTTAATGAGGAAGAAGTATTACTACGCCAAGTAATTCGTTTATCATTAGATGAATTTAGAAGATCGGAATCGGAAGACTACTCTACCGAATTAGACGATGCCATTAAATCATCTAGGAAAGAAAGTGAAAGACTGCTTGAAGAAGCACGCCGAGAACAAGAAGAGTTAGAGAAAGCTTTATTACTGTCAATGAAAAATTTTGTTAATGAAGATTCATCAGACTCGAATGCTTCCAAAAAATTGCCTGGATTGAATACTTCGCCGGCTAAAGTTAAACCAAGCAGTAAAGCTATTCCTCAAATTGTTAATACGGCTTCAGATTTGAGCCCAATCGACACTAAATCTCTTCCAAAACTGCAAGTAGGAAAAGTAAGTTATTGATGTCAATTGCGTCTAATACACGCATCGTATTGCTTAATTTAACAGAATAACTATATGTAAGTAGATTACTGTAAACGAAATGTCCATAGCTAATGCCGTACAGCATAATAATTATCATGAATTTTTAAATGATGTCATGGAATATAATGAACTAATACCGCGTCAGAATTTACATAACCATTGGGGAGAAAATTCTCCTTTACACTCTAAATATGACCGAATAGACGATCTAGGGGTTAGGATACAACGGTTTAAATATTACATTTCGCATAATCTGCAAATGATAATATTTCTATAATAATCTAATGATATCTGGTAAAATATTGGTATTTAAAAGGTAGTTTAGATATAAGAAGTTATCCATTTTAAAGATCATACAACCCTTTAAGTAAGATTTTAAGTAATTAAATTAGCATAAAAGCGATGATGCTATCGATAGTTATATCCGCTAAAGTCGCCAAATGGTGGCATAATAGAATGTAACATCAAAATGATATTATATCATGCTAATTAATATTTAGCTACTAAATACCAATACTTGAATTACATCTAATCGCTACGTAATATTTCTATGATAGTTTTATTACATGGAAAGTATCATTCTAGAAAGCTATACAGTAACTAACAAGTATCTCTCTTACTCTTGATTAAGATTTGAACCATTTAAGAGAATAAAAGACATTGCTTAACTTCATCCCCTGTATAAGATATGTACGATAGTTCAACAAAATTATATTGTTCTAATATCTTAGCCACTAAATTCCAATAATTTCTAATCGTTATGCAATGTTTTCGTAACAGTTGTATTACGTAAAGCTACGCGGTCAACAAATATTTATTTTATTGTTAATTAAGTTGTTAGAATCAATCAAGAGAATAAATTATCCTTCTTTTTTTCCTGTTTTCAAAAGGCAACTGAACCAGATCGAAATACGGATGCCGGTGCACAATGGTTAGCTAATGCTAAAGCTGAAGCCCAATCTATGGATAAAAATAAGGACACCATCGCCGGTAGCGATGATGGTGATGACATTGGTAAGCGTCGTGATTATTTCGCTCTTCAAAGAGATCGATTAGTCGCTAAAAAGAAAGCTGAAAGAGAGAAAAAATTAGATGAATTTACTAAAGACAGTAATGGAGGACAAGCGACACGACCTAAATCAGCGCGGGTTGCACGCCAAGCTATTTCTACTGGGAAAGTTACACAAAATCAAGCAGCTAGCAATTCGAGTGTCAACAAGGATAATAACTTAGCTATGCGCGTTGCTCTAGCACAACGTTTGAAGAAAGAAGTCATTGATAAATCTTCTACCCAATAGCTTTATTTATTTCTACCGTTATTCCTATGTATTCTTCTCTTAATGACTATCCACTTCATCTTCACAAATCTGACAAGTGACAATAAGATAATAATAATTTATATGTAATCACTTCTATTCTATATTAAATATGTAAAAAGTTGATCATCTTGCCTTAACATATCTATCGCTACCTGATAAAGACGAATATTGGATAATTAATTTAAAACTTTCAATTTTTTCATACATTCATAGTTTTCTATGCTCCTTTGTATTACAGCATTCCAATAAAAATGAACAGAGAGTTGAAGATATCACTGTGATAGATATGAAATAGTGTGTATTATTGCATATAGCACCGGCAAGTTCATGATTTAAATCTGCTATAGAGGAATTTGTTGGAATACCTTATTTTACCAATTTAAGAGCAATATGCTTATAAGGTGACACGGCTTCGGCATGATTTTATCAATATCTTTCCCCATCTTGTTTAACGCTTGCTCTTAATGTTTCAGTCAAGACTACATAGATTAGATTGCATAACAGCTTAATTACGCTATCATACCGTTATTCACGGTAGCACCGCAAATATTACAGACAGTGTTATCCATGCTAATCGATCAATATATTCACTTGGGTGATTGTATACGCATAACATAACATACATACATTCCGTGTTGTCAAGCTAATAAGATTTTAACAATAGTTGACAATTACAGCTTGTTATAGGCTAGAAATTTCCAAACTTGTAAATTGTATTAAGGTTTCTTTTACCTTTTATTATATATGTATAAGAAATTGGAATACCAACCAGTTAGTGTTCCGATACTAGATTGAATTGGGATAAAGCAGAGTAAGACTTTCACCTGCTAGAAAATCACAATCTAGTGCATTATTAACTATCAGATTAAGCCTATAATAGGTTTGAAACTCTGAACTTGTCATACAAGTCATTTCAACTTTAATAATTAGCCAATTTAACGTACTATGATAGCGGGTAGCATTGAATTATAAATATCCTGTTATCACATGATTTTATTTCAGAATAATTTAATTCGATCCTTTTATAAAACTTACTACTGCTGTAAAATAAGATAATATCTAATCATTATTACAAGTGATATGGAATAAATGTGGCGTAGTGTATAGTCTTATGATACCGGATAGCTTGCTGCTATGTAGATTTACTCCAGGTCGATTTAATTCGATCAATTCAAAAGCTTACTGGGTTAGTGATCGTAAAATAAGATCCAAATTATGATGGCAGTAGCGTAAGATAAATGTTAAAAGGTGATGTAGTTCAAGATACTCTAGCAAATTTTTTTAGCGACATCTACTATATGGTTAATCCGCGCTAAGTATTAAAAATTAAGAATGCCTGTAAATTGACGCTTTTTGCTAATTGCAATTATTGCCATTTTCCGTAGTTATTTTAAACTAGTATATCTGAAACGAGTAGAAATAGAATCAAAGAACAAAGACAAGCATCATAAAGACTCTATGAGAGAAAAATCGGCATACATCTTAAGCACAACATATGAGCGTACCCTAAAAATAGATTCATGGTACAAAGACAGGCGTAATACCATTTAAACCCCTTATGGGAAAGAAAGATCAGTATGACTTGATTTCAATATTTACATCACTTTGATTTAGATTATCATAATACAATAGCAAAGGCATAAGATAGTATTTTAACTAGATCGGAATGCAATAGGCATGTCATAATCATAATAATAATTAGGTATCAAAATGAATCGTCTATCCTATAACATCTGTATCTAGGAGAAAGTCAATTTTAACTAATTTTATAATAGATCAAATTCTCTTTTAATTAATTATTTAATATTAGGCTGCCATGGTTGTAGTATACCAGTAACGCTTTGAAAAGTATAATATTGCGTAGTAATTTGAAAGAAAATTGAATATTATAGCTATTCTTATTTTACATTTACGTTTTTATTTAACTAAAGTTCAATTTAGATTGATAAGTTTCTCACGTTACGATTCTTGAATAACCTGCTGTTTTGAAAATATTATAATTATAACAAATAAATCAACAATTATATTATCAAGCAACAACGAAACAGTAAAGTGGATTTACATTGATTGCTGCCTATTTCCATTGTGGTCAATACATAGATATTGTATCGGATACAGTAAACATAGATGCATAATATTCATTAGATTTATATTTTAGACAAAAAACTATCTATTATTCGGAGCTAAATTGTACTCTAAATATATTAAATATGTAATATTACTGCTTGATTAAATAAATTACGAAATCTATCTCTGCCAATCAAAAAATGGACTAGTCAGAAAATATATTAAGTAATACAAGACAGTAACAAAGTAATTTTTCCTATTTCCAACAGAAACCAATACCCTATAACTTATTGAGTATTATATTAGTAGCTGAGCTAACATATCAATTTAGATATTAAAATACTATAATGCTTTTATTAGTTATGAAATGAAGACTATATCATAATTTAATTAGGTGTATTGTTTTAGAAAGAAATTTACTTCTAATAGTCTCGACATACTATAAGAATCATATAGTATTTCTTATAAAAAATCAATAATATTAAAACTGCTTTTAAAATGTATAGATACCGTATTATATTTTAACAAATTTATGAGGTTGATAATTCATATATCCGGTACACTTGAAAGAAGATCGTGTAATATTTTGTCGGAGGATATCAGTGTTGTCTAACTGTAAATACGTGTATTTAAAAATATGCCAATAAAGTCATACGATTTACAACTAGGTGATCTTTTCATAAATGTAATCCATTATTATCTAATCACTTAATAACGCAAAATAATACTTGTTTGCCAGATTTCAGAGAGTAAAGAAAATGTTTTGTCGCCAGTTGAATTTATTTATAACTATAGCAGTTGTTACTTAATGGTTCTATCGATAGGGTAACGTGTATTTCGTAGCAGGGATTCAAGGATTAAAAGATATTTATCCAAGTCAAAATTATCTTTAACTAGGATAGTTGTTAGTGATTTAATAATTTATATAATTAAATCAGTTCACAAGAATTGCCATTTAGCTAGTACAGTTATCTATTAAATTATGTTAATGACACACGGAAATAATATTCGGCAACTAATGATATTAACCACGTGAATACGTATGCACTTGTTTATTCATTTTCTGATGCTCTAACCATATATACCATTGACACTAGCGTCTATCATAAGTACCGTCATGGTCTTTTTTAATAGTCTATGGTACCGTAAATCAATTAAAATTATTATACATGCAATAATAGCTTTTATCGTGGTGTATAGTGTACAAGCGAGAAATTGCCAACACCAAAGATGAGTGAGTTCTATTGCTATCTTGAGACCTACAATAAAACTACTTCATTCAAACAATCTTAATTATCTTCGACTACGATTAATATAATTAGTAGTGTTCCATACCCGATTGGTATTTTTGTTTGCAAATTTAATAAAAAAGAAATGATTTCCCCATTCTATTAATATTACTATTATTAATGATAATTACCATCATCGCCAGTAAGCAAGGAGAGATATTATTCTTAAAATACGATTTGATAAAAATAGATAATTCTTGGCTCCGTAATTTAAAATCAGTAAAGTACCTAATAGAGACTTTATCCGGTTTTTATTTCTAGGCAATCCAAATTAAATTGGTATCGACTATTACAGTATTGATGTACATCGCTGTTAATAATTAGCTAACCGTAACATCCGTAAAACAAACATTTATAATTAAGTAGAAATATATCTAATGCCTATAGGCAAGTAAAAATGATTTTCCATTAACTGGTAGGCAATATTTAATAGATGTAAACGTACTGCACATTTCAATGTACAGAAATGATCATACGGGTATAATACGTATCTAATAGCGTTATCATATCAGCATATTTCAAATGATTAGGTTGTCCTATTCAGTGGAATACTTATAATTCCAACAGTCTACAGAGAAGGCATTAAAGACATTCAGCTAAGCAGCAAATAATAACAACATTTCGTCAAGTAAAATTGTTCCAATAAGCCTGTCTTCCTTGACTATATTGACATATCATTGTTGCGACTGAGTCATTGACTTTATAGACTTAAAATTTATAATATACAACAGAATAAGAAGTTTTTACCACCAATAAAAAAGGTTACAAGAAAACAACACCAGTTGATTATTTAGTGTTGTTTAAAATATCGTTAAAATTACAACTACTTCGTTCATTTACAGTGTGCGATGTCAACATTCATCAACCGAAAAGAAACGGCAAGATGCAAGAATTCAATGTCATTTTACAATCTAGTCAATTAACAGAATTGTAAATGCTATTTGCAGGTATTACATAAACTTACACTATTTACAGTAAAATATACTTTATATAACTTTCTCAAGTAAATGATAGGACCAATTTTTTGCAATTTTTAAAGATTCCTGAAATGAGATTTACAATTGATATAGAATTTAAATTTTTTCTTACATGGACAAGAAGAGACTTGCAGCGCCTAGCTTACTTTTCAATTACAATAACAAAATACGAAATAACTTACAAATTTTTAGGAACAGCTAACTACAAATGAATTTTACCATTCTTTTGTCATTATAAACAGTTTCATAGACAAGCGACGATCATTATTATCCGGAATATACATAAAATTTTATGTGATATTTATACACAATAAACAAAACTGAAATAACCAAAGCAAAATGAGCAGGATTCGTTGTAAAAGTTGATCACTTCAAATATTTTGAATTCATTCATGTATGTTAAATTTTCATTCTAAATTAAGACAACTTCATTCGTTTATTTTGCGTTGAATCCTCGTCCGATAAGCTATCAGAATCCGATTCGTAATCGACAAGGCCGATCTAAAATAAGCAATATTCGCAATTTAGATGCAGGACTTGGTCATATCACAAATTTTTAATTAGAATCAATATACTTTGTATTTGATCAATACCTTAATCGCATTATCGGTTGGGCGGAGTACATTATTATCTATAGTTTTATCTGTTTCGATTTCGTTTAGGTCATTGTCAAGCAATTGTGGCGGGTTATCTTCTACAGTATCGTCATTGTCAAGCAATTGTGGCGGGTTATCTTCTACAGTATCGTCATTGTCAAGCAATTGTGGCGGGTTATCTTCTACAGTATCGTCATTGTCAAGCAATTGTGGCGGGCTATCTTCTACAGTATCGTCATCGTCATCATCTTCATTGAACCAACTCTCTTCGTCATCATCCAGTTGACGTGGATCTTTTCGAAATCGATCATTACCGATACTATAGAATAGAGAAAATACAACATTAACCGTGGTAACAGATTACAAATTAGAAAGAAAACTTATAGCACTATAAATTAAACTATACAGTATAACGTACCAAATATTTTCATTAGGCATAAAGGTACTGTTCTTGCGGTCTAGATGCTGATCATGGCGCTGTTTTAAGCCAGTAAAAGTTCCAACGTAATTAACATCTTTCAGATCGTCCCAAAATTTCTCTATTATGTAACTGCAGAGCATTTTAATATCCTCCTACGAAACAATCCATTAAAATCTGTATTATAGAAACTCCAATACACTTACCGAAATTACACGTTACTCTTACCGTTCTAATGAATTCAAACATTTCTAATACGGCCGAATTAAATATATTGTAACGATTGCCATTCATTTTAAATGCTTTAATAACTGGTTCTAATAAATTTCCTTTCACTATATATCGATTATAGAAATCATCCTTCAAACCGATAATCTGTCTACAAAATTTTTGTGCAGCTGAAAGATTAAAGAAATTCATTACAATTAAAAACAATCAAGTATACCTAAAAGCTAACACGGAATGAAGATTTGCCAATATTGAGTATGCAACTATAAAACATACCAAGTACAACCGAAGAGTATCTGGATTTGAGTAGTAATAAAACTCTACCCAGTAGATCTTTTCTAAATATATAGTTCTTGATATGATAGGTATGATGGTCAACACAGAAAGAGACTAAATCTAAAATAAGACTAAGTAAGACGGACGATCTGCTGTCATCTAGAATCCAAGTTAAAAAAATTTTGCAGTTGGATCTTTAGAATAGAATTAACCTTAACTCGGAATGTACATAAAAATACTTACCTTTGATCTTGCTAGAGGACGTAGCCGCTAATAGCGGCGCTATTAATATGTGCATACAATGCTTATAAAAAAACGTTAAAAATTCCGATTTTTCTGTTCGCTGTTAGGGCAAAAATTAACGGTTAAACTTAACTAACAAAATTAGCATAGTTACGTATAAGTAAATTAAGGTAAAAGAAATATCATGCGTACGTTAGGTCGAATAATCATGTTGTCAGGATCTAACAGCGTTCGTAGTATAGAGGAAAATTGTGTAGCAATGCCTATACAATGAAATAAATGAAGTATTGTTAAGAATAACTCGGTAACGATAATTAATTTATAATAATAATACAAGCAAACCTCCATCGGCATCAAAGATCATTTGTTCGATGCCAATATTTAAGAAAATAGCATTCTACCCCATAAGAAATATAATTTATTTTATTAGCATCATTGCTGGAGTATTATTATATAGTAAAAAAGTTGTCGAGCTACTTACATCATCAGTAGGGTTTTCATCCTGTAATAGAATCTGTCTTACTGACGAAGGATTACTATCTACCACACAGCAGAAGATTTCAGTTGCATTCATTCTTAGCTGCTCGCTATTGTTTCCCTATAAAATATATTGCAATAATATTAGGCAAGGCTGAAAAACCTGTAGGCTAATGCGTCACAAAAGTCAACAAAACTAGCAATTTACCCAAAGTAATTCGATCACAGGTATCAGATCGGCATCTAGTAAAGTCTGATGATAATAAAACAACCAGCTTAACAATAGAACGAAGTTTTATAAAAAAATTCAACATAAACTTGTAGCATAGAACTACTTTGTACAAATGATTATAAAATCATCAATAAAGATGTTTATTAATTATTAACTATTACTCGACTAACCTTGAAAAATGCAGTTCGTCCATCAATTTGCAACGATTGTGAAAAGGAGCATAATTCCTTTAAACATCTCGCCTATTAACAATTTATGAAGGTCACTCGTTATTTTTTCAGACACTATAATTAATGCAGTTTTATGCGTTCAAAAAGAGTGCTTTCTGTCTGTTAATACCATCTAATCTTTCATTAATTACGTTAAAATAACATTGTAACGTAGGAATTGTACCTTACTCTAGGTAATCATATTAATAACTTTAACATCTTTAGGTAATGTAAATATTTAAACTTACACAATCCAGTCGCTTTTCATTAGGAGTGGATTCGCTAGCCATCATATCAAATAAAGTTTTAATAAACTGTTCATCGTTCTATAGTAATAACAATTGGTGATAATGTCTTAAAATGTTGTAATTGTTAGCAACTGTTACTACAGCTATAGTAATATTGTGATTGAGAGTACTGCAACAAAATATAATTTTGCTATTATTTCATTTAAAGGAGGTGTCAAAAAATTTTCCTGACCTGAACAATTGTAACAATTTCCACTTTGTTTAAATAAATTAATGAAGATATAGCAGAGTTGGTATTATCTTCAAATACAGACGGTGTTGGTAAGACTACATCTTGGATAAATTGTGCACGGTACGTTTGATGAATTTTAAATAGCAATTGAGAATTATCAATAGGAATGACTTCCTTAAATTTCGCTTTAGAGCGCAAAAATTCACGATGTCTACGAGGTTCAGTTAAACTAGGATCGTTCTCTAAGCAACCAATGGTACCTTCAACTAATCCATCATCCAGCATTATTTCTAGCAACGAATGACGATTGAGTGAAAATAAATGTTTAAATATGTCATACAGGTAGTGCAATCCAGTACGATCTTCCAAATCTTCACACATACGAAACAAATCGACCAATTGTGATATATAATTTTCGTTTTCAATCGCCAATGTTAACCTATCACGTCGTATGAGAGGATGCAGGCTTGAACTAATAATATCACATATTTCTTTCAATTTTCCTGGCTCACAATGTGGTAATTCCAAAGGCGAGATAGACGTTGATACATTATCGTCATCAATAGGTCTTGAGGAGATATCCGGATCATCTAAATCAATCGATGGATCTGTACCTAAGAACTAATATTTAATCAAATAAGCGAGAGCCATTAGGCAACTTTTTGACGACTTTATTATTGACAAGTATCTATCCACATCCGTGTCTCAATTATCTTTATAATCCTATTGCAAAGAACTATATTGGTTGGATGCAAGCAATGTTTTAAATTCAATGTTTAATTACGTTTACATGATAAAAGATCGCAAAATAAAGGGAAAGTGTAGGTAAAAAATATGCTGATTGATAAATCTTACTATTTCTGCCAAGGCATCAAATTATTACTCTTAGTTTCTGTAATGTTAGGGACCGCAAGATCATACAGGGTTTGTACGTGTACCGTGATCACGTTTGTAATGCACGTATAACTAATAACGTCAAGCAATCATAACTGATCAAACATAGGCGCATTGAAAGCGCTTATATGCCGATACTAACTAAACATGGCGGCTATCTCAAAATCGTCTATTCTCAATTTCTGTCCTGTCCGACATATAAAATAATTGGATTTTAACAGACAACATGTATTACTAGAAATAAGTTATTACTACAGTACTTTTTTTCCCTTCAAAATTAGTGACTGTCGTTGTGAAGTTTCAACATTATATCATTATTTGTGGACCGATAGATTAAAAAATTGACGAGCACTGGTTATACATAAATGTTACCGGATGTTATTAATAACTGCAAATGAATCAAAATGTCGAACATCAGTATAATGCAAAATAAGGAAAAAATTGAAACATAATCGATTTTAATTGATATCATGAAAATAAAATGAGACTCCGCAATATTTAGTGTGGGGTAAATCAATTGATGAAATACGAGGGGTATCGAAATAAAATCAAGTAGAAGAATATTAGATAAAAAATCCATATGCCCATAATGCTATGGAGAATATATTACACTGTGTACAGAAAACATTACAGGAAAGTCTGGTTAGCATACTTCACAAATTTTGTTCCAGATTTCATCACAACTTTCTCTTTCCTGGAAGCTCAAGGCTAGATCGGTTGTTTTATTTTCGGCCCATACAATCAAAGTGTTCTACATGAAGAAAATGAAAGAGTGTTATTGATCTATCCGTCTTTAATGCAGACATGTAATTTTTAACCCATAGAATGAAATAAACACCACCATCATATTAATAGTAGATTGAGTGGTGCTAATCACAATGGTGTTGATCGGTGAAAAAAAAGAGACTACATCCAGTAGCGAAGTTGTACCACTGTGACAAGATCTATATCCATCATAAAAACGCTAACCTAAGGCGTCTACTGCTATTAGATGGATGTGAAATATTTGAAATGTACAGTATTTCTTTTTGATTTAAAAATACATTTATTCTACTGTACTGTAGTACACTATTTATTATAATAATATTATTATGATGATATTACTATTCCTGCATTCTATTCTTACTTGCTGTTTTTGATAGTTTATTCCTCGGCGGATCTCCGATTCCAGCAATGTAGAGTCTTTTGGATATAAGTTAGGAAGAATGACAAGATAAAAAGCCAAAGAAAACTTATTAGCTTGATGATGTACGCTTGGTTGTAAGAGTGTAGTGTAAATGACGAAAGAGAACCGCATCAAAAATAGATCAACAGTAGTTTATGGATGTTACAGCCAACAAGATTTTGCTGTCGGCCATACAGAGTATCTACTGTTACGGATAGGCTCTTTTTCTTGTCGTAAAGTCATGCTTCAAAATGATGATGATCAATTTAAGCTACATTCTAAAAACAGGTAATGAATGACACAGTGTCCAGGAGGCAACACTTGCCTTCTTCTATACTGATTCCTTTCAAGTTGTCTCGAAGTAGGTGAAGAAAAAACGCATGCTGCAATATTAGCGAGTAGGAGAAGTCGTGAAGAAAAAGTATCGCCAAGACGCTTTCCAGTACAGTACTATGACTACAGTCTGACTAGTCAGTCAGTACTCAGTCGTCCCTGGTATCGCGTAGGTTGATTGTAACATCAACACCGGTCTCTTCTTCAATCACATGCATGACTACGTACGTTACTAGAGTACTGTCTTACTAGTCATACTGTACGGTAGTCATTGGCGTACACATGGCAGAATGTACTGTACTGTACTGTACTGTCGATTGCCAAGTGGTCATTGGAAATAATGTGGAAGTAATTCTTTGAAGTTGGATCTACACTAGTCTCTCTTGCCCATGGATTGGCAGAATCCAATTGGAAATTACTAGACTGGATGTCTACAATCACTTTAGCACTAATTCTATCCATACCATAGGGAAACCACTTCTGTACATCTATGCAGTGTCGGAACCTATTGAGCATAAAGTGGTCCACTTGACTGTCCACTTTCAATGTTACGGCGTCTAGCATTGATTGTAGTACTTCATTTCATTTGCTCTACTCCAGCTAGTGTATCATTGTTACTAAGATAATTTTCCAATTCATTGAATTGGAAGTATTAGCTACTCTTACGATGGCATGACTCTACTTATAGGATGTTATTGAAAGATCGAGCTTAACCAATAACATGATTTTTCGCCAATAGTAAGCAATACACAAGCGGGAAAAAGATTGACTTTCTACACAGTCTTACCGTCTGCTTCTGAACGAACATGTATGTGTAAAGAGGGTGAATCCTGGTCTGTTAACAGTGGTAAAATGTGTCCTGTGCCACAATCATCCCACTGGCTATCCTTGTTCAGGACATATAACTTAACGCGTCTTCTGCCATCGGCGGCCATACTTTGATGCCCACTCTCTACCTTTACCGTACAGATCGACTCTTTGCCAAACACATCGTCTTCAATTGTAAATTAAAAAGCGCCAGTGGCCTCTTACAGTGCATATTGCACAGTACAAGAAGTATGGCTGTAAAATACACTCTACACTTGCACAATGCAACGCATTAGGCGCTCGTGGCCACCCGTACACTGTACAGGACAGTATAGTTACTGTTCGGTTATACGTCCACTAGAGCAGTACACGACACTACAGTCGATTGTACTGTAGTGTAAATAACAAGTTCCATGTCAACTGACTCACTCGACTGTGGTACAGTAACAACTGACTCGCTCGACTGTGATACAGTTAGACCTGACGTACAGCAACACTGACTCACTCGACTGTGGTACAGTACAACTGACTCGCTCGAATGTGGTACAGTTGGACCTGACGTACAGCAACACGGACTCACTCGATTGTGGTACAGTACAACTGACTCACTCGAATGTGGTACAGTTAGACCTGACGTACAGCAACACTGACTCACTCGACTGTGGTACACTACACGTTGTTGTGTCACTTGTACAATAGAGAGCTTACACAGTTGAAAAAAAAAAAAAAAAAATACCTTAATGGTGTCATTGGGGTGTTAAACATAGAGTCCAAATTGACACCTGGCGAAATTGCAGTTTTGGTTCAACTATACCAGTTTGAATCCGTTTATGACGATGAAGACTCGATAGTAGACAACTTTTGCTCTGCATTCGCTGCTATTGTACCATAGAGAAATAACATACGTACTCTACTGTACACTATCTGGTACTGGCTGGCCGCCAGCCAGTGCCAGATTGATTTTGTTCATAGAGATATCAAAAAATGTTTTCATTAACTTTTGGGTTTTGTACAGTGCATCTTGCAATTTCTAGTTAGTGAAGGATAGTTTTACACCCCTCTCTCTTTTAGCAGTTGAGTAATCTCTATATCGTTTTTTTTTCTGCAGCAAGCCAGACCATAAAATTCACTATTCTACTGTATATCATATATATATATATTGTCACAATAATTACTACATTATTTTATTTTTTGACCCGACCATTTATCTAGTGTTAGAACTACCATCAGGACTGCTACACTACTACTCATAATTTGGGGATTTTTATTGTTGTTGTTGTTAGTACTGCACAGTACTGTATTCATACCAATTTACTGTACTGTACTGTACTGTATTTCGGTTACGTAACTGCGACAATCAGCTTTGGAAAGTACAGTTAGAACAAAATCATTAACGCTGCTATTACTGCATACGAATACTAGGGACTTTTCCATAATTATAAAATAATTTTATCCAGAAGTACCTGATTATTGAATTATCTATACGTGCAGTATACGGTATAGAAAAAAGCTGCATCATATATTGCAGGCGCTGCCCTATTCAATGATAATTACTGTATGCAATTCTGGCTCTGCTAATATACTGTATGTAATAATCACTACTGAAGCCTTGAGTTACGGCAGAGATTTCAATGGAAGCCATAGATAGAAAATATAGTTTTATCTTTGTTCAATCATGACAGTCATACAGCAATACCCAATCAGGCTTAACTACAGAAACTGCTCTTAAAGTACTGAAATTAGTGATTTTATGCATCTTATCCTTTGCATCAAGCTCGTATGGCCAATCATATCGACTATTGTACACTGTACAGTAGAGGCTATTTTAAGCACCTTGTGCAGGACCGCTAATATCTGTAAGGAATAAAACCAGTAAAGCATCGTGATGGACTACGTAGTAACCCATAATCAAAATTAATACTGTAATTATTTATCAATACAGTACAGTGACTTCAAATTTATTTGCCAATTACCGCCTATACAAGTGTAATCGATTCGACGGTATCATAAAAACTCATAATCAGACAAGGCAAGATGCATCATAATTCATAATCGTAAATTCCAGCTTATTTACCGTAGTATGCAATTATACAGTATACCATCTGTCGTAGGTTTGACAAGATGAATACTGAGAATATCAAGACACTAATGTATATTCGCATACTTTATTAAAATTGTTAATGCTGTAGAATTTTGATGTGGCTTTTCTATCCAAGAGTAATGTTAATTTCTCCATTAAGCGTATGCAGAAAGCAAACACTAATCTTTGTACATGATACATATATATATCATGTATTATATAATACAGTACTCATATGTATTAAGTAACAAAAGTTGGAGATTATGCAAAATAGAGAATGCAAATCTCGACCTATTGAAAAATCCTCAGCAGGGACTGAAATTGCATGGCAAACCTGTAATAAACTAAAATGCTTACACAGTATATAATGCATTACATTCTTGACTCATGATCAGATGACACCAATAACAATAAATACAAAAATTGAAGAAAAACTCATTTAATAGTTGCTTTCGTTTTATGGAATCAAACCTGCATTCATTGAGAACTAGAAATTAAAGACTCATTGTACGTGAATTTAAAATTATAAAGCGATCTTTCCTTCCCATAGTTTTGTCAATTTATAAGTACGACATCAAGTGTTCTCATCATCGGTTTTTTGTGTCTCTGTCGTATCTACCAATATACAGATCTGGAGATGAATAAAAGTACACCATCTAAGAAATGCCTTCAATGACATGAAAGAAATGATAAACTTCTTCTTTATCATAAACTGCAACTTCCGTAAAACAAACAGCACACTGCACAGGATGATATATTGCATCATTCTCTCCGAGCGTTGTTGAGCAAGGATTCCCCTCATTTGTTTCTGTATTATCCAAATTGACATTTCTTTTCTTCTTTCTACGACGGCTCTGCTTTTTATTAGCATATCGTAACGTTTGTTCTGTAAGAACATTGCAATTCGAAACAAACATTGCTCGAAATTGATCCTTGTATGTATCATGTCTGTAAAAGAATATTTTCAATACAAAGATCGGTTAAAGTCCATGTGAACAACAGGAGGGACATAACAGACGAATTACAAACCTCTGGCAATCCCTTGTCAAAATGGACATGCAAGATGGACAGCTTAGTACCATATCACTATTTTGATTTTGAGATATCCTTTTTGAGTAATTATTGTTTACTTGAAGATTTGGTGTTTCCTTCCGAGATTTCACCCACAATTCGTTATCGTCATCGATATTTGGGTCATAAAATAATTCATCATTTGATAATTTCTTCAATTTTTTCTTTTTTTTATCTACAATATAACCAAGGAATTGCAGCAGCAATGTAGAACATGAATTAGAAAATATTTTCCAGGTTGCTTGCATGCTTCTATAATGATAGTCGCAAGACATAAAATGCTATGTATGCTACTATACCGTTAGGTTTCGTCTGCCACTGCTCCGAATCCGAATCGAAGTAAATATCGTCATAATAGGGATCTTGCGTCTGATCTTGATCTTTTTTCGATGGTAAAGGTGTGTTGCTGACATCTTCTGACTTTCTATCATCTGTGGCTGGTATTGAACTTTTAAAATTATTTTCAGATCGACTTCGACTGTTGCAGATTAGATCTTGATGGCTAGAGGCCGTCTTGTGGGCCATTGATTTGAAAGATTTCTCTGCTAAGTGCAGATAATTGTATATCATCTCGTTGCTGCAGTTTGTATCGTTGACTTCGCTAGCGAGAGCACGGTCTTGCAGCTTTTCAATGTTGTCAAATTCGTCGTTGCTAACCCAAAATTACGCATACGTATTAGTTTCTATCCGCTAAACTAAACAAAGCGACTGTCGTAATATTCAATTAATTAATCGAACAAATAGTTGATATGGTACTGAATCTGTGCCTTGTCAAGTACTGTAGAAGTAATGCAATCGATGCAAAGATGATTACTATTACCCCAGATTCAGGACGCAATTGCTAACCGGTATCCCAGTAAACCGCAAATGTTACAAAATAGGCTCCACAGCACAATCGCAGAACGTATTTGCACACAAGTTCATTGCAACTAACTGTTACATAAACTGATTATACTGTACAGTAATTACCTATTTTCAAAGTAGCTTGTGGTATACATATATTTTTTATTATATAAATTTTATGAAATCTGTATGTCGATGCACCCGAGGTGAATTAATCGACAAAGTCTGCAGCTATTCATGCTAAATTTACCCAGGTAGTACGTACCTATGCTCGCTAGCAATTTCGTCGACATCACTGTCTTCGTCAATTTCGTATCCATCATAAGTATAGCTTGTAAAATTGGACATAGTTTATTCTAATATTCCTTATTATCTTTCCGGTCTTACAACATTGAGTTTTATTTCCTTTTGATTTTACGTGAAACTTTTTGCAAAGGACACGAAGGAAGTTGCTGCTGCCGCTTCAGTGGATAGTTGAAACTTAAACTTGAACTACAGTACTACGTGTAGAGGAAGATCTAGACTGAGCACTCTTGGACGGACAGACATTTTCGGCCTCATCTCGTCAAAATATAGTGCCAAACACTTCGTTATGGCAGTACTTTAAAGTATGCAGTCGGCTGATTTTGAATTGACCGATATTTTCTCAATTAACTAATATTGCATTGAATCTTATTATCAGTTACAAAGTTCTGCTTGAAAACACTTATATAAGATCATGGACACTATTTAAATTAGTACCAGTGATTTAGAAAACAGACACGGAAGGTCCATACTAAGTAGTCATTTTTGGATATTTGCGGCCTGATTTGGTAAGAAAAGTCCGTCTGTCTGAGCGAGAGTGATCAGTCCAGGTCTTCTTCTAGTTACTACAGTATACAGTACTGTACTGTACAGTACATTATGATTTTGAATCTCGTAATCATTGTACTGTACATTGTAGCTTTCAAGACTCATACTATACGCACTACACACTCAGTGCACGGTATGAGTCTGTATAAGGTACAGTACAGGTACCTACGTTCTGGTTGCATTACTATAGTAGCTGCAGATTGACCCAAAGTCTGGTCAATTCGTTCATCATTGCGTTCAATGTACTTCAGCGTATAGGAGAATCTACTCATTGGATCGCATACTCTACGAAGATGGCGGCGGTTGTTGGTGAAGATAACAAGCGTAAGAACACTGCAGAAATGAGTTCGATGGATGCCAAAGAAGATGAAAATTCGATTTCAGATCGAGTAAGTATAACCACACCTAGCTAATTTCACGATATAGCATCGCTATCATGCGTTATACCTGGATCAATGATCTTCAAGTCATTACACGCTCTATTAATGCTAAATGAAAGCATTTTCTAGCATGAAATTTCATTTCATATTCCATTGAATCACTTTTTTAAACTGGAAAATATCTTTATAGTGTCTTTCTATATCATATGAAATTAGTATAGATGAGATTCATATCAACCTATTGATACGCCGCTGGATTATCGTTAATCAAATATACAAGATTCATTTTAGTTGGCCGCACTCGAGCACGATAGGAACATTGCTCGTATGCTGTTTGATACTGTACACAGATTCGTATGTTGTATAACTCTACTTGTATATACGATATAATAATGCATGTATGATTGAGGTCCGAACGGCATCTCAGTGGTTACAATAATTATTAGAGATAGTAAGTCACTGGTTTTAAATTTTTCATACATTTATCTATTTGTAAATGGGATATTAAGACTTTGCAGAAGGTATTTTATTGCACTGATCAATTAGCGTTGTACTATACAATGTACAATATGTACATGACAATTTATTATACAGAAGCTAACTTTAATATTATAATTTAGTTAAACTATTGTTTATTTCGTCAGTCTATACGAAGATGCATTGCTGTACGCTACTCAATGAAAGCAAACCAAAATTTCGTTTCACAATACAGTACTGATGGATTGAATTCTTGCTTATTTTAGTACTATAATGTTAATTCTATAAGGTAGAGCAGTTGAGGAATAACTATGTAATTATTATCCAAGATCCCTAAAAACTAGAAATTAATTTATAGAATGCTATATCAATATGGGTATATATACGCACGCATATATGCAAGCACTGCATAACAGTATGCAACTATGTTATTGGTACTTTTAATTTATAAAAAATGTGATATTTATACTTGCACTATTTACACCTATGGATATCTATATTAAATACAGCATATATGCAATTGTGCAATATATCAACAGATATACACGTATGGCATAGTTACAGGGGTAACTATACACATTTATGATACTAAATATTGTCTTTCAACTATCGCGTAATTATTAGCTATTACAGGAATTCTACTGCGGTAAAGACAGTAATAGATAATTCCTTTTCATCATATAGGTCATTGAATTAATGAATAGAGCTCAACTGGAAACAGATGCAAAAGAAAAATTAGTTTATCTTAAGCAGGTAAGAAGATAGATATTACTCGATATATGTAATACGGCTTTGAAGATTAATATTATATACTATTTTAATTAATACATTAACCATTTATTTTAGATCCAAGAACTGGTTATCATGAAAGATTCCGCTTTACTGGACAGCTTTTTAGATGTAAGCATTAAACACAATAATTTGAAACTTATCTAAGTTATGCTTCTAGCTAAGCTATCGTACACAGACAATATTTGATGTGATTGTTATACTTATTTAAATGGTATATTGTATCTGCATTTTAAAATTTGTAGGAAATGTTAGCTTTTCAACATGAAAAGTCTGCTGATGTTCAAAAATTTATTCTTGGATTTCTTGAAGAAGCATGGTAAAAATTACTATACGATCTTGTCTGATAGGTGATACGATATCAATATATAATGTGGTCTTTTTTATATTTAATCTCTTCAAATTTTAGCAAAAAGGACGAATTCCTTTGCAGCAAAGTTGTATATCCTTTGGCGTACTTACTGTACGATCAAGATAATGTGCAAGTTACCAAACGAGCAATTCAATGTAACCTCAATCTATACCGTATAGCCTTTAAGGTATCACAATCATTGTAATTGGTAAAATAACGATTGAAGCCAACAGCAATAATTAGTTGTATCAGTGGTGATAGTATAAATGTATGATATTGATTTTTCGTTGTTAAAAAATTCTTACAGTTTATCGCAACTAAGAAAGCGGCCAGTGATGATTTATTGCATATATGGGAGGTAACTAAATGTGATCCTATTCGTATGACAAAAATAAATTAGGTTCATCTTATTATATGTTGTTTGCAGCATTAATATAATAAATAAGCCGTGTATAATTGACCCATAAAATTTTTTATTATAATTTTATTTCTGTTGCTTCAATTTTAAGCAATTTTGTGATATGAAAACATACATCATTTCTTTAACCCAACATGAAAATACTGGGTACGTATGAAAAAAAATTTTATCAACTATTGATTTTGCATAGTTTTTGCATTAAAATCAAAGTTTTCTTGCTATTTCCTTCTCTTATTTGCTAGTGTAAGAACAAGTGCTCTAAAATACTGCGAAATGATAGTTCTTACTCAAAGTATTAAAGGCGGTATTACTACTTCAACTAAGCCTGATGATATTTCTCTTGATATGGTTGGTAATGAGTACATTCACTTCTTAGCTTTACGGGCTTTTATCAATATTTTGGAATCTATTATGTTATATTAGTTGTCCACTACGCATCCTATAATGGATTTTAGCAAATTAAAAGACGAAGCAAAATCTATTTTAACCTTTTTAACTGATTTAACATTATCACATAAGATAAACCAGTAAGTATTCTATTCTAAAATTATCTTAGTACTAACATTGTGGCGATAGGGTGCTAAGATAATTGTTATTAATTGATTTTAATTTGCCTATCTCAGTACAAATTTATTGCCATGTGTTGGGTCGTTAGCAATTATTGCTCGTATGAGACCAATGCACTTTGGAATTATAATAGCCTGTCTGGAATCATTAAATGGTATACTTATCACATCTAAATTAATATAGAAAAGCTTTAGAAAATTATTAAATTATGATAATATAAGCATACGTACCAATTTCCCTTTGCAGCAAATTTACCGCCAACTCTTAGCAAATCTCAAGTTAGCAATCTGCGAAAACACTTAAAAGTAAACATTGCTTTTGCTAGTTGCTTTTCTGCTTCCATAAATTACATTAATGACTATCGTTCTATCTAATACCATTAATTGATATTGAATAGATACAATTTATGACACTTCTTAAAAATCCGGTTTCTATCGAGTACCAGTCGGTATTAGCGGCTATTTTATCAGATCTTGGTGTCACAGGGAATGAGGTTAGTTATACTGGCTGATTATCTAATATTTAATATTGGATTAATAATCTTAATGAACAAGAGACTATGTATCCGATAAAAATATAATTTTTTAATAGATTTCAAGAAACCTACCCAAAATTCATGCCACTGAATCGCTAAAAAGAAGTTCTATGTAAATAATGAGCTATTATCATAATCTGTATTAATTTTTAAGGTTGTAAATCGTGCGAAATTACGTATCAAACTGAATTCTCTTTATAGTACCGATCTAGATAGCGAGCGACCTCCTAAAAAGTTACGGATAGGAGTTAGTACATTTATTTAAGTTGTCTAGCCTTAACATATCGATTATGAGACAAAGAATTTGATGCCTTAGCTCATAGTACGGTTATATATTACACCAGGAGAACAGAACTTCAGACGCAAAAATTACCGATATTAAGATTGAGTCTGGATCAATCGAAATAAACAGAACTGCAGAAGAAATAATTCAAAAGCTAAATTCGAATGAAACCGTAGTCAATCTGGTTTTTGCTAGTATTCATCGACTACCTAATCGGATGCCCTCAATATTTCAAGACTGTCATACACCTATCGTATCTGCTGGAAGTAAAATTCAAATAGCTCACTTAGCTAGATTACTAGCAACTCAAATGCTTTCTACAGACAATAGTAATATTGAAAGCAGTGAAAGTGACATGGTACGTCCTATAATATTAGTGTTAGCTCTGTTCATACATTGGATTATAAATTTATTTAATACAGATATTTATAATAACTTAGATGCCTACTTTGAGGGATGTAAAATCTGAATATCCGCGGTCTATCAAAGTAAGATTATTTTATAGTCTTTCGTTACATGCTCATATGTTAAACATAACGATTTTTATTTCTCTTTTTACTTTAATCCATAAAAAAAATTACCTAGATTGCCGGCTTAAAAGAGAAACATTCTGAATCTACGGTAAGATGGCAATAATTTATCTTAGATAAAGCCTCATTTCCTGATTACATCACTACGATTAATTATTACAGCGATCTAGGAAAATTAAGCAGTTTAGCTTAAGTAGTTTGGTAAATTACAACATGAATATTGGAGAAAAGCAAGCACTGTCTTTGAGTGCTTTTGAAAGAATGCTGAAAGGCGAAGGTTTGTAGGATTTTAGAATATGACTGCGCTTCAGATAGCACCAAATAACTAAAACTTTATTTGCCATTAAAGAAACATCGAGACTATCTACTGCTGTAGATTTTATAATATTTAATTCTTGAGCATCCAAAAATGTTCTAATCACGCTCTTCCTCGTATATTTAGAAAATGCTCATCATGCTGGTATGGCACTGGTAAGGATGATTATAGATTTTACTGTTACCTTTATGCAGTCGTACTTATATTTGATATTTATCATTTATTAACAGGAACGGATTCAAGTTTTAGTGGGCTTAGCAACTCAGCTGCGAGGCGAAGTGGCAAATGGTAAATGAAAGCTGTTTGATGTAACACTAATTTATTTAAAGTCTTTAATCATACTAATTTCATACCGTTTTGTGTAGCTTTCAGAAATTATATATTTGAAGATATCAGAGGTCGCTTTGAACTGGCGTGCACATGGCTTACGAAAGAGTACTTGCTGTCACTTGCAGCTTCTAGCCAGAGTACTGAAATCAAAAACGATAATGATGGCTACAGCCAGTGCTTAGCCGAGATACTGAAAGAATTAACGGATAAATTAGATAAGGAAGATAAGTAAGTTTATCTCTTTTAAAATCGTATTCTGTCTGGATTTAATCTTATCCATTCTATTTTAGACTTTTCACCCATTTCTGTCTTGAGATACCTCGATTCACATCTGTAGCTTATAAAGTGATCGAAGATTATAGCAAGAATGAGGTCTACCAGCTAATATACCATCATTATCAGCTGTGCTTCGTAAAAATATTTGATCGATCTCATAGTTTTTTGTCTTTTTCTTATTTTAGGGTTCTTCTAAATTAGGATTGAGTACTATGTATGAATTAATACTTCGAAGGCCAGTTACAAAAGCTCCTTTAATGCAGAAATTACTAGATTTAACTGTTTTCGAAAATGAGCAGGTAGCGCATGCCGAAAAAAATACTTACTGTTAATAAAATTCGATTCTAATCCCTCTAGCTTTTAGTAGAAATTCTATGATTATATCATTAATAGATCCAACTTCAGGCTTCTCATGTAGTGAAGAAATTATATAATAAAGCAGAACTTGCACCAATTATAGAGGCAAGTTCTAAATTATCAGATTTACTTTAGAAGTTATTTTAAAATAGTTATATTTGTTTTTCATACTTTATCAGCGACGTGCATTGGAAAATCTGGAGATGGTTTTACAAATCGGTATTTTTTTTCTATGTTTGTAGTTTAAGATAATATTCCTTAGCAATCTTAACGCTTATTTTGTCTATGTCTGAACTTCTTTTAAGGCGACAATCAATCCAACCAATGGAGTGAAGATTCCATCAAAATGCATATGTCACTATTCATGTCACTCTTGCCCAAAAATCATGTTATCATTCACAAGTCTGTTAATATTAAAGATCAGTTAAATACAGATATTGAAATCGATTAAAGACAAATAATTAATTTTTAAAATATTTTCTCTTTAGTTTAGCTAATATGTACGGAAAAGCAACATCAAATGTGAAGCGAGTCATTTTAAGACAAATAGAACATCCTATTCGCAATATTGGAATGTCTTCACCGGAGCTATTGAAGTTTTTCGAACAAGTACCTTCTGGTACTGAGACTTTACTAACAAGAATTTTATATATTTTCACGGATAAGAGTATGCCAAGTCAAGAATTAATTCGTAAAGTTCGTGAGGCTTACTATGGGAAGAAATTAGATGTTCGTGCATTGATTCCCATCATAAATGGTCTGGAAAAGGTTAAAAGTGAATTAAGTCTGTAGCTATTGATTGATTGATTTTATGCCTAAAAAAATGAATTAAAAATGTGAAATTTTAATTTTAGAGTGAAGTCATTGGAGCTTTACCTAAGTTAATGAAGCAATCAGCGAAGGTCGTTAAAGAAGTCATTACGCGACTTATAAATCCATTCTCAGGTAGGGCTATTTCTTTCCCGTTAAGGTATACCATCACAAACGACGATTTCCAATTTTATTGCTATAATCTTGCAATTAAGATGTAGAAGAATCTGTCGGTCCTCGGCAGACGAGTCCTTTAACTCCGTCTGAGTTGTTATTAGCCTTACATCAAATAGAGGATGATGTTAAGTCGGCTATCAAAGGTATTCTGCGGCATTGGATGTAGTTCATTTGCAATTCGTATGCATGTCAAAAAGACTAAAATTGAGCTTTATACTTTATAGCTATAGGTTTTTGTTTAAGTGAGAAAAGTACATTTACCCAAGAAGTTTTAGCTGGTGTTTTACAGCAAATGTTAGAACGTACTACTATCCCGATTTTGTTCATGAGGACGGTAAGTTGTGTCATATACAATCGTATGCAGGTATACATTTTGATCATGCAAATAATTAAATTCATCATATAATCACTTCAGGTAATACAAACTCTACAATCCTACCCGAAATTAATATCGTTTGTGATGAATGTATTATCTAGGCTGATTACAAAGCAGGTTAAATAGTAAAGCCCTTAATGATCTTCACTACCATAAAATTAATAGACTGATATTATAATTTCTTTTTCTGCACCTAGATCTGGAAGCAAACTAAAGTTTGGCAGGGCTTTATAAAGTGTTGTCAGGCTAGCTATATGTAGTATTTAAATTTGTTATCAGTTTTATATTGTAATTATTAGCTTTTACGGATGGCATAAATTAATGTCAAGGATGTCTTCAAAAATTTTATATTTTTATATTCAATTTGTTGCATTTGTAGATTACAACGCCACAATCATACCCGGTCTTACTACAGCTCCCAGCACATCAGTTAGAAAGTGTTTTTCAGGTACTCACTAACTCAATTTGGGTTCTGTTGAAATATGGCGCTTTAATATTATTTTTTCCTGATTAACGTTTAGATTGCTCCGTCTTTACAACACAATCTTAGGCAACACATTAATCTCCTAACACTAAATCAGGTTCGTAAATACTATGAAAACAGATTTGTAGTTCGTTAAATGTTGCATTAATCGAAAAATATTTCATCTTATAGAGAGCGCATATACCGCAGTCGCTCTTATTTACCATTGAAAATTACGTAGTAGAGAATGGGAAAGAAAGCCACGATAACAAAGAGACTTGATAATGATATAGAAGAACTGATTTTATTTATTCTGTGATTGATGAAATCAATACATCATGAATATTCTACATTTCAAATCGAATCATAGATTATATAGTTTGCAGTACTTTCTTATAGCAAATTGTTGTAAAGTCTTATTTGTGATGCTTTAGTAGAATATATTTAAGTTTTTCATGGAACGATGTAACTCTAGGATAAGTTATGAATGCAAATTCCTGAAGAACGTTTCTACAGAGTTCTGTGAACTTTTAACTCTTCAACGACAAATAAGCCGTAAAATTTTTTATATATTATAAGAGATATACGTACATTACACTCCTGTACATTACCATCCTGTAATCAAATGTTATAAACTTTCTGCCGAGTTTAAAAAGTTTGTAAGTAGGTACAAGAATAATAGTTTATGAATCATGTAATCTGTTAACATGTTTATAATAGTAGAAATTGAACACTTTATTCTATTTCAACTACCCGACAATTTAAAACATTAAATTAAAATAGTTCTTTATAAGAATTATAGTATGCCTTTATTGTGAACCGTTTGCTTTATCGATCTGATACCTAACAATGATCAACTTGATGATCTCGCTGATCATTTGAGGTAGTTTCCATAATATCTACAGACCTGTTACCATCTAGACTTAGATGATCTATCGGTGGTGATGGCTTTACAACTTTAATTTTGTAGTACTTTACTAATATAATAATAAAAATGACAATTAAAGTTACTAGGACTGTCATACAGGCTATAACTATTGACCAAACTGCCAACGTGGACAGTGCGGGAGTTATGGAAGTTGGAGTTGGTGTAGGACTCGAATAGTTAGATCTTTTAGTCACCCTACTGTTGATAAATGTAATTCTTTGACCGTTAGGAAACAAGAATTGCGTCGTATTGACTGGGGGACTAGTATTAGAACGCTTCTTTCGATTTAATCTATAATTTACGCTAGAGTCGAAATTATTATGATACAGAAACTGCATTATGTAATCCATGCGATCATGATACAGTAAAAAATTAAGTTTAGTTATAGTATCTGTTACAGCTTTTGGTAATAAACTAAGATCTAAGTTATCGCGATACCGGTTAAAGTTAATAATAACAGTATGCCAGTTAACACCAGGCCTAAGGATGATATTATGTGATGAATTGCCCGTTATAACTACAATCATTCGTTTATGATCAACATGCAAACTTTGATTTTTAAAACTGTGAAATATTGTAATCGGAAGTGTCTTATCTGTTCTAGTTTTAATTAATTTTAAATTGAAATTAATAGGATCAAAATTATGTATCCTTAACTTATCTTGTTCATTATTAACCACTTTAATGTCGGCGTGTATAGCACTAGTGTGATTATTTATAATATGAAGAGAAAATATAGTATCTTGCTGAACAGTCATAAATCTTCCAGGTATTATAACACCTTTCGAATCAGTAGTATAGATGAAAGGGCCTTTTAATAGTATTTGATTGAATATCAAATTACCGCTTGCTGTGCCATCGATTAAATCTTGCCCAAATGAAAAGGTTGAAAAGTGAAAGGTGTTATTTAGCCCGGTAAATATTTCACAAGCTGGGCTACTTATTATTTGCATATTTCCTTGAGCACCTAAAATTTGATTGTTCCTACTTTGACCAAAAGCGATTTTTTGGCTGTATTGATCTGTTGTAATTACTGTTTCAATAGTGGATTGATTTAAAATATCTTGAAAAGTCCAGTCATTTCCATAGTGACTTAAGATGGATCGATCTCTAACCGATGGATTAAAAAATTGAAACAGGGGTACTGGGCCGCTGATAGAAATAATGACTTTGCTCATGCCAGCTGTAGGTATTTGATGAGATAATTTAGAGAAAGCTGTTACTTGATCTGTTATAATCCTAGCCCATGAAATCATCTTGCAAAGATCGGAAAGCGATAATAACTGATCTACGTTATGATGAAATAGAGCCTTAATAATTAGATGAATATACCCAAGTTGATCTACATTATCGATCAATAACCTGTTGTATGTATCTATAGTTAAAATGCCTGGAATATTAAGCAATTGATCAATACTTTGATTTAAACCGTAATGAAAATTATAATTTGAAAACTGATTACGTCCATTAGGTGACAGAAACGTGTAAACAAGAGATAAACTCAGTAATTGCCCAGCCGTTATCCGTTTAAACGTTTTAAGATGCATGTGAAGTTGATTCTTGAGCCAATAGCCTAATCTTGTTAACTGACGATAAAAATGCTTTACTGCAGATGTGGGTAACTGATTAGTTAACATCAAATTGATTATTTTGTTAGCTTGATCCATTTTTAGTGCTGTATGTCCGCAATAAATATCACGGGCAGATTGATCATCAATCCGTAGTATGGTTGAAAAATTAGCAATACCACTTAAGCTCTTCTTTGTAATATGAGCGGATGATAAAGAATACCAAGAATTTAGGTCTAGTTGAGCATTTAAGATAATGTTAGAAGAATTCGGAGGACATGTACAGTTAACTAACGATCGCTGGCTCTTATGATTACATCGAGCGATTAATTTTTCACCAAATAATTTTTCATATAACTGATACCAAATCGTAATATAGACTTGATTTGTCATAGCATATTTAGACTGTGGATGAATACCGCTGATGCCGGAATTGGGTATAATATGATCCAAATCAAAAGATAATCTATCAAGTTGATAGAAGTATACTTGTAATTGCTCTTGATCTTGATGTTGAATTTGAGTTAGAATAGGACACAAAACATGATTTCTATGAATAACTAACGCAGATGTTATTGTTAATTCAGTATTAACCAGAATAAAAATGACTACAGCCCATAAAATGGTACCATAACGAGCCATATTCAGGGAATTTGAACTGATTTTATAAAACGAGTTCAAAATCGTTTGAATTGAATTACCTATGTCATGTGATTGTAGCAGCAAGTAAAGAGGTAGAAAAAGATTCAACAGTCAATAATATAACGTAAATGGTATAAAAAATCTTATAACTCGTTGATAACTAAAAACGAAAGATTAGCTCGCTATTTAAAAAATGGAGTAAAGAAAACAGTACTGAATTCACAACCATATTGCTCCCAAGCTTGGGTAAAAAGAACGTGTCTTTCTACAGGATGGGCTAGTATCTTATTAAATAGCGTAAATAGTGATAATTTCTTATCACGTCGCTTATAATACTGAACCATATGCTTTGAATTAAGGCTAATCAATAGTTCTTTTCCTTAAATCTTATCAAATTATTTATCGATTTAGGCGGATTAACTTAATTATTTAGTGTATTTATATATAAATTTGAAGACCTGGAGTAATTTACATATTTTTCTTACCACGAATCATATTTTCCTACCATTTCGTCGTTATTAAAGGTTATACAATTACAAAAGATGTACATACGTAAATGTGTGACTATTATTAATACTACTGATGCCATAACTAGATATGATGACCTTCATTAATTTGAAACTAGATTTACGTTTCTTATAATAAACAACTATTAGGTCGCTAAATGTTTCTTAATTGTACACGTATATTGAATATAAATGAATCATTCATGATACAAGATTGTAAACATATTGTTTTTTCTGTTACAAGTAGATAGCATAGTTGATATATTAATTATTCGATCGAAGTATATTTAGTACTTCTGATCTGTAAAAATAATAACCAAAAGGATTAGCTAAAGTAAGTAAAATATGAATACTTTTTATGTTCACGGTAGAAGCTTTCTTTCGTCATAGTCCTATGCATAGATAAATGATTGCCCCATACATGTATGCGTGAGGTGCACTTCGAAATTACAAGTAAAAAGGCGTTAAAGTTCTTATAAATGTCTTTCCACATTTTCGGAAATATCGATTTTAAAAGAAGTCGATAATTAGGTGGATTAAATATATTCTTTGATATTGTGCATAGTCAAGTTAACCGTTAGGATCAAATATTAATCTAATAAATTTATTCGATCCCGCTTTATATCTTATGTGTAATCATGCAGTAAAGTTTAAATGTCTAAATAATACGAATTGATTTATATCATTGGTCTTAGTGCAGCAAGAATGAATTTTACTAAAATTATCTTTATGTTGCACGTAGACTATCGTAATACCGTTAGAATAATAACAGAAAAATTGAGATTGACCTTGTGTTAATTCGATTTAAGTCTACTAATATACCCAGTGTGAAAAGTATTTCTAGACTTTATAAGCGATTTTATATAAATAAGTTTAGCTAAATTATGAATAACTTAGCTTATTCTTACTTACTTTAATTAAATACACTATGAACATTGGATATTCATTGACAGAAATAGATCTTAGCCGTAACAATTTGTATAAAAGCGACATACATTAATCTATTAATAGAGCTAAATGTGTGGTCGGGTAACAGGATCATATCTTATGATACGTTACTTAAAATGAGATTGATAAAACTATTACCATACTAATGGTATAATGATTTGTAATCATGACAAGACTACAAGAGCACTAAAAGTAGTAAAACCTCATCCTGTCTAAATAATGTGTCATTACTATATGATGATAATAAATTAATATATGAAATAAACGGTTTTATTGTAATTAATTTCTTTGACGATATTTTCATAAATTTCACATAAGTTAAAGTTTAAATTCGCTCGATACATAACATTACAAAGGCGAGTTAACATTTTAAAGTTAAAGTCAAAGGTGTACCAGAAAATTGATTTAAGATAGCAAACGCTAACATCAATTTTCAAATAGCCACACAAGTCGAAAGAACATGATTATAACAGCTAATGATTTGTACTATCAAATGATACATTAAACGAAGCTTAGTAAACTTAGTAACAAAAAGTTATCTTTAACTACTGGTATGTAAGACTAAAATGACTTATTTTAGCTAATTTATAGTTTCGTACCGTTGCTTCACCAAATATGATGGCTAATAAAAGTTCATACATATGGAATAAGTATAACTGACAGTAAAGTTATTATTACTGTTTTTCCTCAAACTGGGATTTATTTTTCAATAAGTAGGCGGCCGTATATTCGATAGGATTAGGTGGCCTAGATGAAATTTTAAGTATATTATTATTTACTTTAAAGGAGATATCAGCATAAATTATTGTCCAGTATGGTTACTTTAGGTTATAGATCGCATTTCTAATTCAAGTCTTACCGTTCTTTAGCTAATGTTGATAATGCTTGCAATAAGATAGGTACCACAGTTTGATCTAAGTAAGCTCGCGCGGGCAGGGACTGCAAATCTACTTTCTGTTTAACCGGCTTTTCAATAGCTTCTTTCTCACCAGCTACAACTCTCTGTTAACATTTTGATTCTTAGTATCGGATGGAATCATAAAAATTTTCGAGCATATTAAACAGACTTACTAAGACATTCGAACTTAATCCTAGTTCAGCATGTATCGGTTCAGTAGGAAGCTAAGGAGTAAACATTTAAGAGACTAGTTCTTAATTTTCAAATAAATAGGATTGGATAAAAGCTAGAACTACAAGCAAGATCTGCTGGCATTTTAAATTATCTTATGATAGCATGATATTTGTTGATATGCTAAAGATGACAACTGGGCTTATTTAGGGTTAATTATGTTAGGAAAGTAAATGATGATTTACAAGATATTATCTTGCTATAGTGTTGTTGACTTCAGAAAACATTTTATAGCAATCTTACCTCAGTTCCATCATTATTTGCTGGTGTGGCTGATAAATTCTCTATAATAATGAAATATTGAATTATCGCGTGTGAGTAGTAGTGAATTTATCCATTCTATCATGAATTATATTAGGCTAAGGTAAAAAGTTAAGATAACCCCAATACTTTCTTTGCTAGTGTAGATGATTGATTCTCCATAATGATGAAATATTGAATTATCTCTTGATGAATCGTAACAAAACCATCAATCGTATCACGAATTATGTTAGGTTAAAGTAAAAGTTTAAGACAACATCAATGCTCTCTTTGCTGGTATAGTCGATAGATTCTCCATAATGATGAAATATTAAATTATTTCTTAACGAATTATAACAAAATCATTCATTGTATCATGAACTATGTTAGGGCAAAGTAAAAAGTCAAGACGATCCCACTACTATCCTGAAGGAGGATGAATAGAGAAGTAGTCTACTACTTCGGATAAAGTTTCATCTTGGTAACACTATACGCATACTATAAAGCGTAAAGAAATAACTAGTCATCCATTCTATCATGAAATATACTAGATTAAGGTAAAAGTCAGGGCGAGCCATGCAAAAAGATACCATCATTGGCGTTTACGTAGAGCGGATAGAAATTACAAATGATCGAATATATGATGAAACATATTGGACTAAGGTAAAAAGTTAGGACGATTCATGCGGAAATACTATCAATAGCATGTATGTAAAGCCACAGAAATAGATCATTGATATAGAGTGAAATATACGAGACTAGGTAAATACTTTACTATCATTGGGGGTATATGAACAGAGTGATGATCCATTGCGTCCACTAGAGGTTTCATTTTGAGAGCAGTATACAGTATATTGTCAATGGGAGAGAATATGTACATGATTTCTGTTGTCAATTCTAGCTTTAGTAAATCATACGTAGTAAAATATAGTATTGAGTTTAGTTGTACACTACTAGAAAAGCTATATTGTTATTTTCTACTGGTTCACAGTATGCTTGTAGCAAGGCTTTTACAGTAGCATGTCCTTCAGTAATGCGAGTGAGTGTTCGTCCTTTTCCTGTTCAATAAGTTAACACTAACATCACTTGACTATAATAAGATATCTAGCACATCTACCTCGCTAGCTATTACTCTATATAAAGAACTGAATTGAGTAAATAGATGAAAGGCTTGGATAACGACCATTTAAGGTAAATCATATAGCAGTGCTTAGATGAAGTCTATCAATGTTGATTGCAGTTGATGTACAGTAGTAACCACCATTCGTACATTTTATGATCAATGAACAAGTTGGACGTGTAATCTACTAGTTCTACTTAAATGCAGCTATTTTAAAGCTATTACTATGAAATTAGATTAACCCACGATATCAAATAAGTGCATTGATCTCCTTTAATCATTAAAGGAATAACATCAACTTGTTCCAGAGCTCAAAATCCAAGCTACATTTGCTATTGTTGATATTCTTACCTGCATCCGCCATCTTGTTAGATCGATCACTAAGGCACGTGGACAAAATTGGCCAATGGTAGTGGTGTGGATCATGTGATAATTCATCCTTTGCCTATTGGTCCACTTGTACCTTACACGGATGTCGCTTTTGTAAGTATGTTGTAGACGATTGTATGGTACAATACTGTACAGTATGTTACCTACAGTACTGTACACTGTACACTGTACAGTGTACAGTAGTGACGCAGATGTAGAGTCCGAGTGCAGTGGTTCAAGAGCGCTCCACTTGCTCAATTCAAAGAGGGCTGAATGTGACATTGCTTTTGCACAGTGCACTTACAGTACATCAAGAATAATTTCAGTGACTAAAACAGCGATATTGTAGTACAGTATACCGTACAGTCGGAAAAGTGTAGTGAGAACGAAAACACTTAATGCTGCTGAAATGATGTCATTTCTGCTTTCCATCTCTGGTTTCAGTTGAGAGGACTGAGAGGGAGGAGTGCTTTAGAGGCCATTTTTACAGAGTCCAGCCTAATACTCTACCCGCTACTGCATAGGGTCAACTTGGATCAGCTTCTTTATAGAGAGAGAGAGAGCTGGAAATGCAAGCGGAGAGTAATCAAAAAGAGTACGAAAGATCATCACCTAGACAAGATTTGATGTCACTTTTACTACTCAGCCGGTAGCTACAGCAATCAATCATGCTTCTAGCAGTCCCTGATATCAATCGCCATGCACAGTAAATTAATACGCTCGTGTTGGGACAATAAACGAATGCTTTATTGAACGCTAGCTAAGCATTTTAGCTACGTCAGTAGCTCCGTAATGTTGATAAGGTAACTACGCAATGTATTCAACAGGCTCGATCAGATGGGCAGTGGACGAGCATCCAGTTTACACTCAATCTGCTCCTGACACCTTCCTCGCAGACTGATCTAGGCTAAATACGAAAACCTGACAAGTCTGCTACACACTGTGCTTTCAGTCTAACACAGAACGATCAGCGACACGATTCATAAGCTGGAATAAAATCATGCCAGATCCGCTAGTGCATTAGAAGTCGGGTTGGGTTAGAAGGTTGACGACGTCATTTTAATATACTTTCCCCACATAGTAAGCAAAACGTATGACGCCCCTGGTACCTAGTACTCATCAACACTCTGAACAGGTGTAGTTGCAGCACTCAGGGACTCTTGGGCGCCAGTTTTGCTTTGAATAAAAATTGACTGTACTGTACCATTCACTCCTAAAATTCTAGGCTCCACTATGCAAGCGAAGCGCTATTGAAAAAAAAGGAGTAGTCCATGCTGCTACAGTACCAAGTCGGTCGATCATGATATCATAGTCGATTTACGGTACTACACCGTATCAAACCGTATCGGCAGTACACAGATACAGTATAGTATAGGATTGCCATCGAATTGTACAATAGAAGACGGGGTGAGCACAGTCTTTTGCTTCTACTCCTGCGCCTGGTACTGTAGCCATCGGAGAGTCAGTGTCCTGTCAGTCACCCCTGCCACTGGGTGACACTGGTGAGTGGATTTTTCCTTAGAAACCGTATCAAACGCTATCGATAGTACTGTACAGTGTACAGTAGAAGATGGGGTGACCACAGTCTTTTGCTTCTACTCCTGCGCCTGGTACTGTAGCCATCGGAGAGTCAGTGTCCTGTCAGTCACCCCTGCCACTGGGTGACACTGGTGAGTGGATTTTTCCTTAGAAACCGTATCAAACGCTATCGATAGTACTGTACAGTGTACAGTAGAAGACGGGGTGACCACAGTCTTTTGCTTCTACTCCTGCGCCTGGTACTGTAGCCATCGGAGAGTCAGTGTCCTGTCAGTCACCCCTGCCACTGGGTGACACTGGTGAGAGGATTTTTCCTTAGAAACCGTATCAAACGCTATCGATAGTATACAGATACTACTGTACAGGGTCTGTATATTGTATAGGATAGGATCGCCATCGAATTGTACTGTACATACTGTACTGTACTGTACAGTGTACAGTAGAAGACGGGGCGACCACAGTCTTTTGCTTCTACTCCTGCGCCTGGTACTGTAGCCATCGGAGAGTCAGTGTCCTGTCAGTCACCCCTGCCACTGCCTGACTGGTGAGTGGATTTTTCCTTAGAAAGAGGCTGCAAAAAATTGTCGCTTTCACTGAAGATTCACTGAGGATTCGCCGAATTTGACTCCCATATCCACAGAAAGGAGTGCCACAACAGGCAAAAATGATGGTTTGTATTTTAGAAATGGAGGGATAGACATATCTTGTCCATGAATTCTTCTTTATTACGTTAATAGTTGAACAATTATTGCCAAGATTGACTATTAATTTAGTTCAAGATAGTTTGATAGAGTAGTACCGGTGCAGATTGGAGTTTTTTGGACGCGCCAGTAGCGCGCCTGTAACAGTCGTCTTGAGAAATAGCTTACACTATAGCCATTAGGCTTCTGGATAGTGATGCAACCATGCAGTTGATCATGGGACAAATTGCTTGCGGGTGATCTATTTTCAATCCGAAAGAAATAGCAAGTTATAAAGCCATCATTGGATTAGCATGAATCTTAACAAATCTTACTGTTCTACGACGTGTAGGCTGCCATACTTTATAGGAAGATTGAATAGTGCTACAGATTATCACATTATCATACCATAGTGTAGCGTTATTGGTTCATGTAGACTACTATTCTACCCTATAAAATCGACAGCATTTTATCCAGGTAATGAACTGCATGCAGATCGGTCAACATGGTATAAAAAGCGAGCCATTTCATAACCGTAATGCTCAAAATACTTCACAATATAGTAGTTGCACTCTTATTCTACTTATTTTAAGGTATGCAACAACCTAGACTTGCATCTGTTGCAAAAAAATGGAAAAAAAAACCCACTTGACGAGACAGTCGATGACACACACCCTTCATCAATGAATTAATTAATATTGCCTAGCGCCCTGGATAGAATTCGGCTTTAGTCGAGAACCATCAAATGTACACTTAGAATAGAGTACAAAACCACGACGTTTCCCAAATAGTTCTGCTATCAAGAGGATCAATGGCTCGATTCATAAGTCAACTATCCATTAGAAAGGAGATGAAATACTTGATTCTTCTTCTTCTTACCGATAGACAGTATATTGTACCATCACTACTACCCGCATGCAATTGCATGCAACGATCTTAGTTGTCATGCCATGAACAATAATAACTACAAAGCGTAAATTATCATCACTAGCATGGTATCAATCTAATTAGTCAACATTATAATAAAGTGATAATAAGCACATTGAGGTAAATCACCAACAGTAGATTGAGATCATGAATTCTCTTTTGTGCATCGTTTTCGTAATTGCACGCTGTGCTTGACGTACAGTACATACTCACAGTTAATAAAGTACATACAAGTCTCTCCTAGTAATCTCCATATTTTGCCTCGTATGTCTGATATTTTGCTTATTATCATCATATTTGGATCATTTTAAATTTAGGAAGGAGCTGACGATATTGATTTGAATGCTGATGGAATGGAAGAGGTTCATCAAATCTCAAAAGATGTTTGTCCTACTTATTAATACTAACTGAAAATATTGTCCAGTTTATTTTTAACCATATCGATCGGACAAATAGATTTTAGCTATGATAATGATCTTGTCAGAAGAAGTATAATGTTAGAATTAAATATACAACTATACTTTATTCGTATTGTCAAATCGAACCTGTTTATACACTGCCTATACGAATAGAAACGCGTGTTCTCATCACTAATGCAGTAGTCGTGTAATTAGGAATCGATGGCAATATATCCTAGTTGTATGTTAACCTATCGTGAATCTTTCACACAAATACACAGTTTGCAATAACAAGTAAAATAACGAGTTAGATCATTTCAGCTTTGATACCACGCATCAATTACAAAACCTCCTTGCTCATTTGCCAACATTAAACAAGCGTCAAAATCCATTCATCTCTACTAACATAATTAATGCCAATCAAAATTTGCATTGACAATAATTTTAGTCGTATGTAATTCTTAAGTTCTTATGTTAATACCTGATAATTGATTTCAACTATTTTTAGGATCGCTCACAAACGATTGATCTTTCATCTGAAGCTTGCCTTGTCATTGAAATTTCAGACGCGTTAAGCGAACGTGATAAAGTTAAATTTACTATTCACACACGGGTAAGAGACATCCGCGCTTGTTCAGGCTTTACTGTTTTGTTTTTCCATTGAAATAAGACAAAACGAGCTTATAAATTGAGAAAATTCATGATTTTGATTTAATTTGAGCTTTATGAACGTTATGCAGCGGTAAATGGAATAACTTTCTACCTTTCTGACCTAACTATCAAACTTTTTTGAATATGTTCTTTTGAAAGACATCACATCGCTACACCGTATTTACTATACCGTATATTGGAATTTTAAGGACTTACAATAACGATTGATGTAATCTTTCAAACTAACAGCTTGTAAATTCATAAAAAAAGCTCTACATTCTACTTCGTAACGGTTAAGTACTGTCTTCGTTTAATCCATTCGATTGTCAATTTCTGGCAATAGCTGATTTTTTCTGACTAATTTTCAACTTTTACTAGTCATATTACTATTAAAAGCAAATAATTTTTGTTCCGTAGGATAGATAGCATTATTTGTTAGAGTTAGTGTTACTATTGAGGAAGTGGTCACACCTAACATTGCCAAAAACGTCGGAATTATAGATTAAAGAGCAACGATTAAATAATAACATGTTGCTACTTTAGTAAACGTCTATTATCGGCAATTATTAAAGTGTCGAATACCAAACTTGAGAGTAATTGTAAAATATCTAATACCATTTCTTTTCTCTACACACCTTTTAGACGACGCTGCCTGAATTTAAATTGCATGATTTCAGCGTTACTCGCGATCATGAAGAGTTTATTTGGTTGTATGATCGCTATCAAGATAACGAAAATCTTGAAGCTTATATCGTATGTAGTCTATGTAATTAATCGCTGTAATTTTGTTAAGATATTTTCTTTATTTTTTGGGTTTATCCTCAGATCTATGAATACTGCTTACAATTAACGATCTAATTTTTACCAAACTCATAAGATTCCTCACCCACCTCCTAAGCCCGACTTTGACACTGCCAGGGAAAAATTGCAAAGATTAGGAGAAAGTGAAGGGGTTCTAACCAAAGAAGAATTTGATAAGATGAAACAAGAGCTGGAAGCGTAAGTATACGCGTATTACATACACAATAGATAATTTCACAGGTCTATCTAATGTATATTAAAATGCACTATATTACACACCATTATATACTCATTTATAGTGAATATCTTGCTACCTTTAAAAAAACCGTCGCCATGCACGAGTTATTCCTGACGCGTTTAGCCTCTCATAGCGTATTACGGAACGATTCCAATTTTAGAGTATTTCTTGAATATAACGGCGATGTAAGTATCTTAGTTTATATATTTTTCACATTTTATCCGTTGTTTCGCAGTGATCTATAGATAAAGAATTAATTAATTCTGCATTGATCTCTCCGTAGCTAAATGTAAGATTGAAGAATAGGAAAGAGAAGCTTGGAAGTTTCTTTAAAGTATTGACCAAGTCTGTTGATGAAGTACTTACGTCAAGTCATAAGGCAAGTATCTATTATTACTTTTAAAAACTGCTTTGAAGGCTTTTCGTCTCCGTAATGGAGTAAGTTTCTACTTAAATTTTCATGTAGTCTTCTAAAGCTAGTACTGTAATCTAAATATGCGTTTGGAAACTAAGTATGAATTGCATCATTACGGATTTAAACCTATAGGATGCAGACGATTTCTTTGAAAACGAAAAACGTTTTTTGGTTGATTATCATACCAGGTTTGATATCATTCAGTTTCATTTATACTCTTACAGACGATTAAGAAAAGTTCGTAGTCTCTAATTGAACTAAACCTTTCTTCAAATTAATACACAACCATATAACAAATGAAATACTACTTAATGTTAGGGTGAAAGAGGCACTGAAAGCGTCTGATAAAATGACTATTTCCCACAAAGGTATCCTCCAGTTATATGCGATTGTAATTTGTAGTATACCAAAAAAATTGATTTTTTCGATAATCATAATTATAAATTAGTAACGTTAGTTTACGTAACAATTCAGGCACTGCCGGCTGTTACCTAAGTATTGGCTCTGCAACAAATCAAATGGGGACTTCTGAACCAACTAGCCTTAATAAGTGAGTCCTGTAAAATTTTATATTACTTTTACCTCATGTTGCTACTTGTAATCATTAATAGATGGACGAAAATTTTCTGTATCTAAATATAGATTCTTAAGTCGATTTGGTGGGCTAATAGAAAAATATCGCGTAAGTATACATTTAATATCTTAATGGTATGGTATTGTTTATAACAGATAAAAAATAAAAGTAACTATATGAATTTTATTAATTCTATTATGCTAGCCAAAAATTTCATTTATAATATTGTTTACAGAAAATTGATAATCGTGTAGTTGCTGATGAAGACCTGAAATTGTCGGACATTTTACGTTATTATGCACGAGATCTTTCCTCAGCCAAAGTACGCCAAATGAATATAGGATTCATTATCGATTAATTCTGAAGAATTGTAATATCGGATATCAAAGCAAGCTCGATCGTGATAATGGTTTCTCTGTTATTGTTAATGATAGGATCTATTGTATCGTCGATCTCGATGCGTATCAAGCTATGAAAATGCAAATAAGGGGTTAGAGAAGGCAAGAAACAAAAATAAGGATGTGCAAACGGTAAGTGATGGTAATGTAATCATTTAATTGCTAATGAAACACACTGTAATGTGTAATCTTATTTGTAGGCTGAAAAGGTACAACAAGCTGCTCGTGAAAAGTTTGAAAACATGTCAGAAATAGCTAAGCAGGGTAAGTTAAATATAAATCAACTTTCGCATATTTGACCTATGTAAATTGATATCGATATTATTTCGAACTTTAGAACTACTCGACTTTAAGCAAAAGAGGGTTACAGCGTTTAAGAGAAATCTAGTAAGTTACCGTACTTTTATTAAATTTATTTTTATGCGATGCAGTAATAGTTACAATTTATAATTCATTTATTTTTTCAACAGTCTGAACTGGCAGAGTTAGAATTAAAGCACGCAAAGGTACTCCCTTATAGCACCGAATTTTGCTATTCAAAATAAATAAATTACAATTCTTTACTTTTAATACTTTTTTAATGTTTAATTAGATTGCTGCTCAGTTATTCCGAAATACGATCAGTGCTTTGAAAGAAATTGCCTAGCAGTTTGGACGTTAAACCACTAGAGGAAACCTTTTTATTTCACTAAAGTGTAGAATAGAGTTACATTATATTATGTATAGAAAAGTATAACTTGATAGATTTGTATGCATTGTTTATCAGTACGAACTGACTGATTTCGTTAGGTTATCTTTAAAAAATTGGCGTTCTTACATCAATGTAACACTGATTTTATAGTATACGTACATCTGGTAAATACATTACTTAATCTCGCGTATTGGTTAACAAGCTCATTTTATTCTCTTACCAAGAAAGATCGATTATGCATGCTGCGCTTGTTTTAGTCTTTATTACACGTATATTATGATAATGACGAATGCCTTATGCAGTCATTTAAGTAGTATTGTGTAAGAAATATATAACTATTTGATTACCATTGATTATATACTTATTAATCAAAATCAATTGTTGACAACTTGTCGTAGTGTAAAGTCTTATTCAGTCAGTTGAATTATTGGTATCTTACCAACCCAATTATAGTGACTAATGCTACAAATTGTAGTGGTAATAGTACAATTATGCTTTCGTTTATAAACTCTTTGCAAAGATATGACATTGTCAAATAAAGTATGATTATTTTACATATAATTAATAGGTACTATAACTTCATGTTTACAACTCTACAATTGCGATATGCTTATTTTTCATACGTGATATAATACTGTTGTAATATTATTTCAATATAGTTAAGGTAGGGTTAGTAATCCTTTCGCAGAGATTATTCTTATGAAATTGGTACTTTGATACATTATCAAATTATTAACCATGTGTCACCTAATCTCTTCAATATAAATTAGAAAGACATCTTATCTCATGTCTATTTATTCTTGTTTATATCGAAATAACCTATAGTGCACCGACTGATTTATGCTCATTACTTAATTAGTTTTGTAGCGAGTAAAGATACGTAGTACTACGGTAACAAAAGCAAAAGTATTAGCATCACATATTCTTGGAATACTATAATTAATAAATATTAGGGGGTGAAAAATGATAGGTCTAAGTCCAAATATACCAGCTTGTACCCGTATGTTATTCAAAATAATATGTTCGTGTAATTTTGGTAGTGCAGTCGTAAAAATCTTACGTATCCCTAATTTTACATTATTTCTTTAAAAAAACGAAGCAATTACAGGAATAGATTTCTTCACGTACAGTAGTATAGTGAATTCAACATAATTAGAGTATACTAGAAAATAACATGACAACTTACGATGATATACGAGTATTATACGGTCACTTAAGCCATTCGAAAATTGTCTCATGTAGTACCAGTTTTTGATCATAGTATCCAATTATCTGTGTAATTTCTTAACAGGAAACAACATTTACGCATAAAATTTATCTCGCTTACTTTCCCTGATGCTTAAAATCGCTATTGGCGCATCTTATAATCACAATATAACCCAAACCTCAATGCAACATTCAAACACTGTGTAATACTACTATGGATTAGCTCCAGGTTTCATGTCCACTGTTTGAAATCACCAGTATGCAAAGGTAGCTAAGGATTAAATTGTTAAGCTTATAAGCCAAGGGACAGTTCAATCGACGTAATAGAAGCTCAATTGCTCTAAAATATATTACGTAATGAATCCTTTCCATCTTGTATTACAACTACCGATTACTATAAACTAACTAGAGACCGTAATCCAGTAGTGAACACCTGATTGTATACTGTATAATGACAGCGTTAATAGGGTTTCTATAGCGTTGTTATGGCGACAGCCCACTTAAAATTTCTATCAAGCCCTGTTCTACCACTGAACAATTATACAGAGCCAATATAGCTTACAAGCAGTAACTCTAGTATAAATACCTTCTAATAAGCTATTGGTATTAGTCATTCCCATGAAGATAAACACCAAGTCCTTTAGTGGAGGAATATCAGTGAAACGATTAGACTCATCCATTAATAACTTCCATAGTAGTCATCTATTATTAATACACAACTATAGGTGAAATAGCTGCAAATAGTTTTATATATAGTATAGCAAATTAGTTAACGTTAAGATCGGATGCACTGTTAAAAGAAATCGAAATTTATCATATAAGAGCTTGGTTTTATAGAAGACGCAGTCATTAATTAAACCCATTTCTACATATCCTATAGTATATACAAAGAGCATCACCAGAGTAAACAAATTCTATTTAAGCATACTTAGTCAGCGCTCCTTCCCTGACTATCAGTTGAAGAGATTTACCTCCTAGGCTTGGCAGAGTAGTGATCATTTGCAATAGACATCATGGTTATCAGTAGGCAAGAGAATAGGAAAACAACGGTAGCTGCCGTTTTGGAACATATTAAAGAATTAGGTTAGTTAATTTTGTCGAATATGGCCTTATTTTAAATATATGAAATAGGCCATAATTTAGCTCTTGAAGATCGCTCATACTTTCATCTATTATAGACATAATATAATACAGAGATTGAAATGATTTTAATAAACCTTATTAATCGTCTACAATAACCGTAATAGATGAGAAATTTGATGAAAATCAATATGATGATACTTGTCGAACGCTACTCAAGGATATTTCAGAAGGAATTGTTCAATTAGTAAGCATAAATCTTGCAAATGTGTCTATCGCAACTTTATTGGTTTTAGTTTTCACATCGAAATATTAGACTACAGAGGTTTAGAACTAAAATAAGGATAAGCGTCGTCTCTTTAAAATATAATTAGGAATTAGAATGTCAAACTATTCAAGAAAATGGCGAAGCTAAATCGATTGAAGCCAGTAGTCTTCGACATCGCTTTCAAATATTTCCAGAACAGATTGAAAATGAATTAAATAGTAAGCTGTAAATTTGCACTGTAGCAAATTAATCGATCACATTGCATTACTGTCTAGATATAATGCAAATGGATAGCCTGGAAGTGTTACGGATAATCTTAATGATAACAATCTAGTTAGAAATTTTAGTTAATATTGATTCCTAAACTAAACCATCTTTAGGCGCAGTTGAATCAGCTCGAAATTCCAATATTGAAGAATTAACATCATTACAAGTAAGTATTAAATTAAATACAGACTAAACCACGCTGGCTTTGCAATAAAGTTCTCTTATTCTCAAATATTAGATTTAAATCTACGCGTACTCCCTGTTTTTTTAACTGATATTGCTAAAACCTTTAAATGATTGTAAATTATCCAACGCACTGTAGCAGTGTTAAAATTACTTACTAAAGCAAAATCTTGACTATCGGACAATCTTAGACAAGCTTAAACAAAATTCAAGCAGTTATTAAAGATTTTAAGGATCGCCATCTTAAAGTAGAAAAGGAAAATTCAGCTATTGAGTGAGTATGACCAAGGATATCGAGATTTAAAAGCATCAAACTTAAAGTATCATTGCTCTTTACCTAATATCTCTCGTTAAGAATCTAGATAGGCTACTATAGTTTGTCTACTTTATTACTGTGCCAATAAATATAATAATTTTACTATTATTATCGACATCATTAATTAGACCAGAAAAAAATGAAGTCATGGAGAAACATGAAGATATAGTTGGTCAACTAAATGAAAGGATGGCACTTAAAGCAAGGTATCCATATGAATGATTAATTATTTCAAATAATTTTCATGAAGGCATTTATTTGAAAAAATAAAGGAATTATAAAACATGACAAACTAAGGAAAGCAAACTGATCCTTTTTGCATTTAAAAATTTCATATCTAGTAAGCAAATAAAGCTCAACAATACTCGAGAAAGACTGAGAGATTCTTTGCAAGAGGTAATTTAAACTTAGATAGGAATGTATTAAATTGGCTGTCAACATCTAATATTGATATATCTGATTAATGTTTAATATTGTAAGCTGGGCATGACAGTTCTAGTTTGATGAATAAATATGTGTAGATAATTGATATTGAAGATGAAATTGCTCAAATGAAAGAAGACATGATACAAGAGCGAGCTGATGCAAAGCAAGAGAAATTAAGATTAAAGCAAGCCATAGTGAGTTAGATGCGTACACGTAAATATAAAACTATGCTTTATCGTTTACTTTTAGTTGAGATTTATTTATACGGTCCTGGATATCACAGTACATGACAAATATATCGAAGCCAAAATATACTTTTAAACCTATTTTGATATGTAAAATAAACCCGACATTGCAATTACGGATTGTCTTTCATTTAAGTACCAATAGAAATTGTAAAATATCAATTAAAATTAATCTACTGCACTCTAGTATAGTAGAATTTATTATATGGAAACGATTCTCACTAGTATATCAGCATTATTAAAATTTATATTCTATTACGCTAGACTTTGTACTGCGGAAAATATTTCCTACTAACATATCGATACCATCATATTATAAGTTATATCAATATACCCTGCTAAATTTATTAATACAAGTTGCTAAACATTTTGTTTGCCATAATATTTTGCTTGTAATATCGGTTTCGCTATAAGGCTAAAAGAAATAAAGATGTCAATGACGAAAGAAGAGTTAATATCTATAAAAGAAGGCAAGCTGTCCTAAGCAAGCTATTTAAAGTTTTCGATAAATTGTGATATTCTGTAATTAATCGTTTCCATCTATGCAACCATAGGGAAATCGAAACGTTGAGTGAGCAGTTAATGGAATCGGAATCTAAACTTCAAAGTAAACGCACTGTAAGTATCTTCTACCATCATTCTGCTGTAGTTATAATAATATGCAGTACAGCAGGTAGTTCTTATATTTAAAAATAACTTTTATTGCTAATATCGTAGCTAAGATCATAATTACTACTAAAATATTTACTCACAGGATCTGTATGTATAATGAATAATGGTAATAGTTCTAATTGAAATAAAAAGATTGAGCATAAATTTTTAATATCGATCTTGTTTCTTACCCTAGGTCGTTGCAAGGCATGAGAAAGCAAAAGATGAGGCAATAGCAAGGGAGAAACATTTGTCTAGTATGCTATCGCAGAAGATAACTGAAAATAATGAGCTCCGTGAGAAAGGGTTAGAATGATAAATACTAGTTCTAGTCATATTAAATTTCAATAATTTATTATTTATTAATATACGAGTATAATGTTATGTTAGTACTACTTTGCTAAGGTAGAGGATTGGATTTATTATTTTACTATAGACAAGGTATTACTAGAAATCATGAGAACATGATTAGAGATTTTGAACGGCAACAGGCCAAGTTGAAAGAAGAAAGAGATATTGTAAGATCTTTTCCCTATTGTTAAAGATTGGAGGATTCAGATTCTAAGACTTACTTCTAGTAATAGTGGAATAATTTCGAAGTTTTAATAAGAATCTCAAGAATCGTAATCATTCGCTATTTCAATAATAGTTGCAAGAAGAACTCCGACAGGTTACGGAAGAGCAAAAAAAACTAGTACAACATCATAAGAGTCATCGAGCAGGTGGTTAACATGAATTGAACTTATGATAAAATAATGTTAAATTAATTATAGCCATACGCCTATCTCAGATAATCAATTCTTTACTGTCTATCCTGATCTTTTAATTTTCACCATAGGTGATAAAATTTTCTTCTACTCTTGTAATTATACCTTACTATCTTTATTATTTCTCGCCATCTATGTAGTATTACAAGATATAGTGCAACAACGGGATGGTGAAGACGCAACACTAAAAGAAGTTCAGAGCTTGTAAGTACTTATATACAAAATGTGATTTGTTATTAGTGCTTTACTTCATTAATAATGATATTGCTAATGCTTTTACCTTATATTCAATGCTGGTAACTAATTACATGAAATATGATTTACTGTTAGTGCTTCACTTAGTTAATACGGGCATTGCTAATAATTTTACTTTACAAGCTTGTAACAGATTTTACGAAATATGATTTGCCGTTAGTGCTTCACTTAATTAATGTGATATCGTTAATACTCTGGAATTTACCAATATTTTACTTTATATTCAGGGCTTTTAGTCAATTGCACCAAATATTACTTGCTATTAGCCCTTTATTTAGTGAACGCTGACATTACTAAAAGTTTTTACTTTATATTCACCGTTTGTTAGTAATAATAGGGAATATACTTGCTAGTTAATGTTTAACTTGTATAGTAATGAACGTATATGTTTACTACTTTATCTTTTAGAGTTAGAGATACAAGAGATCGCTTTACCAAGGTTTCCGATGAATTATCTAGACTAAAGGATGAAAGTATTAATTTGGATAACAGAATGAATCGATTAATGGAGGATCATAAGTAAATTGAAATGAAATTGCTAATCGATAATATAACTATAATAGCAACTTATTATTTCGTTTTATAGTGATCAATTTGATTAAAATCTTCAACATCTTTAACATTTCTTATAGAGCGACAGTTGAAGTACTTGGCAGACAAATTGAGCAAACAAGAACTTCATTAAATTCAGAAAGGAAAGAAAGGTAAAGAAATGTCTTGTCTTTCCCAATAACTTTGCAATAGCTATAATAGGATTAGACATTGGAGATGAGTTTGTCTATATGATAATAATAAGATCAACTTATCAAACAAATCTGTTAGTGCTGTGAACGGTATTTAAACATCTATGTTTCTTACTGAAAATGATACTTCAATATCCTGTAATTCATATTTACCGTAAATAGGCAAGAATTACAAAATGATCGAGATGTGTTGCAAAAGAAGATTGATAATCTTAAACGAGAACACGGCAATTTCATGTCTGAGGTGACATCGAGAATTACACGAGGTAAAGAGAAATATCTACAACAAACGCAAAAGGTAAGAAATATATCAAGACGATGACTATTTCTTGATTAATTGTAGTCTAAAGTTAAGCATTTTGTTAAGCCCTGCTTTGATGTAGAATTATAATTGAAATGGTAGTTATTTATTTATTTTCCATTGTTGATCATTATTGGTATTATTTAATATTTCTACTCTCATAAATTATATTGGTCTTAAACTTACACACGTACGTTAAGACCTGAGGTGAATTCTTGTAATATCTAAAAATGGATGCAGCAGCCAATAAATGCTCCTTCAGTTAGATTAATTCTAACCACCAGTCATCTTTTCATCCACAATAAATAATGGGCTAAAACATTAAAATTAGTATCTTGCCAATTGTATAAATGACTCGAAATGTTTGAAATGATGAAAGGAAGAAATAGTTGTTCCTTTCTTTCTCCTGATTGACTCTATTGATCTCTTGCAGAAAGAAGAAACTAATCGTTTAGTGGGTGAAACAGAAAAGACTGCCAAAAATAAACAGCAACAGCTAGAAAAGGCACAACAAGCCTATAATGAAATGACAGCCGATTTGGGTGGTAAAGTAAAAGAGGGCGAGGTAATATTTTCTACTGAATAATAATAACTTTAAAATTCTTCTCTCAGATTTATTACGGCATAAAAATTTTTAAACTCCTTTTACGATAGATGTATATTAACTGTATAATATGACACTGAAAGTTGAGCTTAGTAAAATTTACTGACTTTGGGAGTATTCAACACTATGTTATACGAATGCATTATTACGGAAATAAAATAGCTAAAATGAACTAACATTAGATAAATTATACTTTACACCTGTAATGGATATTATCTTGCATATTGAGAGTCCTAACTCTAATGGCATTTAATTTTCATACTACATCAACCGTTGTTGGTACCATTTTGCATATTAATATTGCAATAACTAATGAAGGCTAAGTTTTACGCTGTGTTCCTTTGATTAACGATCCACATAAGTTTATTAACACATATCCTAAATTCTATATTGTAACTCTAATTAAGGTTAAGTTTTATACTCTGTTAATTACTTAAGATCGTAAGTTTTGCTAAAATATGTCTTAAATTCTATAGCTTTAAATTTCGCAAAGTGACAATAGATATATCTCTCTAGCTGTGAGCATGAAGTATACATTCATTTATAATATTGCTACTAGTTCAATTTCTGTATTCTAAATAAATGAGATTATTCTTGCCAAAAAGACCCTACTAAATAAATTCTAGGATACGAAATCTATCTTATGGCAAACATTAATAGATCGCTGTTGGGTACATTAAAACTGTATTCGATAATTAGTCATCAGTTGCGGTTGAGTTATGATTATTCTACATTTTAGTAATGCTAAATTGACTGAAGTATATGTAGAATATATTTTAAATATCATAATTTTACACCTATGTTATAAAAAGCATCAGTAAGATATTTCTCTAGCTAATGATGACAAAGAATACATTCTCTTTATAACTTTTTTACTGGCTCAACGATAGATTACTGCTAAATATATTAAAGTTTCATAAAATAATTAGTCGCTATCAGCTGTTTAGCAGTCCTTATTACTTAGTTGTTAATGATGCTAATCATATTAATTTAAATATAGGATCAAATTAATCGATATCGTCAAGAATTACAAAATGTTCAGAAAGCGACGGAAGCTGAACAAGTAAATAGATAATAACTACTTGAAATTTCATTCGCTTACTTTCTACTATCAGATCCAGTATATTATGATCTATAGACTTATAGCTGTATGTTATCGAATTTTATTAGCCGTTATATCAGGAGAGAGAAAAATTTCACAAAGAAAAACAAGAATTACTGGATAAAATGAAGAAAAAAGTTGTTGGTAAGTTGGCGAGCCGATATATTGAAAATTTCAATATTCAGGTTATACCTACAAGCCAACATTATTGAGGATAGATATGTGGTATGCCATAAAATGATGAAGTACTCAGCAGTGTTACTGTTTTTTTTGTTATATTAAGCTTTAAAGAAAGAGCAACAACTACTACAGCAAGAAATTACAGAAACTAAAGAGAAAATTGAGGACTGTAAAGAGCCTCGTGTAAGTTGAATGCGATTAATAAATTGTAGCAAATTGCTTTGATTTTCTACCGACATAATCAACATAATGATTACCTACATGAAACATATTTCTTTTTCTAGTTAACTTAATTTGGTTTAAATCGTAATTTTCTATAACAGACGCAACTGGAAGAGGAATTAGGTATCCGGAAGAATGATTACAATAATTTTCTTAAGAAAGCAGGAGAAGAGATGAGCCAATGTGAGGAAGATATTTATGTGACTACTTCTAAATTAGACGTCATTATGGAGGAAAATGAAAGATTAGATAATGTAAGTCATCTAAAATATTGAATTTTATAGCTATTCTATATTATACGTGGTAAATAAAGTAATGTTGTTCGATGGTTAGAGTTTGATAATTCCTTCATATATCATTATACTGAAAATAAGGTGTAATGGAGTGCTATTTAGTATTAAATAGTTTAAAGTTGATCAGAATAGTCGTTTATCATTTAATTTTAAAAGTTCTCTTGTTTTCTAACAGTTAATTTAGAATTCAACCATGAGTAAATACCCTTAGATGAAGTTATTTCAGTAGCAATCTATACCTCAAGCTATAATTATGTACTCTATTAAATGTTACAGGCTATGAATAAGCTCCAGGCAAATTTAGATCGAGTAAATTATGCAATTGAAGAGAAGAATAATCTATTTAGGGCTATGACTAATCGAAAGGAACACATTACAAGTAAGTAAATAGTTTTATATACTCTCAAGCAAGGTAATATGGTTGTCAAAAATATATGATGATATGCATACCGTACCCTAAATTAATCTTAATATTTCAGGGCAATCGCTGTTATTTTCATATTTATTAATTCAATCTACATTAAATTCTTATAAATTAGCTACATTAAAGGACGCATGGGCGAAAGATAGAAACATGGACGTGGTAAGTTGTCAATTTGTTGGGGGTATAGAATAAAATTAAAATCGTAATTTATATTATTATCATGTTCATCGCCGTCCATGGGAAGATACCGTGGTTATTTTGATTCGAAATATGTCTAATTTTCTTCTTGAATGTTACGATTTACCAATTATTATTTTAAATTTTAACTGCAATAATTTAAAATGTGAAAATGATCATTGACTTTGTAATCATAGCCATAAGCTTGATGTAAACTTTACTTTCGTATATCACAATTTTAGAAATTTGCTATTCGCGATACAGACACAGTTGCTGAAATTACGGACTTTGAAAATGGAATGCAAGAGCGTGGAGAAGAGTAAGTTATGAAATTAAATATTTAAGAAAGGGCGATAAATTAATATAGACTACGATAAATATGCGTCATAGGTGTAGACGTAGAATTCTATTTGTTAATCAGATAAACTATGAATTTGAATATTAGGTTACAAGGCATTCAGTCATTAATTGAGGGCGAATTGGACAATTTAACCCAGTTTTTGGAAAATTTAAGGCCTTATAATAAAGGTTTCTAACTGAATGTATAAGAGCAGCTAATTGTACAATTATTATGTATGCAATAATGACAGCTAAATAAATTTCCTTTTTCATATAAAGATGGCGATGAACCTGGTAATAAAAGAACACATCATAGAGTAAGGCAAGCCAAGAAGAAATCACATAATCATTAAGCCTAGGATAAGTTGAAATACTTGGAAGTACAGTATTTAAAAGTCTACATTGCAGTAATGGCTTTTGAAGCTTTTATATTGCTTAAATTTTATACATTTGTAAATAGTTGATTGCAAAGTAAAACTATCGTAGAATTTTATTACATAATAATTGTTAGAAATTTTATTACAAATCGGTCATCACTTGTTACTATTAATAAATTGAAAGTGATTAATATTGTAATATAAAAGTTATTATGAATACTAATATCATGCAACTATCGAAATCACGATGCTACTGTATTAACATTGGACCATTAATCTGTTTATGCATTTTATGTCTTGTTGACATGTTACTGTTACATGAAAAGTTATCGAACCGCATTTTTGAATAAATTTAGCATTTGGAGATCAACGCTTTTCAAGCGAATAAACAGCATAAACTGACTCTACAAGGTGTTTACAACAGAATGATAGTAGTTTATACTCCTGGAATACGACATGAAAATAATGCTAGAATAAATATAGCTACCACGATAGAGTATCTTTGTATGAATATAGCAATACTATTTTCGCTAGAAATCATAAACATTGATAACAATTAACAATTAATTAATATTGTAAGATAGCTTCATGGACAGGGATCATCAACTGGAGCATACCATCTATAGGAAGGATGCTGGGCCAATCAGAATAACTTCTAGTACTCTTTATCATTATAAATTTGAATATCGCATTCCGATAATTCGGCCATAGTTGAATCTTTCTAACCAAGTTTAAATTTTTATATGTATTACTTGATTCCATTAACATGCCCTATAATTGCATGGTAATGTAAAATTACAATAGTATACCCATACATACAATGACTGATTGGACTTTCTAAATCACAGATTGAGCCAATAATTTAAAATTTGGATTGACAAAGCTGGTTGATTCTATCCAGTTTCATAGGCATAAACATTAATAAGATCCTGTTTTGATATTACAAGTGAACCATTTTATGAATAAAATTGCCTACAGAGGTTGACCAAAAGGCATGACTAGTCAATTTAACAAGCCTTGAAGATTTCACTCAAGTGGCAAATCTTTGCGTCCATTGCCTAGCTATCTCATCGTGCCTGCTTTTATCTTGGAAGTAAAGGAGTGCAATATTATCGACTAATGGTTTGCTTGGAATACAATTCTTTAATAGGTTACAAATTGATTGTAAAATTTGACTAATAGTTGTTGTTGGGCTCCAGTTTTCATTCAATAGATCCAAGCAAATTGCCCCTTTGGAATTGATATTACAGTGATAAACACGTGTACGAAATGTTACAGTAGGTGGCTTAAATGGATAATCATTGGTAAATTCCAACTCTAAGAAGAAGACACCACCTTGGTAAACTGATCCAGCTGGGCCTAATATCGTAGCAACCCATTGATAGATATTATCACCTTTAGGGCCAGCAGAACAGTTAGCTGGTGGATGTAGAGTTAGCTCTGTCAGTTCGAGTTGTAGGCGACGAACACTAGCACCCATGCCATTAATTTTACTATGCCATTTCGAAGATTTGGTCTCTACAGGTGATGAATAACGATTTCTTAAGGATTGTTTCTGATCTGTTTCAGCATAAGGATCTTGATTTGGATCTTGTTGATCTTCATCCATTTCGGTAAGATGCGTTAACGTACTGCTTTCTTCTAACATATTGTCTCACTTTTTTTTCATTGTATGGCTAATTTTCCTTCATGTTACTGCTACTCTTGCTATAGAGTAGTTGCCATATTTGGTAGACTTGTATTGCCAAATTATAATATTAAAATTGATCGAATAGAAGAATATGCGAGCAAAATGAATCAATTTACTGTAGTAAAATGGAGCAAGGATGATATAGACGAGTTGTTGGTAATCGAGTAGTGGCCACCTACAGTGAATCGTCCAATTTCTGTACGCTTCCATATACTGTTTAGTATAAGCTTTGGACTACTGCATGCGCACAGGATAATAAGAAACTGCTGTACCTTAAGTACAGTATATTACTGTATAGTTTAGCGGTTGAATAACAAATTGCTCATGGCCCAAACATGCTTAAAATTACTACCAAACTGTATTGTGAAAGGATTGAATCAAGAAGTTCTGTATGACAATTCGTGATTATCTTATGAGCTCAAGTTTTCCTCTTGAACTCTGTATTTAATCGATAATTTGCGTATTCAAATAAATCGATTGGTATGATAGAAGTGATTGTTGACTACTAAGCTCCCTAACTTGTTTCTCTTTATACAATCAGTACTGCACGACTGCAGTATTTGGTCAGTTGGCTACCAGGCCGTGTAGCCCAGCTGTCCACACTGCAATCCCATGCATAAAAATCAGTATTGATTTCATTTTTAGATTGCAAAGTAAGGTGCAGAATGTAAGATATTCAACTATGAAAGGATAGAAATCATCCATGGGCAGCCATATTACAGTATAAAGATTTCAGATGAAATATGGAGTATGCCACAGTTATGGCTGCCATGGCTTAGGCATGCGCAAAGCATACCATTTTGCTTACCAGTTGCCTAGACAACATCGACAGTATTGATGGCTATCGAGTAAGTTACGATTGATCACTGAGGTTTAGTGCTAAAATAGAAAGTATTCGTAGACATTCTACTATAATTACTTTAAGCATAGCCGTTACATTGTAAAGGTTAAGTTATAAGATTTATCCCACTTGAATTCGGATACTTTTTACTTGTACTTTAGTCGAAATCCCATCTAATCTTTTTGCGCTCTCATATCTAGTTGTAGTGAAATCATAAGTCGTTGAATATTATTGTGTACCGATATAACCACCGTTGTGGCAGTTCTCACTTTTACGTTGGCTAAATATTATTAGTGATCACAATAAAGCCCCAAGGAAGTGGTTTTATATAATCATTCTACTATGATGTTAGGCTCAATTCAAATAACCAGAGAAAATCTTACCGGCATAGATGTAGCTGAGATAGCTATATCGCTACGTAAAAATGAAGTTACTTTACTCCTTTTACGTGAATGTACTGTAACGGATGCGGATTTCGAAAAATTGGCTAATGCTCTTGCTCAATGCAAATCTATCGTACAACTAACTCTCAATATTGGAATTGTATCCAACATTCAACGTATTGCCATCCTGGCTAAAGTCCTGCAACTAAATAAATCTCTTCGACGTTTGCAGTAAGTTAATAGAGCTTATATTTAACTGATAAAAGTAGTAAATTCTATTATGGTAAACGATAACTATTATAATGATGGACTAATACTAATAGAATATAGTAATCAGATTTACTTTATATACCATGCATGTTATATAAAGTCTTTGATGCATCAAATTAAAGTAGCTTCTTTATCGGTAGTAGTAAAGTTTTTAAATTTTTCCGGATAAGTTATATCAATGATATATTATAACATTGATAGTTAATGCTACTTGTATACTTCTTTCTTATATAAATATGAGCATGCTATTGTATCAAATATCGCATTATTGGATAGCAAACGTGCAAGTAAATTATTACTTTAAGAAAATGAATGCTAATTGCTATTTACATAAATATTAGCCTACATGGTTCTCCTCTTGGCAATGATGGTTTAGCTTGTTTAATGCCAGGCCTACTAATACATCCAACTTTAACTGATTTTGATGCTGGAGATTGTCAGCTTGGAGATGATGCTATTCGGGATATTGCTACGTTGATAATTGAAAAGGAAAAAAGAAAGCATCCTATAACTGTTCTTACTCTCAGCGCGAATCAAGGTACCCTAATGATTAAAAGTTTGCTTAAACAGTAACATATATACGTATGTCATCATTTTTTCCCCTTCATATCTTCTACGCTAAATACAGATATCTGACAGAAAATATTACATGCTTTAATATTTCTTCACATCGTTTTTGAAATTATATATTATTTTTATACACTTAGATGTTACTGCCAAAGGATGGACTAGTCTGATTGCAGCTGTAGCAACTGCTAGATATCTCCGAAGTCTTCACATAGATTATACACGACTAGGAGATTATGGGGCCGGTATCATCGCTGTAATGTTAGCTTCTAATCGTTCATTAAGACAGCTAGACATTGAAGACACTGGCATAACAGATAATGGAGCTGAACTTATGCTACATTCACTTTATTCTTTTCCAACATCGATCTCAAACTTTATTCTGGATGAGAATGATATACATGAGGAGATACTTAGTGAGATTGATAGCTGTTTAAATCATGATCACGAAGACGAAAATATAGATGATAACGACAGTGCTGAAAATAATAAAGATGACGATGAAAGTTCTTCTGATGAACACAAGATGACATCTGTTAGCCTTAGAACGGCTGTTAGGTTTGCTCATCAAAAAAGTGAAAGTGAAAGCGATGAAGAATCGAATACAGGCCGTGGTTACAATGATACCTTCCCTAGCTTTATTCAATCAAAGCAAATGTCTGAATCAGATGAAGATGATCGGAAAAGAATTGCATCAAAGTTACGATTAATTCAGAAAGATGGTACTCAAGAAGGAGATTATTTCGATGGAAGGAAGCCTACTTCCTCTAGAACTGAAAATAACGGGCGCAAAGATAGACATAAACACTCAAATCTGCCAAGAAAGATGTCATCAGACAGTGGTAGTAGTGGCGACAATGATAACAGTAAGAGAGTAGAAGTTCAGGTGCACTACGATACTAAGAAAATCTCGCATCATGATCAAGATCAACCTATGTCTAAAAAACACAATGTTAAACATCGCATTGATGATAGCGATAAAGAAAGTGATAAAAATTCAACTTCAAGGATACAAAATAATATTTTAAATGAAGAAATTGAGCATAATCAAAACTCTAACTCCAGTGATAATCAAGACCAATGGAAAGAAAGTGTTTCTACCGACAAGTCGAATTCTCGTAAACATGGCATTAATCAAGAAGTACAAAGCAGCGATGATAATGAAGAGAATGACCATCATGAACGTGACGTAAAAGATAATGATAAAGTAGATAAAACAAATATTCAGTACGAAAGTGACGATAGTAGTAGTAGTAGTAGTAGAAGGAATAAGGCTGATGATAGGAAAAATGAGGTAGCAAGAAGTCGGAACGTGGTGAAAGGAGTAGAAATTAATAGCGATGAAGATGATGATGCCGATAATGATATAGTGCAAAGTAGTGTTAAATCTAAAGCTACTAAGGAAGTAGTAAACTAAGCTAATTATATTAGGGCAATAGCTTAAACAATATCATTCTCAATCGTCTAACTTTCTACACATTTCCCATGCAATAATTGAATCTTAGACTATATTTCATGTTTGTAAATTAGTATTTATAAATTATTGATATCGCGTGAATGTTATTACCATAAAAGGCATACACATATTATCATAGATTTATAATCTTAAATAAATACTGTATATAATATTCAATTCTATCTTACATGTATATCACTATTATTTCAGATTCCAAGAAATATTTTATTAAAGCTTACTAGTATCGCTTTATTCCATTTACAATTTAACTTTAAATTATCTATAGTACTTTAGAGGATAAATATGTAATAGCTAATGTAATTTCACGATGAAATGACGATTTGTGATTATGAATGAAAATCAAAGTAAGAAATAAATAATACTATCGTATTTGAATAGCTGACGTTAATAAATACGGCAAAATTTATTATTCTTCACTTCCTTACAAACTTTTCCGGTACATGAAAATTTGATCAATACATCAAATTGGCTAATTATTCATTATCTTTTAGCTTATTTAACTAGATACTTAGATTACTACGTGTATAATTACATTTAAAGAACTACATAACTATACCTTGAAGTTTGAACTAATTAAATGTAAGCTACGTCTATGCTTTCATTAATTGCAGAAACAGTACGTGCAATGAAGGATTTCAAATATCTGATAATTAACTCCTTATAATACTGTACTTAGGAAGAGTATTGGATAATAGACGTTGACGCTTTCGTAACTTGAATTTTTAAACATCGTAAATTACTTGTAAGATCGAGCGTCGTTAAAATACTAAATAGATCCATATAACAACTTAAAAAATTAAGCTAATGTTCTTAGTAGGTATATTTTAACTTTCTTGGTCTCATAAATTCACGTGCGATATCATCCGTAATTTGTGACCGCTTCTCTTGATGAGTTTTTACAATTCCTTGCAATATTTGAATTAAACGCTTTTTTAATTCTCCTGAAAGCATCTCACCAGATGAATATTCCTAATACATTAAACAGAATAGTAAGCTTAAATTTTAAACAGGTCTTAAACACACAACATTTTGATAAAATAATAACGTTTTAGTTTACTACTTTTAATTCGCTTAGAAGTACCTTTTCAATTTTTGCTAATTCGTCATCATCTTCTAAGAAAAATTTTAAAAATTGATATGAAATATCAACTGAACAATCTCCTCCATATTTTCTATGCTCTTCGATCGTATCTCGGCCACCGGAATATGCATACTTATTTATCTATGCATAGGTAAAATAATTATTGATCAGTTCGCAAGCTAGACACTTACTTTTATGGCTATGACTTCATATCATATTAAAGTATGCATGAAAATAAGTTGATACTCACCTTCTTTTTGATCATGTTCGGAGTATCAGAAAGATAGATTGAAGAGTTTAGGTCACTAGCGCTCATTTTGGTCTGAGCGCCTTGCAGCGCTGGTAAGAACTGTGAATGAATTAGAGCAGGTTTTACAAATCCTAGTCTAGGAGCAACGTCTCGAGTCATGCGGAAGTATGGATCCTAAAAATTGAATTAAATCAGTAATTAGTCTATAGATTGATAGGAGGTAAGGATAAAAGTTTACTAAAAGTAATTTAGACCTGATCAATTGCGCATGGGATTAAACACTTTACATTCTTTGCATTTCCAAAGATTTGTGGAAATGATGCAGAAAATGAAGGTGTAGCTTGAATCGCAGGAAATGAAATCTTGCCTAACAGAGTAGGAAGAAAATTTGTTGCTTCCAATACCGATATAGTATACTGTATATATGTATTTTAATTTTATTACCGATGTTATCTGACTCTCCAAATCCAAAAATTCCTTTAACCTGGTTGAATGTAATGCATTTCCGTACTTTCAAAACGGTTCTGTTAAAAGCCCGGCTTTGTCTACGAAGGTACAAATGAATTGCTATCAATAATAATATGATTAGTTACTAGCCTAGTTGTCAACATTAAGATGATATAGGCCTAACTCTTACGCCATTATGTCAAGATCAGAAAATATAAAAGTCTTCTCAATATCGAATCCACAAGCCAGGATATCTTTAATGTTGCTGATTGTTATTTTTTCTAATTCATCTAGTGATATATCTCTCCACAGAAACTTTTCGTCGTCAGTCATTTGTACAATTAAGGGAACATCAAAAGCTTCTTGTAACCACCTAAAGATAACAGTGAATACTTCTGTATTAATTTTATATGATTATCTTAATGAGAAGCCATAATAATTTACTTTGTAAATAGAAAGGGAATTAAGTGGCCAATATGGAGAGCTCCAGATGATGGTCCACGTCCAGTATATAGATAGAAAGGCTTTTTATTTTCATGTAATGTTAAAATTTGATCTAATTCCCTGTGATAATACGTAATACATTATTATTAAAGGATATTAGATATCGACCATAAATTGAATTATTTATACCTATGAGAGAAAAATAGGCCACGGCGTAAGAATACGTGAGATTTACGTCCAGTTACGCGCTCAAATCGTTCTATTAAAGCGCTGTCAATCTTATTAGAACCAAATTCCGCTGATATACAACATATAAATTATAAAAATAATATAAATTTTTCATTGAGCCTAATTTGTAGCACTACAGTATATCGATGAAGCGAGTTATAATCAATATATTTTCGTAAAATAGCTACATCGACGAACTTACTCCACATGTTGCATTGTGCAATACATGTCATCTAGGAATTTCTTACCGATCAGTTTATCGTAATTTACAGCTTTGGAAGCCGATACAGTCCATGGATCAATACGTTGAGTTTCAGTATCTTCATCAATTTGAACATCGCCTAGCTTGGCTGTCGCATCTTCAGCCATTTTGAATTAATCCTTTGAGTAAGAACAACTAGGTTTAAGATTTGCTTATAAGTAAAATTAATCAAACCGCTCAATGATGCTTGTATTTATTTATTTACAGTAAGAATTAGCAATTCAGTACTTGAATGATGACTTGATTGCTACAGAGCCAAGAGTTTAGAAGACGTGTAGCAACACTCTTTACGCACTATTTTATTATTGCATCATCAATTGCTACTATTTACAGCTGCGTATAAATATAGCAAGGTAGAGTTATATAGGTCTAACATATACTGTACAGAGCAAGAATAATGATGATCTTACTTTCCATTCAATTTTAACACCTGTAGTAATCATTTCTAGAATCCTTTTATAGTGTAGCTCGAATTAATTTGATAAAAATAAGGATTGAATGAACCAAGTTAATAAAACGATTGATGACAGTTTCCAGGTACGCCTAACTTGTCCTACTCTAGTGTATTCGATATTGCTGAGACTGTTGATTTAAGCTTAGTATAGATACTTCACAATACCGTCCTAACGGTGCTACAACATTGCCACTAAAATCTTGCATCTAGCAATACATTTCAATCCAATTTCGATTATTGGCTAACTTTAACATATCTTACTTTATCATTGTAATAAATACGATTTCTCCCTTACCTTTCCTACTTTCGTTTGCTTTTAAATTTAATCTCAATGCTGTAATTCTACCTGCCCACAGAAGCACACTGGGGTAGTCGTTGCGTCTTTGGTGACACAGGATACCGTATCGTATCGCGGTCGCGTTGATTTCGTATCCGGTACCGGTGCCGATACGGTACTGTGCTGTAGTGTTCTTCCGATCCCCGTGTGAACTGAGCATGCTCTATCCTTGTACCGTATCGCAATAGTAAAAATTTGTAGACAACAAATAATGGTATTTTGTATAAGTTGTTAGGTGCTATATCGTATAGTAAATTATGATTAGTCCGTCCATCTTGCGGAATACTGTACAGTGTACAGTACTTGGCTAAAAAGAGAGAAAGGGAGAGACTCAAGTTACTACAGTAGTGTACAGTACTGAGTACTGTAGGTCCGTAATAACTGAGCATGACATATGACCAAGTTATACGCATGTGCCTAAATTTTAGTGTAGAGTAGCATAGAATAGCGATGTTATCTCCATAGTAACCGAATAAACTACCTTACTACAGTAGTTCCATATCGCATCGAGAGAGTAGAGCAAAACTACGCCAAGCAATTAAAGCGATTTATTTTATCACTACCTAAACAGTAACATTGGCAGAAGAAAAATATGGATTCAGCAACTTTACATTTAGATATTGACTATGTTGGATCGAGTGGGATTCTATTAAGCACCGAGCAAAAGACAGCTTTGCAAAACTCACTCTTAATCCTCAAGCATCAAAATAAGTTTAAGAAAGTTGTCTTTTGGGGTAAGATAACTGGTTGCAGTAAAGATTATTTTGTTGCACAAGGAGTTGGCAATGATGAAATGAAAGAAAAAAAGACGTTTTATAGGTGAGTTAAGATATCTTACTTTCTTACGTCGCGAAAGAAATAGTTGTATACTGTAACTCGATAACCAAAGAAGGATACTGTTACGCTTATTGGTTTATTATCGATTACTGAATGAGATTTTTTTAACTGTCGTTATCATTATTTTGTAATAGTAAATTATCTAAGTCGATTATAATTATACATAAAATAAGTAAGCTTTATCCAATTACCTGTATATCTTAGTTTGGACTGCTCTAAGTGGGCTCTATTACCGATTGCAACCGATGAATTGAAGATACTATGCTCCAGAATCAAAGGTCGATTTGCTGGAGATCCATCCTATGAATATGAACACGTCGAAATAAGGAAAGTTCCTGGCGAGAATGGTGAAGAAAATGAAGAAGAAACAACAGTAAGAATAACTCATATAAAATCTTGTTGGTTTAATATATAACAAGCTCTAAATATAAAGTCTGATTTCGATAAGCTAGCTAATAAAAAAATTAACACTACAGATCGCTATTAGAGAAGAAGAAAGACTGGCAGTAACGATCGATGCAATCGATCGTGATGTTAAAATAGTTCCAAGGGGGGCTTATGTTAAGCTTCCGACTGGTGAAATTCAGTCGAATCCTAGTTTTGAAGGTAAGACTGCAAAATAAATCAAACTATCAAAAAAACAAAATATTAAAGTTTATTCTATGTTAACTATTTTCATCAGGTCTTTCAACTTCAAATGCGGCTAAGTTGACATCATATTTTCATTTCGATAAATCTGCCAGCTTAAACAAGAGAAACTTAATGCAAAAGGTTAATAGTTTTAAATAGATGTTTTAGATTAATGTTTTCATAACCCCATGATTTAATTTTATTCTTGATTAAAAATATTCTAGGCTTCTTTCGATAAATCATTGGACTTTCTTGGCGATATATCAGAAGATGTTCCCAAAGGTCAGCAAAATGACAGCTCACTGAGCTTATGATTGAGAGAAAATTACCATTTTATAATTGTAATTCTATCAATTAATAAAATTTAATTTTCTTATTTGTAATAATTAGGTTCATGGAGTGTTCAGTTTGAACGTGGAGATGCTGTAGTAACAATTCGAAGTTTATTATGGATTGGTTATGTATTCTATCACATACCTGATACTCGCTCATATGGACATGTTTATGTCGGAAATGGAGAGATAAACTTGGATCTTTCATTTATGCTTTAACGTATCAAGTCAGCTCGAGTAGTGATGGATACTTTGGTTTTTAAACAAATTATTGTAAATTCAAGATGATGACTGTATTCGTATTAATATTGCAGTAAAGGCTATATTAAGGCGCCAGCTCTAACCTACTGATTTACTATACTTTATGGCAAATTAACCTTAATCTCTGGTGAAATATCTGAAGTGTAATATTTAGAAACGATTATTGCTTTGTATGTACCGTTTAAAAATGTGAAAAGCAAAATCTTTCTATCTTAGTTCATATGATGGAAGTGGCTTTACTGTCGAATTTCTGATACTATTTGCTAATATAAATGTTTTCCTTTCTGTATTTATACATATTAATGTAAACGATAAATAAATACGTGTAGTATTATTGAGATCTTCAAGCAGTAATTGTATTGTAGTATTATTATATCTTCTCAGAGGTATTTATAGCATAAAAATACAAATCATAAATTGAGCGATAGGATAAATGTTTAATTAATTGGCTCATGTAATCATTTAACGATTAAATGAAATCAACATGAAACTACATTCATCGAGCTCTAAGCTTAAAAATCTATACTGGTAATCTAACTACGAATAGAATTAAAAATAACTTTAAAGATTTGTTCGATTACTTATCGATTAATCAATTATACAAGAAATAATAGCTTATTAATTCATAAACTTTTGTAGTGTTATTCACTAGAGTTGCTTGCAAAATTTATTTTCTTCCCACATACAACATTTGCAGCTTATGGATATTAATCGTGTGCATTAATAGGGGTAGATTATTAGTTCTGTAAGAATTTCAACACGATATAAATATTATTATCACGTAAAATTTAGATCAGGTAATGGTGTCCAATTTTAGTGTTATCATTTTATTGTCAATATGGGTATTTAATGTAGATCCGTCAAAAAAGTGTTATTATCGCTCGTAAATCACTACAGATGATTAGAGTCATGATAAAGTACGATTAATACGAATCCCATGACTTAGTTGCTATGGCAACGACACACTCTATCAACTAGTAGCATAACGTAACTTATAAATGCTGCTTATCATTGGCCTTTCTTTCTAAATAGAATTAGATAGATTTGCAAAAATAAAATAGTCGCGATATAACTTCATCCAACGACCCAGTAGACATTTCTTTACGTAAATACGTATTTTAGTGCCTCAAAGCAGCAGCAGATTAATAAACTAATGAGGTAGCTCAAATATTCCTAAAATAAAGACTAAGATACTTCTTATACATAACGGTAATACTATTCAATTACATATGGAAAATGAAGTAGTGTGGGTTTCAAATAAAAGTACTACAGATAGTACCTTTACAACTATTCCAGTTCCAAAGTATAAAATTATTAAAGAACCAGTAGATGTTAACCAAGTACCAGATTATTGGGTGCCTCCATTAGTAGAAGATATGCCAATATCCGAAGCTACAATTAACAAAAATGAAAAAATCAATCCATCGGAGGCATCAACAAGATGCGAAGAATGGTCTACATTACGACAAATGAAACCGTCTACGACTAGATTATCAAAAGTAGCTTCCTCAAGTTGGGGCTGCACACCGCCAAATATTCCTGCAAAGGAGGAAAAGACCCCTGAAAGACACCCAAAAATAAATAGCTCCATGACAAGGTAATATTAAGTTGTCAGCAGTGTTGCTAACTTTTTATCAATAGGCGCTTTTAATATCATCATTAAAATTTAACAATTTTCTATTATTCTATAGATATATTGATGAAATGCACTCTTCTAACCCACTATTTAAGTTACATTAAATGGATAAAAGATGAGTAAAGTTATACTTGTACAATTAATCGCTGTTATTCGCTTGTTTATAAAGTCACTAATATTAAAATGATAGAGTTTAATTCATCATTGCTATCATTAAAATTTTGATATGTTTAGTAGTATCATTTCTGTTACCATATTATATATGCTATTTATTTATATCTAGCATATTTACTACTATAGATGATTTTTAAAACTTACAGATTCATTTTAGATTTACTTACAGTATTTTTATATCATCATCTGCTTTTATCCGTTGTTATATAATGTATAGCAAATATTGTATTTTATGATAACCTTTGCATTCTATGCATTGAATAAATTGTATGGATTATCTATTTGGATCGATATCCTCTATATGATAGTGTTATGAGATTGGAAATTTACTCTACTTTGGCAAAGGTTGGAACGTCCTTCTATCCTTAACTTAAAATTATTAAATCCAAGAGTTTAACCCAACCTACTTTACTGCTTATAAAAGGCTACGAGAGAAGAAATAAAGATTCTTTCCTGTAACTTGTTTTTCTTACATGGTGTCATGTTTCTGGACCAGAATAAAATTATAGAGAGTTCTGAATATAATTTGCAAAGTATTCAATTTTGTCGTCATGCATTGTACTTTAAAAGCAGTAGACTAATGTACCATACGAATATATCTATATCATACCTTATTGCACTTCGCAAATGTAAAACATTAAGCAATATTCTAAAACATGGCCGATTATTTTGGCTGCTATGGTATGATGATAATATCTCGATCAAATGACTAAATGAACTGGCCTATTACAATTTTAATATAATACAAATCTATTTCAAGAAGTAAATCAATTATACTATAGTACAAAGAAGAAATTAGTATCGAGTCATTCACATCTTTAAACTCTATAGCAGGTATCAGTATCTGCTTTCGAGTTCCATTATTGCTTTTCTGTTCCTGTACAAAGTTGTAACTGAAAATGGTTGAAGTTTATATATTAAAGGTAAACCTAAAATTTAGCAATTAATTACTAATTGAAAGTATCACTATATGCATATCTTTTTATGCTAGAATATGTGATAACTATACCAGTACGATACTATCATATAACAGTTATAATGGTGCATACTTGTTGCAAAATAAGTGTTGATTAGTACAGTATAATAGAATATACTGTGAAAGGATAGAAATCTTAATTAGGGAAATATATGAAAGTTGAAAAAATGTAAGTCAATAGCTCATAAATATGATTGAAACTCGTTTTACTACGGCTAATAGCGAAGAATGATAAAGTTAATCTCTGTTGATAAGTTATACTACATCAGTAATTATACTGAAGATGATTCCAATTTTGAATGAATTATTGGATCTAGACTGAATAGGAGTTAAATACCAGTTTATTACAGATTACAGAATATATTTTCAAAACAAAGCCTAAGCATTGCAGACCTAGATCTGTAAGCTAAGACGCATTTGCCAATCCATAGTAACCTTATTAGGTAAATTTCTATCCGAATACAGCAACCTAGTTACTACGTATTGATGAAGCAGACTTTCTTAGAGTGCAATGGCATAATAATAGGTCATCTGTTATACACTACTGATTTTAGCTAAATTTCGATAGCCTATCATGTTAAATAGGTAAAATCTCTCAATATGTATATATGCGCACCATAACTTATAGTTTCACCCACTAGTTTATTGTAATATAACATCTAGTTGCACTATGTATGGTTGATAATATGGGCCTTGTACTCATAATCTTTACATACTCCGTCGTTCAATATTATTAGAATGTCTATTATAAAAGTAAATATAGACCTTAGTATACAAATTTACATGATATGACTGTTTTTAACGGTCATAATACGGTATATCTCAGTTTTACTTCTTCATTGCTGGTTAGTATTTATATTAACATCTGATATCTTTGATTTTTGATGATAATGATTAATTTATCAATATTTTAAAAACAGTTTTTTACATGTAATTCATGATGTTAAATTCATAAATACGATTGTGAAGCATGCCAATTTTAATACTAGGTTGTGCTTTAATAAAAAACTTATATTCGATTGGCATTGGTATACAGTATGCTGAAAACATGTCGTACAAGTCGTATGATATGTTAGATTATAAAGAATTACCTTCGATCAATAATATCTAATCTTTGGTATTGATAAAATACATTGATAGTACTGATGGTATAAAATTAAATATTGCTTTAAATTTTACCGATATTTCTAAATTTAGAGAATTACCTTCAACTAATTACTACCCAATTTACTATATCTATACAATTGACAAATACTTACATTGCAAATACATTCAATTTTAATCGGTGTCGTTAACTGCTTAATTGAAAAGTTCGTTGACTGTGAATAGAATGTACAATAGTTTGTAGTTATATATTTAACATTTCTGTCGTACAATTTTATTCGATTCAAAGTGTCTGCAAGTAATAACCTTCATCTTATGACTAAGTGTGTACATTATAGTCATGGAGTGCAACAGAAATTTAGCGTCGAATAAAATATAATAAAATATAATAAATATTGTATCATAAATGGTGTTAAATAAAAAGGAATAATTATTGGATTTTACTATTGCAATTATTGGTGGGTGATGGAGTAAAGTATGATCCCTGAATACAAATAAGTTCTTTATCACCAACTAGAAGTTGAAGAAATTTCACAACAGTAGATTTAGCAACCCAATGGTATTGATCAACTAGAATTAGATTACGATAAATGTCTTTCAAATGGACACATTCACGATATTGGCATAAATCGTCAACAATCTCGTTGAGTTGACGATATAAATTGGTATTATCAATAAGTTGATAGCAACATTTTAGGTTATTTTCGAATTTATTCTGGCAATAGATCCATCCATTAAAATACATTTGCTTGATTGATTCCATTAATAGATTGGATATGTTATTAGTATTACTTGAAGGGAATTCAAGGAATAAATTTTGCTGAAATTGAGAATCATGAAGAAGATTTTGAGCTGTGAATGTGTGCTGATGGCTATTTTGTAAGTAGGATTTTATATTTTTTGCAATGTTGTAATAAAGGCACGTGGTGGTCTTCTGCTGCTTAGCACTGGTAAGATCCAAGTACGGGTATGCTGGTGGTTTGCTAGGGTTGAATTGATCCTTGGCGCTCTGAGCTCGCTTTTTTCGACAAGGTATTAAAATTTCTTGGTGATATTCTAAGCTTAAGGTCCAGTGGAGTATTTCTACCATTGGAAAATTTGTCTTGTCGATCATTTGTACGATTAATATTTCGATCTTGCCAGAATAAAGGAGTTGGGCCTGACCAGTTATTTGTACAAGTGCTCCAAGAGGAGCTGTTATAAAGTTCTTTTTTTTCCATTGTTTACATGTAATTCGATCACTGCCATCGTCAACATCGTAGGCAATGAATCTTTTTCGTGTATCAACTCTAGCTATATCACCAACGATAGTAACCTCTTTTTTATTGAAATAACCATTTCCTTGTAGCATAGTGATTAAGACATGAGGTCGAATGTTGTCAATCAACGAAAGATCGATCGTATTCTTGCAAGACATGATCACCTTGTGTATCCTACTTTAGAGAACTGAGATATAATCAAGCTTTCAAAATGTTGCTTTCGAGTAGCAATTGAAAGAGCTACATTCTAGAAGGAATTAAAGGCAATCTAGTTCATTCATTTTGCAGTTTGTATGTAGAAAGAACTTGCAAGCCTCTACAAGCCGAGCTGCGCCATGCCCCAAGATTGATTCCTTATCAATGTTCCGAAGGTTGATCTATTCGTACAGATTTCTTGATCATCGCTTGTTTTACGAAGCCATTTGAATATATTATTTCGATGTTGGAGTTTCCATTTGTTGAAGGGGTTACATATACACGTTTAATTTGAAGCTTGTATAACACTTATGGTAAATGTTAGAAGGTAAAATTGGCCGCAACTGCCATGTTTACCTCCAACTAGTAGTGCAAGGACTTTATATTACAGTGCAATGTATAACAGCGATGACCTTGTTCCTGGTAATCGCTTTCTTACTGTCCAGAGTCATGTTTGGGAATGTACACTATGTGCTGGCGGTATTTACGATAGACCACGACGTTGCTGTTCAACCTGAGTTGGAAGATGCTCCTATAGAGTACAAGTACCGAAACATAAGCTGTGATAGCATAATAATAACTGCTCGCATCGCGATTGTCAAGAATTACACCGTGGTATGTTCCAAGTGTCCCTTTTCAATATTGTATAGTGAAGAGTAAATATTTCCTATCTTCCATACGATAGACTCTATCGTAGGCTATGTTTTAAGTACTTATCATACCGTACGAGGATAGCAGCTTTTAATTAAGCACCAATAATTAATTTAAATAAGAAAAATGAATGGCTACGGTGTTTGTAGTAGTATCTTTATTTATTTGGTTCGTGTACAGCATACTGTCGGCCAAAATATTCATTTTTTAGTCCCTATCTTTTAATCTATATCTCATAATCTTTATTATGATATGAAATTTGTTTGTGATGGACGATAATGTGGTAATACCTTGAAATGTTGATTGCTATTTGCGAGCGAACCTTTATATCAGGACTTCAGGAGGGATGAATGTTGATAGTTTACTCTATTACTTTTATGCAAGGCAGTCGATAGAAAATTGATGTGCTATCCTCTCTACCAGTCTAAACTGATCGATCGAACTATAATTTCGATCATAATGAGAGAACGATTATCATCAACGTCATTATTTAAGACAAACACGCAATTTCCTATACTGAATGTAGGAATTGCGGAAGAAATTTTACTGTATGCTGATAGCCGTATGCGAGTATCGTATAGAATGATCTACAGTATGTCATATAGTACTCACTGGTGGATTCATAGAAGCTTAAGAATAAGCTTTGAAACTTGTCTTGGTGCAGTCTACAGTACAGAGTGTGATTTCTTAGTTATAGCACCATACACAATGACGATCGGAAGGATATCTATTCGAAATCGATCTGTTCCTCAACAGAAAAGATATCCATTCTAATTATATTCATGCTACGGAGTAGTTTCAACAGTCCTGTGGCTCATTTATAACCAGCATATCACTAACAAGTTTAACCTATGTGCTTCTGTAGTTCTTAGAATATACTATCCAATTCAAAGAATTCAATTCATTCGCTAAGACTTTTAACGATAGGGTATACCTAACTGATTTACTCCTTCCTTTCGATACATTATTTTTCCAAGTATTGACTGAATCTCTTTGAAAATTGGGATAATGTATCCTTAGAAAGACGAAGATCTGAAGATGACTAGGCTATTGCAAGGACAGTTTAAGAAAGAATTCTCCTTCCCCGTTCAAAAAATTGCCTTCTAGAGTGAAAAAATGGCGATTCTTCTGCAGTAATGCCTGCCAGGTCGTTGTTGCAGGTGTGCTTCACAATACTTTCTGTTCGTGACAAGGTAGGGTCAGGTACGTACAGTACGTACAGTACCGCCGGATTTCCAGCCGTGAGTACAGTACGGTAACGTCACCCTAGCTGGTTTCTGAATTGTATCACGGTACAGTACTGTATCACGCTCTCAGTGAGTGACTGACCCTCAGTAACGTCACCCTAGCTGCCTTCTGGCTTGTATCACACGGTACAGTACTGTATCACGCTCTCAGTGAGTGACCGACCCTCAGTAACGTCACCCTAGCTGGCTTCTGACTTGTATCACGGTACAGTACTGTAGCACGCTCTCAGTGAGTGACCGACCCTCATCAGCCCAGTACATCACAGTGCACAGTACTTACATACCGCACATACTACAGTACTATACAGATTGAATCTCCAGTCATACTGTACAGTGTACAGTACAGTAGTATGTTACTGCCAGTCACTCATTGCTTTCTCTACGACCTTCATTTATTTTCTCCTGTGGATTTCCTTTCAACTATCTCCATTTCTTACTTTGAATTCTTCAGCTATTTGGTATATTGACTAAGCTATCTTTAGCGTTTTAACGCAAAATGGCCCAATTCCAATCAGCTATGTCTACATCTGAAGCTTGGAACAATTATTTATCCTGTCAATCCGATCAGGTTAGTGAAAATATCGCTTCAATAATGTTTTTCATTGAAGCAAAGTGATTATTATAAACAACATCACTGGTCAGTATGGTGATGTTGACATTCTGAGTAGCCATACCTTACCAAGGGAGATTTTCTCTTCAACTACTTGACATGCTTTTCATTTATATTCCTGATCCATGAATGTCGAAAAAACGCGTACAAAATACTCTTTTTGACGTCAATATATTTGACACTGCATATAGTATTGTTGAATACAGTAGGGACTTGATTCTTTGCTCACTTGTCGACTTCAAACGAAGGAGTAACCATTGGCCAATGGCGTACAATAGAAAGAGGGCTATTCCTCAGAATGACTCTGACTACACTAATTGGTTTTACTCTAGATGAGTGTCGACAGATTTGTTCAAGTGATATACAAAGGTGTACCGCAAATTAATAGTCATGATCTACATATCTGTAAATTTCTCTGCATAACCATGTCATATACTGGCATTTTATGCATAAAATTATAATGAATGAGTAGTGTAATCTATCATGGACAACACTGATAGCGGACACATGAAGCGATTGAGCCTAAGGTCACTGGGGCAATAATTATTATTATTTCCTATCAATTTCCTATTGGTCAGCTCTTTCTAATTGTGATGTTGAACATATTATCTTATTAGCATAGTATATAGTCTAGAGAAGAGCAATGTAATATCTTGGTCTAGGAGAATATTTGTAATGGAAAAGCTATTTTATGACCTTGAAATAGGAGAAGAAGACATCACTCATCAATTTTCTCTTACTTTATCTACGCCATGATGAAGATTGCAAATTGGAACAATTTTGGTAAGGCAACAATAGCTTTCTATTACATTTTGAAATGCTAAACTTGAACTGTTTATGAAAATCGGATTATAGTAATTAATTTATAATTGTTTACCATAATTTCTACTTAGTCGTACAATGGTAGCATCATATTAATTAAATTAATGGTGCTGTACTGTACATATACTGTACTTCCTATACGACGATTGATTAATTTCTTTATACATTCGATCAATACTGAATTCATTTCGTTGCCAGCTACTTTAAACAAGGCCAATCCTATTTTATTTTTGTAGTCTTAAAAAAATATAACATCCAAATAAGTATCAGGGACGCTTGTTCTGTGAGCAGTCCCTGATGGTATTAACAATTTGAAGCATTAGTATATGGTGGAGGTTATAAAATGGATAAAGAACTAACGATGCCCAAAGTATCGCAGAAGTTAACGTTATTAACATAGGAAAGTCGCCGTAGATAATGAGCCCCTTAGTAAAGTACAGTAATATGGATTTTTTTATGGTACAGTTACTATAGTAGATGGCCTTGCAGTCGATATTCTCTTCTTTTGCTTTTTGGCATTGAATTTACTGATTTTACCGTAACGTTTAGACAATATCTTGCATAGCAGTCATATGCAATTTACGTTTGACACCAAAGTCGCTTACGGTTGATTCTTTTTGACTCTTCAAAAAGAGAAAAATAATCGTGTGGTAAATTATTACATTACTGATTAATTCTGCATGTTATGGACCACAATTGCACAAATGGTTATATATGTCTGGCGATGATAAAAGTATTTGTATCAGTCAGTAGTACAATAAATACTGTAGACCTAAAATACAGTAGTAGACACTGTAGAAATGGTTAGTTAGAGCGTATTTATGCGAGTATATATTGTATCATGTTCTTTGTACAGCTAAGAATATATTAATTCCTGTACACGTTAAGCGAGATCTTAATATTTAATTTTATTGTATGACTTCTCTGTAGAAGACAATATCAATATACAATGCTTAAATCATTATGGACGTTAAATGAAAATTTTAATAATATACATGTTTAAATTTATAGCCTTGGGGGTGCTGATATTCGCGTCTTGATTTTTAATTACGTCTTCTTCTATTATATACGCATAGCGATCCAATCAGTGCAAAGAATCTTTTGGTTAAAGAATTTATTATAGAGGTTAATGGTTGCATTAGTCAGCCAGGCGATGAAGGTCATCGACAATTTATGAAGTTTCTCTTGGAAGGTCGGGCCGCATCGTTGTTAATCGCGATCAGTATTATGTTAAGCAAGGTATAGCTTGTACTAGCTATTGTTAATAGCATACTATTGTTATTAAATCTATCTTCGTTGAATATCATAATCAACTCTAGACTGTAGATTAATGATTAAGTAAAGTTCGATGGTAATTGGCAGTATGATTTACAGTATATGGTAGTACTATAATAATAAATCTAGTATGACAAATGCTATTCATAACTGTGGGTACAGTATTACCTATTGAGTGTACCGTACTAGTATATCACCTTAGCAAAATAATGTCCAGTTGATTCCAAATTAAGTAAGCTTGTTACGGTATTAAGATAAGGTATTTAATTTTTTATTATTGTTAAAATATCGCAGGACGCGGCTATCAATATCGAATTCTATACTTTTCTAGCTCATATGGTGCCACAACTATGCATAA